GTGTTTGGAGGCGCATGCGCAAGCCTGGGCACGAGCCGAACGCGAAAGATGGCTGGGACGCGCTTCTCCCCTAGTCTGATACCCATGCGACGGGAGCCCGTGCACACCTGCAGATGATCATCAACGGTGCACTACAGTACTCACTTGTCATTCCCTTTGGAAGCACGCTGAAAGTGATTCGACCTCTTCAGAAGCATGAGGAGACACTAACAGTAAAAATATGGCTAACGACAGAAAGCCACCTGGCCTGTACTGCCAGAAGTGCCGCACACCTATAGATGCCGATGCCTCCATCGACCAGCTCAACCCAGCAGCCTTCAAGCTTCTGACAGGTACACCGCTACCTCTTCCTTACCTACCCACATCTAAGACTCTCATACTAATCACAAACTTAGACTCTACCGTACCTGGCCAGCAACAAGCCTCGAAGAGCTCCCCCAACCGCCAGTCCCGCCCGACCTACCCCTCCTCACGCCAGGAAACCTACGAGCAGGCACTACAACATGCGCGGAATCCTACCTTCAAGCGCAGTGTGCCGTCTTCGCGATTTCAGCATAGCGCCCAAAATCCTGCTATGTCTTTTGTCAACGTACACATGTCCGAGTCGATGCTGGACCCGCCTTCTCCATCACAATCGCCAGTTCGTAGTCCAGACCGACAGGCACAAGCAGAAGACACACTACCAAGTGCAAATGAAACCACAAGGCGAGCAAGCATCACAGGCAGCTCAGGAACAGCGGGCGGGGCAAGCATGGCAGACGGCTTAGAAACAACAAACCGCATGTTCGAGATCCTCTCCGCGCGCTCAGACATCGACCACCCAATATGCGTCGAATGTACCGAGCTTCTCATAGACGGCTTGCAAAAGCGCCTTGGTGTGGCGACACGAGAGCGCGACGCATACGTAGACTATCTGCGCCGCGCCAACACCGACGTCCCCAGCACCGAGGAAGTAAAGGCCGCCGATGCAGCACTCAAAGCAGCAAAGAAAGCCGAAGCAACCGCTATCTCGAACCTCGAGAAACTTGAAGCGGAGAAAGCGGAGCTCGACGCACAGCTTACTACTTTAGAAGCTGAAGCTCGGCAGTTGGTCCAGGAAGAGAATGACTTCTGGGAAACTAGAAATGCTTTCAATTCTACTCTGACCTCATTCCAAAACGAACGAGACGCCCTCACAACGCGCCACGCGCATGATGCACACGTTCTTAACCAACTCCAGCGAAGAAGCGTATACAATGATACCTTTAACATAACACACGACAACCACTTTGCCACCATCAATGGTCTGCGTCTCGGCCGCTTACCATCCCCCTACGTTGACTGGCCCGAGATCAACGCTGCTTGGGGTCAAACATGCCTCTTGCTCGCCACGCTTGCGGAAAGGTTGGGATATAAGTTCCAGGGATTTGAGCTCTGTCCCATGGGCTCTACCTCGACAATCACGAGGTTGGAGGTGAAGGGTGGGAGTTCGGTGGGTGAGTCGCGGCAGAGTTCGATAACGGCCCCGAGTGTGTCGAGGCAGAGATTGGAGTTGTATTCTTCCGGCGACTTTCCCATCAATTTCGGATTCCTGCATAGGAAGTTCGATACAGCGATGGTAGCGTTCCTCGAATGTCTACGGCAGCTTGGCGAGTTTGTGGAGAACCAAGGCACGCAAGGTATTGGCGCTGGCTTTGGTGGGCCTGGCGGACCTGGCGTCAAAATGCCATATGAGATCCGCAAGGACAGGATCCACGATCAGAGTATCAAGCTAGCATTGAACAAAGAGGAGAGCTGGACCAAGGCGTGCAAGTATACCCTGACGTGCTGCAAGTATTTGCTCGCGCATGCAAATAATGTAGAGAGTAGTATGGGCGCAAGGAGGAGGTAGGATGACCCCGATAGTAGTAGGAGGATTGCGAGTTTATGATAGATAAGATACCCATTGATAGTTTGCTCAGTTGTTAGTTGCAATAACTGGCGCCTTGAATCGTCTCGCCATGCGTTGATCCTATACTGCAAACTTTTTATCGAGTTGAAGATTAGTAACATTGGAATAATATGTATGCCTGGCTCACCATGATACCCCCGTTGTAGGGAGATACTGAAGGAACGTGGGTAGCTGAACCTGCTTTTAACCTCATGCTTCAACTCGATAAGACTCGAAATTCTAATTCTAACAACAATGAGCCCTCGACTCCTTGTCACAATGCAGTATTCCTTGTCGATCAATGTCATACGGGGATCATGTTGCATGTGCAGGATACCGGAGACCATTTCTCGTGTGGTGTAAAATAACAGCACATTTCTGCGGCTGCAAATCGTAATGTACTTGACCCTTTTGACATTGGATTTGAAAGGATGTAATGCGATTGGGTAGCTAGGGGTATCGAACGAGCCAAAGCTTCCATGGTGTGTCACCGGAATAAACGGCTCGTTGTGAAGCAGCGTACCGAATCCATCGCTTGCGAGCGGTAATATCTGACGTTGCGACTATATCAACCGAATTTGAGGCGAGGCAAAGATGACCCGTCACCGGAACATCGTGTCATGCTCGTCTTGCGCCGCAAGATCTGTGCGTAGCGACACCGCCTCCGCGTCAGCTTCGTCAGAATACTGTAGCAAGCAGCTAACCGAAGTACCTCATAGAAATCAGCTAGCGACGCGAGCGAGGGGCAAAAGAGAAGGTCACGATGTTCTTTTAGTGGTGTTGGTCTAGCGCTGAGACGAGGTGAGGTGTACATGTCCCCGTGACTAGCGGCCGTGGCCGAACTGAGCGAACAACGAAAGGCGCTTTTGGTAAGGCGAGTAGAACCGCAGCAGTCAGAGAGGGCGAGGCCGAAGACCTAGTGGAAACGGCACGTCTTTCCCGTTGGCTGGCGTGAATATCTGCGTTTGGAGACTAGGGGATTTCCCACAAGGCAGGGTCCCAGATCTTTTTGCGGGGTAGCGCAATTTCTTAGCTCACGGAAACCGGGGAAAGAATTTTTGATTGCTCGGGAGAAGAGCGATTGGTGGGTGCTGAGAGACACAATCACTGTTATTGAATGAAACTCTGCTTGCTGGTGTGATTTATTTACCCGACATCTTGATCATCAGTGCCCTAGCAGCAACTATGACTGAAGCTGGCGGCTCGCATACGCAACATCCGCCGTTGGCAAGAAAGATGGCCTTGCTGTGACTCGATTCATGTCCTAAGCTAGAGTAGTTCCTACAACGACCGTATTGCTTGCTTATGGAGAAGTGAGGTTGCATAGCGGGGAAGTTTCGACGACTAACAGATTACCAAATCCGTCAACTCGTCGACGACGACAGTAAATACTAAGCCGGGTTTGTATGCAGAAAACAAGAGACTCGTGTCAGCAGGCGATTGCCACGCTTTGTGAAATCTCTGCAACTAGGTCCACTTCCAAGCGCTAGGTGCTGCTTTGTGATCAAACCATGGGGCGACTCCAGTGTGTAATGTTGACAGTGGTAAGCCTTTGCGGTTGAAAGAGCCGCAGAGGTTTGGATGTTTGCGTGGACCTCGTCCCTTGTGACCTCTATGACTTCAATTATGTACCTAGGTAGTTCACTGGCGTAGCGTCGAGGCTAGGTGCTTTTGCAAAGATGGATTTCTAGGAGGATAAAGGTCCCTGGAGCTACCTAGACTGCAGAAATGCGGTACGTAAAACAGCAGATGGCGACACTTGACGAGATCGAAGGTGTAAGAGGTCATGTCGATGGCGACAGTCGCAGTCGCAGTCGCAGCCGCAGCCGCTAGGAGATGCGGAGAAGGTGACAATTGCCTAAAGTTGCAAATGCACTGATACGCGCTGTGCAACCGGGTGCATACAGAAGGGGTCGAGCAAGCCACACGTTAGCATGGGCTCTACCGAGCATCGTGAGATGAGGTGCGAAGCGTCGACGAAGCTGGGCCAACTGGCAAGCGGCATGCGTCGGCGGCTAGGTTTGCAAAGGCGCCGACACGACAACGGAAGGAGCAAAGGCGCGCCAGCAGGAAGCGCTGGCCAGGCACGAGGATGGTGAAAGACAGTCGGACGGTCTCGTCAGAGAATTTCGATGTGTAAGAAGAACAGTTTCGGAGTTTAATGGGGGTAATGGAAACCAGCTTTCTGGTCACAAGGCCTGGCAAAGACGCTGCCACGTGACGGCGGAACCGTTGGTTTGACTCTGCCAAGGCCAATGTGACGTAAAATATGGAAAGCGCAACCCGGCCCTCCAACGCCTCCCCGTCGCGAAAGAGCACGCGTGCTACTGATTGCTACCAAAGCCATTGGTCTCTTTGGGTCATTCACTGCGACGCAATGATCCGCTTTGGCTCGGCTCCACCTTGCGCCCAGCCCCCGACTCGCTGGCGCTGCTGCATGAAGCTGGGGAAGCTTTTGACTCTTGACTAACAACCTACCACGGTGCTCTTTGTCCCAATTAAAATTCTGCAGTTCCGAGGCCAGAGACAGCTGTCGATTATAAGAGACCGTTCATCGCCCTCCCTCTCTCCGGCCTAGACCTTTACACTGACGTATCACATTCCACACTCACCTAGATAAACACAACACCTGCCCGCGTACCGAAGGGGTCAACACACTCTCTCCTCTTCCTGCTCGGCTCTGTACAGACATCAATCATCCTACTGTCGTCGATACACTCAATGAACATAAACGATTTCCCCTACGAAGTCCTTGCTAAGATCCTCGAGGAAGTCGCAAAGGCCAATATACGTGATGGTCCCACGTATACCTTCGGCCTCTCCCAGGCACCGTTGCCACTCCAGAGGGCCACTCTCCAACGCTATGTGAGGGGCCCGGTCCCCCCTGAGCTGCTCAAGTGGGACGCAACATCCGCCCTCCGTTCGGTGTGTTGGAAGTGGCACGAGTGGGCTTTGGAGCACTCGCTCAAAGATCTTTACATCCGCCGTTGGAAAGGCGGGGAGGTAAGCATGAACCACACTCTTCGCCAGTGAGCATGACGCTGACACAGTACAGAGATGGGCCGAACTCTCCAACAGGCGAGAGAGCTATCCCCTATACGAGCTCATCGACCGCCCGACCGGCACCGCCGTCTATCGCGATCCATTCGCCTCCCTCAAGCGCACCGTCAGCATCTGTAACGACTTCCCTGAGGTGGCTTGTAAGATCAAGCGCATGTGGGTGCATGGCTTTTACACTGCAGAGACTGATCGTCTCGTGTTCGAATCGCTCAAGAAGTGCAGCAACCTTACCTCGTTGTCGCTCCCTTGGACTACGATTAGGCACCTGGACGCAGAGTCGTGGCGGAGGGTGTTGGTGGGCAGCGGTAAGCCACTCGAGTCGCTGGAGCTACAATGCGTCGATCCAACGTCACAGCAAGCCGCGGACAAGGATAACCAGGTCGACCTTGAGCCTCTACAGTCCGTCAATTTCAGCCAGCTGCGACGGCTAAAGATCTTTGGGGATACCACCTTCATGCCTATCACCGACAGCGACCTCTTCGCTATTGCCCGCACTGCCACGCAGCTCGAAGAGTTCCATTTGACCTGCAACTCATCCATCACCATTGACGGAGTCATGGCTATCGTCAAGGCATCACACAAGACACTGCGGGTTCTTGAGCACAGCCCGCGGTCACAGGATGGCTTCTGGCACCCTCACCCCGGATCTCCGAGCGACTGTGAGCATCTGTGTGAGACGTTCCGAAACTGCCCCAAGCTAGAGACTCTCTCCATCTCGCTCCCGTCCGTATGCGCGGATATCTTCTCCAACGAGGACGTCAAGTTCGCTGGCGACCTGCAGGTACGCGCGCTCCATCTTTGCGAGCATGAGGACGGTCGGTCGACACAAGAAGCCACCGATGCTTTGCAGAAGTTGCTGCAGCAGGCTCGTCGTCTTATTCATCGACGTGCCGAAAGCGTCATCCCGCGAGAGCTCTACGTTGAGCTGTTCTTTGCGGACTGCATCTTTGAACCCGGCTTCAAGTCTGTCCACGGCGACTTTTCTCTGGCGCAGATCTCATCTGATGGACTCTGGCCGCAGAACGTGAGCTTCAGCGGCAAGGGACCCTACGGGAGCACGGGTCTGTACGAGAAGGAGGAGGAGGGTCCATTCCAGTGCATCGACGAGGACGGATTTCTAGCCGGCGTTCGCAGGAGGCTACACTCTATCCAGACTTGATCGTGGATCGATCGACGCAACGGCCGATTTCATTTCACCTGTACACTTGTTTTACGACTTCAGACTCACGAATTAACGGCCATATGCATGAGCGAAAGGCCTGGAGCCAAGAGATACCCAGGCAAATGCATTGAGGGGGAAAAGTATTTATGTTAAAAGGCATTGGAATTGCCTCAAAAAGCGGCTCAGTGGGCATTCATATGGGAATCAGTCTTCTTCTTCTGTAGTACCCCTTAGCAACATTCTAGCGTATCAAGTAGGCATCAATGCCAATATAATGATTAGTTATATCACCTTAAAGATGCACCACGCCCTCTGCTGCGATCGTAGAGGACCAACGAAGGGTAGCTGTGACGTTAGGGTCGTTCAGGCTATGATGCGATGATGGAAAGGTCTTGCGACGAGCGTTCTTCTCACTCCTCCCGCCTTGGCGATCTCTCAACCCCGCACCTGCAGGCGCCGTTGCTCAAAGAAGCAAAGTCAAGGCACAGGTGCGTGCTTACACACCGCGTGGTAAGCCTACCTCTATACCTCTCGGGACGACCCTCTTTCCACCTCCGTGCTTTGCAATTACGAGTTCAGAGGTCAGAGATGTGCTGATAAAACTGACGGAAAGGTGCCGCATGTACAAGGTCTATGCGCGGGGGGTCCTCCACAATTATGGTGATCTTTCCGTTGTATTTTCAATCCTTACCAACACTCATGTAATCAAGCAAAATGACGCTACTGCAGCCTCGTTCCGGATACGGTCGGATTGTAGGGGTTTAGCACCGCAAACATGGTTCCTTGTCTACAGCGCGTCTCAGGTCGATGCCGTTCCCAGTGTTATCATTGGACCTGTTTACAGATTTTTCGAGCTTGTCGCGCGGCATTATTTTAGGGTGATGATTAAGGCCGGTACTAGGTGCAATACATATAAGAGGGGGAAGCTGCCCCTCGACACCAGTAATAATAATAACAACAAGAACAGCTTCCACATCTACTCCTTTTTTTTTGAGCTGTTTGATAACCCAATTCCGTGAAAATGGCACCCAAGATCGCAATCGTCTATTACTCCATGTATGGCCACATCAAGCAGTTGGTATGTTCGTAAACTGGCGGTGGTTGGATTTCAATTCATCCGGTGCCCCGCTATCGCGAAGCTTTACTGACCACAGCCACACAGGCCGATGCTGAGTTGAAGGGTATCAAGGAGGCTGGCGGTGATGCTGAGCTCTTCCAGTACGTATATCTATCTCAATTGGCATCTACATCGATCTAACAAAAACCCTAGGGTCGCAGAGACTCTCTCAGACGATGTGCTAGCCAAGATGCATGCCCCGCCTAAGCCCACCGACATCACGGTCCTCAATGACCCTGCCCAGCTCGAATCCTTCGACGGCATCCTGTTTGGCATCCCAACCCGCTACGGAAATTTCCCGGCCCAAATTAAAACTTTTTGGGACAAGTCTGGCAAGCAGTGGCAGTCAGGCTCCTTCTGGGGCAAGTATGCTGGCTTGTTCATCTCTACGGGTACGGTCGGTGGTGGACAGGAGACCACTGCTATCTCCTCCATGTCGACATTGGTACATCATGGATTCATTTATGTACCTTTGGGATACAAGAATACTTTCGGTAAGCTCGACGCTTCCTAACGTGGAAAAGGAGAGTAGAGTGGCTAACAGAACCTAGCCGACCTCGCCAACCTTGACGAAGTCCATGGTGGTTCTCCCTGGGGCGCAGGCACCCTTTCCGCAGGCGATGGCTCGCGTCAGCCCTCTGCTCTCGAGCTCCGCGTTGCGACTGCGCAGGGCAAGGCATTCTACGAGACGGTTGCCAAGGCTCACCCATGACTAGATGATAGTCATGTAGTGGAGAAGCAGAATGCAGTAGAAACAACAACACAAAACCAAACACAGAATGGGACGACAGGTGCTAACGGAACCACAACGAACACTACTGCTCCATCATCGCAACTTCAACAGAAGAAGGACAAAGATGGTGAGGGCCCTTGCGGGTTGCCAGCGAAGTGCGAGATTATGTAGAGTCAATTAGACATGAATAAATGAACAAATGCTTCCGCAGCTTTGATCTCTTGTTTGGGGCATGCACAGATGAACCCTTCAGTAACCGCGGTTTAGTTGCACGTAGTCATGGCTCGCTTGCGTGAAGTGGTCACATGTTGAGCAAAATGCGCGTTCTTGTCTTTGCTTATCGCTCAATGAAAAGAGGCGTTGCTTTTGGCGTGCGCGTGTTCCGCGGCTCTCGCTCCGAGGACGTGAGCATAGGATTCCCACCTCAAGGGTCCTCAGCCATTCCCACTTAGGAATGTGCTACGAATGATGCGTCTGCTCAAACTCCTGTTAACCGAGAACCTGGAGATGTGGTTGAGATGCACGATGCTGTTAAAGATTGCTGATTTGCTGCAATCCACTAGTCTACTGTACACTGCTAGCCGATATCAACCTCTGACGTAATTTGCGACCCTGAACCAAGCTGGCGCGTTGATCGTTCAGCCACGCGCGTGGAGACTTTGGTTAATACAAAACCATATGTCGTGTCCGAACTTGATCCTTGCATCTCATCTTCTTGTTTCACAGGGTGTTTGTGACAGAATCACTTGAAATCGTCAACCTACGCAGGCGCACCACCACGCATGGCATTTTCCACAGCATTATTGTTACACTGAAGGCTTCTTTGCGATTTCAACATGGCCACTGTTACTACTACTGCCGCTGTCAATCACCGAATCGATCAGCAATATGCCCAAGAGGGCGACAAAAGCAAATCTAAAACTCAAGCAGCAATCGAGTTCGCGCAACAAGCTGAGCGCCTTGGACAATATACCCCAACTCAGGAAAGCGATGCGACCGGCTCCACACAGGCAATAGAAGCCCATTTTGTTACTGCGCAAGACGCCGTGATTCAGACGGCGGACGGTGGCCGACTTCCTGCTGTCCCTATCGAAGAAGCGACCAAGCTTAATGAGCTGAGAGACATTTTGGATGACCGAGATCCCTCGCAGAAAGAGCCTGTGGAAGCGAACATCCGCGAAGCAAAGGATGGCACTATCCACGGCCTCCTTCCAAAAGAGGATGAACAAAACGGAGAAGGAAAATCGGATGCACCATTAACAGACACAAAAGCCCCATGGAAAACGAACCCCCTGTTTCCCCCACTCCCCATGTACGGACCGCCAACCCTGGGGAGAAGAGTTCACTGTTGGATGTTCCGAGTATCTTCCGGCATCCTCTCCTTTTTGTTCCTCCTTGTCATCATACTGGGTGCTGCATTCACGTCATTGCCGGGCATGGTGGAGCACTTGTGGCTACGATTAACCTTTCGGAATCCTGAAAAGAGGCGTCCTTTCTATGAAGAGGAAAATCGACGAAAGCGGGCGAGAAGATTAGAGGAAAGAGCTTGGAAGAAACAGCGCGCGACTCAGTCAGACGGGAAGTTGGAAGTCGACGAAGAGGGCGAACAGGCGGAGGAATTTCTGCCTCTGGAAGGGGGCCCTGATCCGCTCAAGTGCGATGTGCGCTACTACGCACGTCGGGTCGGGCTTGATTGTGAAATATTTGACGTTCAGACTGAGGACGGCTTCATCATCGAGCTGTGGCACCTATATAACCCGCGTGAATACAAACGCACCAAGGATAATCAGCGGGAACCACATTCGCCCGAAATATTCCCCGACAATAGCTCGTCCGATGGCGTTGCAGGTTCGCAACACGCAACGGGTGAGAAGAAGTACCCTGTGCTCATGATTCATGGCCTGTTACAATCGGCAGGTGCATACTGCACCAACGATGATGACAGCCTAGCTTTCTTCCTCGCAAAGAGTGGTTACGACGTATGGCTAGGTAATAATCGTTGTGGGTTTAACCCGCGGCATATCATGTTGCAATATGGCGATCCGAGATTATGGGTTTGGAACATAAGACAAATGGGTGTCCTAGACCTTCCAGCTCTCATATCGCGTGTGCTCTCAGAGACAGGCTTCGAGAAGCTAGGGCTCATTGCACACAGTCAAGGCACGACACAATCACTAGTCGCGCTTGCGAAAGAGCAAAGACCCGAAATTGGCGACAAGATCTCCGTCTTCTGTGCATTGGCACCAGCAGCGTACGCAGGCCGGCTCATTGGAAAAGCGCAGTTCAAGTTCATGCAAGTGATTAGTCCTGCAATGTTTCGGACTGTATTCGGCATCCATGCCTTCATTCCTTTCATGATGATGATGCATTCTCTTCTTCCGGGTGGCTTTTATGGCTCTATGGGATATCGTGTGTTTGCCTTCCTCTTCAACTGGACCGATGAGCGCTGGGAGCGAGATCTTAGAGATCGCATGTTTCAATTCGCACCCGTATACGTCAGCGCAGAAAGCATGAGATGGTGGCTCGGACGAGAGTGTTTCGCGAAGCAGAAATGTATACTCGCTACGCGTGAAGAGAAGACAATGGAGGATAAGGAGGATGAAGAGGAGGATTATAAGGCTACCCGCTCTCAGTCTGAGGAGGAATCTGATGATGACGAAGATGAAAGGGAAAAATCTAGAGATACCCTACCTGGACTCAACACACTCGACAGAAATAAGCATGGCCTACAAACAACAGACAGCAACCGTGCCCGCTTCGCATGGTACGGCCCTCATACACCGCCGTTTGCATTCTGGGTCTGTGGGGCCGATGACCTTGTCGATGGCCGCCGTCTTCTCCGTCGCTTCGAGCGCAATCGCGAGCCCTTCGTTGACGTCGTACACTCTAAGATTATAGAAGGCTACGAGCACCTAGACGTTATATGGGCTATGGATGCTATCGAGAAGGTCGGAAAGGAGGTCAGGGAAGTTCTGTGGAGAACTGCACCGGACGAGGCCAGAAAGGTGTGTCGAACACCTAGAGGGTGCGAAGACATCAATGAGTTTTACCAACGGAGAGGCGAAAAGAGAGAGAGTGCAACTAGAGAGGTCGATGTCACAGCAGGTGAGTGGAGCGAGAAGGGGAAGGAGCAAGTTGAGGGTGGTGCGGGAGAAGGTGATAGAGATTTGGAAAAAGAGATGAAGGAGACCCAGAGGAATGTGCTTGAAGAGTAAGACCAGAAGGGTGTATTAGAGGTTGATTGATTTGGGTTTGCATATAAACTCAGCTAGATCGTGGGGACCATGAGTTTTTCCTACAGCATACGTTATATACCCTTGAATTCTCGATGGCTAGACTAGAACGGATAGTACAAACAGCCTAATACATAGACTATCATAAACCCTCTTCCCATTTTGGTTCTATGCGTAGTCTATTGCATGGTCTGTCAATGATTAACGATGCACATAAACATGGTCTGTCTGCTTTGAAACGAGCGCTCATTGGAGGAGAAAACTAGTGATGGAGCATAGCATTGCCATGCTTTTTCAGGTTAGAAGAGCTGAAGTTGAGTTGCGATGACGGGTTGCTATCAGGATCAAATTGAAAAACACGAGGAATGACACAATGCGAAGGATCTGACCCACATCGAATCAGGATAGAATCGATTGTGCGGACTTTTCGAATGCGGCTGCTCTCCACAGCTACGCTCCACAGCTGCTCGGAGAGCCTATCGCTTAACAACTGAGCTCGATCGAGTGCAGGAGGACACGTCTTCGTCGCGGGTCCATCATGTGAAGATGAAGTCGGTGGAATGTGTGCGCGTCGAGTATGTCGAGTGCCCAAGGGCCCCAGCCAAACTACACGGGGACGTCCGTCACAGACACATGATCTGGGTGATCTTTGGAGAGAAAAATGGAGACGATGAGATCCGGCGGAGACCCTAGAGATGAGAAACGATACTGTGCCAGAGTCTGATGATGCAGCGATCTTAGAGGGACCCCCACGACGCGACTCAGGTGCAGACTTGGAGCCGCAGGGTCAGGGGGCGTTTAGTGGGACCGCCACGCACATTATGGCCGTGTTTGAAACACCTTGGGATGGATAACAGCGGTGGTGCTACCGAAAGGAGACTTGACTTCAGCACGAGGAGGTGAGGTGCATTATCAGAACCGCCAAATATCAGTGTCGCGGGCTTTGTTGAATCGCCCAAAATAGATGTGTGAAACTTCTGTACCTGCAGCCGATGACGTACCTCGCGACAATTTCCGACGAGAAAAGCGAACAACTCGCGGCGACCAGACGCAACGCGCCGGGCCCCATAACGCTACCCGTCTGTCTCTTATCGCCAATGCGCCAATTGGGCCAAGGGCGGTACAGACGAAGAAACCTCAAGGTTGTACTAGATTTGTTCCCAACAACTTCGGTAAGGTGAGACCCACTCCAGTCGGTGTTTGCCATTCACGTCAATCGCGATCCAACCTGCCCTTTCAACGACCCAGTTTTCTTTGGTCTCCGACTGGCGACAAGCAAAAGCGACCGTCTTGTTGAAATGAAAATCCCAGATCGGCGTCATCCCCAAAGTGATCCCTGGACACACGCTGCTCCTGATATGTAGGCCCGGACCGCGCGAAGCACTTGTGCCACTATTCACTCTTATCATCATACTGAATTCTTTACACTGTTCTCCATCCCCCCCCCCCGGCACTCTCGAAGCACTCTTGCTATCACTCGCTTTCAAAGAGTCTTCGGGTGAATCTTCCACTGTCGGACCGACGTCATCTCCCGGTTAGCTCGTAGACCCTCAGTTTTCAACCAGAACCAGCCAAACGTTACGCGCAACCCATTGAAAGCCCTCCATACACGACTTGTACTTCCAAACTTAGTCATTGAGTGTTATTCACTCAACCATGACTACGCCAGTGGGCGACCGGCCTGAGCCGACATACAACATGGATAGCCAAACGCACGCCAACCGCCAACGATCTTCCGATGATGACGGCACTTTTGTTGGAGAGCCATTGAGTCCACAGCACTCAAACAGACAAGAGATCCCAGGACCACGTCCGAACAACAGGTCACGATCAGGCACGCATCTCACCGTCGACACTGCGCACGACATGGCCGCGATGAAGTCTATGCAGTCACCGTCCCAGACACGCGAGCAAGCAAGCAGGCTGAACGACGACCTCGCCCTGCTCCAGATAGAACAGGAGCTTAATGACCAATACGACAACCTCCAACGAGGTCATTCTGTTAATCGCTCCATGACCCGGGTGCGATCTCGCCGCGAAGACCCCATAGACGAGTTCGATGCCGCTACGAACCCATTGCACGAACAAGCGGCTCGCTACCTACCACCCGAGAACCCCAGTACAAGCTTCTCCAAGTTTTTCAAGAAGATCCACAACTCGTCATGGGTAGTTAGGTACTTCACGTACATCACACCCATGGCCCTTCTGATTCTCATTCCCTTACTCGTTGGCGCGTTAGCATTTCCTAATGCCAATGTGGGAGGTGTGAGACTAGTCTGGTTTTCTGTCTGGCTGATGATTGTATGGTTGACGCTGTGGGCCGGAAGGGTGAGTTATTCCTGCTCTCATTTCTGTTATGACTACTAACGCGTACAAGCTCCTCGCTAAGATGCTTCCCTGGCCAATTGGCCTCATCGCAAGTCTGTTCACGAATAATGCTAAGAAGTGGAGAGATATGGGCAAGCAACTTGAGATGCCAGCTGCATTATTCTTTTGGTGGCTGGCGATCGAAGTCTCCTTCCTGCCAACGATGACAAACCACAACGTCAATCACGGCGACAAAAGCACTCAACCCTGGCAAAAGACGATGAACAAAGTATTAGTGACTTTCTTCGTCGGTTCTATACTAAACTTTGTAGAAAAGATCATCATTCAGCTCATCGCGATCAGCTTCCATCTCCGAACGTATCAGGACAGGATAGAGTTGAACAAGTTTCAAATTGGTAGTCTCGCAAAGCTGTACAAGTACTCCAAGGAAATGATTGCCATGGAAGACTCCGAGTTCGAGCAGGACGAAGCCACTGGAGGACCATCCGGCGCACGTACTCCAGGAAAGATGGTGACAGATGCACAAAAGAACATCAAAGTGGGCTTCAACAAGTTTGGAGATCTTGCTGGAAAGGTGGCGGGAGACTTTACTGGCCGTCAAGTTACGTCGAGCGGCCATCCCAACCAGGTTGTCCTCCAACTTATTGGCACTACCAGTGGCGCTCAGGTCCTTGCCCGTCGTTTGTACCGGACCTTTGCCCGTATTGAGACCGAGACGATTCACTCAGACGACTTGAAAAATGCCTTTGAGAGCGACGAGGAAGCCGATGCAGCATTCTCTATGTTCGACAAGGATATGAACGGAGATATCTCCATGGAAGAGCTGGAGGCCGTCTGTGTGGAAATCGGACGAGAACGCAAATCTATTACCGCATCACTCAAGGACCTTGACTCTGTGGTTAGCAAGCTCGACGATGTTTTCATGTTCATTGTACTCATCATCACGATTATTGTTTTCATAACCCTCATCTCGACCTCCGCTGCCGGTGTCCTCACCTCGGCTGGTTCGACGCTTCTGGCTCTGTCATGGCTGTTCGCTGCGACTGCGCAGGAATTCCTACAGTCCGTCATTTTCGTCTTTGTCAAGCACCCTTACGATGTTGGTGACCGTGTCATGGTCTATGGCAACACTGGTGACTTGGGCAAGGGTGATGATTACTTTGTGAAGGAGATCGCCCTGTTCTATACGGAGTTCAAGAAGATGCAAGGACACATCGTTCAAGCACCGAACAGCTATTTGAATACGCTGTTCATTCTCAACCACAGACGCTCTGGAGCCCTCGCCGAAGCTGTACCTATCATCATCAAGTTCGGTACGACGCTGGAGCAGATTGAGCAACTTCGCGAAACCCTGATGGGTTTTGTCACCGCAGAGAAACGCGAGTACCAGACCAACATTTTGACGGAGCTGCGAGCAGTACAGGAGGTCCATTGGCTCGAAATGAACGTTGTCTTCTTCTACAAATCTAATTGGCAGAACGAATTGCTGCGTCTACAGCGTCGCAACAAATTTATCTGCGCTCTCACCATGGCCCTACAAGACTGCGGTATTGAGGGACCACGTATGCGCTACCCTGGACAGAAGGAGTCATTCCCGGTATATCTTCAAAACCTTCAGAATCCTGCTACGCCTGGTACAGGAATCAATGGGTCGCCTGACAACCCATCTGGCAACCTTAGGAACCAACAATCGCAGGACGAGCCTTTCGTGGCCCCCTTGGACGGCACTACAGATGCTCCTCAAAATGGCAGCGTACCTGGACGCCGCGCGTCTATTCTTCGTCAACCCGGTCGCCCTCGTGGAGAGTCACTGGCCGCCATGGGCCGACGCGTTGACTTTTCGCTGGGCATGAAGTCGATGGGATTAAACGACCCAACTGGAGACGTTCTTGATGACCGTGAGAATGAGTCTCGAGCCAGGGCCACGGTAGTGAGGATTACCTCTCCATCTCGCTCACAAGACCGCGCACGAGAGTCCCACGACAGCGGACGTTCCACCTCAATTCAACGTGTAGGCACGAATGCTAGCTCAACAGTGAAGGAGCGTACCCACAGGAACCGCTTCTTCAGTCGTGGTCGTCACGCTGACGAGGAGGCCGGTATGGCGGATATTCCTGAGGCTGAAACTCCTCCTGCAAGCAAGAAGCTGGACCCTCGCACGGGTCTGATTAGTCCGCGAGCTGTAAGGATGAGCACCGATGAGTCGAGGTTGCCCCAGTCTTCTGGCGCGCTCCCGGACACAGCAGACTCGGAGAGGCCCTTCAATCATCCGCCTCGCGCGCAAACAGACAACTACGAGATGCGAAGACTCCTTTGACCTTCAAGTCACGCGTAAAGATTCATATGTTAATTGTTCATAATGTAGAGCGAATTGGACACAGAGAGGCGTATCGATGAGCGGCAATTTGCAAGTTTCGCATGATAGCAGTCCGACGGCAGTGCGCCATGGTCCCTGCTTGTATTTATTGAAGTTCCAGCTTCGGAAGAGGCTAAGATAGATTGACGAAACGCAATTGAACTAGGTATACTTGAAGAAATTTCGACTGCGTGCCAGTGACTAGCCCAGACCTGTACGCTTGGTTGGAAAAAGGCGACAGCGTAGTTCACTGTGGTAGATCTAAAGTCAGGCCGTCCGGATGGCGGGGAAGATTGCGCGAAGCCGCTGTCGCGCCGTGGTCGACCCTGTTCAATTGGGAAGGCACGCTAGACAATCGCGTAAACAATGGCCCCTGCCGCGACCCCACCAAACTAACACCAACATAGCGGCCCTCACCGCAAGTTGCACCAGGGCCCTCCTAATCCAACACTCAAGCTACAACTCCGACGCTTCTTCTCCAGTCTGTTTGATACAGCGAACATCATCCACCATGCGAGGAGAGGTACGTGTCCCTACATTGCCGGCTCTGTGTTGCAGCCAGTTTCCCACTGAGACCCCGATTCCCCTCACCTACCGTGCCGTGCCGCACATGAGACGAGAACACTCTCGGAGCATACCTGAGGGTTGAGGGAGGCATGGGCTGCAGAAACTGGATTCTTGTACAGAGAAGGGTGCTGGAACTCACTAGCAATCATTGCTAACAGAGAGCTGCATAGATCTGCCACCTCCACATCGGCCAGGCTGGTACGCAGCTTGGTAACAGCGCTTGGGAGCTGTACGTTTCCCTCCTCAAACGCGACTCACGAAGCCTACCAACTAACACGACAACCTCAGATACCTCCTTGAGCACGGCCTCAAGGCTGATGGCCGCCCTGATCCGGATGCGAAGGAGCTTAACGAGGGCGGATCTTTCGAGACCTTCTTCACCGAGACCGGCAACGGCAAATACGTCCCTCGCTCCATCTTTGTCGATTTAGACCCATCCGTATGTGGCAAGCACACGATTACAACGGTTCAACGCTGATTGAAACAGCCCATTGACGAGATCCGAACCGGAACCTATCGCCAATTGTTCCACCCCGAGCTGTTGATCAGCGGCAAGGAGGATGCTGCCAACAACTGTGCGTGTCAGGAAGCTACAAGAGCGTTTAGAGTTACTGATGGGAGCAGATGCACGTGGTCACTACACCATTGGCAAGGAGATGGTCGACAGTGTCATCGATAGGATTCGTCGCGTCGCAGGTGAGCAGTTTTCGCGTGCTCGGTAGAGTCGGATGGCTAATGCAGACAGACAACTGCTCCTCGCTTCAGGGTTTCCTCATCTTCCACTCGTTCGGTGGTGGTACAGGGTCCGGTTTCGGTGCCCTCCTCCTCGAGCGCCTCTCGACGGACTACGGCAAGAAGTGCAAGCTCGAATTCGCTGTGTACCCTGCTCCTCGCGTCTCTACCTCTGTTGTGGAGCCCTACAACGCTGTTCTCTCGACTCACAGCACTATTGAGAATGCGGACTGCACTTTCCTGGTAGACAACGAAGCCGTCTACGATATCTGCCGTCGTAGCTTGGACATCCCCCGTCCCAACTATGAGCATCTGAACCGCTTGATTGCTCAGGTTGTCAGCTCGATCACCTCCAGCTTGCGTTTCGATGGTGCCCTCAATGTTGATCTGAACGAGTTTCAGACTAACCTCGTGCCCTACCCGCGCATCCATTATCCCCTCATCAGCTACGCTCCTGTCATCTCGGCCAAGAAGAGCTCCCACGAGAGCTTCAAGGTCAGCGACCTCACATTCCAGTGTATGTCTTCTACCTCTCATTGTCTTACAATTGTCACTAAACACAACGCTAACCTGCTCAGGCTTCGAGCCCAATAACCAGATGGTTGTTTGCGACCCGCGCAATGGAAAGTACATGGCTGTTGCCCTTTTGTACCGTGGAGACATTGTCCCTCGTGACTGCAGTGTTGCCGCTGGGCAACTCAAGGCCAAGTCCTCCTTCAACCTGGTTGAATGGTGCCCAACTGGCTTCAAGCTTGGAATCAACTATACCAAGTATGCTCGTAAAATCTTGTTATTGCTTCATCGCTAACCTCTATCAGGCCCATCAGCGTCCCCGGGAGCGAGCTCGCGGCTGTCGACCGAAGCGTCGCTATGCTCAGCAATACCACCGCTATCTCCGAAGCCTGGTCTCGTCTCGACCACAAGTTCGATCTCATGTACTCCAAGCGCGCTTTCGTTCATTGGTACGTTGGCGAGGGTATGGAGGAGGGAGAGTTCTCCGAGGCTCGTGAAGATTTGGCAGCTTTGGAGAAGGACTACGAGGAGGTTGCCAGCGATTCTCTCGATGACGAGGGTATTGAAGAGGGCGAGTACTAAGCGTCATATCCTCAACCACCCGGCAGATTGGACACTGCGTTGGACTCGATATGGTGAGTGGGCACACGGATGTGCGTTTGAAGTTAGACTAGCCACATACGTACGTGTCAAACTGTCAATATGTTCCAGTAGTACAAGTTTGTGTATGTTGTAATAGTCACTTGAATTGACGATTCCGTTGAAGTCTGTATAGCCAAATACAATGTTGTTACAGAGGTGTCGTGCTGATTCTATTTGATTTGCTGTGCGTGACTGCATCTATGGCTAGCTTGAAGAAATTCTGTTGACTCGCAGCTCTGCTGGTCCTGGTAAGGGTTGCGAGCGGGTACCTTCGAACAGAACCGACGGCACATCACGTCATGCCAGAACGAGGATGGCGCAGCGCGAGCTTCATCATTGCTCGAGCTGCTTCCCCGCAACCGTTTCTTGAGCTCTACACTGCGCAACTTTAACATGTTCAGTCTACCACGAATCTCACTGCCGTCGTTCCTACACGCGGGAAACGGTACTCATCCTACGGTCGACCTACCTTCTGTGGAGGTGCACGACATTGAAACCGCGGCGGAGAAGCGGCCGCGCACGCTCAAACATCTCATCAAAGCGAACCATGCAAATTATTCCATCATTTATCACAACCTGCGTTTTCACAATCATACACCACACGTATGCCGCTCCATTGCCTTGTAGGCTGTAGCTGCTAAGCTTGTGCCCTAGATTCTAGGATCGGCGTATTTGCTTGGAGGCACGGCAGAGCATCTGAATGAAATATATGAAAAGGTGGCCGAGGAGCTGGAGCCGTGGCATGATGCCCCCGGTGAGATTACAAAGGACGACTGGAGAGATTTTCTAGGGAAACGAGAGTAAGTAGATGAGTCGTAAGAAAACCGTCAAGGTATGTTGCTAAGTCGTAGCAGGTACCAACGAGCGTTCATCGACTTCTTCGAAGACCAGCTGGTGAGCAAGAAATATGACCTCAAGGATCTTCTCGATGAATTCTTGTTCGGGGGCAAAGAGCCGTTGATCAATGGCTTGATCTCAGGACGTAAGTGCACCATTCGCGCATATAGTACCATGACCAATACCAAGCAGTCGCACATCCTCTCATCCACCTCGGATACGCCTACGAACTCCAATCCCGTTCTGTCGCCATTGAAGCGCTAGCCCTCGGCTCCTGCTTCTACAACCCCCTCCATAAATACATCGACGACCCGAAATACACAAAACCCAGCCCTCACCGCGCGACGGAAGACGAGACGGACTTGCACGATCTTCTGGACAAAGTTCGTGAGGATAAGCGATTTGATGGCTTGTACGATCATCGGAGCGGCGACATCTCCAAAGTGCTGGAAGAGCGCGAGGAAGCGTTTCTCGAATATTGGAATGCGTGGGAGATAGTCAGTCCGAAAGCTCAATTCCACGCCGCACAAGCGACTGCTTTGGGGCTGTTACTGGGCACGCCAGCACCAGAGAAGGGATCCAAGTTCGATTTCTTCTTTGTACATGTGCTGACCTCGAGCCATGCGATTCGCATCTTGTTTCCGTTGGTACCAGCAAAGTTCCATGTGAGCCTGCTGCGTCAATGGTGGCTCTTCGCTCTCGCCGTGTTTATTGCACAAATGCGACCTCGGGTGGATTTCAGCAGACCAATGCACGCATCTGATGGCAAGGGGAAGAACTGGAAGTATGTTGTGCACAAGGCGCTTGATGGGCCACATGCGAATGACGCGCATTATGTGAAAGGTATGGGTTTTGCACTCATTGTTGGGCTGATGTCATGGACTAATGAAGTGTAGCATTGAGGGCTATGAAGGTGGCTGATGACACGTGGCAGAAGCCGGACGAGAAGTCAAGCTATTGGCTTGATGGGGCCATTAAATTTGCGGATGAGTTTGAGGGTTGGGGAGGGTTTGGTTCGGAGGAGGAAGAGGAGAGTATGGGATATCCCGAAAAGCAATAGTGAGCGTAAAGGAAGGCAAAGATACTGTTCAGCAGGTTTTACAGCCCTAGTTCCCTGATGCGAAATGTCTTGCAACTGTGAAACCGACAAGTTACTTGAAAGTGAGCATTGTTTCTATTTGCGACGTAGAGGCAGGCCCTTCAGGCCATTGATAGGTGGATCTGGCACGAGTTATGGGCGGCAAATTGCGCATTATTCAGGCACGAAAGCAGATGTGACGCAGCTATGAGCGAGTAGTAGGTGGTTTAGGGGGTGTTGATCGTGCGCTCCAGAATGCGGTCTCGACAGGTCAATGCACCATGTCTAATTTGCCATGGACAAGTGGCAAACGCCCATGCTGTGTGCAAATGCCATGTTTGGGCTTTTTTGGAAATCTTGGAAACGCCGCGTGCAACTACAGCTAGGAATATATGCATGTGCTCATAATTGGATTTTGCTAGAGGTCTTGCTTGGTCAGTCGAGACTCGGCCACACGTCGCCATGATTCACCTCCTATAGTCTCTCTCCTGTGCGAGGTAAGCCCTTGGATGCATGACTGAGCCCTCTACACGCCAGCCTTTCCCATGACGGGCTGGGCAAAGCTTGACGGCACTTGGCCGGGGTATGGATGTAATCGTCCGCTCGTCTTCAAAGGGAAAGACTAGGGTTACGCAAGCGGTTGGGCTGGGGATGGGTCAGCAACGAAGCGCCATTCAACCCAGTTTCAAAGCAGTGCGAATGCGAAATGCGATGCGGGCGCATGCACACCGATTGGGCTTTTCCCCTTGGGCTTGACTTGAGACCAAAAGGGACCAAAGGGTCAAGAGGGGCCCCGCTGCTGCTCGCTGAAGATTGCGGTGATGGACTCGATTGTCTAGATACTACAGTAGCCCCTCCTCCCACTCGGTGTCCGCGGCCTCTCTCTCTCTCTCTCACACACACGCTTCTGGTCCACCAAGTTGAATCGCATCGCTCGCAAGCCGCCTGACGTCAAGGGACGTGACAGCACGCCCATCTTCACAAGCTCTCTACTGCGCTAAATCTGCTCTTGAAACGCTTCCGGGCAAGAGCCAAATCGGGCGGCCAGCCTGTTGCTGCAGCTGGGAATTTAAGCGTCACGTCATACCTTCACCAACGAGGGCAGCCGGCATTCGCGCCGTTTTCCGGTCCGCTCCATACTTGACCCCAAGCTGCTCCCGCTTCTCCAAACCTACACACAATTCTGCTTTCCTTTTTCAGAAATTCCTTCTCTCCCTTTACCTACGCAGTACCCGCCTGCGTCTGCTTGCCCCCCCACTGCGCCTGGTAGTCTAGCCACACGCACCAGGGCACAGCTCTCGCTCCAACCGCTACAATGGGATCTCTAAAGAAAGCCCTAAACAAGGTCAAGACGGGCCTTCACAGCACCCCCGGCTCCGACGACGAGCGCGTCAAGTCTCCTGTTGCGGCAAATGGTAGGGTACCGTCGCCTGGCGCCGCCCCGCGCACTTCCGGTGTCTTTGGACGGAAAGCCAGCGGCGAGTACAAGCGCAGCGATGCCGTCTCCCCCACGGGCAGCAGGACCAGCATCGATGCTCCGCGCAATTCTTTGAGCGGCCTACTTCACCTCCGCACCGACAGCCCCAATCGCTCTTCCACCAAAGTGAGCACCGGTCACCAGCGCTCCGGTTCGCTCTCGACCCATAGTCCCATTCGAGCAGTCAAGGAAAAGCTGCATATCGGCGACAACTCCTCAAGCGATGACAACCTCCCCCTCAACCGCGAGGGCGAACCCATGTCCAAGAACCAGTTGCGTAAACATGAGAAACAGGCGCAGCAGGAAGAGCGCCACAAGCAGAACCTAGAAAAGGACAAAGAGCTAGAGCGGAGGAGGAAAGAGATGGAAGAGCAAGCCAACAACGAGTTGACACCAGAGCAAAAGGCAAAGTACGGCGTTACCCACCCCAATGCGTATGCGGGTGTGTGGAACCCTCAGCCGCGCCACAGGATTCAAGACTTCTCGGCCAAAGACGTCGGCAAGGAGGTTACCTTCCGTGCCCGCATTCACCACCTGCGGAAGATGAGTTCCAAGTTTGTCTTCTTCATGTTCCGCCAACAGCTCGCTACCATCCAAGGTGTCTTGTTGGAGCACGCCGACATCTCAAAGTACATGCTCTATTGGGCAGAGCATCTTGATGCCGAAACTGTTGTGCTTGTCAAGGGTATCCTACAAGAGCCCAAGGCCAAGCAAGGCGAGGTCATCGGAGCCACTATCCACGACGTCGAGATTTCCGTCCATGCACTGCACGTTGAAGCGGCTGTGACTGAACATCTACCATTCAATGTCAACGAAGCTGAAGTTTCTCGGGCCGAAGTGGACGCTGAGATCGCGAGGGAAGATCACAAGGAGGGGCACAACCGCGTCAGGATCACGGACCGAACGCGTCTCAGTAACCGCGTCATCGACCTGCGGTCAACTGCCTCGCAGGGCATTTTCCGTATTCAGTCTGGCATCTGCAACCTCTTCCGCACGCAGCTCGACTCGGAAGGTTTCATTGAGATTCACACTCCCAAGCTACAGGGCGGTGCCACTGAGTCCGGAGCCAGCGTCTTCAAGATAGACTACTTCGGTCGCGGTGCCTTCCTTGCACAGAGTCCTCAGTTGGCTAAGCAGATGGCCATCTCAGCAGATTTCGGAAAGGTGTATGAGATTGGTGCCGTCTTCCGTGCCGAGAACAGCAACACTTATCGGCACTTGACCGAGTACACTGGTCTCGATTTGGAGATGCAGATCGACGAGCATTACCACGAAGTTCTTCGTGTTCTTGACCGAACGTTCAAGGCCATCTTCAAGGGCATCTACGAACGATACCGCCCTGAGATTGAAATCATCAAAAAGCATTTCCCCCACGAGGATCTGGTATGGCTGGACCAAACCCCTATTCTTCCATTCGCCGAGGCCGTGCGAATGTTGAACGAGTCTGGCTGGAGAGACGACAACGGAAACCCGCTCGACGAGAACGAGGATCTAGGTACTCGAGACGAGGTGCAACTAGGCCGTGTCATCAAGCAGAAACTCGGAACAGACTATTACATTCTCGACAAATTCCCCACCAATGCTCGTCCTTTCTACGCAATGCCGGATCCGAACAATCCCAATGTTACCAACTCGTTCGATATCTTCTGCCGAGGTCAAGAGATTCTTAGTGGTGGTCAGCGTATTCACGACGCCGACATGCTGCTCGATAAGATGCACAAGCTTAAGATCGACCCCAGCTCAATGGAAGACTACATTCAAGGCTTTCAGTGGGGGGCTCCGCCTCACGGTGGCGGCGGTATCGGCTTGGAGCGCATTCTCATGCTGATGATGAGCCTTGGAAATATTCGACATGCCTCCATGTTCCCTCGCGATCCGAAGAGTTTGCCTGAGAAGCCAATCATAAAGCAGTTGCGCCACCCGGAAGCGTCCACCATGCACCCCCCTTGGGAGGGACAAGATCGAGTCTTGGCCAAGATGGACTTACAGCCTATCGAGAAGCTCATTGCGAATTACGGAGATGCTACAAATACCTCCTGGTTGGAGCCTCGCACTGAAATCTGGCGGGACGACAATACTGGTGCGGCAGTCGGTTTCGTGCCCGTAGATGGCTACGCCATTACCGTTGGCGATCCCCTCTGCCACGAGTCTCAATACTTGAAGACAATGACAGCCTATCTTAAATACATCAAGAAGGAGCGCAATCTTAAGCCGCTGTGGCTTCTCGTAGGTGGTGCTGTGGAGGAGGTGTTGGCTACCAAATTCAACTGGCGGACGTTTTCTGTCACGGGCGAGCAGCGTGTGGATCCAGTGCACAACCCCGCCGAGAAGGATGGAGATGTTCAACGCAAAATCCGACACGCAGAGAAGGAGGGCGTAAAGATTACAGACTATGCACTTGGCTCTCCGCCACCTGCAGACGTCAAGCAGAAGGTCGATGCGCGTGTAGAGGACTGGTTGAAGGGCCGCAAAGGCAAGCAGGTGCATCTGACCAACATTCACCCCTGGCAAGACGAGGAGCATCGCCAGTACCACATCTCATACACGCCGGATGGCGTCATTTGTGGTTTTGTCGCCATGGCGCAGCTTTCACCCAGTCACGGCTGGCAAGTAAAGTACTCGCTCGACTTTCCCAATGCGCCTTCGGGCTCCATCGAGCATATCGTTACACACGCGCTTAAGCAGGTTGGCAGCACTGGTGCTACCACAGTCACGTTCGGTGGCGGTGCGAGCTCGAAGTTTACTCCTGGACACAATGTCAAGGGCACACGTGTCAAGGTGCTTAGCCGTGCCTACCACGCTATTGCTTCGGAGTTGAAGCTCACCAACAAGACGGAGTTCCGCGAGAAACTGGGTGCAATTGATGATCCAAGCTATATCTGCTACCCGCCACATGGGCTGGGCCCGTTGGCAGTCAAGGCCATCTTGAACTTCTTCTCTGACGACGATGATAACTAGCTAGATGACGAGACATGAGTGGCGATGTGCTACAGACATGATACCCGGCGTTGTGCCGTGGAGTGACCAAGAGTTTTGCCTGTTGACTCACTCCCTTTTCCTTTGAACGAAGTGACGAGGTGGACTAGGCGGACGTTTCTTTTGTTTAGTTTTAGATAGCCTTTTGGTTCCCTAATCTAATACCCTTTTACTAGTTGCCTGTCTTCCATGATGATCAAAATCCATCCATTACTGGTGAGTCTATAACATAGAAATCACACACATACACTACCCGGATACAAACGCCAAGTCAGCAGCAGCCGATGGCGCTGTGGACGATGCGGGGGAAACTCGGGGGCGCCATGAATAGCGGGGTTCCAACAGTTCGGAGCTTCAATTCGGCTTCCTAACCCTCCATTAGGAAGTCTCTTATTGGTCAATGCATGGCTGATGGCTGACTTCTGACTTGAGATGCTGCTCTTGATGATGCAGCCTCGCATTACTGACGTTAGATGGTCTCGCGTGGATATCCGACATGTCGTCTCTAGCGGATTCAAGAAAAGAGCTGGGCTCGTTGAGTGCAAGGCCAGCCTAATCTGGAGCTTGGAATAGGAGTATATAAGAGCTCTGCATTGTTCAATCTTTAGAAAGACTATTTTGCAAGCTGTGCTCGAGCTAACTACTGCGACCTTTCTTCTCCCTTCGTTCCTCACTCTTACTCACTACCAACCCCCCTTCCCCACAATGTCGCTAACAACATACCTCCTAACACCCTATACGCTCCTCCTCCTCCCAGTCCTCTACTATCTCCTTCCTTACCTCCGCAATTGGCAAATCCGCGACATTCCCGCCCCATTCCCAGCCGCCTGGACAAACCTATGGCTCCTCTACCAATGCCGCAGAGGGAGACGATATCTCGCAGTCCACGAAGCACACCAAAAATACGGGAAGCTAGTTAGAGTGCAACCGCATCACGTCAGTGTAGCAGACGCCGACGCGATTCCGCACATCTACGGCCACGGCAATGGATTCCTGAAAAGCGAGTACTACGACGCGTTCGTCTCGATTCGTCGTGGTCTGTTCAACACGCGGGATAGGGCGGAACATACACGGAAACGCAAGACTGTCTCGCATACCTTCTCGGCCAAGAGCATTGGCCAGTTCGAGCAGTACATCCACCACAACCTCGAGGAGCTGCAGAAGCAGTGGGATCGCAGGGCTGATCAGAAAAAGGGGGACTGGTACCAAATGGATGCACTGCATTGGTTCAATTACCTCGCTTTTGATGTCATTGGTGACTTGGCCTTTGGCGCGCCGTTTGGCATGTTGGAGAAGGGGAGGGATGAGGCCGAGGTTCGCAAGAGTGCGGATGCGCCGCCTACTTTTGCGCCTGCTATTCAAGTTCTCAACAGGAGAGGAGAGGTGTCTGGGTTAGTTTGGTCACTTCTCTATGCTTTCGGGATGTGCACTAACTTCGTCACAGCGCCATTGGTTGTTTCCCTGCCATCAAACCCTACGCAAAATATCTCCCCGATCCGTTCTTCTCGCAAGGCATGAAGGCTATTGAGAACCTTGCCGGCATAGCCATCGCACGGGTAAACGCTCGCCTCGAAAAACCGTCTGACCGCGTCGACCTCCTCGCTCGTCTGATGGAAGGCCGCGACGAAACAGGCAATAAACTCGGCCGCGAAGAACTTACTGCCGAAGCCCTTACCCAATTGATCGCTGGCTCAGACACCACCTCCAACACCTCCTGCGCCCTCCTTTACCACTGCTTGCAACATCCAGAAGTCGTGAGAAAACTGCAGGCTGAGTTGGATAGCGCGCTCCCGGACATCGACGCCGTACCCACATTCGCCCAAGTGAGGGATCTTCCCTACCTCGACGCCGTGATCAAGGAGACGATGCGTATACATAGTACTTCCTCTCTCGGTCTGCCGCGTCTGATCCCCCCTGGTCCCGGCATAACCCTCTGCAATCACCACTTCCCTCAAGGCACCGTTCTCTCCGTGCCAGCATACACAATCCACCACAGCACCGAGATCTGGGGACCCGATGCGGATACTTTCCGTCCTGAGAGATGGGAGAAAGTCACTGAGGATCAGAAAGCGGCCTTTATCCCGTTTAGTCATGGACCGAGGGCTTGCGTGGGACGCAACGTGGCGGAGATGGAGTTAGCTCTTATTGTGGGCACGGTATTTAGACGGTATGAGTTTGAGCTCAGGCAAGGGGAGATGCAGACCAGAGAGGGGTTTTTGAGGAAACCACTGGGCCTGGAAGTGGGGATGCGTAAGAGGCAAGTATCATGATTGGGGGAAGCGAACTTTGGATGTTCCGCGGTGGATGTGATGATGGAGGAAATGTGGGGAAGACATTAAAGGTATTCGGGATTGTTGGCAATGTAAGAGCCAGTGCACTCGAAGTGGGTCTGAAGGAGTACAGGCAAAGCTAGTCAGCACCTCATCTCTGCTAAACGTTCCGACTTCCCCTCGTTCATATACGCGCGATAGAGAAACGACTGTCTTGATATTTAAATGTATATACAACCCATCGCATATGTGCAGCCCTTGAGCCTCCTCCTACATGAACCCGCCTCGAACTTGATTCAGGACAATCTACGAGTTCCCCAAGATCCACAGTTCACCGTTGGAGCTAATATCGCTCGTCATGAACAGCCTACCCTGGCCATCGAACGCAAGTCCCGCAGGCCTGAAGCATCCCGAGCTAGAACCCGGTCCACCGCCCGTACAGCTCTCCACTCTCGGGTTAGCGAAGATGTCCTTGGCCGCCGTGGTGCTTGTCAGCGGCTCAACAGGCGTGTACTGCCCGTCGGTACCCAACTTGAAGCTCACAGCTACCAACTTGAAACCTGTTACCGGAGATCGGTTCCAAGAGCCGTGGTATGTAATGAACATTGTCGAGCTATTGGCATCGAATTTGCAATCAATTGGCGCCGAGTGTGGGAACAAGGTGAGCTTAGGCGCGACGGCGCGCTGGCTACATGTATCATCGTTGAAAGTGGTGCTGGGAGACTGAACGAACCAGTCGCCAACTTTGAACTGCTTGTCGGTGAAGTCCGACGGCTGCCAGACAGTGAAGCAGGTTGGGTAGCCATACCAGTTGTTGTTAGGTTTGCTGACGTCGCCCATGTAATGAATCTTCTCGCCCGGGTTGTTGTTATGAATGTCTTTGCCGTTGCGCTTGAACTCGTCGCCAGAGTTTTCGACGCCCCACAGCCTTGAGTTGTCAGTCTCAAATGTCACCCAATAGGGGGCTTGATGAAGCACTCACATGTTGTTCTTGTCGAAGCACATGCCAACCTCATTACGCTGTCCATAGCCTGCAGTGTACCCTCCAGAAGCATAGTTGTAGCCTCCGCTAGGAACGGCAGACATGTCAAAGACCTTGATGATAGCACGACCAGTCTTGGCGTCGCTTGTAGCAGTATCGATATTGGAGTTGGAGCCATGCGAGACGACTAGTAGATTTGGGGCATGCGGTGCGATAGCCAAAGTACGGGTCAAGTGGGAACCACCGTTGACCATTCCCGTAACGACAGTCGCTCGAGTTCCGAGAGTACCGGCAGCGGCGTCGTACGGCCAGGAATAGGCTTGGGTCATGGAGCTTGCGTAAAGTGTCTTGCCGTCAACACTCAAGGCAATGCCGTGATTTAGATTGTTTTGCGAGATCAACATTTTCGTCGAGGTGATACAGCCGTCCGCACCCATTTTATGGTACGAGATACCCTTGCCGGATTGCACCACCAACATGTTGCCAGCAGTGTCGAACTGAATGCTGCGAGGGCTATTCAAGCCTCCTGCAATCTTGGTGGCCTTCCATCCAGATGCTAGGTTGCCTTGGAAGGAAGGATTACCAGCACCGGGACAGGAAGCTGGGATAGCAGCAGGCGCAGCAGGGCTTGCTGTCGCCGATGGTTTGATGCTCGTTACAACGGTGGTGGGGGCACTACTAGCTACAGGCGCTGTTAGCAGATTGGACTTGACCAAAGACTCGAAATTATCGATGCGCGCAGCGTTCAGGTCATGGATCCATTTGCCCCAGGCTTCGTGTTTGTTGAATGCAGAGTCGTTGCGAGCTGGATCCGCAACAGCAGAAACGCCAGAGGCCCAGGCAAACTCAGTTGTAGCGGTGCCATTGAGCGCGTATCGTGCATCCTCGTTTGATTGCCAGCCAGTGCAGCCTTTGCACAGAGCGTTGACCGTCCAATGTGTGCTATTTGTCCTCGTACCCTTGAGGTATGTATGCTCAGCCTGGTCGTAATTGGGGGGCAAGCTTATGCCACTGCGATTTGTTAGTAGTGTGCTTGTACATCAAAGAAAGGAGACGCATACAATGCAAAACGAGCTGATATTGTTGCAGACTTGCCATTTGGCCATGCAACGCTCAATGGATTCCAGACCATGCCTCCTCCCCATGCGAATCCAGTCCACCCATTGGCAATGGGCGCAGTGATTCTGATGATAGCATCGTATGGGTCCGTGACATTCTTAGGAAGTGCAATACCAAATGTCGTCCCAGACTCCGGGTTTGAGTATGACGAGTAGCTGATCTTCGTTTCCGCGTCGTAGACAACAGTAGATTTGACCTCACCTTCTTGAGCAAGAGCTTTACCGCTGTCAGTACAAATCCCACGGCCTAGAGAACATACGCACTGTAACCGGCGAGTGCAGCAGCACTGCCTAGGATTTGAGTGTAACGCATGCTGGAATGATGAATCAACCGAACAGACAACACGCAGCTGGACGCTAGTAGTCGGCGCAAATGGTCACCTCCACCTCTTTATGTGGCCCGTCTTGTCAAGTATAGTGGCGAGAAATAGGTACAAGGAGTCATGCCCGCACATGCTTTGATCTCGTTAATCTCCAATATGCCACGATATTCCCTTATATACGATAGATGAAATATTGGAGAAGAATCCGGAGAAGCCATATCGACTGGCCAATGCGTGCCTTTGGAATTGCAATATGTGACCAGCATGCAGAGTTCGCAACGCTATCGTTGCCTCTAGGGTTGTCGACCAGTTCGGGCAGGTTTCAGCCTGAGTGTAGTAATGGAAAAAGTAGAGTGATTGGAGTCGTTTGACCTTCGACAGGGTGTAGCTGGTTAATAGATTGTTAATTCCATCAATTTTTGATAGGTAAGAGCCGCACCTTGACCCGGATCTACCATTGCGATAACCTGTATTTGCTCATGTGGTGTCACTGAATAATGCTAAGACAACCTTGATCCTCGGCGAAGGACGGCAGTTGATACGCGAGGCGGAGCCGGTACGCTAGGATGTTGGGGAAATCCCCTTGTCCGTGCATGATCGTTGTATGGCTGATCTTGTATTCTTCCATACAGGCCGATCGTCCCTGGCAAATACGAACGCCGGGGGTTTGTTCGAACCTTCCAAATTCTGATGAATATTCCGAACGTGATATGAAGCAGGCTATATACCAAGAATTGAGTTCATGCCCCACAGATATGCGGGTGCAGTTGAAGAGTCACTAATCGATTAAGTCAACTTTGAACAGTGCGGTTCGAACGAATGTTAGCAAACAGTACTTGAACACCCTGGTATGCACCTCTCGCCTCGTGCGCATGCCATATAACATATTCATTCCTCTCGTTCGTAGTATACATGTTGCCGCCGACTTTTGCCCAGCTTTTTTTTTTTTTGGAATATCATCTTCTTCGCGCCATGTCTAGGCCACTTGTCGTTTCGAGAATGCGTTATAGAAAGTCCACAGCCCAAAGGTCGCCAAAATGCTTAGGGCAAGAGGCAGAGGTTTACCAGTCTTGATCGCGCGAGGGATAGAGCTACCAGCGAGAACGACGGATGCGAGCAGACCAAGTTCCACGCCGTAGGTAGCGCGCTGCTGGATGCGCAGGCCGCCAAGGATGTACTATCGCCTTCGTCAGCCGCTATACCATGGCTGTTGTATAGGAGATGGTGGAATAAGGCGCAAAAGGTAAACCGGTTGGAAAGCAGTGTTTCTTCGAGAGATTGAATGAGGCGGCACATACAAGTGAGCCGACAGTTACGCCAGCTGCAACTGAAGGTATAGATCCAGTCCGCACGTAGCCAGTGATGCCACCACCGGCAGTAAGAACACCGAGAACAAGAGCAATGTTTGCGAGAGAGCCCTATTTTTTCCGTTAGCCGTTGCGTGATTCATGAAAGCCCAATCCAAAGCTGAAGCGCTCGATGTGCTTGGTGTTGAACTGAAAGCTGGCACAACAGCTGGTGAGAAAGATTACCATTGTTGCTTGGTCTTGAAATCTGTCAAGAAGAGAGTATTTGGAAGAAGATCTAAACTTGATGCGAATGCGACTCCAAGTTTTAACCAACGAGAGATTGTTTGTTTATAACAACATCATCGTGATGGATGATGGCATTTGCGGGGAGCTGCCACGGATGCCCGCAGTGCCGAACGCCGACGCGTTCGTAATGTGCTTAGGCTATCCGCGAACATCTGGCCTCAAGCTCCAGCTATCGTGAAACTGCAACTCCATCACCAGACCCCAATTCGGCCCTTCATCTTTGCGCTCTTCCCGATTACTTCTGGCTCGATTACTTCCTGTGATACGACGACCGCAATAGACACAATGCCGCCCAAACAGCGCGTACAATCCTCAGGCACCGCGCCCACAGCATCGACACCTACCGCCGCGAGATCTACCAGATCCAGCGCTTCTACCAATGCCGACGCACAAGACATAGTGCACGGAGTATGGAGCAAATATATTCAGAAGACTCCCCAACGGACAAAGCTCCTCGACACATTCATGGCGTTCCTCGTAGGCGTGGGCGCTCTGCAGTTTCTCTACGTGGTGCTAGTCGGGAACTTTGTACGTACCCAGAGCAACATTCACTACACTCAGTCTGCCTATTCTCTTTCAAGCTAGGCAAGAACTGGGCAGGACGCATTGATGAGAGCCTTTTCTATAGAGAGTGGTTGCTAACGTATCTGTAGCCTTTCAACGCCTTCCTCTCTGGCTTCAGCGCAACAGTCGGCCAATTCGTCCTCACAGTCTCGCTACGTATGCAGACAAACCCTGAGAATAAGGCAGATTTTGAGAGTATCTCACATGAGCGATCGTTTGCGGATTTCGTGTTGGGGTCACTGCTACTGCACTTCTTTTGTGTCAACTTCATCAACTGAGTACCGAAGGACTCGAGGAGGAGCACAAGATGAACGGAATGGGAAGGTCGACTTGAACGACGCCCCGAGATCTGAAACATGGTGTACGGCGTATGGGATAAAAGGTGTATCTTTGTGTGAGATATCATCCAATTATGCACATTGGTGCCTAAAAGTCAAAGGGCATATCTACCTACATAAATGTCAAGCACTATAACAAAGAAGACCAAGGTTTGGCACGGTACGATGATTTATACCTCTACCCCACTAGCTCGCCATCAATCTTCCCCTCAATATCAGCAACAAACTCTGAAACTTGCACATTCGATAATACTCTGATTCGCAGCCCCATAGCAGTAATAGCCCCCGTCCCTACGTCCCAGATGCCCGTCTGACAATTGTTCTGCGCCTTGCTTCAAGGCTAGTGATTACATAGCATGATGCTGATGTAGCCGATAAGGATCACTTCCTCGTTCTAGTTAGTCCTTGAATTGGAACGCCAGCAATGTTTCACGAATGTAGTAAGAGATACACAATCGGTCGTGAGGGCGCGATCCGTAAATATTCTAGTCTACGCCAGCGGAGCTACACCGCCGAGGTTGAAGACTCCGACAACGTCTGACAACAGTTGAAGTTGCAAACATTGCGGCTTCGAATACAATCCCCAAGATGTGCCTTTTGAGTTGAGAATTGTTCTGGCAGCGATCGAAGAAGTTCTTGTTGTGTTTGACTGAAACTCGAGAGTCGATCTTTCAAACCGGCTCCACCAGCATATGGGATGAAATGAAACTAACAAAACCACCTCTTGCGAAACTGTTCAGAGTACAGGAGGCTGACAAAGCCGGTTCGTTTCCACTCTCTCACTTCGTCCACGGTAATCCAAGCTTCTTCATCTCAACCGCGAGTTGCAGAATATAATCAATGCTCTCACACTGCGTCTTCGCCTTGTGTACGTTGTCACCCCAAACGTAGATCCCATGTCTCTTGACCAAAATCGCATACGATTCTGGATACTTCTCCATTGCCTCTTCCAAGCTCTCCCTCAGATCCTCCTCATGCGCAGTATTCTCAATAATCGGTATCCGTAGTCGGTCATAGTATCCCAAGTTGCCCTGCTTTCCTCGACCCTTTGGTATGCCCTTGATCTGCTCGATTTCTTCAATCTCAAAGCATGCGTCTTTGCCAAAGTCGCGTTCGACGATAAGGGTTACGAGGACGGCCCATTGCGAGTGTGTATGGATGCAGCAGCCGGCGCCACGTTCGAAAGCTGCGAGGAACAAGGGAGTGCAGGCCGAAGGCTTGAGGACCTATCCGCATGGTCAGATACAAGGGGTTCGCGGGCCGAATAGGTAGTGAAGGCTTGGAGCGTAGAAGTGTAAGTCGTACCTGTGGTCTTCGAAGATACTCCTTGCTGTTGAAGTCCATCACGAACATATCGGTAGGCTTCATGAGCTCTTTCTGTACGCCGCTGGGCGCAATATAGATTTTATCTTCATGTCGAATACTCGTTCCTCCACCAGTACCTGTTACCTAGTTCATGTCAAGTCAATCATTCGTTCATTTACTGTTCCATGCCTTTCTCCTACAGGGGCAATCGTACCCAGCCTAAGGTATAGAATTTTGCGCACAGGGTGCAGATGTGATTTGCTGGGTGGCTTGGATCATCAGAATGCACGAGTGCCTCCACCTCTTCTTTATCGGACGCCATTTTGAAGCCTAAGGCGATGATGTAGAGTTATCCGGGAAGCTTGAGAGATTTTGTAGGTTTCGCGCGGCAAATGACGCGACCTTGAAAGCTACCCCGCGCTGGTGTTCACCCCACCATTAGCAGCTCCTCCTATATCTAATCAGGCACAACCTTGAAAGGCACAACCTTGGAACAGAATCAAGCATTGCATAGTACATTGTCGCGCAAATATATGAAGGAGTGTTTGTGTTATTGTAACTCTACGAGAAACAGAATAGGAAAAAATCAAGGCTGTCTCGCATTACGAGGAAGCAGCCCTAGGTATCATCACGGTCTACAGCGCTTATACCATTACCCTCCTCCAAAAGCTCGCTCATTTCGTTCAGTATTGGGTATCATATCTACTTTGTCGTCTCGTTCTGGGCCAAGGGCGAGGGCTCCTGCTTCTCCTTCTTGCCGTCAAGATGAAGCACATGCTTGACCTTGTCGGTCAAACCGGGCTTACGACCGTCGGGAGAGCTGTGTCCACCATATTTCTCCTTGTAAACGTTTCCAGCCCCGCCGCGCTGTGAAATCGTCAGCTATATCCTCTCTGTGTGTAAGATGGTAGGACGTACGCCGGTGTGGAACTCGTCCTGAGGCTCACGCGTATTGATCTCTGGAACTAAGTCGACCGAGCGACGGCCTTCGCTGGGCTGTGGTCCCAGGCGAGGCGACTTGCCAATGTTACCAGCACCACCTCGACCGGTAGAGAAGTCGCCGTCAACGGACTCGCCTTGGACGCCTTCGCGAACGAGTCCGCCGTCAGTGTAGAGGGCGCTGTCTGGTCCGATATTGCCAGCGCCTGTCGTTGGTCAGCGCCTACTCGATCGCCAAGATTCATCTTCCACAGGAACCCAGCGCTCACCTCCACGGCCGGTTGAATGAATAGGTTGGGTAGTCATTCTGTTTGGTCTTATCTTTCCTAGCTGTCTTTAGAAAACAAAGTATCTGTTCGAAATTGCAAGAGATAAGGTCGAGGATGTAGGATATGCTATGACGATCTGACAGTGGGCCAGCAGGAAGAACAGGCTCTTATATTTGCTTCTTGAGCCCACAAGCCACCTAGAAATCTAGATATGACGCAACCGCATCTCAAGGCCTCTAAGCCATTGGTAGCGCGGGATGGAGAGAGCTTCCGAATCGAAAGTGGACACCAGCAGATTCATGGTTGCTGGCCGGAACAGTCTGATCCAACAATAAGCTGGAGCCAAGGATGTACGCGAGCATGTGGAAGAGTTTCTAAGGGCTCTTAGTGTACCATTGAGAGTGCATGTGTGATGTCGTGAGGTGACATTTGAACGGGCGCGATAAGGCCGTGGGAAGTGATTCGCCGGCAGGAGTGACTAAGCGTTGAGTATCCCACTGTTGGACATTACAGTACAACGTAAGAGAGTATGTAGCGGCTAATCTGCAGCATGATCAGTTGCAGGCTTTGGCGAAGCACGAGGAAGACTCGGTCTTTGAGATTTCCGCCTCCCTTAAGATAAGGGAAACGGAAGTTTTAGACAACGCAAGTTTCAAGTAAATAATGGCACTGATAAAACAGTCGCGATCATGAGATACCCACCTGAGACGACGAAGTTATGGCCAAATTAGTGCTGTGATTTGTCGAGTACACGAAGAAGCAAAACATGGCTCTGCATATTGCATTTCGATGAGTCAAAATTCAGTCAAGCAATGTTCGAAAGGTCAAATCTTCCAACTTAATTGGATCGTATGTAGGTCCATTTGAAACGCGATCCTGCACTAGGATGCAACTATATTAATGACCAGAACTCTAATGGAACGTGTGCGCATGTTGCCCAGTTGCCCATGCCATAATACAGTTAATACGCGTGTCTGAGCGCGATTTGCTAGGTATACATATGTCCAAAACGGATTCAGAAACGGAATGGGATCTCTGTGCCTCGCATTCCCTGCATCTTGCCGCTCACGAAACAGCTTTAACCTCCAGCGCCCCATTCGCACTCTCCTTCGCTGGCTGGCCCTCCTCAGTCTTCATGGTTGGCGTACTAGACGTCTCTTCACCAAGTACCTCAGGTCGCCACCTAACTAGCAATTTCCGCGCGCTCTGTTTTGCACGGTCATTTTCTTTCCACATCTCCGCTAGTACGTCCACTACGATAGTTCTGAGGGGCGGGCGGAACATGTATAGATATTGCAGCGCACTGCATGCGAGGTCAATGCGTTCCGGGTCCTCGGCCATCTTCTTCAACCGGATGAGAATCTCGTGGTCTAGTGCTGGAACCTCGGACAGAAGGCGGAGTAAGATTTTGTCTGTGTGCTCGACGTAGGGCAATATGCCGTCCATGAGGCGGAGTGCGCAACGGTGATAGTTTCCCTTTGGCTCGCCGGGGGTCGATGATGTGTGTCCGTTGGCAGCGCCGTTCTTGGTAGAATCTTTAGCAGATTGAGCGAGTATGATGTCGTTGTACCACTCCTCGTTAAGCCAAGATATCGCAACGTCGATTCGTTTCTTCCAGTCGTACATTATGTACTGATACAGTCCGTCTCTTACAGCGTCACTAATCTTCAAGCTTCCTTTTGCGCTCTTGACAGCATACTCATCTTTGACGCCCTGTTCAGGATCATCAAGGCCAGCGCTTGCCCTCGTAGCCAGCCTTGATAGAATAGTGACCCAAGCATCTCTACTATAGTCGGTCGCGGCGAGCCTGTTGAATCCGCCTTTTGTAACCTTGCTCTTATGGCTCTCTTCAACACTACTTAACATACCAAAGGCTCGATGAATGGTCATGTCCCCATATTTCTGAGCCTCCTGTTCGGATAATTGAGGTGCTTCAGGAAGCTTGTACGGTGCTAAGGCAGTAGTTGGTGCCGTTTGAGCAGGAAAGTCAGTAGGGGGTAGACCATCAAGTTTGTTAATTAGTTGCTCAGCATCTTCGGGTTCGAAATCGGGTTCGTATTCTTCCTCGTCCTCTGCGACGGGAACTGCCGCATGTTGCGCCGCGGTGGTTCTGGGTCCGGAGTGCATGAAAGTTGCATAACGAGAGCGAACGATCTGAGTAGAGGTTAGCGGATCCTTACGACGATGCTTCTACAGCACGAACGGTTTTCGTAAAGTACCCCCTAGAATCACGTGATGAGATTACAAGCGCACAATCTCTCTCAGATCATGTCTTGACGGGCGACAACAGGAAGAAAAGTAAATTGAAAGTCATCACGTACACTGATAGCCTGATCGAGCTTCGTTCCGTCGACAGATTGTAGAACGGGCACAAGGATCCTTAGCAATTGCTCGGGGTCTTTGAAAGCTTGCACATCAAAGTTCACTGTGCTGCCTTCTGGGTTCAGAGTGTACAATTGGCGCCAGCTCACTGGACCTGGAGGAAGCGGAGGTGCAGCAACTGGAGGTGTGCGACTTGGAGCTTCAGCACCTAGTCGCTGTCTCTTAGCTGGATCGAGCCCATCAATTGGCTCACTGGGTGCTGGTCTTTTACGATTAGATTCATCGAAGACATCGATGCGCATGCGATGCATGCGCTCGAGGAATTGCTGTATCCGGCCATTGACTGGGTTCTCGGGATTCCTACAGATGCAAGTATCAGTAATGTTGATATGGAGTGCAGAGTGAACACACCTCTTCATTATGTTCATGAGTAACGCCCGTGTTGTGCGTTCTATCGACTTCATGATGACCTTGTTCTTCGGCGACATAGGCGAGTTTGCGAGCTTTAGAGGATTGAAGTTGAGAACACTGTTCAGTATCTTGTTCGCGGCAACAGGGCGGCGGTGAATCAGCATGCCCAAGCTGTTGAGCGTGCCTGTTACGAGCAGCCCATCACTATTCCCTGTCAGAACTGTCATAGCCGTCTGTGGCTGGCTATCTGACCTGTGATCTCCATGTATGATATCCAATAACCGATCTAGCAGTCCGTGTCCTTCTGCCTCCAGACTCGCATACGGTATAAGGGGGTGGTCGCGCGAGACAAGGGCGAGGGATATATCGTTGTGGTCAGGTCGCTGCGAAGCATGAGAAAGCTGTATATGTGTTTGAGAGGAGGTTTCATTCACCCGAGGGTCTAGCACGCCTGGCGTCTGAACCAGAACTACCTGCTGGAGGAACTTGATGCAGCATATTCGCACGCCGGGGGTGGCTGTATCCATTCGTCGCAAGATGTTCGATTTGATGGCGGACATGAGCTGCCAATGCTGAGCATCGCTGGGGTCGGATACACTGGGGCACGTTCAAGTATGAGAGAGTGTTCGCATAACTGCAGTCAAACGGAGGCGGACATGAGGGAGGGACTTCAAAGATGCAGATCGCACTCATGATGCGGGGAGATCTATCTGATGCTTGGGGGTAACTCACATGTGTCTGTAAACGAGCGGATACACGCTTGCAGCCGCCTGGACAGCGCTCTTGATGACGCTTTTGTCCGGGACATTCTCCAAGTAGGCCTTTAGTGTAGCTAGCACCGACGAAGCGCTGTTCTCCTTCGCCTCTGGAGGCCATGTTGGGGACGCAAAAGCCTCAGCTAGGAAATCGGCACCCCATCGCTGAATCTCAATAGTTTGGTCTGCACTGTAACCGATGATAGGAAGCACGCCCGGTATAATGGTAGGATAGTATCTACCGTCGCCCAACGCGAGTGACCGGGCTGACTCCAACTGCTGTATTGTTTGCGCACTCATGATGGCGGTTGATCGCGCAGTGCACGCGAGATGAGCTTTGTTCCTGTTGAGTGAGGTTGAAGAGTTGTGGCGCTTGTTCACGCGCGCGATGCAGTCAAACTAAGAGCGCGACAAAGCCCGGTATCCGCCGACAGAAGCCTTTCCCATGCCCAACAATGCTAGCAATTAAAGGGGGAAGGAATGTGGAGAGGCGAAGTGCGCGCCTGTTGGTGTTGGTGTTCTACTGCTGCTGGGTGAAGTGAATGACGGAGAGGCTCGAGGCAGGAGCGATGACCTGCGGCTACCTGCCAAGACATACTAGCGCAATGGAAACTCACCACCGCGGCCATACGGCCATGGGCTGTTCATTCCCCCGCTGGACAGTCGTGAGAGTCTCAACATACGCCACCATGGGATAGTGAGTGCCAGCGCAATCAATATGAGCACTATTTGTTGACATTGGCAGCAAACCCTTCCGATCGACCTACTATGACGACCGCATGCGCGCCTCGCCGGCCCTGCTGCGAGCGCGAGCTCCGTACCTAATCAAAAACACCATCACCGGCTTCGTTATCTGCTCGCTAGTTATTGGAATCTGTACGCTTCCTATGAGCCACAATTAGAGATCATCATCTTACGCGTGGCAGACACATACACCATCAACGCCATTTCACAGGATGAGTTCGACGATGTCATCGTGCCCGATGAGCCCTTGCAGCGACCGGCGCAGCAACCGCTAGGCACCACACAAGCCCTTCAGCAAGCCGTCGATGCTCGGAAGTAGAAAACGAACATGTCAACTGTATATTGGTGTACAAAGATATGTATGCATTGGGCTGGCGTATTTGGACATGATTCAGGAAATATCACTTTTTCACTATTAGCGGTCGTCATCGCTAGTCACCCTTAGTCCATAAAGTACTTCTCACTGTGCTCTCGTACAATCGCGTGAAGAGGTGCGGTGTCACTTACAGTCTCCTACTCTGTAACGGCGAACGGTCATCGAAGTCGTTCGGCCTACTTATCCTGATCGTACAGTATGAGCGACAACACGTCAATGGCGAGCCGACGCGTTCCTGGGAATCTTGATTTTCTTAAGGTCGCTGTCGATAGAAATTTAACGTATAATGAAGTTATGACCCGATTTTGTAAACATGGAAAGGTGGAGATATGGGGTGCATTTGCATGTAGGAAGCTATATTGTCGGACATTCTTTTGGGAGGTAATATACAAATAAATCCAAGATTAGGATAGCTACCATTGTGTGCTATATACCGGTAAGTATCTTTACACATTCTCCGTCTCCCAATGCTTCATCACGACCTCTCGCCGTCTTTCTTAACTCGAAACCCTATCCCAGGGACCCTGCTCCTCAAAGCCAGGCTACTACAGACCACACTGACGCTACTCAACGCCATCGCCAAACTAGCCCACACCGGATCAAGTCTAATGTGTTTCTTTCCTCCACTCTCCATCGCCATCCCACCCTCCATGGCCATACCATTATGATGCATATCCATATGCTTCGTTCCAGTCGTGATAGGAAATAAGACACCCGCTGCGATAGGCATAGCAATTAAGTTATATATAAGCGCCCAGCCAAAGTTGAAGTACACGCGACGGAACACCACGCGCGAGAGATCGAGAAGTGTGAGGATTGTTGTCAGGCGGGAGTTGATGAGAATGAAAGAGGAGGAGGAAAGGGCGATGTCGGACCCAGAACCGATGGCGATGCTAAGATCCGCCGTGCTCAAGGCAGGCGCATCGTTTATACCATCGCCTACCATGGCGACACAAACACGTTTCTTATTGCCTCGCATCTTTGATAGGATTGGGATGCTAAACAAGCTAGACCTTCGTCTCTTCATCAGCGTTCGCTGTAACAATCTGATCTTCTCCGCTTTCTGATCCGGAAGCACGCCTGCAATGATATTGGTGGTTGGGATTCCAACTTGAGAACCAACAGCGTTGGCAGTGATTGGATTGTCGCCGGACAGCATCCACACATCAATATCACGCGCTTTGAGCGCCTCAATGACATTGATAGCCTCCGGCCGTAGAGGATCCGCTATCGAGAAGAGACCTGCGAGGTCCCACGCTGGTGATAGCGGCGATTCTGTAATTGCAGTTGACAGGGACTCCGAGACCTTAGAGCTCTCTGGAAGCTTATCGATGGACTTCCGTGAATCATGGGATAGCTGTGATAGAAAAACCGCTACCAACGCAACCGACTCTCCTCGAGATTTCCAGGTGTGGAGCGTTGCGGCATTGTCGGCGGAAATAGGAACATGGTGATCAGCCATGAAACTTTCGTTTCCAATTATTGCGGTAATATCATGCCCTTCCACTCTGAACGTCCCCTTTAAGCCTTTTCCAGGTACTTCGTCAACGTTAACCGCTACGGGTATGTCATGAAGTTGGCTTTTGCAGAAAGACACCAGCGCTCGAGCGACTGGGTGGTTGCTGTTCTCCTCCAGCGCCTTCACGATCCCCAGAACAAGCGTACAGTTGTGATTGCCAGATATTTTGTGATTCGTCACAGCTGGATCGCCGCCCTGAGTGAGCGTTCCCGTCTTGTCGAATACAACGCAATCGAGTGAGCTAGCTTCCTGGAAAGCTTCTCCGCCTCCTTTGACGAGGATGCCATGCTTTGCAGCGAGGCCACCTCCAACAAAGAGTGCAGTAGGCGCCGCTAGACCGATACCACAGGGGCAAGCGATAACGAAGACAGCAATGGCGAAGCGAAGTGACCAGAGAGCCCAGCCACCAGCGCCTTCATTCTTCCAATCCTTGGGTATGGCACCAGTAGTTCCAAGAACGAGCCACACGAGCCAAGTCGCAATAGCGGCAGCAATGACAAAGGGAACAAAATGCGAAGTGATGGTATCGGCAACTCTTTCGACCGGGGCTCTTCGGGTTTGCCCCTCACGAACAGCGTTGATGATCTGATCCAGCATTGATGTACCCGCGACAGTTGTGATTCTGATATTGACCGGAGCACCCTTGTTCACAGTGCCCGAGTATACAGTATCGCCATCTCCCTTCTTGACGGGGCGCGATTCTCCAGTGAGACTAGATTCATCAAAGGTAGAGCTACCATTAAGAATGTTTCCATCGAACGGCGGTGATGTGCCATGATTAACACGGACGATGTCACCAATCTCGAGCAAATCGGTTGCCATCCTGGTATCTCCTTTTTCTGGGTCAACTAAGATAGCTTCTTCAGGACGAAGATTACCCAGCGAGGTGACGGCATCTCCAGTTTTCGCCTTGCTATAGGCTTCTAGAAATCGGCCAATTAGTAGGAACATGGTTAGGAAGACCACTGCATCGAAATACGAGTCATTCATTGCACCCGATGACTTCTTCGTTGCAGCCAATACCAACTCCACCACGGACGCAAAGTATGCGATGCTCGTCCCAAGTGAGATAAGCATATTCATGCTCCCGAAGCGTATGAAGCGGTGCGAAAGAGGCGTTCGGCTACCTGGCCGCCACATAGCCTTCACTTCCTTGATCGCCCGGCGATGGAATGTATCGGCTGCGAAGAGATAAATTGGCGTTGCTAGGATAAAGAGCGCCCAATTGAGCCGGGTGACATTGCCCGCCCACATAGTCCCCATAACATATCTGCGGATAGGATGCTTAGAGTCGATAAGGCTCATGAACACAACGCCAAGAACGAATGTCGGGATGGCGACAATGATGCAAAGAACTAGGCGAAACAGGATACGTTTTCGCTCTTGTGCATGCATTTCGCGCCCTCGCTCTTCGATCGTAGGAGTATGGTGGACGGATGGCTTGAATGCCGCATTCAAGCTCCTGATCTTGTCGAAGACTGTCCGAATCGTGAATTGGGGAGATTCTGGATTGTATTTGATGCGAAGCATGGGTGATTGAAGTGTCAAAGATGGACCATCAACTTCGAAAGAGTAATGTTCGCTGAAAGCCTCAGTCAACTTGCTGGTGATATTCGCCGGGCAGTGGTGGCAGAACATTCCGTCGATATGTATTGCAACGGATCGATTGGTAGCCTCCTCTGTTACGGACTCAACAGGAAGTACCTTATCAAGCCTTGCCTCGTAGCCAGCATCTTCAATAATCTCCTTAATTTCTGGCAGGTGCTTTTTACCCTTGAAGATTATGGTGGCACTGTTTGATATGAGGTTGATGTCCACCTGCTCGATCCATGTGTGCGGTTCCAGTGCTCTATTCACATTTCCGACGCAAGCAGCACAAGTCAACCCTCCAAGAGCGTAAGTTGCGCGCCATGTCTCCCATTGAGATCTCGAGTTTGTTCTGGTCGCTGATAATATGCTTTGGATCTCCTCCAGTTTTTCCATGGAAACATCAAAACCACAATCTTCTATTGTTTCGATAACTTCTTCACTTCTGTGTTTTCCATTAAAAACCACCACGCCGCTACTTGTCAAAAGATTGACGTCAATTGACAGGACCCATGGATGCTGCTGTACAGCATGCGTGATAGCGCTGACACATGAAGAGCATGTCATTCCAGATAGGGCCAAGGTAGCTTTGTATACGGCAGTGGTAGGCTCGACTGTGACAAACGGTTCGGGACTGGGTGACTCATGCTTGAATGATGCGGAACCATTTAAGCTAGCCTTCGGCGAGGTAGTAACAATAGGCTCTGGCTTAAATGGAAGCCCCGCCTCGTGGTTGATGTCCAGGCTAATTCCTCCATGTTCTCTCTTGCATTGTTCGCATTTCTCCAAATGCAACTCTTTCTTGCGCATATCGTTGTTCGAGCTGTCAAGGCCTCTAGGGTGGAGCCAATCTGAGACCGCGTGCTCCAAGCTCGTGTGCCACTCCTTGCTGTGCTCTTGGTGAATTTTTGGGTCGTAGACCGGTTTGTCGTCCTGGAAAACACTATGCATCTCGAATCCAGCAGCCTCAAGAGATCCTAAAATATCTTCGACGGCGATGGATGCTGTGTGGCGTACAACAACGGAATGGGAAACAATAGAAGTAACAATCTCCTCTGGTGCGGGCTCAAGTGCGCCCAAAGAAGCTTTAATACCTTCGACACATGACGGGCAATGTAGGTTTGATATGAAGCAGGTTGTCATGATGATCTCTTGCCGCGATCCGCGCAATCTGGGGTTTGGGACTGTGGGCGACATGGTATCAGGCCAGGTCTGTACGTGGTTGGTTGTGCAATAACGTCGATGCCGGCAATCGTGGGATATGTGTCCGTTTCTGTGCTTTGGTAATATGCAATATGAACAAACAGTAATAAAGTAGCCAACAACTACCGATGTGTAATCTAAGCACTCAAGGAAGCGACTGGGCGCAGGTGAAGGAACGAACGATCAGTGAAGGAACACCGCGATGAAATATAGGATCCGCTCCAAAAAAATGAAACGTGATCATCGCACAAATCGCGTGAGAGAACGCCATTCTCTAGTTCTGAATCATCATAGAAAGCGTCTCAGTGGCCGCGCACAAGTCGCGCATCGCCCTTGTATGTATCGCAAGGCTTTATGTGGGTCTTGGTTCATCTGTCGTCCGCACAAACGGCGCATCGAGCCGATCGTCGTCGCCGGCCAATGACAGCGAAGTCTACATCTGCCAGCAAGGTTACTCGGCTGTCACATTCAGTTGTGAGTCAAATTCAGGCTCAAGGCAAAGCCCTCGTGATTTATGCGACAGCGATGAAGAATTTGCCGTACGAGAAGCTTTGTCCCACCATGCCGTCTGCTAGCTCGACCATATCTCCGTCCAAGACATAAGCCTCTCGCTTCCCCAGATTACCCCTAGAAAATATTCGCTTCGGGCGTTCAACTAGGTATGGTCACTCAAGATTAGATGAACGTGTATGGGAATAGTGAGAGTGGCACGCTCTCTGTCACGAGGTTAGTGGTACACCGATTGCGGGGATAAACGTGCAGACCACCTGTCTGTGCCTATTCCCAGACGCTCCACGCCGAACAAAGATTCCATAGAAACACCGAAACACTGCTAATACTTGTGGGATCTGTTCAAATTTGAAAATACCAGCCACATGAGGCCGTCAATATATACGTGACATACTCTAATTGTGGCGCTAGAAGAATTCCTGTCTAAATGTGGTCCTTATTTGAAACTTGAGGTCTTCAAACCAGTAGATTTGTTAATGGGTCATCTCAAATCGACATCGTTTACTTCATGCCCTTTTCATCCACATTCTCATTATCACTCAAACTCCTCCTCACCAACCCGCCCTCCGCATTGACCATATCCCCAATCGGCCTCCCCGCCAACTCACCCTTCGTCTCCATTGCAACCGTTAACTCGGTACCCTCAGCACGACGTTTTACGGGGATAAACGCATCGTAGTACCGCGGCATTACGCAGCCCGCTAAGATCACGATAATAGTAAGAATCGACAAGATGAATCCAGCGATCATCATGGGGTCATAGCGTAGCTTGTGGAACTCTGGGAAGGCGAAGGAGAAAATGATGGCGAGAACAGGGCCGGAGAGGTAGCGTAGGAGGATAGGGAGGAAGGGTGGGATTTTCCAGTTCTTTCCTTGGCCAACGATGACATTTAAATCACGGCGGAGTTGATTACCCTAGGGAATGGTGTTAGTCAACGCATTCAGAAGCAGCATATGGACGTTACGGGATGCTTACGGAGTAGAACGCAAGGAACCAAAACTTGCATGCAAAAGCATTGCGGCTCCAGAAGCTCGGCGCCGATGCATCAGGTGTTCGAGCAATGAAGATAGCCACAAGCGAGCAGACAGCCCAGAAGCCAAATCCAGCACCAGCACCCGCTCCAGGATTGCCGATGCCATGTGCTAAACTGATACCGAAGAGCTGGCCTCCGAAGAATCCAACGTTGTAAACGATGAATGCGGGTAGACCAGTTTGATCCGTAATATCTTTCCATCGGTACACGGTAGTAGCGCTTGACACTTCACTCCAGACAACGAAGATCAGAGCGACGTTGTTGACCCAGCGGTCTATACCATCGAGAAGGTGGTAACCAAACTCCGTGCAGTATGGAATGCACATTAGGAAGGAGATCACTGTTAAAACAGTGACGACCACAGGGCGCGAAGCCTTGACCAGACCGGAATCGCAGATGAGCGTAACAACAACGTCTAACATAACGAAGGCTGAGCTGAAGCCGAGAACCACGAGAGTGAAAAAAAGGAGTACGGCCCAAAAGTTAGCCCCCGGCATTTGCAAGACGGCTTCCGGGAGGGTCAAGAAACCAACTACAAAGGCACCGAGTCGCACACCATCCTCTGGCCACCTGCGTAGATATCCAACAACGCCAAAAACGGCAAAGGCGGCAAAGTTCTCGAATAGGACGTTGCTACCGCAGATCAAGATAGCATCCATAACGGCGTTGGAGTGCTTCTGATTGTAGCTGGCATAAGATGTGAAGTACCCGAAACCTATACCAGTAGAAAAAAAGACTTGACCTACGGCAGTTTGCCAAACGGTTCCCGATGCGAGTTGATCGCTTCTCCAGGTTTTCCATACAAGAGCAACACCCTCGCTGGCATTAGGAAGAGATAGAGCCCGACCAACGAAGATAATAGTCGTTACGACCGGAAGGCCCATAGTGAAGTACACTACTCGTCCGGTGAGACCAACTCCACGGAAGATGGAAACCCAGATTAGGAACCAGATAAAGATACTCCATCCAACGGTCTCTCCCAGTACAGCCTTAGCGGGATACCCTTGGAATGCTGCAACTGAGTTGCCGTCAGGAGCAAGGCTACCCGCGGTTACGTTGCCAACTTTGAGAACGTCATTCCAGTAAAACTACAAATGGGGTGCAAAGTCAGCGTGTGTTCTCAAAGTAAAGAGAGGCACCTAGAGGTGTCTTGGATAGTAAGACCTCGCACAGGGAGCTTCTTGCAGATAGTTGCTAAGGAGGAGGCGCACATACTACAGCAAGTTAGCGTTATTCTTAGAAAGAGAACTGGTACATGTTTGCTTATCCCTAATGCACACACTTGATCAACCCAATCGCCATAGAGGCAAGTTTAGGTTGTTAGGTGTAGGCACTTTGAGACAGCACTCAGGTTTGACTCGGGGCTTAGTACCATCTTCGATTCGGTTCTTCCAGGGAAGTGGTGAAGTAAAGCTCCAGCGGAAATAGTTCTGTTGGGGTTAGTCCCTGTCCCATGAAAGCAATAATCGGTGGGAATCTATATGTACCATAATCCAGGCCAAATTGACAGTGAAGTATTGAACGACGATAAAGCTGACAATAACAGGTCCCATGCCGACACCTTTTAATCTCTTATTCACATTATTGAAGGCGATAACAGTACCACCGCGATACGCTTGGCCAATCGAAACCTCCAGAATCAGAGCCGGAATGGCGATGAGGAATACGGCGAGCAAGTACGGAACAAACCTAGTGAATAGATGAGATATAGGTTCACTACCAACATAGTAGGACATGTATCTTACCATTGGAGCCCGTAGTTATTATAGAGAACAGAAGGGTATCGTAGAAGATTGCCTTGTCCTGCACAACCACCCATAGCAGCTAATAGAAAGGCTGCTCTTGAGGGCCACTGATCACGTCCATCATCCGACTTCTGCGGAGGAGGCGCAACCCAGGCCCCTACCTTTCTGAGGTAGTTCATTATGAAAATAGTGATATGCAGAGGAGGGAGAAAACAAAGACGAAGGGAGAGGATGGGCCTCGATGGACATGCTAAGTAAGAGATGGAAATCTCATTTTGTATCTCATTGATGGTGAGTGCCCTGCTAAGGCCTGCCAAGATCTCGATGAGCTGCAGGGATAATTCGATCCTTCATCCCACGTTTGGTCCGGTGTTTGGCTCCCAGTCAGAGTCTTTGGCTTGCCTCCCATTAGCAAACCCAACCGGATGGACAGACCAATCGTTCTGTGGGGAGGGGAAAGCGCGGCAGCCTCGAACCCCTCCACTCCAAAATTAAGCTCTTCTCACAGGAAATGCTCTCTTACGTGATGGAGATCGGACTCTCCGTTAGTGTGCTCTAGAGAGGTCGTGAGTTTCGCGGGTTGATGCCAAGCTTCCGCCGCGCGATGTGGAGATATTTTGTTGGCGGAGGCCTGGCGTACGTCAGCTACCTGTGGAGGAATCACTTCCGGCAAATCAACGTTGCGGCTCAGTGCCGTTTTCCGAGCTGACGAGCCTGGGCATCTTGGCTCCGCTGCAGTCACGTCACGGTCTTTCCATTCTATACTCCTAGCATGTCTTGCTTGTAAGCCACAAAGTGTGGACCCTTCTTTTGGCGTACGTATTTCGTGCTATAGAGGCGTAGTTGCGTGCTGGACGATGTTTTTCTTCACGTAAGGACGAAGGTTTGAGGATATAGCTATTGATTAAGAAACTTCGGACCCGTGTTGCCTCCTTTCCCAATCACGCTCTGCGAGCGATGGACACGTAAGCGTGGAGGTGGGCCGCCTGATATCTTGGTCTGATCGACTTGCCCATACAGGCGTCTTCCAGAGTCTCCCAGATTCATTCGTTCGCTGCCCTGTCCTCCTCAATAGTTGTGCCCAATATATGGGAGCGTCGTACTGGAAACTAGTCGCTCGTGAAATCACCAGTACCAGCTTGTATGAGTTCTGTCTTCCTCTGTAGGGTAGAAAGCGTCGACCAGTATCCTAATGGACATACGAAAATATTTATACTAATCCACAATGGAAATTTGCCGAACATGTGGGTATCCGCCCCTTTTGCAGTCGGGTGCCCAGCTACTTATCTTCAGTCCAACTGTTCAGTCTCCAACTGTAATAGCTCCACTGTGCTCTTCTCAGCCTCCAGCTCTATTTCAAGGGCACTGACACGCTGGGTAAGGTCAGTGATTTTCGCATTTTTCGCCTTGATAGTAGCTTGAGTGACCCTCTTGTATCCTTCAGCACTTCTCGCATGTTTCGATAGCATACTTGTAAGATCCTTCTCCGTCTCTTCGCCGATTGGGACGTTAGCCCTTTGTAGTAGGCTGACCACATCTCGTACCAGATCATCTGCTGGCACATTTCTATAACGGCTTGGAGTCGAAGTTTCGAACGATGAAGAGGGTGTTGCTGTTTGAGTGGCCCCATCCCCATTGACCTGCGAGGGAGTAAAAAGGGATCCGCTCGATACCGGATATCGTGAAGCGAACGGGTCGAGGTCAGGTCTGCGATCAGTTTGAGGGGTCTCGAGTCCGTAGGCGCTGGTTTGTCTTGCCTTAGTAGGAGTTGCATCGTATGAGATTTTGACTGCCTTGCGCGGTGTCTCAACGGGCGGTGCATCAACAGGCGGTGTCTCAACTTTGATCTTGACCTGGCGGAGGCCATCGTCGGACTGTCCAAATCCATGCTCGTCGTTAGGATCTTCACTGATGGAACGAGTTCGCTTCCGGTTTAGTCCCAACGCCCCGGTTTGTGTTGTCGATGGCGATGCTGGGGAAGGCTGGCGTTTCGAGGGAGTGTTCGAATTGGGTCGATCAGGCTCGATGGGAGAGTCTTTCGGTAAAGCGAAACCGCGTTGTTCTGCTTCGTGGTCCCAGAGGAAAAAGCGACATCCTTTGGCCTCAGGGCCTTTTCCGCAGTTGCTAACTGTGCATCATGAGCCGGACGGCGGGTTGTATGAGCGCACAACAGGCTTACACCACTTGGAACGGTTTCCATTAGGTTGACGCGATCTCCAGCGTCTCGCGGGCAAATTGCAGCCGCCTACGAAGCGTCAGTGGTATATCACGGTTGTACAGATGGGCTTCCTTCCTACAATGCAAAACGCCGTCGACCAACTGCCCGTTGCCTGACATGATGGCGATAGTACAGTATAAAGCAGAGTAAGAGATGCCTAGAGGAAGCAAAACGAAGCGATCCGAAGCGATCCGTAGTCGTTGATGTTTATGAGTCTCACACTTCGAGACGGTACGGACGCAGACGTCGTCGACTGGGGAACAAGGACGGAAGCGCTGGCGGCCCAAGCTCGCTCCCGTGAACCCAAATTGCGGAGTGCCTGACAGCCCCTACAAACTGATGGGCCCACTATATGCGCGTCTCGTATTGCACCTACACTATGATTACCATGCTGGTCTTCACGTCCGTCGTCAATCGTTCTTGCGCATTCCACGTGAAATGCCCGCTCACCCTGCCGCCTTATCCGGCTCAAGATAGTGCGGGCCAACTAGGGCTCTCCTCGCTCCATCTCAGCTGCATCCCAGCCGTGGTCTCGACCCGAAGAATTCCAACCCTCCCTTCTCCTAACCAATCCCACATCCCTCACATGCTTGGCATTCCGAGTGCTACCACCTACGATTATGTCGCGTCTGCTTTTGTAAGGCTACAATGCCACTGCTTTTCCCCTTTCTAGCCCAGTAGGCATACACCTGCTGTTTTGCCAAACATGCTCATCCGGTCACTAAGACGGATTCCGCCATCGCTGCTCCTCCTCCTGGTCTTCCTCGCCTTCTTTGGATGGCAGCTCAGTCAGGGTCCTAACCATGATGCCCCTGAAGCACCGCGTGCCGAGGTGGGGAAGAAGTCGCCGAGAATCGCGGTCCTGACCTTCATTACGCAGCAGAGGTCGTATGTTTACCTGTCTGTGAAGAATAAAGACCGTGAGCTCAGCTCCCCTGTCAAGAACCTTACAGAAGCAATCATCTTACCTATATTTGATAGACTATGCCCGCCGCCATGGCTACGATCTCTTCGTCGACTACGAATCGCATACCGAGCGCGCCGTCGTATACTGGAAATTCAACATGGCGGAGAAGGTCATCAAATCCGGCAAATACGACTGGATATGGTGGTTAGACTTCGACACGCTCATCACCAACACCGACATAAAGGTCACGGACATAATTGAAGAAGAACTCCGCAACGCGACGAACCCCAATGACATCGATTACATCGTCACCCACGACTGTAACGGCTTCAACGGAGGCTCTTTTCTCATACGCGGACACGAGAGGTCACTCAAATTCATGTACGACGCGTGGGCTTTAGATGATGACGCAAAGGCAAAGGGTGAGAATCTGAACGAGCAGGACGCCTTGTTCAAGTTGATGAAAGAGGACGAGGCGGGCGCACATAGGGTGCACAAAATGCCGCAGTGGAAGCTCAATGCTTTCCCGGAGGAGATTTCTTGCTTCGACGAGTTGAGAAAGCCTTGGGAGCACGGCATGTTTGTTCTGCATTTTGCGGGAGCATGGGCACATGTCAAGGGTGAGGATCCTACCGGTTATCTTATGAAGAAATATGAGGGAGACATTATTTGGGGGGATTGGAAGGACTTCTATTAATGAATGGATTTGATGAAGACGGAGATGGACTTTGGAGTTTTGGGAGCTAAGCATGATATCCATGGATTATTGTTTCTTCTTTGATCCGTCCAATTTCTACCAAGTCACTCAGTACATTTCCCATAATAAAGCAGCAGCAGCGAAACCCATCTCCTAGTTTGCATTGGCGATGTTTCATTCGTGAAGTCATGGTGTGTTGTAGCAGCATCGTGACACCAGCCGCGAGTTTCCAACCTCTCCATCTTTGCTACTGGACTCTCACTATGACGCTGGCCTGTCCCATTCATCTCATGTTGGTAACTGCAAAAGATGATAGCTCAGCGAACACTGCATTTTTTTTCGTGTTCAATAGAACAACCTAGGCATATGTAGAGGCATTTCCTTCACTACGGGTGAACATGTGTAGCATCCTCCGAAGGTAAGAACGCGTAGAAAATATCTTGCAGTCCTTAAACCCATAGAAATTTTACTTCCGTTCAAAGATCATAGATTGTGGGTCTTTCAAGCCAGGATGTTGTATTGGAAGAGCAGAGGCGCGTTATTGTCACATCTGACGAGCATGTTCTAGCCTAACCTGAACGGCATCTCGTAATAGTCCGACACTTCGCCAACTCTGCGCCAACTCTGATCAAGTCCCATCAAGTTCGATGCCTCGAGATGTTACTAGGCTTGGTCTTGAACTTCAAGGCCGTATGTCCATTCGTCGTGATTTACAATAGTATATACTTGTGATTGCAAATCGTATCAAGTTCTGTTGCAAATCCTACCCCGGCGCATGTGTGGGTATAACTCTTCATCTCTTCTTCCAAGCATATAATGATCCGTCGCTATCTTTTGGTATCTCCTTGCATATCTCAGAGCACTGTCATGCTGTCTGTCGCCTCGCAAGTCTTCGATATCGGTCGCCAACGAACACCGAGTACACTTGTGCACCTTGTTCCAATGTTTTCCGTCTCCACCCATTCCTTTGCGCCGTGTGCTATGCTTTCCAGAAACGCCGTGAACTCTATTGCCGTGTATGCGCTGTGATCATCCCAAGACGAGCAAGTAGACTATCATGAGGACGTTGATGAAAATGAGCGGTACTATTGAACTGTCAGCGTGGCCTTCCAAACATGTTCCGAAGCCTTCAAAGGCGTCAAGGTAATGCGCATAAGAAAAGACATCTGTCATGACAGATTCTCTAGGCGGGGCCAGACATACTCCTCATTAGCGTCCGTACTGAAGACACCAAATTGATCAACCGTGCTTTGATGCTCGAATCATCGCGTTGGCCACCGAATCCAGGTTCTGCGGAGGCTGTCCAGCCGACTGTGAAATTGCTATTAGTTATATGGTATCTTGAAATGTAGGTTGTATCGAATGCTAAGTGCTAGTATAACGGAGTGTGGGCGTCGGGCGAGCTGTGGAGTTTCAGACGTACTGCGTGCGAGGAATCTGTCTTCGGAAAGGATTGCTATAGCGTTGACGAGGAGTACAGCAACTGCCTTTGTCAGTAAAGTGGTAACTGAGCCTCCATGGAGTCGCATACCGTAGAAGAGGCCACCGAGGCCGAAGAGTAGCATCGTATACGTTGAGACAGGATCAAGAGGGTGTTCTGTAAGCGTTCGTACTAAGTTGTGAGTTTAGAGGGGTCGTTGAGGCGCAAAAGTCGCTGCCTACCAGAAAGACACTTGTTGTCGTGTTGTTCGAAGTCACCGTCTTGGCATTCAAGACTGGCTTATGTAATCTTCACAGCATTTGCCTTCAAAAAATTACATCCTGGTACCGTGGAATTTCGTGCTCATCGACATGGAGCATGTTGTTGTTACGCGATCTATCAGCTTACAACATAGTCCGAATCATATGGACCTTGAATGGGTTAATGTGTCTGACTATACATTCCTGGGTAAGACTTGACACCACCACGGGAGCGTTGCTTTTCCCAAGGTTTACTAGACATAAACAGCCTTTGACTCAAGGTTAAGGTGTGTATATGTGGTCTGGCGAGTGCCCATATCGCACAGTGCAAATGCGCCCTCATGGTATCTTGGTACCTTGACTGGTCCGACCGTTCCTCGATCGCGAAGCTCGGAGCAGGGGTACGGTCATCAGCGCCAAGGCCCACATATTCGCTCTACGGATTTTAGATAACTTGTCGAACCATACAGTAAGGATAATATATGACAGGAGTGCTCCTCACTGAGATAACGGGATAGCATTTCAACCAGCATCATACAAAGCTTCACTCCAATTGTCACAACATCCTTGGGTCAGCTATAATTCTGCTCATGCTGGTGTGAGACTGCGCCTTATAAACAAAAGGCCCAGCACTCGCTCCAGACCGCACTCAGACATGTTTCCCCAGCTCGTGGGGCACGGAGACGCTACTAGTAGTTACAGGCAAGCCCGGTCACACCGTCCGTCTCATTTAATAGCTTGAACAACGTCATCGCGGTGGCACCCCTAAAGGTGGTTCTAGACCGTTTGCCCTGCAACACTTCCGATGTTAGTCCTCCGCTCATTCTTCTCTCGCAACCTGCCTCTGTAGTGCTTCGCGCTCGCCAGCTTCTGTTCGAACTCAACCCTTCTCTCACATAACCACTGCAATTACCTCGCCAACCAAGACCCGATCGACCAGTCTAGAACCATTGATCTACAGGATCTCCCCGAACATACCCACCCCACACACGTCGACAAACTGAACTCTCGGTACCTTCAACCAACACTTCTGCGCGCGACTCCCTCCATGACCTGGTCGCGCTGATCGCTCAATGTGGGAGGATCAGAGGTGCTCTGATCGTATTGTTCCTCCCACAACAGTCTTTATATGACTGATACTTTTTTGTACTACTAATTCAAGCACGGGACACGGATCGCTTTGACTACTCTACTGACGATAGCACGTCACCGCAATAATCGTAATGGCTAAGATGGAAGGCACGGAGAATGGATACTTCGACATGGACAAACGATCCAGGTCCAGATCCGCATCTCCAAGCTCGATACACAGCGACTCTTTGTCAATACATCTTCTATCTCCCTCCATTACAATGGCATCTCTTACTGCACTGCAGTACTTACCGGTCCCACTGCTTGTCTTGTCTTCACAAAAGACCGTAGTTCTAGCAAACGAGGCCATTGGCCGGCTCTTGGGAATCGACTTTGAAAGTACCGCTTTCCACGGCTCTTCCATTACAGAAGTTCTTCAAGATAAGCCTATGGGTGACCTTGGGATTGATCTTCTACAAGATGGCTCACCGTTGTTGATAACTTGGGAAGTAAGTTTGTGCTGCCATCTAGAAGATGCTATTGTTAATAATTTCGCTGACTTTGTTTAGCATTTCCTAAACACCGTTATTGAGGACTCGATTGCAAACAGCTCAGATGCAGCTGAAGAGCACACAGAGAGTGGACACTCTACCCCTACAGCAGCAACGCCACATCACCATAATGAATCTACAGCAAACAATGCATTTCCACAACTAAGTAGCACGAATCTTGCACGAACTACGGTACACGACGTGTCTGTCGAAGTAGTCATTGCATCGTTCGCTCAAGGCCCAACATGTCTAGCCCAAAAATTGGAGAGAAAAGGCTCAAACCCAGCAATGGTAGCAACTTGCATAGTCTCCATCTGGAGCATCGAGGATACCCAGTACTTCACCTTGACTTTCACAAGTGCAGCAGCAGCAGAACCACCACCCCGCAGTGCGCAGCCTTCAAGCCGAATCGTAACCCGAACGAATGCTGCATCCCATCTCCGCAAGCCCCGTAGCTCCGGATCAAGTTCCTCATCTAGTCGCCGGTCAGATGGTAACTCGAACTCGACATCACAAGTTACTACGCCAACTCTGCAGCAGCCTGAATTTCCTCCGCGTGGTCCACCTCGGAAGAGTAGCAATGATGTGTCCACTTCGGCATCCGTCTTTCAAAAAGCTTCACAATTGAAAGACGCTATTCTTAATGCTATAAATATGCCAGCATATGGTTCGTAGAGCGTTTACTTCGGTCTGTTAGAAGTTTCGGCATTGAGCTAACCTAGGGTGTAGCGATGTGGAAAGATGAAGGGTTTGGAATACCGAATAGGGCCCTGCTTCGATTGATGCCGAGAGATGGAACATATATGCCAGGCGATCAAAGAGCGTTCCTGTCACAATACACTGTATGGTCCGAGGATTTCCAACGCGAACTGCCTCTCGATGAGTTTCCGATCATAGAGCTATGCCGCACACAACAGCGCGTCGAGCAACGGCGAATCGGTATGCGACACCCGGTCACTGGCACTCGAATCGTGTTTGAAATCAGTGGGGAGCCTATACTACACGAAGACACTGGAGAGTTCCTAGGTGGTATTGTCATTCTCAAGGATATCACGCAATACACCAAGCAGATTGCTGCGCAGATCGAAGAGAACGAGAAGCAATTCGAATACATTGCGAACTTTATGCCTGTAATGGTTTGGACAACAACGGCTGATGGGATGCACGACTGGTTTTCGCAGCGCTGGTACGATTATACGGGCTTGACGGTAGATCAGTCATTAGGCGAAGGCTGGCGACTCCCTTTCCATCCGGATGACATGGCTGCAACAGCTAGTCGTTGGTTCCATTCCTTGAAATCGGGCGACGAGTATAATACCGAGTACAGGTGCCAACGATACGACGGAGAGTGGCGCTGGATGTTGGGGCGAGCGCTACCTTTCCATGACGACTCGGGGCGCATCGTTAAGTGGTTTGGGACATGTACTGACATCCACGACCTAGTAGTGGCACGGCAGGAAGCACGCCAGATGAAGGAGCAACTGCAACGAGTCATTGAACACGCTAAAATTATGCTGTGGGCTATCAACCGGGACAATAAGCTGATCCTTCTGGAGGGTACCACGGAAAAGAACCAGAGGAAGGAAAGTCCACTGGGGAAGAATATCTATGATGTGTTCGGCATGAATGGCTTAGACCAGGAGCGTTGGCAGGAACCTATTCGCGAAATCCTCGACGGCAAACAAGCAGACGAAATAGTAGAGAGATATACGTCGGGAGCTCGCTACTACCGCACACGCCTGGTGCCCTTTATGAGTTCATCCCGAATAGCAGGCGTCGAAGGCAATGCGTTTGTTGATGGGGTCATTGGCGTCTCTATGGATATCACCGAGCTACGGAAGAGAGAGGAGCAGTTGAAGGAGCAAGAGAAGGAGAACTCTAGACTTTTGGCCAATGCGGCAGCAGCGAAGGAGGCAAGTCGCATGAAGTCTCAGTTCCTGGCCAACATGTCGCACGAGATTCGCACACCGATAGCGGGTGTCATCGGTATGAGCGAGCTTCTCTTCGATATGAATCTCGATGAAGAGCAGAAAGAGTGCGCGGAGAATATCCATCGGTCAGCAAACAGTCTCCTGACTGTGATCAACGACATCCTCGACTTTTCAAAGGTAGAATCTGGACGATTAGACGTTGAAGAGGTGCAGTTTAGTCTCAGTGTGGTCCTACAGGACGTCAACAAAATGATGTCTTTCGCAGCGCAAAGGAAAGGTTTGGCGTACGAGAGTGCTATCCAGGCGGAGGTCCAAAAAGATTTGAGGGTGATGGGAGATCCAGGCAGGTTGAGACAGATTCTGACCAACGTCCTAACCAACAGCATCAAATTCACATCGGTGGGGTTGGTCAAGCTTACAGTATCGATCAGCCAAGAGACAAAAGATGTTGTTACCGTTAATTTCGCAGTGAGCGACACGGGTATCGGAATCGAAGAGGAGGTCAGGAAGCGTTTATTCCAGCCCTTCAGTCAGGCAGATTCGTCCACGGCTCGTAGATTCGGCGGCACGGGTCTGGGGTTGACGATCAGCAAAAACTTGGTCGGGCTGATGAAAGGCAATATCTGGCTAGACTCTCGGCTTGGTCAAGGAACTACCGCAACGTTTTGGATACCATTCAGCAAAGCACCTTACCAGGACGACGGCTCACCTTTGGTCAATCTCGAGTCTATCCCAGATCGTCTCCAAAGTGATGTGTCAGTATCTGTCGGCAGCGCTGAAGATCGCACACCACCACTAACACCGAATATCTTTAACGGGCACTCCCGCCTCCCATCATTTCCACTCTTGAACACTAATATTCCAGATCATCTTATGAACCTGTCGGATAGCGAGAGACAGAATTTCCATATTCTGATTGTGGAGGACAAGTAAGTGGACCTATTGCTACCTATATTGCTCTTGACATGTGTGTTCTGACCACGTGCACATAGCCATATCAATCAACAGATTGCCTTGAAGACGATCAAGAAGCTGCACTTCTCGGTCAATGCTGTTTGGAATGGCCAAGAGGCTTTGGACTACCTTATGAAGGAATTCGGGCCAGGCCATCCGCGTCCTGATATCATCTTGATGGATGTCCAGGTACATATGCAGGGTAGACTGATCGCATAGAGCGCTTGCTGACAATCGTCATGTAGATGCCTATCAGAGACGGGTACAGTGCCACGCATGCCATTAGGACCGAAGCAGCCTGGAAAGATAAACCCGAAATTCGGAGCGTCCCAATTGTCGCCATGACGGCCAGCGCTATTCAGGGGGACAAGGAGAAATGCACCCTTGCTGGTATGGACGTGAGTATTGCTCGGCGAATGAACCCCTATTCGATATCGTAGTCTCGTGATGCTGACCATGTGTAGGACTACTTGGCCAAGCCCGTCAAAGGAAAACTACTCGAGAAGGTAAGTTCCTTGAACCCCATAGTGGGTCCGCTGACTCTTGGTAGATGCTTGTCAAGTGGGCGATCGAGGGACGGCGAAAAACGGCGAGGAGAAAACTACCCACAAACGACAATGATCAACATGGCGTCGCGTCCAAATCGGCCCCAACTGCCGTAGCAAGCCTTAGCGCAAAAGATCATCCGCAGGTGCAAGGTTTCCCGATCGAACCTGAAACAACGGCGCAAGCACTAGCTGCTCGACTTCACCGCCTCCACTACCAAAGTGATGCGGCCCTTGCGAGAACCACCGAGGACGAGGGTGACAGGGCTATACGGCGCATTCATGCCGAAGAGAGAGATACCAAGTTGCGTGACGACAAATTACTCTCTCTCGGTGGGCCGCAGCTGTTCCACCATCATGGTGCTCAGGAGGGGGACATTGACCCCTCGATGCCGCTTACTGAGGAAAACATCGAGAAGCTCGTACACGAGCAGGCGGACGCGGATTCCATCGTGCCACGGAACTTGGACTCACCTGATGCAAGCTCGAGCATAGTCAACCAACCTCAAAGTCGAAGTGATAGTAGACAAGGACTCCTGCTGCCTCGGCCGGTCCTGCCGAAGGCTGGACTGCGTGAGAGCGAGCAAACGATTACAGAACGGAACGCGAGTGATTCGGAGCGCAAACGCTGAACCTAGGAGGCCTCTATTCAGGTCGAGAATGATTCTTAGCTCCTAGTATGTGGCAGTCGCATGTGTATGCACTACTGCTGCCCAGAACGCCAGCAATAGGTTGCAAGGAAGCACAAAGTTTTGGCAAATGCAGCTCGTGCATTCGAGCGTGGGACTGGGGAAAACAATGTTGACCGAGGTTCTATGGCCATGATACTGCGGCTCGCGGTTCTGGGGGTGTCACTAGGATGTCCATTGGATTTGTTGGATGTTAATAGTCGGCGACCACTAGCCTCACTTAATTCGCACAGGTCTTCCTTGCGGCTTGGCGCACTTTTTTATTCACAGACAGCACGCACGATAGCAACTGTGTTCAACGGTCGCATTGGATCCCTGCAGCAAAAAGGGGAATGCGGGTATCTTCATGCAGCATGTACGTGCTCAAGAACGACATATTTCTCCAATCACATGGCCGAAGCCGATACAAGATGGAGCATCTCCACGGAGTCCAAAGCGTCCACAACGGCTGTCAGATTATTCTACATGGGTGGTACTAGTATATCACGCGTTTGCAATACGTGCATGAGAGCGCCAGGGGGATGCCTGGGTCACATCAACCATATCGTGAACTGTGGATGGTTTAAGATGGTAGACGTTATTGAGATCTGCGAAGACACCATGCGCCCATCACTGCTTCGAGATGGCTACCACGCTCAAAGAGGTGATCTTCCAAATACCCCCCCTACCAGTCTCCTGGTTCGAGGATGATGATCGGCAAAGTTCTCTTGATACTAAACGCCTGATGATCCAAGATTGCACGTGGACTTGGAGCTTTGTTGAAATGGCACAGACCTGGTGGACGGAAAATGACCGCAGGTTGATAATTGGACAATTGGCGCTACGTTTAGGGGTGTTACATCGGGCCTTGACACCTTGCTCTGCGGCATGCGACCACGGACACTTTGGGCACCGATGCATGATTGGTCAGTATGGCAAAAGAAGTGGCATTCTGGTTAATGTACCATAACACTGGGTACTCGATTCGCTGCCTCGCCGACTACTTTTTGACTGACTGGACTTGCAATTTCTCAATTGCTGCTATACCCGGCTCGAATGGAAGTGTGCGCCACTCTACCCATAGAAGCATAGATACAGAAGAAGGCATTTTAATGCCAAGCACACAACCCGGAAACCAGCGCGGAAGGGGACTATTCCGCAGCATCAACATTGAGCATTTTGAAGTCGGAGAGTTGCCTGAACATTGTATATCACACACCATGTTCTCGTAAAGCTGAGCATCTGGTTTTTGTTTGACGATTTCTTCAGTCATTGGACTAGACAGTCGACAAACTGCTGCAGAAAGTAGCTGCAATATCGGGAATAAAATAAAAAAACCAGGCTTACCAAGAGCTTATTATCGAAATATAGTCAACGAGCTTGGCAAGCCGTGGGAGACAGTGCAAAGGCAAACGGTTAAACTCTGGTTGATGTAGGCAGGCTAGGGATGCAGGGTCTGGTGGAGGAATGCGGAGCCCTGGTCTAACCCTGGGCGTGAATAAGTAGCCAATCTCACACTCACGGGGGGAGTGTTGTGGGCGTATAGGGTTTTATCGTTTGGCCGCTTCTCCTCAAAAAGCACATGGCGGCTTATTAGCACGATAGTAGTATTCGGCCCGCAGCCCTACCGTCAAGACGCCGCGTTCGTTCACCAGATGTGGAACAAGGACATGGGGCAGAGCAGCGTAGCGCAAGACGTGATGTTGGCGTGGAGCTACACGGTGCAAGTGACTTTTGGGCAAGCCAGGATGGAATGCGCATGCTGATATGATATGGAGAGCGGGAGGGCGTTTGTCCTATCAGATGTTCCCTGCATAATGAGGCGCCTCGCCGGAGTGTGTGAGGAGATCATGGGAACATGGGTCACACACTCGAGTCCCCGTACGTAGGCTTGGAGATGCAAGGCGGCCCTTTGCGTCCCCAAACCTGACCATTCACGGGCGGGTTTGCTGTCTCAAGCCACCTCCATGCAGCGGTGAGATGGCAGCTTCCGAGAAAGGTGCTTTTTTTTCTCTTAATCTCTACTTCTCTTTCTGGTGGTGGTTTGCCACGTCGGGCAGCCAGCCCACCCAGGAGCAGATTTGGTTCTTCCAAGCCACGCTGCAAGTGTCGACGCACACCAGCACGGCGTCGTGAGAAGCAACTGGATAATAAGGCGCCATTGTGGATGTGTGAAGATGCAAAGCAGAGTCAATGGCAGGGCAGTTGCCAGCCGTACCCTTGACCGCTCCTACCTCATCTTGCATGCTTGCTGTCCGGCAAGACACCGCGGGAACGGTCGCCAATGACAGCTCGCTTATGCGCGTCTGTGCACGCGCTAATACCCTCGATGACGGCATTGGAGCCAGCACAATTCACACCCTCCTCCCCCGTCGTCTGGTGGGATGGATGGATACAGCGCCAGCCTTGGCTCTCATCATGGCCTCGCAGCTAACCCCTCGTTCCGCGACACGACAGGCCCAAGATAGCCCCCAACCGTCTTGCTGTGTCTTGACTCGGCCCTGCTACACCATGACGCTCTTCTGTTGGAGCGGTTGACCCAGTCTTGGGCCTGATTGGAGCCAAGCGTCAAGACGTCTGCGGTGCGGGACTCGAGGGCGGAAGGGTGTTTTGGAAGCAGGTACAGTGACCCTAGCAAGCACTATACACAACAACGAGGGGCCCTGAGTGAATGAAGCAGCATGGCAGATGCCGAGATTGCTCCTCTCGTGACCCTCAGCCTACCTACCTATATCCAGCCTGCAAAAGAGGGTGCATGGCGATCAAACGCTTGACCAGTGCTTAGCCTGCACGCACAGTCGCTGTTTGAAAGGAGAGGCTAATTTCCCTCGACGCGTCTGTGCAAGGCTCAAGGCGTCGCGGCTTGACAAGAGAGAGTCAGACAGAAGAAGAAACGGGACGGCGGAGCCAGCGCTAGGGCCGCCGACTGCTGAGGGGGGTACTTGTTCTTCACAGTCGTCGCGTTTACGCAACCCGACGTGGAGATGGAGGAGGGATGGTGACAGCGGTCCGAATACCGCAACAGCAGCGTCTTCGGGCAGTTTGCGGCGCGCCATGCACTCTGGGAGAGCAACACGCCTTAGCAAAGGGCCTTTTTTTCCCATCCTTCTTCTGTGTATGTTATCGACAGAAGCAACGGCTAGGGGGAGATCGGTCTCTGATCGTCAGGATGGGACAGGACACCATGGCCGCCGCACCCGTCAGCAAAGCGGCCGGAGTATTTCACAGTCGTCGCGCATCAGGCTAGCGCACATGGACTAAAACGGCAGCATGCAATTGTGAGTGAAGGGACTAGTCCGCTTCAGGGCCCCTGGACGAAACCCTGGCTTTTGGTGTGGTGGTCACTGCACGCCAAAACAAAAGGCAAAAAACCCCTCCCGCCCCCCCATCGGCCACTGAGTCGCGGGTGGTGGGCGGCGGCGGCGGCGGCGCTGCGATGATGAGGTTCGTGATGCTAGCGGCCACGGCCAATCCTGGTGCATCATCGCCGCCTGATGATGGTTGGCAACAGTCAGCGGCGGCAGTAATAGTAGTAGTGGTAGCAGTAGTAGCAGCAGTAGAGGCTGCCTTTGTCTTGTAAGTAGTAGCATGAATGAAGCACACACACACTGGAGCATACATAGAGGTATTATGGGGGCAGCAGATGATACCGCGCGGCCGGTGGGCATTTGACTCTTCTTTGCTCCCCACACGCCTAAAAGCAGCCTTGAAGGCACTGTGCTAGTGGCGCCCGAGCCCTGCACCTGCATCGACGTAGTGCGCCCGGGGTTCGAGCAGCCAACCTGGTGCTGCTGGTGCTGGTGCTGGTGCTGCTGGTGCTAATGCTGCTAATGCCGCTGCTGCTAATGCTTGGCTTTCCAAGCCTATGATGGAGGAGGTGCTGTGAACCCAAAGACGTAAACCCTCCAAGCAGCGGAATTTAACAATCAACCTCTCCCCAATTGATGCCCGCTGATCATCCCTCACCCAACCCCACCCAGTTCCAAACCTTCCCTCTTCTTCCTTACCACAACATACGTTTCAAAGACTATCCATACCCTATTCATCACTGCTCCCTTCGCATCCTTTCTTCTTTGTCGCTGGGCCCTGTTGCGCTCCCACGAATCACATTGGCCGACCTCCTCCCACGGCCGACACGCAACCACCCGCTGCACAGTTACCCTCTTCTCCACACGCTGTGCTGCATTTGAAACGCTCGAGCGCCCTGCCACTCCCATCACTGGTGTCCGCAGCGCCCTATTCCCAATTTCGCCGGACCATCGACACGGGCTCCTGCCTAGCAGAGGTCAACTGATCGGCATACCGAGGGGACTATCATTACTCGACTCGGACTACCCACAGCAAAGCGTCTCCCCAGTATCAGACTCAAGTTCAAAAGCTCGCAGATCCCACCGCTCTACGTACCTGGGATCGACTCGACTCCACGTTTTCGACCCTCGAATTATCTCGTTTCACCCTTTGGATCTACTAGTCGTCCCGTCCATCTACTACATCATCATCATCATCACCCTTCCTTTCCTCACTTGTCTACCTCATCGCCTCGGATCGCAATGGCAATGGCAGTCGACAATCGTCAGCAGTCCCAGCTCAACGGCTTGGGTTACGAGCATATGCGCTACCCGGCAGCACCACCACCACCACCACCACACTTCACCAACCCATGGGTGTCAGCCGGTCCCTCGCCGCAGCAGCTGTACTCGAGCTCCGTCGCACCCAACGTGTCGGCTGGCCTGGAGCACGCGAGCCAGCGGCCCACCAGCATTGCCATTCCCTACCACAGCCTGGCAGTCACGGCACCTACCATGGGACAAGGTATTACTACTCTCCCGGATGCCAACTATGCGGCCCAAAACTTACTTGATACCTCCCAAGATCTCCTGTCGCGGGGTTACACTGGTGGTTACGCTACCTCTGCCTCACCAAACAACCAAACCTATGCACCCACATCGGCTCCTTATTCTCAGGTCGAATATGGCAACACAGAGAGAGGTCCATACACATATCAACAGGATTCTTCCCGTCGATCTTCACACCCGTCAGTCCCCTCACTAGCATTCTACGAGCCTGTGGAAGCCCAGCGCCAGCGCCAAAGTTCACTTGTTGACTTTAGCAGAATGAATACCCAGCAACAATCGCGCACCAGCTTCAGCGATGCCCTCGACGCCAGCCGCGGCATGGTGTCCCTGAGCCAGTCTGATATCACCCCGAGGAACATCTATGGCTCTCAGGGAACCAGCCGCAGCTCCACCGACTCGTACGGCTTCCCCTCGACCCACTCGGCACACTCGTCCATTTCGTCAGCCAGCTACGGCCCGAATGGCTACTACGGTGGTGAAGGTTCCGTGACCGACTACAGCTCTGCATCCGAGTCGGTCGACCTCACCCATTCGCGAACCCTGCCCCGCCCCAGCGCCCTCCTAGGCGCCGCCATGCCTCCTGCGCCTCAATCCATGATGAGCCAGTTCAGCTCAAAGGTATCGTCAAGCTCTCAGAAGAAGCACAAGTGCAAGATTTGCGACAAGCGCTTTACTCGCCCAAGCTCGTTGCAGACCCACATGTATAGTCATACTGGCGAGAAGCGTAAGTCACAGCTGGCAACCTTTTTGAAATCGAAGAAAGCAAAAAAAAAACTAATTCATATGACAGCTTTTGCCTGTGAGGTGGAAGGCTGCGGTCGCCATTTCTCAGTTGTATCCAATCTGAGGAGGCACCGAAAAGTACATAAGGGAGATGGAGCCATGGATGCCCCGTCTCCAGACGACGCTTAAACTGTCGATCACTCAAGTGATCAACATTGTTGATTCACATAGCGCGCCCAACCTTTCTCGGACTTCACGTCGTTGTTTTCCACAGTCACCGTTTGCGTTTTGAGATATCCACCGTCGCATTTTGGTTCGCATGATAGACTGGGACCATTTCACGACCAAAGAGACGACTCTTCTTCTATCCATCGCTGCACCACAGGTTTTTCGAGATACCTACCCAGCCCCTCTCTGCAGCTGAGGGGCTGTTGCGGAGTTTTGGCGTTCGATTTCACTGCGAGTACCCTTTTTCCCTGAGCGACATTTTTCGTCGTTCACCTGTATCAATACGCTGCTACCTACACTGGTCCCTGGTTTCCTTTGACTTTTTTTTCTTTTTCGTTTAATCCCTCTACCGACCTTTTCTTGGCTCGTCACGGGCTTCGGCCCATGTCGTCATGGAGCATCACCATTCGTTATTATCTTTAATATTTTAGACCCTCTTTAGCACCACGCTCGGTCGGATATATCGTCGAGGTGGTATGCATGACGTTTGTACAGTAGTAGCTTGAAGGCGATTTACCCAGCAAAGAGTTGCCAGGGTGGCTTCGCTCGTTTCAGACGAGTGCAGCAAACGAGCGAAAATGACGCACGCATTCCGTGTAGGATATGAAAGGAATGCGCCAAAATCATAGACCCTGTTATCGTTGCATTATACCGTCCCGGGTCCCTTTTCCTCACAATCTGACACAGTGACGTCTCCGCCCTCGTCATCTGATCCTGCTGAGCACACACAGGAAAACCACCAGCCTGTCTCCGCAATGCCATCAATGGCGTCCGGGTCTTGAACCAGGTTCTTGACTTGGCGTACATCATCCTGCGTCAACCCCCCTGCTAGAGGCGCTGGACCCTGAATCCACAACCCCCCAACTGTCAGCGAGTGGGATGCCTGCCGATGGCACTTGGGGGCGCTCGGGGCTATCTTCAAGAGCTATGCTATCGTTTGTTGTGTGCTGGCGTCTTCCCTGCTCCCTGTCGCCGTATCGGAGGCAGTACAACGAGAGGGTAGGGTGAGCAGCCCGTAGTGGTTCAGCCAGCCATGCCCCCCGGTGGTTTCAGGCGAAAAGCAGCTGGGTGCTGACATAGTGTTGGACTTCTCGCTCATCAGGCAGGTCGGTTGCAAGTCTTGTCTTTTGGCATATAGTGTGTATCTACTTTGAATAATAACCGCTTATTAACGTGGGCCAGCTCGTACCGAGGCAGACTGTGAGATCAGATCGTGCTGTAGCGTGCCTGACTGACCGTTAGGGCCCTGCCTCCTTTTTCTTTCTCCCGCAATGATCATCTGTAGGACGCGACACCTCACAGCAACACGAAACACAAGGCTGACGAGCCGCGGTTGCGCCGTCGCGGTTACGGGACTCAGACTGTGATGGTTGGAAAGGGTCAGCACTCTTCCAATCCCTCCGGTAACCGGCTGTCCATTCACGGCTCCTCTGTAAAGCCATCCGAATGCACCTTGCCACCCGCTTCGGCAGCTCTATTTTTTTTCACAGTCTTCAAAAACTTTGCACATATCACGAAAGACAGAGTGGCAATGGTTAGTTAGTTACTAGCCACCCCGTTGCGAGGCAGCGTATCAATCGCAGCCCGCCCCCGAGCAACCACATCCATCTTCTAGTCAATTTCAAGCGTAGCTTCCGCCCCAATTACAAGTTTAAAGCCACGCGCTTTATGTGCTAGCCTAGCTATTATTTAATATTTTTTTATTTTTACGTAGCTTTATTAGCATTTTAGTTTTAAAATAGCAATGCTACTAAATATAGTATAATTTAATTTAAGTATAAAAATTATTAAAAAAGCTATAAAAATAGTAAAATATTATATATAGCCTAAATTTAGTTACAGGCAATATTATTAGCGTAGTATTTTTAAAAAGTACGTGTATATTAAAAGTAAGGCTTTTTATAGTAGTAAAAAAAAAAGCTATTTTAGCTAGTATTATATAATTTATAATTAGTATAAAGCTTAATTTATATTTAATTAGCAGTATTAAATATAAAAAAATATTTTATACGTACTAAAATAATAAGTAAAGCTATTTTTAACTATTTAAATAATAATTATAAAATTAGTAGCAGCAGTATATATATTTAAATTAGTTTAAGTAGTAGCTTTAGTAAATTAATAAAAGCATAAGCACAGGCTATAGTTTCTAGAAAAGAGAGTACTAATTGTGGCGATGACCCTACTTGTGAGACAGCAAAGTTGACTGGAGCGAGACACCTCCCCGCCCCCCGAATTCTCTGCTCCTTCCTTGTACGTGTGGTCGGCTCATGTTTATTATTTCCGCATACTAGGAAATCCAGGGATGCGAAGTTTGTAGCCTGCCTGCCCATTGTGACTCTTCTCCTCCCACTCGTGACAGACAACCCACAATCCGCGCTACCGCCTCAAGTTTAAACGAAGCACTCAAATCCTTCTCGAAAAACTGCCAGGTATGCTTCCAAATGGCATGCATTATGGACGTCCTTGCGTCCCATCCCTGAGGCGAGAAGAAGGGTCTCTCCAGCGGTTAATGGCAAGGACAGGGTTCTGAATCAACAATGCGGCTGTTGCGTCAACGGAAGTGCGGGGAGAGATGGTGAATTCAATCTTCATTCATTTAGGATGCAATTTGCGTGGCGTAAAGCAGCACCACCGCCACCAGTCACAGGTCACTCTTATTTCCTGATTACACACGCAATCCTTCCCATCTTCGAGTAGCGCCAACGCAACGCAACGCACCATGCAAGCCCTCAAGCGGCATGAAACCCGCTCAGCGATGCTGCAAGTCATAAACTCGGCAGCAGTGAACGGTAGAAGTTGCATGTACCCGTGCCAAGAGCGCTCCACCGCTTCTTTCTACCACCCCAAGTAACAGTCAAGTAACAGTCAGTATCTAATCTCCTCGCCGGAATGCAGTGTCGCCCAACGGCGAGAGACATGGGTCTGACATCGAGACATAACGGCCGTCGCGATACCCCACCATCTACCAGGAGCAGTTTCAGCACGCTGCAGTCGAGCTAGCCACTGACCACGCGCACTTCGCTTCTCTCTTACCGCTAGTTTGAACCTTCCTAATATGTCCAACCCGAAGTTGCTCCACCCTGGGATCCATAAGACTGTTGCACGGCTTGCGTCAAGTGCCCTGCAATTCCAATCACTATTCATGGCAAATCGCCTTCGTATGGCGATGTCGGAGTCTTGCACCGAATCCTCACTCTCTTCCATAGGAAATCTTCGGCCGCTTCGCCTTGTTGCTGTCCTCGTCTTCCTCGTCTTCTGCCTTCTTCTTCTTACTTCCTCCGCCTGTTTTCTTCGTACCGTTCGCTGTAGGCTGGCTTGACTCGCGCGTAGGAAAGGACGAGGTTGGTGTAGCTGCGTGCGAGGGAGTCGTCTGTATAGACGCAGGTGTCGATACTTCCTAAGGAGCCAAATTAGCGGAACTTCTTTGGCCTCATGTCCACGTCGCAGAACATGGTCGTGTGTCCCTCAACATACTCTCAGAAAGGCATTCGAGCTCCGGCTGAAGATCCTATCCACATCGCTAATCGGAGCCTTTCGCCGCGTCGCAGTTCCCGCTCCGCTTGTCGTAGTCGTAGTCGCAGCGCCCTTGATGTAGTTGTCGAAGCCCTTGATGATGTTCCCGGCGCTCGTTTCTTCGAGGTACTGCGTCTCGACGCGCAAGATGTTCTCCTCGAGCTGTAGCTGCACGGAAAGGTAAGCACATGTCTTCGAAAACCCGGGGGTTGCTTTGTGTACCAGATTGTTATCAAGCAGCCGCTTCTTGTTCAATGATTCACGTAGGTCGCGTCGTAGTCGCTCGTAGTAGGGCATTCCGCGCGAGGCATCAGTGGAGGTATTGTTTGCGCTTCCTGGGGGCGCATTTTCGGCCATCGCGTAAGCCGGCGTGCTCAATAGCAATCGGGTAGTTGATATAGCGAAGTAAAGTTGTTCTCAAGTTTGTTATATAGCGGATTAGACGTTTGTGCCTCCCTCAACGTTCGGGCCAGGAAGTAAACGCGGAGGCTAGCGCGTCTTGGCGCGCTCTGGCCTTGAAGCAAACTACCAAACTCCATCGCAATCAAAAGCTGTCACCCACTCTCTCCCGCCGAGCACACGACACCAGCGCTCTCAACTTCAGCGTCTTCGCCCGGTCTCTTTAGCAACACTTATATAAAATCCCCGCTAACTCACGCGACCAACCAACCCGACTACTCCCCACCTTTACCATGGCCATGGATGCTAAAGAGATCGAGTTTCGCGGCAAGGCGATTGGCAAGGCGGTTCAAGAAAACGAACCTAGCGCCTCTGTCCTAAAGCTACTCAACGACCTGAAGACTGGCGTTCATGCGACCGAGGATCTGTTGCGCCAGACAAGAATCGGTGTTACCATCAACCGCCTCCGCACTCACAAAGACCCCGCGGTACAAAGGCTCGCTACAGAATTGGTCTCGAAATGGAGGGACGAGGTCAAGAAGCAGCCGAAGAAGGGCACCCCGGCGAAAGTGGCAGCAGCGAACGGCAGCGCATCACCTGCTCCGCCGTCAGGCACATCATCTCCAGCTCCAAGTCAGGCAAAGAAGAAGCACGATGTGCCTGCCGACAAGCGCAACTACAAGACGGACAAGGTGAAGTACCAGGTCACTGGCGAAGAGCCCCGCGACAACTGCGTACGGTTGATGTACGACGGCCTGGCCTTTATGAGCGAAGCCCGTAAGTTACCGCACGTGAGCTACCTTTGTACCTTGCTTACCCATTTCTAGTTCCCGACGAGATTCTCAACGTCGCGAAACAAATCGAAGCCGCCGCCTACGCCAACGCGGGCAGCCTCAACGACGCGTACAAGGGCAAGATACGCTCCCTCTTCCAAAACCTGAAGAGCAAGTCCAACCCCCTACTCCGCAAGCGCGTCCTCTCGGGCGAAGTCCCCGCCAAGAAGTTCGTCGTCATGACACACGACGACATGAAGTCAGATGCGCGCCGTGCCGAGGACGAGAAGCTGAATAAAGAAAACATGAACGAGGCCATGGTTGCGCAGGTGGAGAAGTCCGTTTCGAAGGAATTCCAGTGCGGAAAGTGCAAGCAGAAGATGGTGTCGTACAGCCAGGCGCAGACGAGATCTGCCGACGAGCCCATGACGACGTTCTGCGAGTGCATGAACTGCGGCAATCGGTGGAAATTTTCCTAGGAAGCGTTTTGAGAAGATTGAATTGGCGGTTTCAACGGTGCATGGTGTACTGTTCTGGATGTTTGCAAAATTGAGGAACGGGCGTTTTTCATGGGCATGGTGGAGGGCGTCGGTATACCTTGGTGTTTCTCATTCCCGAATCGAGGGGTCCTAGAGCTGCACGCAGCTTTGTATGGACGTTTTTTCAGTTTACTTTTATAGGTTCGAGTTGAAGAGTGGTATGACTAAGGTGTAATCTTATATCAGTATTTGGTGTGTCTATTCTTTGACTGCTGTCGTTCCTTCTTCTCCCTACTTGTTCTTGATATATGCAGGAGGACTACGTCTACAGGCAGACTGAGTAATTGGATGCATACATTCAAATGCCCGTCCGTCGGCTCTAGGAACGCTCCACGCATGGTTATGTTTCTGGTGACACGACAGCCGCTATATTCCTCATACGCATCGTCATGGACCAGCCAGAACAAACGATAAGTTTGCGAGGTCAAGGACGTGAGAGATATTGCAGTCTGTTGGTTCTAAGTATGTGGTTTAGGGGGGTGAATAGATGTAGGCATGGAAAGAGCAAGTTCTTCGCGTCTATTTTAGTTCAATCAATGCATGTTAGAGAAGAAATGAATTCTCCTAGTTGCAATTCGTCTTTCATGCCTCCCTCCTTCTACCCCTTGCTATATCCAAGTCCCAAGCCTTCATCCAAAAGAAGAAAGCGAGGAAGAAAAGAAGAAAGAGCAGCAATATGCACATGCATTCCGCCAAACAGCAAGCAGAGCAAATGAATAAAAAAGTAATTACACAAAACGCTTTCGTCAATGCCATTTCATTGGACTTGGCTTATACCACACGTGGGGGTCGGTCAGCTCAAGAGTCCAGGGTTCAGATCAGATAAAAGGAATAAGGCTAAAAGCCTACAGCCATGTTTACGTTTCCAGTTAGGAATACCGCGAACAGATGCGCGCGGAAGGAAATTTCCCAAGGGCCATCTAGTAGTTTTCTCAAATCCAAGACCCGTCTTTTGTTCTTCGGATCATGTAAGAATCGCACTTGTCGCCTAGAACTTGAATGTGCTCTTCTTCCTGCCTAGACTGAATCGGTTCTTCTCTTTGCTGCCGTCCTTGTCTTTGTCTGCGTCTTCGGACTCGCCGTGACTTGCAGGCTCTACACTCTCTTCATGTTTGTCTTTGCCCCAGAACTTGGGTTTGCCCTTTAGACTCATGCTGGTATGTCGGAACCGGTTGAGCCCACCCATTCCCTTTACACTACCGAATCCGTTGGCTTGCTTGTCCTTTTCTCCAGCCCCACTCTCTGTAGGTGTAGCGTTGTCGCCGTTCTTCTCTCCGCTTCCAACGCGCTTCTTGGCATCCTCTTCTGCCGACGCTTTGCTAGCCGCTAGTGCCAGACGGAGGTCTTCTTCTTGTTTCCGGTAGTTTTCGCGGCGTTGGATTTCCATATCTTTGCGCTTTTGCTTGGCCTGTTTCTCGAGTTCCTTGGCGGCGGCCTTTGCTTCCTTCTCTTCTTTGCCTTCTTTCTTGAAGAGCCCGAGATTGCTTTTCTTTGAGCCGAGGACGGGGATGTGCGTTGAGACGTGTTCGATGGGGTGGTGTTCGGTGTTGGTGGGGACGTGTGCGAGAGGTGGTGCAGTGGCGGCATGGTTGAGACTTGCGAATTGGTCCTCTTCTTCGACTGTAGGCGTCCGAGGTTGGTGGAAAGCATGATGTGCGTGCCCATTTGCGGCGCCGTTTGCTTTGGGCGTTGTGACTGTTACGAGATCCTGATTGAGCTGTGTCGCTTGTTGGGCCGCGGCGAGGCCTTCGGCTTCTTGCTCCTTCATCATGGCCTCTTCCGTAGTCTCTTGATAGAACAAGACGTATGCGCAGGCTAGAACGTTTTCGCCGCCAAAGAAGTTCCTGACGTATGCCTTGTCTACCGGCTCTACCATTTCGTCGTCGAACAGCAGCCAGCCTCGATCTTGCGTCTTGATGATTGATACGTAGTGACCATGATATGGTCCACCGCCAATATGTACAACCACTGCATATAGCTCATATAGCCTATCCGGGTCCTCTGCGTCGTCTGTTGTATTGAATAATCGGAGATAAAAGGGATATACTACGCGGTGGAACAGCTTCTGCAACCGCTGGAGGTCTTCGGTATACTTGAACCTCTTCAAATGCAGCGCTAGGATCTTCGGTAATCGCTTGATCTTCATCCTCTTCTCCGCTTCTTGTAGGCCTCCGCAGTTGTCGCAGTGGAATTTGTTCCGCTCGCAAAGCATCTCTTCTTCGGAAAATTTCCGTAAGCAGCTCGTCACGGAGGAGTGTTGCTCGAGATCGACAGATAGATCTAGGAAGGCCTCGTCTCGCTGGGAGGTGTTTTCACAGGTAAGACAGCGTGTCTCGGACGTTAGCGTGCCCTCGAAAAGTTCGTGTACCCATCCCGAATTTGATTTATTGGAAGCTGTCGAGTTTTGGTCCGGCACCACTTCCCCCGAGGTAATGGTCTGGCCATTCAGCTCCGACTCGGCCTCTGTTATGCGATTCTTGGAATAAAAGTCGACATTCTCCACCACCTCGTTTAGTAATAGGTTGAAAAACTCATGTGCGTCCTGGTGCATGGGCGTTCTAAACATTTCATTGTCCCGCCGCAGAATCTCGAGCAGTTTGTGCGGGCTCACTACGCCTATGCGTGAGCGGTGTGCTATCATGGCCTCGAATATGTCTTTGAGAGAGGAGAATAATGATTCGTTCATGCCGTATGATTTTGAATTCTCATAGTCCATCTGCAGCACAGGGCCTGCGGCCAGGGCCTGCTTCTTCTTGTACTCTGGCGAGTCCTTGTTGTCCTCGGGCTTGGTGCCTGGAAGGCCATTCTGTGCGCCTGGCGTTGTTGCGGGCTTTGCGGGTGCTCTTGTGGGGCTGGATATCGAAGTCCGCCCGGGTGGCGAAAGGGGCGAGTTCTGACCATTGGGAAGGTTCGTGTTGAGTCGGGGTAGAGGCGCAGATGGGGGCCTCTCGAGGGCTTCTGGTGGCGATCTAGCCGGGAAGTTGATGACCTGTTCTCGGAAGGGGGCTGAGTAGTATAGGCATTGGACTATCGAGTTGCAGTAGCTGAAGGCAATGGGTAAGCGCTCAGTGGGGTGGATGTTGGTGGGAGTGTGCATCTATACCATGTGCTTCCAAACTGCGGCGTGGTTAGCCCGAGGACTGGCGCGGCGCAAGTGCACAGGAGGACTCACATTCTCGAATCCAAAGAACTTGTCGCTGCCGTCGCTGCGCAGAGGTCCCGCATTGACTAGCAGCTTCTCTAGCGGTGTCGGTTCCGGGGCATTGGGATCTTTCTTGACAGGTGCAGTGCCGGGTGCTGGGCTTGCTGGCGCCTGTAGCACAGCTGTCAGTACCAGCAGGCATTGCGGGCCAGCGCAGGGAATGCAGGGCGGCAGAGCAGACTCACAGCATTGGACTTGATACGGCTGAAGAAGGAACTCATGGTGGCGGGCGCAGTCCGGGGCCTCGTTTGCTGTGGCCTGGCTATCTACGGCTATGGCTATAACTAGGTAGTGGTGGTGGTAGTAGTGGTGAGTGAAAGGCCGTCGAGGCGTGAAGGAGGAGCGTCGGGCAGCATGGGGAGCGCAGAGAGCAGAGGCAGCGCGTGGGAGCAGAGGCAGCAGCAGAAGCAGAAGCAGAAGCAGAAGGATGCACTTGATTGCAACGGCGCATAGGAAGGCTGGCAGAGAAGGGAAGCAGAGCCGGAGCCGAGAAGGCGAGGCTTGGGGGGAGCAAACTAGCATTAGCATGACTAGCAGGACTAACAGACAGGCGACCCATCCCATCCCCCATCAGATCCCCACGACCAGGAAAAAGGGCCCCGCGCCACGAGGAGGAGCCTGCGAACCGCCCTGGTGCTACATGTTGGGTGGGGCGGAAGAAGATGCATGGAACAAAATCTCTTGTTCTTCCTCTCTCTCTCTTCTCCATTCTTCTTTTCTTTTTCTTCTCTCTTACCTTCTTTCACTCTTTTTCTGACCTCTCTCTCCCACCAGATGATAAAAAGTCTCTGCGCCGCCCGCCCAGCCGTGCCTGGCACAGTCAAGACGCTCAACGCCGCAGCCAGGCTAAAGTCGACCACTCACCCCTCGCCCGTTCTAGATCAAGCAGCCCAAGCACCCGTTGGCGCTTGTTGGCATCCTTTTCTGCCTCCTTCTAGCGCCTTCCTGTTCCGTGGTCGTAGTGACATGACATGCAGCTGGAGGCCTGCCTGCTTCATCCAGACCCTTCACTCTCTAGACGGCCGACCTTGTAGGCACACGTTCACGTATGATAGTATCCCCACTGCACCTAGTCATTGCAATCTCACAATTCATTCCAACTCTCTCTTCTATGGCTGCGAAACCATCAACATGGTACAGGTACAGGTATAATGATGCGCGTGCCACCCCCGCAACGCCCCCCAGTACAACGGCCCACCCCAGCGCTGCACACCACCTGCGTCGTATTCTCATAACCACGCCCTTGCCGATCCATCTCCGACGCCGCTGGAAATGCAAATGCAAATGCCGCCCCGCCCCCAAATATGCAACTATAACACATGAATGATACAACACGAGAGAAGAGTAAGGAAAAGAAAAAAAAAAGAAAAAATACAAAACCTGCAAAGGAAAACACCTAATCAAAGCCTCCGTAGTCGCTTGCTTGCTCCGAGCTCAATGGCAGTGCGACTGTTCAGTATCAGATCCTCGTTCCCGCCCTGCGGTGGGTTCTGCTGAATGTACTCTCGCCGTATGCGCGCTGCCTCCTGGTCCCACGTAGCTACGCGCTCCTTGAAATCCGCTGCGTTCGCCGTCGCGTCGTCGCGTGCATGGCTGGCTTGGTCTAGATACGGCTGCTTGACTTCTTGACTCGCCGTGCGCCATCTAAGTCCAATGGCATTGCGAATCTCCTGCTTCGTCGCCTTGGCCTCGGCATTGCCAGTCGCTGCTCGCCGCGCATCGTCGCCTTCCTTTTTGCAAAAATACCAAAAGTCCTTGGTGTAGAGCAGGAACGGGTTGACCCCCGTGCGTCCTGGCTTGATGGGACGCTCCCCAATCTGCTCGAGAATGGCCCCAATAATCGCTGCTTCATAGTCCTCGTCGCGCTGTACTCGTACTGACTTGTTTTCCTTTGGCGGTGACACTGCAGGCGCAAACCTGCGTTTCCCCTCTCCGCTTGGGGTGGAAGCATGCTCTAGCTTAACCACCTTCTTTTCCACCAGTGGGCTTGGAACCTGGATAGACCCGACTATCGTCTCAGCGACTTCGGCAGCAACACGAAGACCCGACAGATAGGCGCCGTGCACCGTCGCGGGATGAGTCCCACATGTCGCTTCACCAGCAAAGTGCAATGGCCCATGTGGCCGTGCCATGACATCGTAGTCGCCTGCCTGTGTCTTTGGACCAACGTACGAATAGCTACCTCGAGCAAAGGGGTCTCTCTTCCACCGCGTGACAATCGTTTCGGATGGAAGTGGGACTGCATTCGGTGCAAACATCGCGTCAAGTCGATCCGTCACCTCTTTTACCAACTGGTCGTCCGACGTGGCTTCAGCGTAGTGCGCAGCGTCGCCCGCCAGGAGCGCTACCAGCACAGGCTTTCCACTTGTCTTGATACAGTTCCAAAACAGGTAGAATCGCCCTCGCTTGGCCGAGTAGTCTTCGGGCCGCATGCTGGCTTCGCGTTCTGCTTCGTTCAGCAATCCAAACATGTCTCGGTCTGGCTCCCAGAACGCCTTCTCGTAAACTAGAATAATCTATGCACAGTGTGTTAGAAGACTGGTTATCACAGTATGATTGCTACTGACCTTGTTGAGAAGCCCGAAGCCCATACGCTCAATGACATCTTGTTTCCAGCTGGGCAGTGGAGGCTGGAATGTAATCGACCCGGACTTCAATACGCCAAGAGGAGTGGTAAGGACGATATGATCCGCCTCGTAAATCTCGCCGTTACTGCATTCCACCCTGACAGCCCGACCGCCCCCGCTCTTATCCGTGTTGTACTGAACCGACTTGATCGGCGTGTTGAAGCGAACGTCAAGTTTGCTGGGAAATTGCCATAGCCCACGGGGAACCTGCTGGTAGCCTCCAATCACCTCCGTATGCTCCCCTTCAAACTCGTTGCCCATGTCCTGATCCCACCCACTCAAGCTGAGCTGATTGACACTGACAGCATTTGCGTATTCAAGATTTGCATGATGCCAACTAAGTAACCGCATGTCTCTAGGCTTCATATCAACTAATCCCTGATACTGCCGGAGCCCTTCATCCATCGTCTGGCCTAATGTCGGGAATTCGGATGCTTTTGCGATTGTATCGAGATCAATCGATTGTGACATCGATACGCCCGGCTTCACCTTCCATCCCAAGGCCTCCACTGCTTCTGCTGCTGTGATGTCGGGATTGAAGCCAGCCGTCAACTGGTATGCGCGTCCGGCGAGTTTCTCCACCCCCGTTGTAGGTTTCTCTTCCTTTGTTGATGCCGTGCTCGTAGCGTTCGCAGACAACGGACTATCTGAATTCTCCAGCTCTGCAATGGTGCGTCCACCGGCATCGCTCGGTTCGCGCCCAAAAAGCATCATGTTGCGATCACCCTCAACAGTTCGTTGTGCTGCAGGTTTGTTTCGATACACACTCGCTCGTTCCAAGACGTCGTTGTACAGCTTCTCCACCAAAGCATCTTGACTCCTTTCCACAACCGTTCCATCGTAATCGTAGAGTATCGTGTTGTCACGTAGACCGTGGTAGGGGATCCCGAGCTGTCCTCGGATGATAGCGTTCATCGGATTGCCGTGCTCGAATCCTGTGACTATTTGCGCGCCCATCTCAGCAGTGCAACGATACCCGGGCGGGAGCGTAGAATTTGACTGATTGAGAAACGGATGCGAGTACACTCTGCCGCCAACGCGCGGGCGAGCTTCGAGAATAATGATCTTCGGAGGCCGTTCGCCCGCGTCTGCCAACTGATCTCCTAGCTGGGTGAAGAGGCCTTCCAGGTGACGAGCGCATCCTAAGCCTGACATTCCCGCACCGACTACAATGATTGTCCGTGTCGACGCGCTTTTGGCCTTGGCTCGTGAAATAGGGCTGGCGGTATGGGGAACTTCGACACAACCAAAGTTGATGTATCCGTGCCTTAGAAGCCACATGTGTGCCACTTTTGCTAAACCGAAAAAGCGCTTGTCGCGAGCGCATCCTGCAGCTTCTGCGTAAGAAACATATACCATTGGGTTTCGATGCCATAGTCGCAGGATTGCATTTCTGATATTCAAGTAGATGGTGACCTGTGTGTGTGTAACGTGGTCCCGTAGGAGCCTATACTCTGCCGGGTGTAGAGTGAATGGGTTGAGTCGACTGTTTTCTGCTGCCAGAATGCACTGTCTGCCAAATTCGGGCCACGACAGATCCGGGGGGATACTCGAGCTTGCCTTTAATTCAGACAGTTTCCCATTGGTCGTGGGCAACTTTGTTCTATGGTGTTTTCCCACCCCCTCATTCAATTGAGGAAGTTCTGGAGTTGATGAAGCCTGCGATTCGCAACCCAAGCTTTGTGGTGTTCTTGCCATGAATGCAATATCCCCGCGAGAGTCTTTCGATGATGATTCGAATTTTGCGCGAGTGCCGTCCATAGCTGATCGGGTATTATCGCCGTTTAGAAGTACAGCCGATTCGTTTTGAAGGTTACTCGTACCATTCCCTAATCTTGAGTGGGATGTAGACGGATATTGCAGTGGCGAAGGGGTATAGTTTTGTCCATATCCATGAATAAAGGCACCTGGAGTAGACCCTTCCCGCTCGTCCCTGCCACTCAGTTGACCAACACTGAGCTCCGAAGTATTGTGTGAATCACCGTAGTGCACGGACGATGAGCTCGACCCCTTGCTGTATCCCAGGTTACTAAGCCTGGCTATGGGAGTGATACCAGCTTTCAGATTTATATTATCGTCGGACAACGGCAGTGACAGGAGGTCATCGCGGGATTGCTCGAAGAAGTACGGGCTGTCCTCGAGTGTGTTTGAATCGGGGGTGGATGCGAAGGTGGAGAACATGATGGCGCGCAAGTTGAAGAGGCACCTGATAGCGCCGAGGAAAGGGCTACAGGCCGCGATGGACCATGTGCTTGAAAGCGAATGGGGTTGGATCTGGGTAACGAATGGAATTAGGTTTTACAATCATTGAGAATTCGGTTCTTGGAAAGATAGCGGGAGGGTCGATGGAAGACTGTGATGCCGCTCGTTCGACGTTCGCACCTCGAAGAAGCGAGCCATCACACCATGCCTACTTCGGCCAGACGCCGTTCGCACGCCGTCAATGCGAACCCTGCCGCCTCGACATCAGCCCTACTTCTCTGTTCACGCGAACCTACACGAAACCAGCTCAAAGCTCTGCGCGTATGGCGGCAGACGTGAGCGCCTTCAGGTGCACAGCCATCTGCTGCATGGCTTGATCCGTGCCCCGGCGTCAACGAACCACCGACATCTGCCTCATCCAACCCCGCTTTCGTGGAAGCGAGAAGGACTACAACACAATCATCCACATCGCCTGGCATTTACTTGTATTGCACAGGATGGATGGTTGGTGGACTCATTTGTTTTAGGGCCATGTAGTCACCAGAGAAGCTCATCACTTCTTGGAGTAGGTCTGGACAGCCTTAGGGGTTCTTCATGTGAGTGATACTGAAAGGTAAGCCATGTTTCGCGAGAGGAGATTTGAAGCACTAAAATACAATGGCTCCTTTTTTTCTAGGTAAGTTTTAGACGGTTCTTAGAACATACAGCATACCTCCACACCCAACAGAGCTAAGACTGATGGAGATTACAGATTGCCGGGAGCACCGACACCTATCAATTCCTACACGAACCGCTCAGCGTAAAAGTCGAATCAAACATCGCAATCTCCAGCCGTTATATCTTTCACTCTCGCCTACCATAGTCGTTATCGCAGGCCCGCGTCTCTTCCATCTTGAGACGTGAAGCCTCGTCTTGGGGGACGGAGAATACGTAGACATGAAATATGATAATTTCAGTCCATTGGATAATGCAAAATATCTACCCAGTGCGTGTCTCTGGTATGAAACTGAGACCAGCTACGACGTAGGCAAGGGTCAACTACATGGTGTGGCTTGGGCACCAGATGCCGCAAGTGTTTGTGATCGGTCCATCTACGCTGCAGAGGCCTTGGATGATATCTACTGTAGTAAAGCAGCCTATGTAGTGCAGCCTCGTAGTCTCTAACCACTTGTAAAGCGCTGATCCTACCCTGCTCGGGTAGCTAAAAACATCTGGGCTATCAACAATCAACCTTACCTTTCTTGTTCGTAATTGTGTAAGATTCCAATCGAAGATTTCAAACATAAGATTCTAATCGAAGATTTCAAACAATGATATCAGATTACATGTTCATTCCTCGTTCATCCTACTATTTGTAATCCACCTTTGTACTTTTCGGCAGCAAAGTGATGAGCTTGCCTATGTGTGATAACGGAGTCACGTGGAAACGCTCCATGCGCACGGACAGAATAAACACTACGTAATCCGGCACGAGCTCAAAGTCTCTCTCCATTCCTCCACAGCGATACCTTCGCAGAACGTACAATGCGATGGCCTTGGTCAGGCGACGACGATGACCAGAAGAGTAGCGGTCTCAAGACGGGGGCTGCGCCGTTGAAGTCGAATGGTTGGGCGTCAACATTCACTGAGCCGCGGACCTTGATCCCGTCCATCGCGTTAACAATTACCACCGTTGCGGGTGTTCGCCTGTACAAGTCATACTTGCGACGTATACCGACTGTCAATCATATCAAGCCTGACTACTTCCGACGCAGAAGCTTGTTCGGTCAGGTCACGAGCGTCGGAGATGCGGACAACTTCAGGCTATTTCACACACCTGGAGGTAGGATGGCTGGATGGGGATGGCTACCGTGGAAGAGAGTACCAACGAAGAGAGAGGACTTGAGCAAGCAAACCGTGAGTGGTGTAATCAATACTAGCTGAAATCTGTTTGATTTTCGCGATGACACAATGCATCACTAACACCCTGGGAAGCTCCACATTCGACTCGCTGGTGTCGATGCTCCAGAACTCGCTCATTGGGGCCGAGAAGCACAGCCATATTCGAAAGAGGCCCATGAATGGCTCATCAACTTGATCCACAATCGACGAGTTCGTACATACATATACAGGCGTGATCAGTACGATCGGGTGGTGGCTCAGGTGTATATACGAAGGTGGCTACTCAGAAAGGATGTGGGATTGGAGATGCTGAAAATGGGATTGGCTACTGTATACGAAGCGAAGACTGGCGCTGAATTTGGCGCTGTCGAGGAAAAGTACCGCGCTGCTGAGAGACATGCTCGAGAGCAAAAGGTTGGGATGTGGACGAAGCCAAGCTTGATACAAAGATTGGGTGGCGCAGGTACGAAGGCACCGGAAAGTCCACGAGAGTACAAAACCAGACATGCGGCAGCAGATAAGAAGAAGTAAATACAAGATGTGGATATTCGCAGAAGCCAACCATGACTTGCGTCACTGTATGCACACGAACTACAAGCTGGCACAGCATTTGGCAGGGCACGCCAAACCAATGGAGTGGAGTCATTGGAACCTCTGGTGTTTGTCCAGTCGCCAAGGCTCACTTGTTTTTAAATTCTTTTCCAGGTGAGCCGAAGTTTGGTACATCGCCTTGTGACTATACTGTATAAGTCATAAGGTCCATTTGCAAGCGACGCAAGATACGGGAAAGCAATACAAAAATTCTTTGCACTTGTACCGACGTTAGTCGTTTGGCGCCGGTAATCGGTCCCGGCGCGTTGAAGTCATCGCGGTGCAGTTCAGTTGCTACTAGATATGCGATTACCCAACCTGGCTTTTGTATTGGGCAGCCAACATCGATTGTGAAGCTTGAAAGAGCCATAGTCCAATAATAGCACTCCTGTTTTGCAAGAACGTCTTGACACATGCGGGCATTTCTCGTGTTTTTGGTTCCCCGGCCTTTCTTCTCTTATCAGACCCCCCCGTTTATCGGAGCGGAAGTGGTCTAAACTGATTGGCGCGCCGACGAACCCATCGAATTTTTGGCGGCAGCGTCACATCTTCCCCACAGATTGCTCATTATCTTGAAGAGAGTCATTCGCACTCTGCTCTGCTGGGCTTGAGCCGTAGCAGACTTCAATTGCACCAATTAGCCCTCGAGCGACCCTCCTTTTGCGCACTCGACGCCTTTATCCTCTTCCACCGCAGGGTATCTGTTAAGAGCTCCAAGCTTCCCGGCTGCTTGACCGCCTGCAATGGCTCTCTGTCTGGCACGCCGCGCACCTACTCTTACAGGACAGTTCCGCTCCCTAGCATCTGCAGCCTCTTCTCGAAATCTCGTATCTCGAGCTGTCAGGCCTATAACTTCTCTCCGCACGGGCACTGAGTCATCTGCAGCGTTCCGACAGCTGCGAGCTTTCACACAAGTCTCAGCAACATGGAATAAGAGTCAAGAGGCGCCCAATGCGAAAGCATATCTAGACAGCGGTGTAATAGCAGGCGCCCGAAACCTAGTAGATGTTAAGAAGGTTTTGGTTATCGGTAGCGGTGGTCTCAGCATTGGTCAAGCTGGAGAGTTCGACTATTCCGGTACGTATATGGAAACCATTCTCATGGGGAGGGATGACTGCATACTGACCGTTTTCAGGCTCACAAGCGCTCAAGGCTCTGAAGGAGGCTGGCGTCAAGTCAGTCCTCCTCAACCCCAATATTGCAACTATCCAAACCTCGCACGTGCTCGCCGATGAAATTTATTACCTGCCCGTAACGCCCGAATACGCCGAATACGTAATCCAGAAAGAGAGGCCCGATGGCATCTTCCTCAGCTTCGGTGGCCAAACTGCGCTCAACTTGGGTGTGCAGATGGATGCGAAGGGCATTTTCGAGAAGTACGGCGTCAAGGTCCTTGGAACCAGTGTTGAGACTCTGAAAACTAGCGAGGACCGAGACCTGTTCGCGCGCGCTCTGGAAGAAATCAACATTCCCATTGCTAAATCGATCGCGGTTTCCTCAGTCGACGAGGCACTCGACGCAGCTGAAAACATTGGATACCCCATCATCGTCCGCGCTGCGTACGCGCTCGGAGGTCTTGGTTCCGGGTTCGCGAATAACGCCGAAGAGCTCAAGAACTTGTCTGCTCGTTCGCTCACGCTATCGCCTCAAATCTTGGTGGAGAAGTCGCTGAAGGGCTGGAAGGAGGCCGAGTATGAGGTTGTGCGTGATGCAAGCGACAACTGCATCACTGTTTGCAACATGGAGAATTTCGACCCCCTTGGCGTACATACCGGTGACAGTATCGTCGTATCCCCGAGTCAGACCTTCAGCGACGAGGAATACCACATGCTCCGGTCCGCGTCCATCAAGATCGTCCGACACTTGGGCGTTGTTGGCGAGTGCAATGTGCAATACTGTCTTCAGCCAGATGGGCTCGACTACAGGGTTATCGAAGTCAACGCGCGCTTGTCTCGTTCTTCTGCATTGGCATCTAAGGCAACTGGATACCCCTTGGCGTACACTGCGGCAAAGATTGGTCTCGGACACACCCTCCCTGAACTACCAAACGCCGTTACAAAGACCACCACCGCAAACTTCGAGCCTAGCTTGGATTATGTCGTCACAAAAATGCCTCGATGGGATCTCAGCAAATTCCAAAACGTCAAGCGTGATATCGGCAGTTCTATGAAGTCGGTCGGCGAGGTCATGGCTATCGGCCGCACGTTCGAGGAGTCGTTCCAGAAGGCTTGCCGACAAGTCGACCCCAAGTTCTTAGGCTTCGAGGGCGAGAAATACGGCGAAAGCCTTGATGATGAGTTGGCAAACCCTACCGATCGCCGATGGCTTGCTGTCGGCCAGGCTCTCTTCCACGAGGGCTACACTGTCGACAGGGTACACGATCTCACCAAGATTGACAAGTGGTTTTTGTACAAACTTCAGAACATTGTTGACTGCACACACGAACTCGAGGACATTGGCAGTCTGTTTGGCCTCAAGAAGGAGATCATCCTAAAGGCTAAGAAGCTCGGCTTCTCAGACAAGCAGATTGCAAAGGCCGTCAACAGCAGCGAAGACGAGGTTCGAGCACGAAGGAAGAGCTTTGGCATCAGGCCATGGGTCAAGAAGATTGACACATTGGCTGCTGAGTTCCCTGCCGACACGAATTATTTAGTGCGTACATTCCATTCCAAACCATTCAGCATGCAGAACTAACAACTAGCAGTATGTAAGTAACCAGCTTTCGCTGCCTCTTTGAGCTCTGAACTCGAGTGCGGACACCCTCTTCGAATCCGGACGTTTTGGACTTGGTTTTGTTATTGTCACCTATTCACAGTCGCTAACTCATGATTTCAGACCACCTACAACGCCTCCTCTCACGACGTCACCTTTGATGACCACGGCATCATCGTTCTTGGGAGCGGTGTCTACCGTATCGGAAGCTCGGTAGAGTTTGACTGGTGTGCGGTCAACGCTGCCATGACCCTCAATAACCTCGGCAAGAAGACTGTCATGATCAACGTAAGTTAAACCTATTCCGTTCGATGTCCCCGGATGTGCTGAGTCCATCCCGGAACCCCTGATACTTATCCTGTTACTCTTGTTGCAAACATTGAGACACTCCTCGCTAACTCAACCGAAAAAAAGTTCAACCCAGAGACGTACAGCACCGATTTTGATGTCGCTGACAAGCTCTACTTCGAAGAGCTCAGCTATGAAAGAGTCATGGATATTTACGAGTTGGAGACTGCAAGCGGTGTCGTTGTGTCTGTTGGAGGTCAACTCCCTCAAAACATCGCACTAAAGCTCCAGGAGTCCGGCAAGGCCAAGGTCCTTGGAACTGACCCCAAAGATATCGACAAGGCAGAGGACCGTCACAAATTCTCTTCAATCTTGGACTCCATTGGTGTAGATCAGCCCGCTTGGAAGGAACTTACCTCCTATGAAGAGGCGAAGAAGTTCGCTAACACTGTCGAATACCCAGTCCTCGTGCGGCCATCGTATGTTCTCTCGGGTGCTGCGATGACTGTCATCCGCAGCGAAGACGAGCTTAAGGAGAAGCTCCTCGCTGCCTCCTCAGTCTCGCCTGATCATCCTGTCGTCATCACCAAATTTATCGATGGCGCTCAGGAGATTGACTGCGACGCTGTTGCTTCCGGTGGAAAGGTTGTCGTACATGCCGTCAGTGAGCACGTTGAGAACGCCGGTGTGCATTCTGGTGATGCTACCCTTGTGTTGCCACCAGTCAATCTTGACAAGAGGATCCAGGAGCGCGTTAAGGAGATCGCCGACAAGGTCGCTAAAGCCTGGAACATCACGGGTCCCTTCAACATGCAAATCATCAAAGAGGAGGTCGAAGGCGCTGAACCCAACCTCAAGGTTATCGAGTGCAATCTCCGTGCCTCTCGTTCGTTCCCCTTCGTCAGCAAGGTCCTCGGTACCAACTTCATCGATGTGGCCACCAAGGCCCTTGTTGGCCGCGAGGTCCCTGAGCCCACGGATCTTATGGCCGTCGAGAGGAACTATGTCGCCACCAAGGTGCCTCAATTCTCCTGGACTAGGCTAGCAGGTGCGGACCCCTACCTCGGCGTCGAGATGAGCTCTACTGGTGAGATGGCCTGCTTCGGTAAGGACCTTATCGAGGCTTACTGGGCATCTGCTCAGTCGCAGATGAACTTCCGCCTCCCTCAACCTGGTGAGGGTCTCCTCTTCGGTGGCGATGTTACCGCGGATGCCCTCCACAGCAACTCTTTGATTCAAATTGCGAAGTACGTACACCCGCTCGGCTACAAGTTCCTCGCCGCCAATAAGGACGTCAAAGCGCTCCTTGAGAAGAACACCGAGGGTGTCAGCGTCGAAGTTATTGAGTTCCCCAAAGACGATAAGAGGAAATTGCGCGAGGTGTTTGAGAAGTATGATATCCGCGGCTGCTTTAACCTGGCGAAGTTCAGGGCGAACGGTCTGCTGGACGAGGATTACGTGATGAGAAGGAACGCTGTCGACTTTGGTGTGCCTCTATTTATGGAGCCTAAGGTAAGCCCACTTAAAAGTGCAACGTGATCGTATAAGAAGCTAACCCATGAACAGACCGCCGTTCTCTTCGCTCAATGCATGAGCGAGAAGTTGCCAAAGAAGGAGGGTATTCCAAGCGAAGTCAGGTCATGGAGTGACTTCGTTGGTGGACGCCCGTTGTAAATGAGGAGGTCTTCAGTGTTGCAGACATGTCATCCACACTTTTGACAAAAAGAGAATCGGATGCGGCGAAGATGATATACCCAATGTAGGGTGAGGAAGATAGAATCTAGGGACACGAGGAATCTTGAAAGAAGTCCTGTATTCATGTGTATAGCGTTCTCAGCTCACAACCAACTGCATTGTCAGTTTTAGAGGAGTTGGGGTTATTTTAGTGCTAGCACTTGCTTTAAAAAGTATCTGGTACGTATATGTAGCTGGTAACAATGATATCAGCCGTCCACTGCCAGCCCCTACCGTTTATATTCATAAACCTAGTTACGCGTAGTTGGGTATGCTTGCTTCTTCGAAAGACGGTGCGCAATAAACTCTCGCGTATCCAGCAATCGTAACCGCACAAATCGCGTGTACCTTTTCCAAAGCCATCGCGTACTCGTTGGTTTTCATTCATCTCCACTAATTCTGGAGAAATCTAAGCATTAAAGTTTTGCAGGCTTATCAAAAGCGAACAATCCCCTTCCCTTACTTTTCTCATCTTGCCAAACCCATCCGCTCTTTCCTACTACCTCGCCTGCACCACCCGCCATTTCTCGTAGAGTGCTCTCGTCACCATGATTCGCAAGGAAGCGTTTGTTGTTACTCTTCAGCCGGCCGATAATGTGGCCTCGAAGCGGGCTGCCGTCACGATTAAACTCTACCGTGTATGTCTATGGTATATTAGCACCTTTGAAATTCTGGGAGTTTCAAAGGGAAGCAAGATCGAGTGAACGGGACCGCAGGAAAGGGTATAACTCACCTCAACGATGGCCTCTCCTTCCGCATCAAACACAAGATCCGGGGCTGGGACATCTGTGATCTGCTCTGGGAGCAGGTTTTCCTCCGGATACTGCCCTTCTCTCCTGGGCTCCTTGGACAACACAACAACATACTGATAGCTTAGCACCCCGCCATTACAGTGTACCAGGCCATACTTCCCCTTCCCGGCTCGTAACTGCCTCGTCATTTCCGTGAGCGCATGCATCGAGTAATTATTCCCCGCGCCACCGAACGATGTCAGCCCACCTAGTAGGGTCAACTTCTTAGACCCGCCAAGGATCGGCAGTCCGAGGTGCTGAGCAACGATCTTGGGAACAATTGGAAAGCAGGAGTAGATGTCGAAAAGGTCGATGTCTTCTTTTGATACACCGGAGCTTTGGAGTGAGGCATCGATGGAGCGAGATATGCTGGGGGAGCTGTAGAAGTTGGGCCGCTTCCAGAACTCGTCCGAATCTTTCGTTCCTGCGCCGCCGAGTGGGTAGATCCATTTTGACGGTGGGATGCCGAGGGATTTAGCGAAGGAGGTGGAGGTTAGAATGAGAGCAGAGGCGAGGTTGACTGTGTTGAAGGCATTCATGAGGAGGGGATCTGGGCGTCTGGTGAGCAAAGCCTGCCTCAATCCCATGAAGGATAGGGGACCTACAAGGATAGCAAACCATGCGATTCTTCTTGTCCACCTTTGCAATGACCTCTTCTCCACCAGCTTTTCCGGAATTCCAAGCATAATCGTTCCCCTCTGCTACTTTGGCAAAGTCGGCATACAGCTTCGCACTTTCTTCGTGGTTCTCTTTCAGGCTTTGACCTTGATGCGCCCGAAACGCATTCTCATACAGTGGATACACGTGTACTGGAGTGCCAATCTGGTGTATAGCCCCGAGATCTGCAGGTGAGTGAGTACTAGATAAGATTTGCTAGAGAGGAGAGTGTACTAGTTCCTAGGTCCCCGCCCGTAGGCGTGAAGACTGAGTGAACAGCTTCAGAAGGTGGGGTCCATTCTGGCGGTGGAAGCTTTTTGGCAGCTGCGCAAGCCGATACTGAGGTTCATTAGCATGCAAGCTTTACGATAAATACAGCTACGATAGCTTCGGGAGATCGCACGTGATGCCAACGCCTCTCCACCTGTAACAACCGCAACCCTACATTCTCCCTTTGCAATCCGCCTCGCCGCCTCGTCAAACAGTTTGCCCGGCTTATCTCCACCATGCTCTGAATATCTCTTCCACTTTACACCCCCTTCAACGCCTAACTTCTCCGCCAACAGGCTGGGTAAATCAGGATACGGCCACGTCCATGTCTTGACGACGTCAATACTATCAATTGCCGATTGAAGCTCCAATGTAGAAGGAGGCGAGGCATCTTCTATGGCAGCTTGAATCGCTTCAAGGATAAGCGTAGCAGGTTCCTTCGCGTCAGCGATGGCAGTAGAGCGGTTCTTGATGTCGCCTACGCCGATGACAACCGGTGTCTCAACAGCCGCCATGATATAGGCGGTAAAAATTATTACTAAAAAATACGCCTATGGGTCTCATGTATCAAAGTAAACTGGGTCAGACTGTGGATTACATGTTGTCGAGCATGTCATAGTGTTCGGAGAGTCATGATGGGCGTGCGTGAGGAGGTTGCTCGGTTTGCCGAGGTACGTACGGACATGAGTTGTTTCTCATGCTCACCTTGCACAACAACATTCGCTTTCGGAGAGGGGTAAGCTAGCGCATCATGTTTAGGGCAAGAAGGGGCAAGAAGGGGCACGATGACTACGACAGATTCAATAGTCAAGCAGTAACAATAGCCGTGCTAATTACGGGCGATAGCCATAAGCGAGCCTTGTAAAGATCCCAGCAGATTATTGAGCCTACAGGTGTTCGCGCACTGGAAACCACTTTATTGGGATTACAACGCTGTCAATAGGAGGATGACCCAACCAGCTAGTCCGGCTTTCATGCTCGAGCACCGTGATACTTCGAGATAGGTGGTTGATGGTGTGGTAATTTTTGTTTGTTTCATCGGTTGACCACAGACCCTTCCGTCTGCGCTATCTCACTCGCTGTACATCTCCGTCGTGCAGCCCACTACAGCTCCACAACTTGTCCTCGGATGGGCATACGACATGTAGTCCTGTGCTACGGCCCCTATAGCCTCTCTCTGCGATATATCCTCCATCTACCTGTCTAACGTACTAGATTATGCCTGTACTCTGAATGTACGGCCACTGGCTGTCTTTCGTTCCTTCTCCTCACTCTCGGGTCGGGCTCTGCGGAGGACTGTGGCTTGTTAGCATCTAACGTAGGTGCTTAGCAGTTCATGTAACATACCTTGAAGGAAGTCGGCTGTCCGCTTTCGCATTCTTGAGTGAATGAATGCCTTGGAAGCTTTGATGTGGTAGTGGAAGTAGTCTCGGAAGGTCTGTATGTGTGAGATGACCTCGGCACGTCGTTGGTTCGCTAGATGGCGCGGGAAGAGTACTGCAATGATTAGCTCCATCGTTCGATAGGGAACTGTCAGTCTTACCGAAAGTAATGTAGCCAATGTCAGCGGAGCCCGATGTATCCACTCCAGGAATGCCCTGCAACTCCAGAGGTGGGTCGTTCCGGAACAACACTTGGGGTGCGTTCTGGATAGCTCTTCGCCTGGCGTCGACAAATTCTTGCAGGAAGACCTTGCCAAATATCCTATCTGTCTCTTCACGAAAGACGGTAGAGAAGATGACTGTCACTCGGTCGAAGCTGGCCTTGACGTATATGGCCTCCTCCTCTCGGTAATGGATGGCGCGCACTGCACCTCCTTCGGCCACACCCTGGGGTGCCGATTCGGATGTGTACTTGGACGCTTCCTCCTGCAATTGCTCAAACTCGTCGAAGGCTTGCTCGAAGGGCGCGGCCATGGCGTTCCGCTTGAGGAGAGATACGCGCCGAACCAGGTCATCTTTGCCCTCTGCGTATCATCAGCACTTTCCTACAACCAAATTGCGAGCGATCCTACCCTGATCTTCCGGCAAGTTCTCCAAATCTACCAGGACAGAGAAATCGTATCCTGTCTCCGGGTCTACGATATATGGCCCATACTCTCGCTCCAATACACTTTGGGCGCCATATTGAACCAATTCCTGGTAACATTTGATGTGTAGTGATACTAATATCTTCGTCTTGCTCTCCGGAGTCGAGATGTGGAAGGTGACGCCATCGAAGTCGGACACGACCTGGTCAATGTTCGCGGGAGCTCCTCTGTGTCCTGTTAGCTACCTGGCTACGGAGCGGAAGGCAGCGGGGTAATGCGCACCCAGCGAAGCGGTCCCTCAGGAGAGAATCGATGAGGACGTTCTGGTAGTCGAGGAGAAGCATAGTGACGACTCAGCTCCCGGCGGAGAGATTGATACTATGGCGGGGGGGGGGGGAGCTGTCAAAAGCGCTGATGCGGAGGTCGGAGGTGTGCTGTGTGAGGTGGAAGTCGAAGGTGGGCCTGGTGTGGCTTGTGCATTAGCGTACTTCTGCCCGTCCAAAAAAAGTTTCATGGACAACTCCAGCATTACTACATTGCCAGTGGCGCATAGTCGCAAATCATAGCAGACAGTACGATGACTTGATACAGTCATTCTATAACTGCTCCACCTTTTTCTCCTGGCCTACTGCCCAATCCACCACGTAGATCCGCACAATGGTCAAATCATACAGGTAAAACGCACCCGCAGCGCAACTCTAGTAGAGCTCCCTCTAATGTCTGGACAGCAAGTACGAGCAGACCGACTCTTTCGGCGTGGTCGCGACTGCCACCTCGAACATTGTTTGGACTCCCGAAGGACTCCTCCAGCCTGGATTAAATCGACCTGCAGGCGCCGGACGCGCATACGCCGCCGCAAACGAAGAAGTTTTGTGCTGGGACGTCAAGAAGGGCGAGCTTCTAAGCAGGTGGCGCGACGCATCTTGTACCGACGAGGTGACGGTCATATGTCGGAGTGAGGTGGATGAGGATGTCTTCGCCGTTGGATACGCAGACGGAAGCATTCGCATATGGGACGCGCGAACAGCGACTGTCATAATAAGCTTCAATGGCCACAAATCCGCGGTTACCACATTAGCGTTCGATCAGACCGGAGTGCGACTAGCAAGTGGCGCAAAGGATACAGATATCGTAATTTGGGATCTGGTCTCCGAGACTGGCCTGTTCAAGCTGCGAGGGCACAAGGGTCAAATCACAGGGCTGCGCTTTCTACATCCTGGCAATGCCTCTCCCGAGGATGGTGTGGACAATGAAGAGGTGGACATGGATGCAGACCAGGCATTCCTGCTATCCACCAGCAAAGACTCGTTGATCAAAATCTGGGACATTGCCACACAACACTGCATTGAGACACATATTGCGCAGACGAATGGCGAGTGTTGGGCATTGGGCGTATCGCCAGACGGCAGTGGCTGCATAACTGCAGGCAACGATGGAGAACTCAAAGTATGGGCTATCGATCTATCAGGTCTTCGAACAGCAGGCTCAGCTATCGGTGAAGGAGAGGACCAAGTTTACCTCACCTCAAGAGGCATACTTTACCGACAGGGCAAAGACAGGACTCAAGGCATCTCCTGGTATGCCAAGTCGGACTACATCGCCGTCCACGGTGCAGAGAAGGCCGTCGAAATTTGGCGGATACGAAGCGAGGAAGAAGTCAGGAAAAGTTTAATCAGGAAGAGGAAGAGAAAGCGGGAAAAGGCGAAACAAGAGACGAAGAGCGAGGCACAAGACGACGCTGAGGCTGAAGAGCAGACCAACATTGCGGATGCTGAAATTAGCGAAGTCATAGTACCGTACGTCACCGTTCGAACAGCGGGCAAGGTTAGATCGGTTGCGTGGATGCGAATAAGAGGGACAAAGAAGCTGCAATTACTAGTCGGCACGAACAACAACCTCATCGATATCTATGAGATCCCACAAAAAGGCAAAACGAAGACCGAGGACGCGCCAGACTATAACCGGACACTGTCCGTTGAGCTCGCAGGCCACAGAAATGACATACGAGCATTAGCCCTCAGCTCGGACGACCGAATGCTGGCATCTGCGTCAAGTGGAGGACTCAAGATATGGAACGTGAAGACACAGAACTGTCTACGAACATTAGAGTGCGGTTATGCCCTTTGTTGCGCCTTCCTACCCGGCGACAAGATCGTTGTTGTCGGCACGAAGGATGGTGACATTGAGCTCTACGACATCGCTGCTTCGTCATTACTCGACAAGATCTCGGCACACGAAGGAGCTGTGTGGACCATGCAAGTCCATCCCGATGGCAAGTCGCTCATCACAGGCAGCGCAGACAAATCGGTCAAATTTTGGAACTTTGATATCGTACAGGAAGAGATTCCAGGAACGAAGCGCACAATGCCCCGCTTAAAACTCGTCCAGTCGCGCATTCTCAAAGTAAACGACGATGTGCTCAGTGTCCAGTTTTCACCCGACTCGAGATTGCTCGCTGTAGCTACCCTTGACAACACCGTTAAAGTCTTCTTCGTCGACTCTCTAAAGCTCTTCCTCAATCTATACGGCCACAAGCTTCCGGTACTCAACATGTCAATATCAAGCGATAGCAAACTCATCGCCACATGCTCCGCTGACAAGAACGTCCGCATATGGGGTCTCGACTTCGGTGACTGCCACAAAGCGCTTTTCGGCCACGAAGATAGCATCATGCAGATCTCCTTTATCCCGCACCCCGTTGATGGCGATGAAAGGCACATATTCTTCAGTGCCAGCAAAGACAGGTCGGTCAAGAGCTGGGATGGCGATAAATTTGAGCAGATCCAGAAATTCAAAGGTCACCACGGCGAGATCTGGGCGATGATTGTAGCAAGAACGGGTGACTTCATCGTCACTGCTAGTCACGACAAGAGTATACGGATCTGGTCAAAGTCCGACGAACCCATCTTCCTAGAAGAAGAGCGCGAGCGTGAACTCGAGGACATGTACGAAAAGACGTTGGCTACCTCCCTCGAGGACGAAGAACCGGTGAACGGAGAACGCGCAGAGGCAGTAGATGCTTCGAAACAAACAATCAGCACCCTGACAGCAGGCGAACGTATTCAAGAAGCCCTGGACCTCGGTGTCGCAGACCTAGAAGTCGTCCGTGAATGGGAAGAGCAGCGGAAATCGAACCCTAAGATGGCGCCACCGCAGCGCAATCCCCTCTTCCTTGCTCTGGGCAACATTTCTGCGGAACGTCACGTCCTCAACACGCTCTCCAAAATCCCCGCCGCACAACTTCACGACGCGTTGCTTGTCCTACCCTTCGCCTCCCTACCAGCTCTATTCACTTTCCTCTCCATATGGGTTCAAAAGCAGTGGAACGTCACGTTGACATGTCGCGTGCTGTTCTTCATGCTGAAGACGCACCAGAAACAGATTGTCGCAAGCAGAGAACTCAAATCGGTATTGGAGGCCATGAGAGCCGACCTACGGACGACTTTGACTGGCAACAAAGACTTGATCGGATTCAACGTTGCAGCTCTAGGGTTCGTGAGCGACCGTGTACATGATGCGCAGTTGGTGAGGATAGAAGATGTGGATAAGTTCGACGAAGAGAAAACCAGGAGGAAGAGGGGTTTCGTGGACGTTGCGTAAGAAATGCAAAATGTTTATGAAGGTGGGCGTCACGTCCTTGTTTTAGATACTGTAGTCACGTCACAATATGGTTGCAATCGCATTTACAAAACTTACACTTCGTTCTTCTTGCAAGTGGGTAGTTGCGTGTTCTTATCGTATACCCTTGATCGACACCTTAGCGGATATCGGAATACCACTCACTGTACCTCTAAAATCCTTATTCAGACTTCGACTCGCACCCTTGTTAGTCCCGTGCACACTATACATCCTCCTCTCCTCCTCCCTTCTCGTCTCTGTCCAGTCTGCAAACTCAATATCCACATCCGTTCTCTTTATGATACTTTTTCTATCACCACCAAGTCCATGTTCATGTCCATGTTCATGTCCATGTTCATGTCTATATCCATATCCATAATCATGACCGTGCCGTCCACTCTGCGGGCCGATCTCCGTATGTGGGTTTTTAGTCCAGATGAAGCGGATTCTCCTCCCGCATGCTGTCCGAGCGACGTGTTTGACGAATGTGGGTAGAACAGGGAGGCAGGCGGCGAGAAAGCCAAACGTGATTTCAGGCTCCGCCCATTTCCCTACCTGTGCTGCGACAAATGTTACATCTACTGTTTGGAAGAGGCGGACCGTATAGTATATGCGAATGGCTGAGACGGCGCATGCTCTACAAGAGTCTCATTAGCCTAAAGCCCTCCCTACTCCGTCATTGACTAGATTTTAAAGCCAAAGTTTAGGCTGAAGATACAAGTGGTAGAGACGAGGGAAAGGTGAAGACTTACAGAATGCCGAGAAGGAATACTGCACTTAGTCCCCATTTCTTCCTTCGTTCCATTTTCAAACCCCAAATCACTGGTTGGGGTAGGATAATAGTTACCAGGTCGCTTGCAGTATTCATGCTCGCACATGCAATATGCATAATGAGTCGATGGGGTACACAGTGTCCTGGTACACTACGAGTACATACGCAATCAGCTTACATCTATCCTCACTGGTATATAGCAGTGTTGACGAACCGAGAGTCCCACGTCTTCCTCAAAGGGCGGCAGGCCAAGAACTGGAATATGACAAATGTAAGGTAAAAGATGGCGTTCATCAAGATGAACATATCAATCACCCAGCGTAGAATGAGGCGAGAGTGCGAGGCATGGAGCTGAGACTGTTGTCGCGGGAGAACAATGCGGCGGATCTGGAGGATAATGGCGAGTTTTAAGGGTAGCACTACAAGCGCGTACATGGCGGTGGAGAGGTGAATGATCTACTCAACGTGTCAGTGCCAGCGATATCCCCACCGACTTACTATATCAGAGGAGTGATAATGGGCAGTGTTGGTATCGGGGGGTTCATAGGCCACCCACCTTCCAGTGCCTCATCGCATCCCTAATTGTCAGATCCCACTGATGCACACCAAGCGGTAGATTCTCCGCTATGAAGACATTGACGTGGAAACCAGCGAAACATTGCCACGCCACGAGTAGCCACCCTAAGCAAGTAGCTTCATTAGTCCAGATTCAATACTTTACAGCTACACACATTGTTTCTATCCACGACACTGAAGTAAAGTAGGTTACTTACAGTCTTCAGCCAGCATCTTCTTCACGATGAACTTCTTAGTATACAGCCTCATCCCCACAACAAGCGAGGTGAGCATGAGCTGCAACATCGCAAGTGCCGGTGCGCTTAAATTTCTCGGGTTCTTAAAATTAGGTGTGACACCCGGCGGGGGTGCTAAAGCAGGTAGATCCAGGAGCGCTTCTGTGTCGATGGCAGAGAGCTGCATCGCGATCGGACTCTTGTCTCGAGAGACAGTGATTCCTAAGAGAATATAAGGTCCGAGAGCATGTACAAATGGAAGTGTGAGTTCGTGATATAGACAGTACCGCAGTTCGTGTTTGCAAGTTACTGTCCATGTAGCAGCCTCGGTCAAACAGATTGATGATCTTAGCTTCTGTGAGTCAAATGCAGTTCGGGGTATTATTGAATTTCTTGCTTGGTCACTCCATACCAATTGATGTATTTATCAGTGCGCGTTAGTAACTTACGATACTGCTCTAGCGTAGCTATCAGTGGATTTCGACAACATGATGTAGCGCACTGCTCCACCAAGTCGTACAGTGGCTTTTCTACCGTTCTTGCGTTGATTAATAGCAAATAGGAGTGACCGAGCATAATATGAATATGGTGTGACATGTCGGTATGTGGGGAGAATTTCTTAGTGTAACAGTCCAAAAATGGAATTCTAGTCAGAGGTTGATTCGTGATACGTGTAGTCATCGACCTGTTCACATGTGTTAGACTTACGGGTAGACTTTGGGCATTTAGCGAAACGTGCGGTAAATCGTGACAAGTACTAGATAAGCTTGGGCTATGTAGGTGTATTGTAAATGTCTTGTCCAAAGCAAAGAAAAGGTTTTGATGAATCTGAAATAATACTGTCGCGTTGGTTCTTGAATATGCATGGATCCTTCCGTAGATCCTCAGCGCCGTCGAAACTTTGACTTTCCCCCAATGACCGGCCGCTTCACAACACCATCGTCATTGTCTTTCTTTTTAGCTAAACTTGGCTTCTTAATCGTCGGCCCATTCTCCTCTGCCGCCATTATGCGTTCTTCGCGCGCTTTATCTTCCTCCATTTGCGCCTCGAGCTCGGCTTTGCGATTGAACTCGACTTCTATGATACGCTTGTCTCTTGCAGAATAACCCTTTTCCTTGATCGAGTAAAACACAGCACCAAGATCTGCGAGCCAGTGAGGATCAACCGATGTGACGCAAGACATGTATTCCTTTGACGTGAGGATGAGCTCGTGGTAGACTACGTAGTCGGGAAGGTAGCCAAGGCCATAGAGAGCGCTGGTGGGATGGAGCTGGATGGTAACACTGGTTCGAAGGTTGATATATTCACCGATGCCCTTGACCTTGGCTGCTTGGTGGTAGTAGCCTGAACAGATGCATTTGCGAATGATGTCCCAGTCTGTGCCGCAACCTATCAAGGGCATCTTCTGCTTCTCCATAATGTCGTGAATCTGATCTCTAATCTCTTTTGCTCGGCGGAGCGCTTTAGGGTGTAGGAAATGGCGAATGCACCACCCATCGGAGTAGCCGTTCACTTTCCATTGTGTGTAGACGTGAAGGAGGGTCAGATGGTCGGATTCAGGCACGAAAAACTTTTCGCGCGCTGCGTCTGACTCTTCTTGACGTTCTTTTGGTCTGTAAAAGACGCTCGGAACGGAGAGCATTGCAACAATGGTAAGCATCTCTTCGCTACACTCGTACTCTACGGCAGTGATTATGAGCTTGGCAAGCGAGGGGTCCATAGGAAAGGCCGTCATAGTGCGCCCGAGCGATGTAAGGTTACCAACGTTGTCTAGAGCACCAAGAGCCCATAAGTCAAATAGCGACGTTGTGATTGTATCTTGCGGCGGCGGATCCATGAAATCAAAGTCCAGCAAGTCCCTAACACCGAGCGACTTAAGTAGGAGTACAGTATTGGCCAGATTGGTTCGCTGAATCTCTGGAATGGTCTGGATATAGAACTCATCTCGAAAAGCCCTCTCAGTGTATAAGTGAAAGCACTTTCCAGGTCCTGTCCGCCCTGCGCGACCTGCACGCTGGGACGCATTCGCTTGCGAGATGGGCGTAATCTGGAGAGTATCCATTCCCATCTTGGGGTTGTAGACTTTGAGCTTCGAAAAACCAGAGTCCACAACGTACATGATACCATCGACCGTCAAACTCGTCTCTGCAATGTTTGTGGCTACGATGACCTTGCGAACGCCAGGTGCCGCACGGTCAAAGATCTTTGCTTGCAGATCAGCTGGCATTTGACTGTAGATTGGAAGAATGCTGAGCTTTGGTGGATCGTTGAGAAGTCTCAATCTCTCAGCCACAAGCTCACAGGTGATCTCAATGTCTTCCTGACCCGTCATAAAAACCAAGATATCGCCTGGTCCTTGCGAGACATGAATAGCCAGGACTTGCTTGACGGCACTGTCGACGTAGTCGTCGCACGGCGACCGAGAGTATTGAATGTCGACAGGAAACGTGCGCCCTGGAATTATGAACTCTGGAGCCCCTCCGTAGAAGCGCGAAAACCGATCAGAGTTCATTGTGGCGGATGTGACAATTAACTTCAGGTCTCTCCTACGCGCCAAAACTTTTTTAAGGAGGCCCATGAGCACATCAGTGTTCAGCGCTCTTTCGTGCGCCTCGTCCATGATGATGCAAGAGTACTTGTCCAGATCTGGCTCAACTAAAGACTCTCGTAGTAAGACGCCATCGGTCATGTACTTGATCTTGGTCTCTTTGCTGGTGCAGTCTTCGAAACGGATTGCATATCCAACTTGACCACCTAATCTGACCTGCATCTCTTCGCTTACGCGCTTCGCTACGCTCATAGCTGCAACACGACGTGGCTGTGTGCATCCAATCAGGCCTTGCTTGGAGTAGCCATCCTCGTAAAGGAACTGAGTCAACTGGGTCGTCTTCCCAGAGCCTGTTTGACCAACGACGATGACGACTTGATTGTCTCGAATTACACGTAGAAGGTCTTCGCGGACTGCAAACGCTGGGAGATATTGTCTCTGCTCACTCAGCGTCTTGCTTTTGCTAAACGCGCTTGCACCTTCCTGTTTGCTGAGATGTTGTGCGAACTTGCTTCCTCCTTTCCTTTCTTCCTCTTCAGGCATAGGGGCGGCACTATCAGCATCATCCTCCTTGACGCCCATGATGTTTCCTAGAGTGGTTCCTTTGGCGCTAGTAGCCTCTTGGGCGTGCTTCTGCCGTTCCTTCTGCTGTCTCTTCTCCTTCACAACCCGGCTGCCTCTGCGACTAAATACAGCCATATCGCTCTGCGGGTCGCGCACGGCCGGAACAGGGTCGATTTGCTTGGTGAAAACAGTTTTCCCGTCCAAGAAAGGTGGTTTGAGGTCGTGCACGAGTATGTGTATGCGCATACCCTCGTCATCGTCATTGAAATCGTCGTCGTAGTGTCTTCTTTGGGCGACTCCGGACTGTAGCATCCGGTTCGTCTCCCACGCGTCTACATCTTTCTGCTTTTGTTGCGCTCTCATACTCGCGCGATTATTCTGCTTCTTTTCGGTTAAAGCAGCTTCTCGCTGCGCGTCTAACCATGTGCTCTCGGCGCCGCCAAAGGGGTTGTGAGTCTCGTCGCCGAAAGTATGTCCATTTTCTTCGCCGCCGTACCAATCGCGGTCCAGTGTCATCGAGTCAAAATCTTCTACAGAGGGCTCCGGCCCATCAAAAGACTTCTGGTGCGGAGTCGAACCATTCTCATGTCCCCGTGGTGTATGTGTACGCGAGGATGCGGGTGAGTCGCGAGGGTGGTTCGGCTTGCGAAACTTTGGACGCGGCGCGATAGAATACTCTTCGGGGTCGAGCTTCCGCCGCTTGGGGCTGTGTCCGCGGTCCATATTGGCGGACGTGTGAGGTTTTACGTAGCCAGGTGATGTCCCGGGGAATGTTGATGAGGCCCGGGAGTCCGCCGCAAAATGTCATTATCGATAAGCAAGGAGCTTCACCAGCCACAAGTGGCTGCACTCAAAATTATTTCGAACAATAGTGGGGCATATATATAGCCCACTCGAGATAGACGCTCTCATTGCGCCTTGCATTTTCGTCGACCACTCACAATGTCTATGATCACAGCGACGACCTGGGTGCCGCGCGGATTCGCGGCGCCCTTCCCCTCAAGATATCAATTCGACGAGGACGAGTATGAGCGGATATCGAAGCTTGCGAATCTGCAACTAGAGGATGCAAAGGAAGAGCTCGAGGAGGCGCAGGCTGAGGCCAAGACCAAGAGCAATGGGACTTCAGGCAAGACGTCAAAAGCAAAGGACGACGAGTGGGTACACCTATCATTGCGCTTGCGCCAAAGTTAATCGTGCGTAGTGATGCCGACGACGACGATCTGAAAGAGTACGACCTCGAACACTACGACGATGAAGTCGCAGAAGACCAGGGCGATACCATGGCCATGTTCGGAAATGCCAAGAACCTAGTATTCCACGAGAACGACGAGGCCGACCCGTACATCACAATGCAGGGTGGGGAGGAGGAAGACGACGAAGAGCGGGAAGAGCTACAGATTCTGGCCACAGACAACCTAGTACTGGCGGGCCGGATAGAAGACGAGGTTGCACATCTGGAAGTCTATGTTTACGAGGACGAAGACGACAATCTCTATGTGCACCACGATATCATGCTGCCCGCGATTCCGCTAGCTGTCGAGTGGCTAGATCTACCCGTTGGAAAGTCGATTGGCACACAAGACGGCAAAGGCAACTACGTTGCTATCGGAACCATGGACCCAGATATTGAGATTTGGAATCTGGACGTGGTAGACAGCATGTATCCAGATGCTATTCTGGGTCAAGGTGCTGAAGATGCAGCCAACGCAGATAGGCTGAGAAAGAAGAAGAAGAAGAAGTCGAAGAAGGTCAATGACGAGTTCCACGTCGATTCCGTCCTCGCCCTTGCCGCCAACCGTCACCACCGAAATTTGCTTGCCTCTGCATCCGCGGATAAAACCATCAAGCTATGGGACTTGAACACGACCAAATGTGCCAAGTCATACACCTACCACACAGACAAAGTGTGCTCTGTTGCGTGGCACACGGTCGAGTCCACGGTGCTACTAAGTGGAAGTTACGACCGGACAGTCGTGGCATCTGACATGCGAGCACCCGATGCGAAGGTCCCACGATGGGGTGTTGAGAGTGACGTCGAGACTGTTCGGTGGAATCCTCACGACCCGAACTACTTCTATGTAAGCATTGCACACTAGTTCGCCCTACACTGCTAACAGGCTCAGGTGTCTACCGAGAAAGGAATGATACATTACCACGACATCCGCAATGCACCAAAGGACCCATCGGCCTCGAAACCAGTTTGGGTACTGCAAGCCCACGACGAGTCTATCTCTTCGTTCGACATCAACCCGGTGATTCCCGGCTACCTGGCCACAGGATCAACCGATAAGCAAGTCAAGCTATGGAACATCCAGGAGAGTGGACCGAGCATGGTGGTTTCGCGAGATATTGGTGTTGGACGCGTGTTCTCGACAACATTCGCACCCGATAAAGAAGTAGGGTTCCGCCTGGCAGTTGCCGGGAGCAAAGGAGCGGTACAGATCTGGGACACGAGCACGAATGCAGCAGTACGTGCTGCGTTCGCGAACAAGGTGACGTTGCCTCAGATGAAGCATGACGGAAAGGAGCGTCTCGTCGGCTTGGATGAGCCCGACACTGATTCAGACACTGAAGAGGGAGAGAGTGATGATGGCGGCGAAGAGGAGAATGGCGACGAGAAGGGCTGGGAGTCGATGGAAGAGTAGGACGGAGTTATTCTTGAAAGATGGGGATACACGAAACGTGGAGGAAGCACTGAGATCAGACATGTACACGCCGTCTCCTTGTAAGACATCGTATGCTTGTCTATCACGATGGGAGCAAGAAGCTCGTTAGTGGTGCATCTTTGCTACTGCGGTATAATTTGCCAACGCAAAGTGGTGTATGACACCTGAGCATAGGTACGTCGACGCAATGTGCAGTAGGTCTCGACGGTATGTTGAGTGAGGATCTGAGGCCAATGAAGCGTCAGTGTAGTTAGTGCAAGCGGTGGCAGAAGGAGGCATCTCGAAGCTGTGATCTGAGGTGGCATCGAGGAGCATGGAACCGTGTATCGCAATAACGACTGCCTCGATCATGTTCGCGCCCTTACTTCTGCTTTTTATTCCGTTCATCTCGTTTGAGTTGAGCGACATTGGCGGTGTTGTGATGGGTGGCCATGCAAAAGAAACTTCATGACTAATCCACCACGAGGGCGAGGTCGACAACACTTTACTGTTCCAATTCGCAATCATTATGAGTTTCTACGCAACATTGTTGACCACGCGAACTAACCATCTGCCTAACCGTCTGCCTAATCATCAATACGACGACGGTAGATGGCACGTTCGGGCCTAGCCGGACACGAGTGCCCGAGTGGCACGCCAAGTGGAGCTCAACCAAAAGATGCCTCTGGTCTCGATCACGCCAGATCGTCTACCTCTCCAGGGCCTGCCGCCTCGCTTCGTGGCCTGTTTCGAAACTGGGCAAAGCAAGGTAGAACAACCGTCGACTATTTACGATGCGAACAAGCTGGGAGCTCGTCAATTAAAATACCCGGCGAAACAAGAGTTCATGCACGCGTCTGCAAGGCACACTCACACAGTCTGACTGACATGGAGCGTAGGCGCCTGCTTTTGGCGCTACTAGCACAACTGCCGACCGGATTGAGCGCCCCTTCACTGCAACGCCTCCCAACGCGTCGTTGACTACTGACTACACCGTTTTGCCCATCCCAACGGACACTTGCCGAAGCCGATCCACGGTTCCTGAACTGTCGCGGCTTGTGGCGACTCTGTACATGTACGACGACGCCGTGTCCGACGGCTCCCTGGGGGCCGCCTCTTCGCATTGCATCTTTGCGTGTCAATGCCGTACGACAGGGCGATCAGCCTCCTTCATCAAGCTGACGGTTCGGAAGTCTACTTTCGATGGGTTGAAACGACCAGGCTTTAGTGTGCCCCAACGAGGTGTGCGGGAAGAGCAAACAACGGCAGGCTCCCCAGCTCAACCTGCGACAGATTGGCGGCAACCTTCATCCATGCGGCGTCGCCTCATTCGCCAGACAAAGAAAAACACATCACCCGCTAAACTCTGCCAGGTCGTTTCAACGCCACTGACTCGGCCATCCAGGTCCATGTGCGATGCGGTTCGCTGGCTGTTGGTCGTCCCCCCGGCGCGTCCCCCGGCCATCTCCTACCAATCTTGGAGAGACAGGTCGACGCGGCTTGTCGACTAGCCTGTCGCTCCAGGGTGCTGGCTTTTTCAACCCGCGCCGTCGCTGCACCGATCGACTGCCCTTTTCTTTAGTAGGCTTCCTTCTCCCTTCCTTTGCCCTGCTGTGCTCGTTGGCTTCCCAGCAGTATTCACATACACACACTCCCTCCTTGTTCGCAACCTGGTGTTCGCTCCTTACGACACAGGCTGTTCCCACACGCTCTTTGACAGACGATCTTTTGTTCCATATCCACCACTCTTTACTTCTCTTCATTCATTCATTGTCCCCGCTGCAAGCTCAGCTTCAACCCCAAAGAACCAAAACATCCATCAACAAGAAAACTAAGACTCGACCAAGTCTTCTGGAACTGTGTCGCACACACCGGACCCCCAAGCCACCAAATCTGCGACCTCAGTATCACAAGTACAACTCCGACTCTAGACCACGTTACACGACAAAAGCGCACACATCCCCGGCGCAAAGCACAGCGTGATCCCTTCCAGACTTCCATAACAGCACCACAGTCGCTGTTCAGCTGTCCACAGTCGCGTCTCCCCAGTTGACCTGTTTGATCCCGTGCCTATCAAGAGCAATCTATCCCCGGCAATACCCCGCAGCCCAGTTAAGAAGCAGCCAACTACCGTCCCCGTTGGAATTACCGGACTTCAGACTCACAGGACTGGACCCTTCTTGCACTTTCGCAAATCTATCCTCAATTAATCCATCAATATGTCGCTCGCTCGCGCTGTCACCAAGCGTCTCAAGCGGTCAGAAGCGCCGCCAACCCGCAGCCAGAGTGTCCGAAATCCAACTCAGGTTGACCGTGCCAAAATCTCCCTACCTGTAGCTCTAGTCTCGACGACCAACATGCTCAGCTACAACGCCCCGGATCTCGGTATTATGAGGAACGTCTCGTCGTCGACTGCTTCAAGCCGCTCATCGGCAGACGACTCGGACAACAGTTTATCAGGACGCTCTCGCGCGTCCTCCCACAGCTCTACAGATGCCTCCTCTGTCACCTCTTCTCCTACCTCGCCAGCGCCAAATCACCTTTCCGGTTACTTCCCTGGCAAGCAACTCCGAAAATCTGCCTCGACAACCAGTCTTCACCAGGTCAAGGAGGAGCACGTAGAGGCCACTCCGGCCATTCCAACAAGGGCCCTCTCCCACAGCAAGCGCGCCCATGAGCGACTGGCTGCAAAGCGGTCCATGCAAAACATGAATACGCGCTCTAGCCTCAACTCGCGTGGTAGCTCGGTATCACTGCGACACTCGCGCGAGCAGCGATCCTCCATGGACATGTTCAAAGGCGCGATTGAAGAGGAGGACCACCCCTTTGGCCGAGAGCTAGAGCAGCTCAACGAGATCGCTGAAGAGTTCGGCGGCGTAATCCGGGACGCTGAAGCAGAGGCGGACCTGAGTGCTATGCGCTCAAAGAACCTGGCAGCTTTCTGCGCCGCCGACTACCTCTCAGAAATCCAACCGCTTTTCAGCATGAGGTTCGGAATCCCGCACCAAGCAGCACCCATGGCTTGGATTTGAGTCGACTTCGACAGCCACTCTCCTGCCATTCTTGACCAAGACGGTTCTCGCAAGTTCAGCTCGCTACCTTAGACGATATCCCACGCTCTCGCTTCTAGTGTACATATTGACGGATTTCATTTCTCATCACTCTTTAACATAAACCCTATTTTTTTTTTTGCACGTCTGCTGGCATGGTTGGAAGGGACGTGAAACATGGCGTTCCGGAATACCAGTATCAGGCTTGGAGGTCATGGTCCTCATTCTCTCATTTACGATAACTCATGTCTTGTTGTGTACGATGCTATTGGAAGGAAGACGGTCAGCCGGAGGGTGGCACGACGTAGTCATCGGAGATGACGCGGACGTGTTTTGGATATGTTGAATGTCGGTGCTTGTCGGTCACACTACATCACTGCACCATATCTGAGTCAGATCTACATATCTCCAAATGAAAGTACATACAACTCAAACGGGCCGACTGTCTTGGTGCTCTATCCTTCTCTACTTTACAGCACAAGCAAAGGAATCCAGTGACGTATTGCATGCTTTGCGAGCACATCTCCACAGCATGAGCACTGTCTCAGCATCCCCATCACATGGGCCCTCCATGATCACCCACATAGGAAAGGTGCATACGGCGTGCAGTAGCTGCCGACACACAAAAATAGGATCGGCACATGTATGCTGAAACGCAATCTATTCGTGATGGTGTACCGGGATCCAGTTCATGCATCCGGTGTGGGCATGATCCCATGCATTGGGGGTGACCTCTAGCGCGTTTCGGCGCCGGAGAAACCTAGTGGCCTCCATCCATTCTCATTTGAACTTTTGATGGGCTTCAACATTGACATCAAGCTCAATTGACCGCCCACGCAACACAAAATGATATGCCGAAATTGCCTCCGGGCAGCCTCTAGGACTCAAATTTCTTCGCCGTCACTACGACAATCGCAACGCTTCCTCACCACCTCCCCTGCCTTCCGGAACGCAACACCCATCTCCGCGACCACCGCAACCCAAACCGCGCCTCGACAAGGAGACTCCACATCTTCGCACACGCCACCTACCGCAACATCAACTTCCGCTGCGCAGCCTCTAAGCGAACCTCTCACTCCGGCTGCATCACCAGACTTGAAAGCGCAAGCCGCCAAAGCTGCGGAAAAGAAAGCGACGCCACTAGTCAAGAGTTCGATACCGGCAGGACAGCCGCTAAAAGGGCTGAACTTTTTGAAGAATGCGCAGGATCCTGTTGCGCTGCCGGACGATGAGTATCCACAGTGGCTGTGGACGATATTAGATCGGCAGGAGCAAAAGGCAGACGCAGGAGCGGGAGATTTATTCTGTACGTTTCCCCACACGTCAAACCGCATCAAGGAAACATACCTCATCTACAACACTATGCTTAACGCTCAATTTTTCAAGAATAACGTATGCTAACATTTCTACAGCCAAGTCAAAGAAACAGCGCCGTCTGGCCGCCAAACGGCTCCGCAAGGAACAAGCCATGAACCCCGAGATGCTCATTCCTAAAGTCCCCATCTACGAGCAGACGATAGATTTACCGGTCGGAGACGGATCACTAGACAGCGCGGCGAAGGCGGCGGATGCGCGAGACGAGTTGACTAAAGCGATGAGGAATAAGAGACGGGCAACGATCAAGGAGGCGAATTTCTTGAAGGCCATGGGCTAGAGTTGTTGAATACGCTGTATATCACATAGATGGGTAGAAGAGATATTGTGTACGATTCATTACATTAGCCTTATATGAGGTTTATGCTGGAGAGGTATACCATGTGTGTATACTGTTCTACTCGGGTTCTTCGAACCACGTTCCACCTTTTTGTGCTATGCACCAATTGCACATAACACCCTGCAAAATCAATCAAGTTGAAACAATCCTCGCCTACCCTTTGCACAAAAAGACTAAACTATAGTCTACAAGGCTTCCACGATTTGCTGTGACGGCCTATATCGATCGAGCCTGAAACCTTTCAAACAACACCGATCATCTAAGACGAGATGAGACGTCTAATTCACAATACGCTCTACAGGAACGAGAGTATTTAATGTGTTTATTTACTAGAGATAGTTTATCCTACGCACCATAAATACAAACACCAGGTATGCAAAAGTGTAATGGAGAGAGCATCCAACAGCTCAGAGTCCACAAAACGTTAAAAAAAAAAGGAGACCCAACCAACACCAAACCAACCCCCAAGAATGCGGCGCTTACTATGCAACAACAAACTCGAAGTCTATGCAATATGCGCACAGTCCTACAAACCATTGAAACGCCATTTGTCCGCATGGTGGTATATACACCAAAAAGAGTTTACATGAAGCTCATCTTGACCTCCTTTTCCGTCCCAAAATCATCATCAAATTCATCGGCCCAGGCATTGTACCCCGGGTTAATGGTCGCTCCGCTCGGTTCCGTCTTGGATGTCTTCAACGGCGGCCGGTCTGCAGGTGATGGGTCATCCCAGGTCGGCTGTGTATCCGGGTTCCACCGGGGTTTAGCTGATGGTGACTCCCATGGCGTTGATAGGCCCTCTGGCGTGTCGTGGACAGGTCGTGGGGATTTGGACGTGGACGGTGCGGGTGTCGGCGGGTCACGGAACGAGGAGTCGAAGGTCATCTCGATGCGTTCTGCACCCGGGTCATCAAATTCATCATACTCCTCAAAGACATTCCTCCCTTGGCCATTGGGTCCGCTCGGTGTATTCTTTCCGTTGGTGGCCGACAAATTACTTGTACCGTTCGCCTTCGCGTCCAATGTCGCCTGCCCTAGGCTGTCGTTGTAGCTCTTCGTCTCTCTAAGATTCGTGCGTGGACTTGTCTGCGGCGCGGTGCTGATGTCGATTTTCATTGGCGGTAGCGTACTCTTAATCTCCTTGATCTCAAACTCCGCCTCGGCGTTATATTCTTTGCTCTCGACGGCCAGGGCAGCGACCTCTCTTCGGATAGCGTCAATGTCGAACATGATCGGATTCTCCGCAATCTTCGCCGGATCCGCATCCTTGTCAATAGTCTTATGCTGCTCTGCCAAGGACTTTTCATCGTAAACCTCCCACTCCTTCTTGTCGCCCTTTTTCTTTTTCCACCAAGATAATTTGCTACCTCTCTTCTCCTTTTCGGCTGCTTTTTTCTCCAATTCTTTTCGCGCCTCCTCAATCTCGTTGATAAGTTCGCGCTGGCGCATTTCATGGTTATCCGGGTCAGGGTCTTCGATCTCCGCGAATTCGTCTGATTCAACGATCCAGCCGACTTCGCGGAGAAGCTTGGGCATTGCGGCACGGTAGGCCATGTGGCCGGGCACAAGTTCGGTGACGTTGACGTTTTCGATAGTGGGAACTTGGACGGGTGCAAGGCCTGCTACGCGCATTACTCCGCCACTCGTTGCACGGAAGAGGTAGCCTAACCAAACTGTGAGCAACTAGACATGACGTATGTTGTGTGTGATGCATACCTAAGATCCAGTCATTGGTGGCATACCCATTAACAAATCTTCCAGGAACGATGGACCTGACTTTTATGTATTCATCGTTCTTGGCCACGACTGGCGTGCCAAACATGTACACATTTTGTATCACACCGAAAGCACCCCGACTGGAAAGCTCTTTCAAGCACGAGAAGATGACTCTTGAGCCTAGTGAAAACCCAACTAGGGTCACAGGTCGTGTGCCTAGATTACGGTCGATCAGTGAGTCGGCAAGGATACGTCCGGCCATATCTGCTCGAGCTTGTGAAACGATCCATGGGTTGTCAATGAGGTAGGACAGCTTCGTCAGAGCAAGAGGGAGAGTCATGGCTGCCATGAGCGCTGTCAAGATAGTGCTTCCCAGGACTTGTTGCAGACCTTGCGTAAGGGCCTATTTGACTGTCAGTGTGATGTTGCCAAGTGCTTTGTCGATACTGACCTCAGTAGCTAGAATGTTGATAGTGTCACCCATACTCCTTAGCATCTCAGGCTCCCAAAGCACGGAGTATATGTCGCCCATGATTGGATCTACCGTGCTGTACGGTAATCGCACATCATCCACTTTACCGTTCATCCACCCTGCAAGAGTAATGATGAGGTGTGTTCTCTTGTTGTTGTGCAAAGGTCGATATTCGAATGTCTTGACGGTTCCTGTTCGCCTATTCGCCGCTCTGACCCCGACGGTACTACCGGTGACGACGCCTGTGGAAGTGATGATAGCGGCACCTCCAGCACCTGCAAGGAAACTGCTAGTCCCGGCTACACCGATGGTTGTGAATCCCGCAGCAAGACCAGCTCCAATAAGAGGAGCAAGTAAACCTGCAGACAAGCCAATGACCAGACCACCCCCAACAGTAGCGAGACCCATAAACGCCAGACGTTTATTACGTGCTCTCTTGGCGCGGCTGACCATATGATCCTCTTCGTTCCAGTTCTCCTTGTCCGCCTGTTCTTGCATTTCCAACGCGTCTGTTACACGTTTCTCGAAACGGCAAATTTCCAGCCAGTCCACGCTGAGATACTTTCCGACCTGTTCGAAGAGCTCTCTTGAGCGCGAATCATAAATTGCGTCTGCGATCAGCACCAAAAAGAGATCGCACAAGACGGTCCAGCGGAGGTCAATGTCCAGGTTCTTGCTGGTTGGAAGTTGTGACGGTGTTTTAACTTCTGGATACTCGAATCCCTGATGCTCTTCGTATGGTGGAGGTGGCGGGGACTTTACATAGTCGGGCAGATCCAGTGTTGATGCTGACTTAGTAAACATGCCCTTCTCCGCTGGCGATCCAGGGCGTGGTGAAGATATGGAAGGTCTTGCTGAGTCGGATTCATTCAGTGAGACCACCTCTTCTGCCGCCGGATTCTTCACTCGAGCGTTCGCCATCAAAGCTGGAGTGAGATCTGCTGCGACTACGCCATGGTCCGACAATTGCTCGATCATAATTTGCTCGGACGCATTGATGTCCATATGCCCGTATACCCTGACCATTATCTTCTGAGACCACATCTTTGTTGCTTCTGTATGCATGTCTAACGCCTTTTTAACTTTCTTGTTACTTCTCTCGATCCTAGAGTACTTGTTCTCCATCTCAACCATAGCCAACCGGACCAGTCCGACATATGCGACACGCTGTCCTTCGGTAAGGAGATTTTTAGTAGTCTGCATCTGCATGAGCGGATCCCGGACTTCTTCGTCGTCGTCGTGCAGCGCGTTGCTTTTCTCCTTGAAGAGATAGGCAGTGTTGTCGTCCATACTTGTTTGAGAATCAGCATCATCATCCATTATGACCCTAGTATAGCCTTTGGCAGCACCTCCGACATTGGCATAGCCGCTCATATCTTCCAGCTCTGCCGCGTTTTCTTTCGCAATAAGCCTATTGTCATCGTCGTACATGTCGTATTGAGCGTATGCTGGCATAGTCTGCCAATCACCGTCGTCTTCGTCTTTCTCGTCTTGTTCGTCGTTCTGGGGTTGTAAAACTGCATGTTGGTGCGAGTACTCGGACACAGTTATCATGCTCGTTTGGTGTCGGTGGGCAGGCTGTGGCTCCAGATTCCTTCGCTTGTCCACAGTTTCAGGCTGCGGTGTGTCTTCGGAAGCAATTTGTGCTGGTTCTACTGGAGGCGTTTCGGTGTTTTCTTTCTGCTCCACCTTCTCCTCTGGCCCCTTCATGTGTCCATTAACTTGCGGTTTCGCATCGCCTCCCCCCTTGGCTTTCTCTACTTCGGCGTCTGGAGGCGCTTCTATACTCTTCTTCTCATCGTCTATTCGTATATCCGTCTCTGGCAGAGCAATCTTGACTTGGCTCGCTGTCTTGGAAGCTACCGCATCCTCAAACTCCCCCTCCTCCGAGTCTGAGCTCTCCTCCACTGGCGTCCTCGCCCGCGGCTTCCTTATTGGCAGACCAAAATCGTCATATTCGAGCTCCGCTTTAGGTTTGTTCGGTGATACTGCGCTTTCTGTGTTTTTAGACTGAAGCTTAGGGGGATCGGCGGGGGTCTCGCTGGTCATGGTGGGACTGTCGCAGACGCATCGAGCATGCCTGGACTACGGAAGCGTGCGGAGAGTGCCTGAGGGAAACCCAAGCGTAAGCAAAGTATGTACAAGGCTTCGTCGTCGCCCTCAGGCCATATCATACAAAAGCGGAGTCAGACGGGGGTGCCCTCTGCAAGCCGCAGACGTCGAATAGCGTCGACGCACGGGCTAGGTTCCGCTTTCAGAACTTCCAACATTTTGCGACACCGAACTTTTTCCCCGCAAACCGCGTCCACCTCAAACACACAACGTCGCAATGAAGCTAAAGCGGGCGAAGGTACATGAATACCCCAGATACGACATTTGGTAGTCCCACTAACAGGTAGAAAGGCGTACAAGAAGCTCCTCCACCAATACGAGCTCAACTTCGGCTTCCGCGAACCCTACCAAGTCCTCGTTGACTGGCAAATCCTCCAAGATGCCTACAACTTCAAAATCGACCTCATCGCGCGCCTCGAAAAGATCCTAGGCGGCCAAGTAAAGCCCATGATTACGACGTGCGACATGCGGCACCTCTACGCCGCGAAGCCCAAGAACGAAACTCTCATATTACAGGCCAAGGAGTACGAACGGCGGCGGTGTAACCACCAGGATCTTGACGAGCCGCTGTCGACGCTGGAGTGTCTATCGAGCGTCGTGGACCCCAAGGACAGTAAAACAAACAAGCATAGATATGTGGTTGCTTCGAATGATATCAGCGTGCGCGCGCATATGCGAAGCGTAGCTGGCGTACCACTCATCTACATAACGAAGTCAGTGGTGCTCATGGAGCCCATGGCCAACGCATCCGAGGAGCAGCGCGAGAGGGAGGAAAAGTCAAAGTTCAAGCAGGGATTAAAGGGTCAGCGGAAACCTGATGCGGGACCGAAGCGGAAACGGAACGATGAAGAGGAGGGTCAGTCTATTGCGGGTGGCGCTACGGGAGATGCAAGACCTTCGAAGCAGAAGCGAGAAAAGGGCCCTAAGGGTCCTAATCCGCTGAGTGTGAGGAAGTCGACAAAAGAGAAGAGCGCGCCAGAAGCCAGTGCTTCTAAGAAGGCGAACGATGCGCAGCCATCCACAGCTGACGCAACCAACACTCACGATGCTGAGGCTTCAGGGGCCCGCAAGAGGAAGCGCAAGCACAAGCCAAAGGGTGACGACACCAGTGCTGCTATAGAAGATGACGGAGAAGTCACCGCGCCATGATCGTGCAATTACTCGCCATTTGCCTATAGCATCCCACTGCTACGGGTGACATTACCAGGCCTATGACATTCGGTCTAAGACGGTCGTCAGTTTTGGAGGCTTAATTCAGCTATCAGAAGAAAGGAGGGCGAGGCGTACCATGATACCCAAATTAGCATGTGTGAGGAGGCAGAAATTGTAGCTCAGGTGTGACGTGTAACCAGAAGCCGGTCGGCAAAACTGGTGTATGGCACGATCAACTCAGACCTTCTTGCCCTGCGCAAGCATATCTGACACTTTCGGTGGAAGAACCAACGTGCTCCGATCATTTCGCTTTACAAACTCAACCACAACCTCGGCAGTTTTTTCGGGCAGGTCTTCGTGAAGGAAGTGACCAGCAGCTGGGAAAACCTGCAGTTGAAATTTGCCTTTGTCGTGTTAGATACAGATACACAAATATGATAGCAATGCGGAAACTCTGAAAGGAATCATGAAGCTCACCCTGCATCTGCCCAATCATCAACTCCTTGTCTAACCGATCCGTCCCCGCAAGCAGCAACAGCTTCGCCCCCTTCCCACTCAGAAACTTCCCGCTCATGCCCGTAAACCAATTCTCCCAGTACGCCTCTGTACTTCCAAGCTCAGTCCGCCACGCCCATCGTCCGTCGGGTGTCTGCAGTAATAAGCTAGGTACGCTTGCTCTGGCAGATTGTGGGTTGCGTAGCGTCCGTGACCGAATGTGCCATTCAATAGCATTGGAGAGGGAAGGAAATGATTTCGGGCGTGTGGCGAGGTAGGCCTGCATGTGTTTCAGGGCCTCCATTGCGCTGCCTTCGACAACATCGAACACGCCATATCCCAACAGCTTATTCCCGAACAAGCCTCTGTTCGCAGCGTCTGTGACGACGGCGCCACCCAAACTATGCCCAATCAGAACTAAGGTAGGTAGTTCTTTCCAGCCCATCTTGACCTGGGTGAGGTGTAGCATATCCACGAGATCTTGGCTGAGAAGCGAGATGCTGAGGTTGTTGTCGACTTCGCCATCCGAATTCCAGACTACGCTTCCATGGTCCCGTGCTTCGACAGCTAGGATGCCCATCTCTGGCATTTGTTTCCGCACTTCTTTTGCCATGAGGGCGAAGCTCATTGCCGAGCTGCCTGCGCCATGGTGGAGGACCAGTAATGGCGCCTTGGGTTTTGTTGCCGGGGTCAAGTAGACGTGGAACTTGGCATGGCCCAGACTGTTCTGCTCTGGATTCGGTTTTCGCTCGAGAAACAGTTCTTGGGCAAAGTAATCAGACCAATGTATGGCTGGCGCGGGCCTCAATGTACTCGAGGGTATTACAGTGCCGGTGCTGGACATTGACGATGCGGAAGACGAGTCATCTTCGTATTCGAGGGGTTCTTCGGCGAGCGGTTCGGGGGGAGGGAGGGCGGAGAGGTTGGCTTTTGCAAAGTGCTTCGCGAGGTCTGACATGTTGTACCTGGGTGGTGCTATAGTCTAGGAGCGTTGTGCGATAGGCGGGTAGTGTGCTAAGGCGGGATTGGCTGGTATCGGAGGCAAAACACGTGCAGTGTATGCAACCATCTGGTGTAGGCTGAGTGATTTGTTTGGTTCGGTGTGGGATGGCGATGTCCAAGGAGGGGAGGGGAGCACGCACAGGTGGCGGGGTGGTTCGATAGAGGGTGACAGACCAGGATCAAGGCATGTAATGTACTGGCAGGCCCTACTGTAGCCGAGCTCTTGCAGCGCTTCATCCTCGAGCGCCCCTCCGAGCACGTCGCATTCCTAAGGCGTGGTGACAAGAAGGCATGAGTGCGAAGACAAGCCAAGTTACCATGGGTAGTAGTGGTAAACATATTGCTTAGCAGATATGACAAGGAGGGTTCCCTGGGGCTGGGCTGGATCATCTGGACTCTGGACTAGGCCATGATGCGTGGTCCGGGATGTGTGAACCATGACGTAGATCGTTGGGATTAGCGTCTCCAGCTTCAAACAAACCTCTACGCCCCTCAGCATTGTTCTTCCCTCTCACGAGCTCTGCGAAGCTCTCCCTCTTAATAAATTCACCGGGACCTTCTCGTTCATCTTCCTTGTTCGATATCTAATCATTACTGCCCGACCAAGCGTCCTCACGCACGGGTTCCGAGCTCGATACGAGCTCCCATGTCTAGCATGTGGAAAGGCGGCAAGAAGGAGCAGCAGGACAATGACCAACTAACAGCTGAGCCACCACACCCAATCCAGGATGATGGAGCCTCGAGATCTTCGAGAAGAAGCTATGAGCCTTCAAGGCGAAGTGCAGAGCCCCGAGATGAGCCAAATGAACGGACCAGGCTGCTTGATCGACCCAGGCCGCCCAACTCAGATGGATACCTCGATCCTGATGATCCAGCTGTACGTAGATCCAAATACAATTACTGCAATTCCGTACTAACAATGGCAGGTGTCGCCCTACAACCTTTGGACTGTGCGGGCCATGCGCTACCTCACCATCCTCTTCCTGATAGTATCTTTCCTCTGGTGGGTACTCTTGCTGGTATCTATCTTTGTCTCTCCACCAGGCCTGCACACCCGCGGATCGGGCTTCTTCGACTTTGCATACACATGTCTAACCATTGGCAACCTCCTTGTCGCTACCATCTTCTTCGTTACACCCGCCCAGGGACTGCGCATCACCACCGCCATCATTGCGGTACTGCTGGCGGTTGACATGATCCTCATCGTATCCGTCCCGCGTATCAGGCTGGAGGAAGGATGGGTCGGTATTGCGAGTGTGGTCTGGGCGTTCGTTATGGCTGTTTGGTGCATCCTGACTGATCGCGTTGTCGCCTATGGCAAAAAAGAAGAGGAAGAACGTCTTACGGGGCGGGCAGAAACCCGACGTACACTCAAGGAGTGGGTCGCCGTTCTTGTGGCGACCATCCTTACTGTCGTATTCATCATCATCGTCATCTTGATGACCGCCACCCTTGGCATGCGCGCCCGCGACTCCACGCTCAAGATGTACGGCGACCGCATCCTCGTCGACGGAGACAAGTACGCGGTCCATCTCGCTTGCGTCGGCAACGACTCCTACACTGATGGCTCTAGAGACCCAACGGTTCTCCTTGAAGCCGGTGAAGCACCACTAGAGTACGATTTTGAGCACTGGGCCTACGCCGCTTACAAGAACGGCACCATTTCCCGCTACTGCTACTGGGACCGCCCAGGCTACGCCTTCTCTGACAACGCCCCATCCCCACATTCAGCAGGCATGTCCGCGGATGCGCTCTCCGAAGCCCTAGCCAAAGCTGGCGAAGAAGGGCCCTGGATCCTCGTCTCCGCCGGCACAGGCACCATCGTCTCGCGTATCTTCAGCTCGCGCCATATGAAGCAGGTCACCGGCCTCCTTCTGATAGACCCTTACCACGAGGACCTCCTCCACCGTATCGGCAGCCCGAGTCGGGGCTTCATGCTCTGGGCCTGGGGCATCATCTCCCCCCTTGGCACCGTTCGTCTCGCCGGCGCGCTCTTCAAGGGTCGAACCCGCGAAGACCGTGTCTACGGCCGTAATGCTTATCAATCCGGCAAACAGATCAAAGCCCAACTCCAAGAGAATCTCGTCGCTGACAGCCTCTCCAAGAATGAAGTTGCATCTGCGCGCAACATTCAGAGTAGCGATACCGCGCTTGCTATAGTAAGTAGCGGTATCGAGGTTAGGAGGGATAGCGAGTGGGAACGCAAGCAAAAGGACTTGACGACTTTGACAGACAACTTGGTGGGCTGGGATGTCGTCAACAAAGCTCCTCATCAAGTTTGGCACACGCTTGAAGGGAGGACAGTCATGGAAAAGAGGCTGAAGGCTCTAGTCAAGGCTGCTGCCAAGGTCAAGCATTCGACTGAAGAGTAAGAGTTTCGGGACACGGAGATAGTGTCTGGTGGTAATTGAGGGTAATTTGATAATGTTTTGGCCGACTATTTTCATTGCTCTGTATCTCTCCTTCGCATACCCTTTTACGTCGCGTTGCATACATAGGATTTCCTTTCTCTGTAGCACATAGCGGAGTTACTTGATGATTAATTAATCTCAAATCACGCATACCGCATACCTGTTTCCTGGTTGTCCCTGTTGCAAGCATACCAGATACCAGATACATGGACCCGAGCCATGAATCTAACGTGCAGGGACCCCGCCGCTAATGTGACGATGATGACGATTGTGCATGGGGCCCGATCAAGGCTATACCCAATTTTGATCGGCATTTTGCAAGGCGATAAGGATCGCGGGGCTGTATGCATCGAAGGAACGGCTTGTAGAAGAAGCCGCGCGTTCTGCCTGCCAGGACATTTTCGCTCATACGACACACGATTTTGTTGGCTTTGATAGCTATATCCAATATATATTTTCACAAGAAGAGAACGACACCAAATCCGACTTGGCTTTTCTCTATCCAGAATCATCTTAGTATAATCTATGTCCTATATCAATATCGTGCATTGTGCATGGACCTCGTCAAAACGGCTGACATAGGAAAAATCGCTAGCTATGCTGCGTGGGCGTTATAATACAATTTTAAAACTCTCCGTGATCGCATAGAATGTTGTACCTTCTAAGCTTCAACATCCTGCTTGCGTCGACGAATGCTGCCAAAGCGCTTCTTCAGTGTGCCGCCCATGCTCTTGCTTCGTCCAATACCAGATGCTTCGGCATCAAGGGTTTCAGACGGCATATTGCCTGGTGCCTCGGTGTAGCCTACGCTCTTGCTGTGCTTGTGACGTGAGGTCATTTCGGTACCGTTGTCGCCAAGCGTTTTATGATCCTTGAGGGCCTTCTCGATGGTGTATGAGGGTTCGCCTTTGCCTTTGAGGTCATCTGGATGGTAATCCTGGACTCTGTTAGCGGCGCTTCATGAGGTAAATGGGTTGAATAGCCACGTACTACACCCGCCCATCGTCGATAGTCACCACCTGGCTCCCGCTGAAGGTCGGCTCCCTCTTGATAGTTCAACACTCTACCGAACCTATCCGGCATGCCAGGTGGGATAATGGCAACACCTTCGAGAGGACGATGCCTTGTCACAGCGTCGACTATGTTCTCTCGGGGCGTGGCTCTCAGCGCCTCTAGGTTTGATTCCTTGACTGCCGCAATGGGGGCATATTTGACATGCTTGTTGCGGGCAATGTTGGCGGCATCATACGGGCCTTCATGGTGGTATTGGGAAACGCCTGATTTATCCAGTCGGTCGATGATGTCGGCGCCTTGGAAGTTCTTCTTTCTAAGATGAGGCGCACGGTGAGCAACTTTCTCATCCTTGCGGAGAATATCAAGTGGTCTGTGAGACTTGTCACCGGGGTAGCGCTCCGAGAGCGAGCCGCTGCGTGCAGGCCTACCATTCCTGGACGAGGATGGTGCCGGATTGCTCGATCGTCGCGGACGGCCTTCATTCAGGAATCCAAGTGTCTCCGCACGGTGGTTGTCGGAGAAATGTGCACGGCGGGGGCTGGCAGAGTTTGGAGGAGAGGGATAATCAGACCTCCTGCTCTTTGGTGTAGTTTGTCCATGCGGTGTCACAGATGCAGACGGACTCTTGGAATCTGTAGAAACCCTTGATCGACGGTAGGGATTGGTTTCTACCGAGCTTCCAGTGTGCTGTGGCTGAACGTTGACAGAGGACGAGCCTTTAGCAATGCCGGTGGATCCGGGAGGTGTTATAGGTTCTTGAGGCGCAAATGTCGAGCGGAAGCGGGTGTTCAATCCCGTCTCGTCACTCGGATCTGGCTCGATCAGAGGGTCGATCAAAGCATGTCGTGCCTGAACGGTCAGCCATCATATTCGAGTAGTCATACAGCGGACTTTATATGATGGAGAAATGGCTTCTTGAGGCGCCCAGTCTGGTCCAGACGAAAGGTCTACCAGATAGTGCGCTCTTTCGCCCGGATGCGCGTAGGTCATATGTAAGGGAGCGACAACTTACTTGTTCCATGATGTTTGTGTAACTTGGATAGGCAATGTTTTTGTTAGGCTTCAGAGAGGCGTCAATAGGTTACACAGAGGGCGTGGTTGGCATCAGAGGGGAGTTTAAGAGCAGAGCAGGTGACGCCGGTCCGTTGGATAAAGGCTGACTTGGCAGGCACGACGCGTAATATGTCATCGTTCTCGTCGTGGCCCTGCATCTCTTGGTGAAAAGCCGGCCAATCGCTGCATACGTCATCCGGAGACGCTAGGCTCAGAGCGGGGCAGGATCTTGGCATCCGCTTGCCAGATCTGGCATGTGACGAACGGCCATGCCCGCCCGAGGCTGCCCAACCAACACCCATCAACCTTATACCATGTCCCTAGTGGAATACCCAGACTCGGACTCGGACAATGATGGTGAGCGCAGTGCAGCAACATCTCCCCAGCCGGTGCAGACTGTCCCCAAGAATCCTGTGAAGCGCAAACGCACCGAAAATACTGGGGATGACCTACCACCGCTTCCGTCAGCATTCCACGACCTTTATTCGACGAATGCCCGGCTCAGCACTAGCGATGATCCAAGCCTGCATGGCGGCCGTAAACGGGCAGTACCTCACGTCGAGGGCAATTGGCCGAGCCATGTCTTCCTAGAGTGTGAGCACGTTCCTTTCCGCTGAACATCGACGAGACTAGGGCAGTGCATTAACTTGTTGGAGGGATACCTTCACAGGCCGAGTGTCTTGACCTGCACAGTTTGATACACCACGTGAAAGACTTACTGAACCGCCAGAATGAGGCTCGAACAAAGAAGGTACCTATACCTGATATCACGCCGTCTCTACAGTCGGAGCTAGGTGCAACACTACCTTTGCACGTGTCTTTATCGCGGACACTGCAAATTAAGACAGAAAACAGGGAGTCGTTTCTCGAAACCCTAAGGTCTTCTTTGCGGAGAGTCGCAGTCCGCGCTTTCCACTTTGGCTTCAATGGCCTGAAATGGGTGCCGAACTTTGAGCGAAACCGATGGTTCTTGGTTCTCGCCATCAATAAGCCGGAGCATGATGAGCTGAACAGGGTCCTCAATGCTTGCAATGATGCCGCAGAAGACTGTGGCCATCTGGGGTTATATACTGGCGGTCAAGGTGACGGCCCGATGCAGGACAACTCAACCAGCAACACTTCAGAAAGAAGAAAAGGCGGGCAAACCAAGAGTGAGAAGGCCGACCATTCGGAGTACTTTCACGTCAGTATCGCTTGGAATTTAACAGAGCCTGATCCCGAATGGATCTCCCTAGTTCAAAATATCGACATAAGCAAGTACATCCAGCCACCACAAGAATCATTCGATGCAGTGAAAGCGAGGGTTGGAAATGTAGTCCATAATATCGCCTTAACAAATAAAAGGTCTGGACCCGGAAAAGGAGGAGGACTTCTGGGGTTAGGGTGATCATTGTATTCTAGGATTGACACCGACGTGGGAACAACATTCGAAAAGGAGGTCCGGGCCGTATGAGGTGGTCAACAGGTGGCAGCTTAGAGCAGTTGGATGAAACCAAGCAATAGTTTTTATCGAGTAGATGATCACATTATACCCTAATCTATACCAGAGATACTCATATGAAGATATGAGAAGTTTTCAAAGAGGTTTCCTTCATGCATGCGTATCGCTAAGATTATTTTCGGATCTCGTCTTAGAACTCGTCTTTGGTGAGGCGTATACTTGTAGTTGATACTTGCTTGAGAAAGCACGCAGCAGTGGGAACGCTACTGAAATACAAGAACAGGCTTGCCGGCATCAGCGATAGCGTTGGCAAATTCCGGCTTAGGTACAGCAATGTCGAGGCCATCTTGTGGTGATCGGTTGAACGAGGAAGTTAGGACAGACATTCACAATCACATGTAATAATGAATGCCTGCACAACTGACCGTATAAGTTGCCACCAAAGAGTCAGCATTCACGCCATAGCCCTTGGCAATTTGCTTGACAGGATTAAGCCACCATACTAATGCAACCCTAAATCATGGAAGTAAGCGCTAGCGTATTGAGATGACCTGACAGCACCAACGCAAGTCGCTCGTCGCCTGTCCCGACGACCTTCGCAAGGAGATTCACCACAAGGGCGATTACGAAATGACAAGTCGATCGCAGTGTGCCGATTTGCATGGCCCTGATTTGATGGCTGAGAACCTTATACAGAAGGTTGTAACAGGTAACCCGATGAAGTATCGGCGCTATCAGTGATGTCGGGACTTCGCGTTCTCGGGCCCGAAGGTTGCCATTTCAAGTTGCGAAGCGCCCGAAATACAACGCGCGCGCCCGAAAAGCATGATACATGAATTAGGCACCAAAGTGGTAGTGAATATATAATATGAAGATATCTCAAAGATCATTTTCTCAAATAACTCAGCAACCAAGTCTTTAGCTTCTTCATCCCTATTATCATCCAGACGAAACAATCAGCAACCTCACAATTTCAAACCATAAGAACTCGACCACCTCTAACATCAGGATAAACACTTGCACATCTTTTATATATTCAACTCTTCAAGATGCCATCTACAACCCCAACCCCCAAACTCGCAATCATCGGCGCCGGCCCTGTCTCTTTGACCCTTGCCAACATCTTGCAGAAAAACTGCATCCCTTTCACCATCTTCGAAGCCTCGCCCACCTTCCGCACTCAGGGCGGTTCTCTCGATCTGCATCCAGAATCTGGCCAGCTGGCGCTCAAAGAAGCCGGCTTATGGAACCAGTTCATGAAACACGCACGGCCAGAGAGCGATGTGATGAAGATTGTATCATTAGACGGAGAGGTCTTGTGGGATGAGAATGGAGCGGATAAGCATGAAGTGAAGGAGGACGAGAAGTTTAATGGACGGCCCGAAATCGATCGTGTCATGCTGTTGAAGATTCTTTCCGAGAACCTGAAGAGCGACAACGTACAGTTGGGAAGGAAGCTTCAAGAGATTGTACCATCTGTTGCAGACGGTTCAAAGTACGACTTGCACTTCGCGGACGGCACTCAGGAGACGGCGTTTGACCTAGTGGTTGGTGGCGATGGCGCTTGGTCAAAGGTTCGCAACCTCCTTTCCGATACAAAACCAGATTATTCCGGCATCTCAGCAGTGGAGTTCTGGTGCCATGATATCAAGAAGAATCCATGGCTTCTCGACTACATCGGCGAAGGATCGATGATGGCATTAGGAGAAGGTTGCGCCGTTCAAGCTCAGCGGCAGGGCGATGGAAGTCTACGGGCATACGCTGCCCTTCGCGTACCGGAGGATTTCCTAGAAACATGCGGCATCAACTGGAGCGACACAGACAACGCACGCATACAGTATGTCGAGCGCTACTTCTCGCATATTTGCAACGACTTGAAACGCATTGTCCTGGAATCCCCAGATGGCCTCTTTCTGCGGCCTCTCTACGAACTGCCGGTTGGCTTCACCTGGCCCTCCCGATCAGGTATCACTCTGATTGGCGACGCAGCTCATGTCTTCACGCCGTACGCAGGTGAAGGAGTCAATGTGGGGATGAACGACGCGCTGGTGCTCGCGCGGGAAATCGCAAATGCATACAACAATGAGACGGATTTGGGAGAGGCAACGCGGGCTTATGAACAGGAAATGTTTCCTCGGGCGGCAAAAGCTGCCGCAAAAACGATGAGGGGGAAGATCAACCATTTCAGTGCGAATGGGGGGAAGGAATTCGCGGACATGTTCAAGGCGCATTACTATGGCAGCAGTAAGGCCGGGGTCGTTAGGGATTCAGTGAATTTGGCTGATACAATGCACGACGGGTCGAAGATAGACATACCTAGGAATTAGTCAGAGTATAATGTAGCAGTATTTGTCCACTCTGATACTTGTGTTGACTGAGTGTGTATGACTATTCCCTCCACAAACACGGACGTACGTGAGAAGCAGGTTTTAAGGCAACCCATGAGGAAATGAGATGGCTTCCGCACAACTTGACGATGTCAGGGGTTTTACAGAACTGACGTGACCTTCATACTGGCTCTCTCTGAGCATCTAAAAGGATCAAGGCCGGCTGGAATCATTCGCTGCCCCGATTAATTTGTCTGACTGACTACTTAGCTGCCTGAACTATGTACTGTAGTCGTGTGATCTTGATCCTGCTCGATCCCGCTTGAGTAGCGGCATGCGAAGTGTGCAGTCAAAGCATCCAAGATGTTCAGCTCTCGGCGGCATAATCTCACGAGGCGCACATAGCGATAGAGATAAATTGACGAGCGTCACACTGCCATGGAGGTAGCATATGTTGCCTCTTTGCGCGATATAGCATCGTCCTTCGTATGGCGTTGAGTTGAACCGGCAGTTATCCGTACGATCCGTGAGGGGCAACGGAAATTTAATCACTCTCGTCAATCGCAGTACCGGTAACACGACGCTCTTGAATCGCGCAAATGCGCACGTACCACAAACCAACAATAGTCCCATGTTCTTCGATAAAGAATAGACCAATGACAGGGTGGTCGGACAGGGAAGTGATGTGCGGACCCCAGCATGTGCCGCTCTGTACCTGCATTTGACGAAAGCTGGGATTATTATGGTTCAGCTTCGTGAGAGCTGCACAAGATTAGCCGTTGCCCCGTCGAGAGCGAGGGTGAGTGTGATTGCTGCTTGTTTGGAGCTGCCTTTTGGACAAAAGAATGAGCTGCTCGGCGACCCGTTGTTAGGCAACATGGGAGAGCCTTTGCGCGCGAGACATTGCTGGAACGAGGGGAACAACACCAGAGCTTACTGCTACAGTGCTACGGCGTCATCAGGTTCAGCGTGTTCATCTTGTCACCCACGGCAAGAACTCGGCGCAATGTGACGGGGGTGCTTTATTATGCAGCTTGGATTAGCCCCTAAGAGAGATTAGGTGCTAACCGCAAGTCGCCTACTCCCCAGTCCCCTAATGGAAACCATGACAGATGAGGACGCTCCCCCAGAGTCTCATTTCCACAAGACGACCGCTCTGTGCGCACAGAGGCCTTAAACAGCCTTAAATTGGCGCCCAGGCCGGTTCCGTATAACATTGCCCATGTTATCCTCTAGGAACCCCTAACCTAACGCCTTCGAGGCGGCCAGGGACTGGGCTCATGGGGCCATGGCCCGCCTGTCAAAAGCGATGAGTTCCCCGGCTGCGTGGAGGACTTCTTTCTTGCTACACAAGGCTTCCGTTACACTCTAACCGCCTCGTTGACAAGTTCTCTGGCCCTTGTGCCGTGTCACTCATTTGTTTACCTTAATATAATACCGCTTCACTCGTTCAGCGGACACGATAAACACTGCCAGTAGCCGCCCCTATTACTAGTAAACACACGAAAAGATGAAGGCCTCAATCATCGCAGCTTCGGTTGCGCTCGCGGGAACCGTTGCGGCTTCTCAGCACAAGGCCCATGCTGGGTTCCATCTGCGACGAGCTGGATATGAGAGCAACGACGTTTGCACGGTCTATACCACCGTCTATGTAACCGCATGTATGTAATTCCTTCAGTCCGGAAACATTAAAGAGAAGGAATATGGGCATTGGAACAGGGAAGATGTCGCTGGAGAAAAGAGATCCACATAAGACCGATGTCTGACCTACTTTAGTGCCTCCCGTTGTCCATAACTCGACCATCATCGGCCACTCCACCTCCACTCCTTGCTCCGAGGGCGAGAAGACTCCCATCTACACGCCCCATGTACCATCTTCAACCACGGAGGCGCCCAAGCCTTCAAAGGAGGCCTACCCTCCCGCGCCCCCTGCGCCCAAGCCGGAATCCTCCAAGCAGGTTCAGCCACCTGCTCCCGTGCCTGAGACCTCCAAGCAGGCTTCTCCTCCTGCGCCTGTACCTGCGACCTCCAAGCCCGCATACACACCCGTGCCTCAGTCCTCAAAGTCCGTCTACATCCCAGTGCCTGTCCCTTCGATCTCAGCCTACGTCCCAGTCCCAGTCCCCTCGAAGTCAGTCTACACTCCAGTGCCTGTCTCTTCCAAGTCGGTGAACACTCCAGTTGTTCCTGTGCCCTCGAAGCCGGCATACACCCCAGTGGCTCCCCCCACCAAGCCCACCAAGCCCACCGAGACCCCTAAGCCTGCTCCCAGCAGCTCCAAGGCGGTAGAGAAGCCCAAGCCTAAGCCTACTACCTCTAAGTCGGCGGACAAGCCTAAGCCAACTGGCGGTTATACCTCCGGCGGCCGCATCGTAACCAACGGCAACAAGTGGGCCATTACCTACACTCCTTATGCCAACAGCGGCCAGTGCAAGACCGTCGACGAGATCAAGTCAGATGTTAAGCAGATCTCTGAGCTTGGCTTCACCACTATCCGCTCTTACAGCACCGACTGTGGCGTTTTCGAGCATGTCGTCCCTGAGTGCCAGAAATACGGCCTCAAGGTCATCTACGGTATCTTCCTCGAGGGTGGCGGCAAGGGTGGAAAGGGTCCCTTCTCCAACTATGCCAACGATCAACTCGAGGGCATTAAGAGCAACGCGCCAAAGGATAGTGTCGCCATGGTCATTGTTGGAAACGAGTGCATGTTCAACAACAACTGCCAGCCCGCCGACCTTGCCGCTTACATCGACTACGTCCGTGAGCAGCTCCATGGCGCTGGATTCCCCAAGGACATCGCCATCACTACTACCGAGCCTGTCGGCACCTGGGAGGAGAAGGGCGCTGAGCTGTGTGACCACATTGACATCTTCACTGTTCAGGTCCACCCATACTTCACCCAGTCCGTCTCCGCCGAGGAGGCTGGTGACTTTGCGGCACAACAGCTTGAGCAGGCTGCCAAGGTCTGCCCCGGTGCTGCTTCCAAGGGCAAGTACATCACTGAGATTGGATGGCCGAGCGCTGGCAATTCCAACGGCAAGGCTATTCCCGGTGTTTACGAGCAGAAGGTTGCTATGAAGAAGATCATCGAGAAGGTTGGCTCTGAGGCCTGCCTGTTCTCCTTCCAGAACGATGGCTGGAAGGCCCCTGGTGCCCTCAATGTTGAGCAGAACTTCGGCTGCATCGAAGCCCTGCAATAAGCGCACTTTGCCTGTTGCTAGGTAGAGTGAAGGAAGAAGGAGGATATTGTTGGTTCGATTAAGAATACTTCGTTGTACGACTGTATGTAGTGAGCTTCTGTCAATTACGTCGGCTACTTTACGTGTTTACGCTTGCATTGCTACTTTCCGTTTCTTCGCTTGCCAGATAAATAGTGGTGGCTTCTTGGTAGTTTTAGTGTTTAATTTCTTGTATCAATCAACCTGGATATCCCAACATGCGCAAGCTTCGCCCCTGCTCCAATATGTTTATCCGCGAATCAAAGACGGAATTCGTCACCGTAAATCCTAGGTAGTCGGACATGTATTGTTGGCTCACTATCCCTTCGGTCGCTCGGAAATTTGCATTATCATGGGTGAAGCCGGGAGTCAGACCGGAATTTCGAGGACCAGCGGGTGCGTAATTTGACCTCCGTCGTCAGGCGAGGGAAAGTAACGGCTATGCCAACAGGCTTCTTTATGAAGCCAGAGAGTCATCGATGCGATAGGATGACAAGACGTGACTTATGTAAGCAGGATACTCACTTCGCTCCTACCTCGACTTTTCAACATTGACTCAATTTGCAACTCTTAGCTCTTTGTCGTCTCAAGCCCATATCGACCTGTTGTACGAGTGGTATCTCATACTAGAAGTTTCATCACAGCAATGTCATATTGCAGGACGCAACGTGGACGCCGTGATCTTGGTACTTCACGTTACTACTTACGATTGCGCCGAAACGAGCAACATTCTCAACTGTGTAATCTGTTCACAACCCCTCGGTCCGGTGATTTCTCGAATGACTGGTGTGCTACCTGAGTAGCGATGGTGGAGGCGATGCCTTGTGCACAGCCCCAAACCAGCGGTTGAAAATCCTCTTACTTATTCAGCCCCAGGCTACTCACATGAATGGATTTGCTCCGACAGCTTCATCACCGCATTGTCGTGATTCTTCTCATCTGGAATTTGCTGCTGGATTCATTCCATCGTCTATCCAGCAATGGAGGCCTTGAGTGCCACCGCGAGCGTTATAAGTGTTCTTGACACTTCTGCGAAAATCGCGAAATTATTATCACTTTCCAGATTTCAAGATACCAAAGTACACGAACTAGGACTTGAGCTACGCGAGACAGCCAATGAAGTACGGATTCTGCTTTCTTCCATTACGTCGGACAAAGATGAGAACCAAAGAAGACGGGTGCGAGTCATGATGGAGATACTTATGGACATTAACTCTAAGATGGAACAACTTGTGAAGAAGGACGATCAGAGTTTCGGATCTCGGCTGAAGAGACCTTGGTATCGAAAGCAAATGGCCGATTTACGACAGCGACTCGATGGCGTTCGCCGCGATGTCCAAACTGAACTTGTGCTAGCAGAGAGGACAGCGTTTCAGTAAGGTTCCCGAGCCATTACGAGAAAAGCGACATTAACATACTCTAGGAATAGGGGCACAGGGACAGGACCTGATGCTGATGAGCTTCCTTCGTATGATTCCTTACTGGGAGCAGCAAATGATGGGGAGTTGCCAATTATGGAGGATAAAGTAGGAGATGTTTTTGAAAATCTTATGCGGCCAAGAAGGAGGAGTACCATCGAACAACCTTCCAACAACTCAGGTGCTAGTCTGCCAGATGACCATGAACATATTCCGGATCAATCTACTGGCATCGGGAGGACACCGAGTGGGCTGGCACAGAGACGACCGTGGAGACCTATCGAACATCAAGATGTTGACCTACCGGTCCGGATGCCGGTCATGAGAGAGGCTAGAGTCAACTTCCGAGTTTTAAGAAGTACAATGGCGATTTGGATGATCAACAGAGTCATCGTATATGCCGTGTTTGTCGCACTCATTGTCGGAAGTGCTGTCACCGCCGGTCTTGCAGCGTGGAAAGCACAGACTGAGTCCTCTTCCCGCCAGCCTAAACTATCCTACGACGACAACTTCTACGGGAGCATCTCACAAGGCCTGGGAAGCATCCTCGGTGTGTTCTGTATAGTCATTCCACTTGTCGAACGCAACCGCGAACTTCAACCCGATATCCCTGTTTGGTGTCCGCAAACGTTCCGTTGGCTCCTTGGATTCAGTGTTGTCACAGCCGTTTTCTCTATGGCTACGCAGCGCTTTGAAGAGGTGGAATCTATTGTGTTTGGGTATGTGAGTATGGCTACCCAGTTAGTGGCGACGATGCTCCTGGTTGTTGGCAGTACGGAGACTATCACACAACGGCAAAGGGCTTTTGATCAGCTGAGCACAAAACACCTCATCATATCCGGGGCGTTGCAGAATGTCCGACAGCAAGCTGCTGCTAATGCTGCAGCTTTGTGATCCTGTAGCATTCAATTTAACCACCATGGTGACCCTGATAATATCTCTTACACATATTTCTTCAACCGTTACATTGCTTTTGGGCCAATATACGGAATCCGCTGGGGTCTTGGCGACACAATCGAAGTCAGCCAGACGAAGATGAGAATGGATTGGAGGCATAAACCCGCAGCCATGATCCTGGAACGACCTGCACTATACCACTTCTGCCCAAGCGCCAACATGCCAGCGGGAGATCGACAGGGCACCTCTCCTTCGTAGATCTCTTCTTGTCAATCCACCATATGTTCTCACCTCACCCTCAACCCATCACAATGCCTCTGAAGATCGGATGATGCCACCACGCGGCCCCAAACCTCGACGTCGCCCTTGGACTCCGGCAACAGCCGCTGGCATAACCGCGCTCATCCTCCCCTCAGTAACCCTACTTCGTCTCTACACCGCCAATGGTTCCCTCGCACCCCACGCATATACTTGCCTACTGAGCGTCATTACCTTTCTTTTCTATGGCTATGACAAGATGCAAGCAAGGAATTTGCAGTGGAGAGTCAAGGAGGTGACACTACATCTACTGGCAGTAGCAGGAGGGTGGCCGGGCGCGCTGGTGGGGATGCACTACTTTCAACACAAGACGCGAAAGACCAGTTTTCAGGTAGTATTCTGGGGTATTGTACTGGCATGGGAGGGGGTCGCTTGGGGCGTGTGGACGGGGAGATTTGGCATACGATGAGTGGAGATGGAAGACTCGAGAATGGGTAGGAGACATTCATGATATTCATACAAGAGATTGGTCGCCCTCAGGCACCGCACAAGATCGTGGCCATAGCACACATTGTAGGGAAGGTCGGTATCGCAAACACCCCCCTACAGGGATCCAAAACCACACCAAGGAGACACTCAACACGACCCGCAAACTTCATCGTTGTGTCGTTACTGCGTCTTTTCGACAATCTTCCCTTTCGCCGTCCCCGTCATGGTCGAAACCCGCTCCAGCGCACTCTTTGTATATCCTTGCACTGAATCCCAATCGACTCGCTCGAGTGCACTCCTCGAGTAGTCCTGAGCTGCATCCCAAACTTGGGTCGCCGCTCGAACTAGACAGACGGAGAAGATTAGCGACCAGTCAACGGACTCGTAAGTCTGTCCGCGGTTTCACCAGCTTGGTCCCCGAGAGGGTTCTGCACGGCTCCACCAGCGAGGTTGCTAATGCCCTTTTTGAGCTGCTTGATGTCTTCCTGGTCGGAGGATGGGATCTTGTTGATCTGGTCTGAGGAGGTCTGTTAGCATATGACGATTCAAGCGGAGGCAGTCACGTAGACTCCCAAAGAGAGCGTGATGTGAAGGAAGAAGATTGCTTCTGAGTGTCGAGGAACTTACCTTTGGCGGCGTAGGATAGCTTGTTCTCGCCCATTGTCTTGAGTGCCTGGTTCTCGAGCTTGCGCTTGGTTTCAGGCGAAAGGCCAAAGAAGTAGAGATATGCGCCGGCCAAGGCGACGAGGCCAGCCAGGATGGTGAAGATTCCGATAGCCATAGTTGGAGTTGTGTAAATTTGTATGAGTCAGGTTGAAAGGGTGATAGTTTTGTAGAGCGAAGTTTGTGAGAAGTAGCAGAATTGAGAAAGGATGTGCTACTGATCAGGTTTTGTTTTGTGTGTATGCATGACGTAGATTGCTTAAGCTATCCATTCCTCGCCTGCAGTTCCCTAGGGACAACGCCTTCCTGCTTGGCACAGAACCAATAGAGCTTCCTTCCAGTGCGAACGACGCTTCGATGTCTTTGTTACCCAAATGCATGAGTATATGAAGCGAAGGCTACGAGCAGCTTTGCATGGTCCGACCGAGGCCATTGCCTCCAACGTCTAACAGGCAGGAGGATCCGATCCATTGGTTCTGCCTAACACTGAACACCCTTCGAGCGGCTGTTCCATCCAGTCTAACCTTGAATAGAAGTAGGTTTTATATCCAGCCTCAAAAATCATGGCCTTCGCAGGCTTGAATGGAGGCCTAGCTAGCTCTAAAGCCAATGGTGCTGCGCCTCAGGTCACAGCCGCAAGCTGCACAAGGCGGAGACGGCCAGCAAGTGCGCCTGCCCCCACAGTCCGCAGGGTACTTACAACAACAACTCCAAGACCCTGTGCGCTCGTTGCTGACACCTCCTGTCCTCCTTTTTCGATTCTTCTTTTCGATCTTGTCTTTTCTCATACGCGAGCATTGCTACCTACTGTTGACCACCTACCCCTCACCAACCCCACCATCAGCTGTACGCGCCTGATAGGCACCTGAATCTGACTCTCAGCCTCACGAAAGACAGCACCGCAGTCCCGTCACTGCGACAGATTCGCCCACAATGAGTTGTCCTCCCTTCTCAACATTGCACTTTGAGAATCACATACTGACGCGCGGCTCCAGTGACAAATATGCTCAACAAGCTGCACGGCCAGCCCGACAGCTATGATCGCAAGTTCGTACCCCCACTATACCCCGCGTAGCAAACACATACTGAGCTCAGTAATGGCAGATCGCGATACCGCTTCGGAAAGACATTGGGCGCTGGAACATATGGTATTGTCAGAGAAGCCGACTGCCCCGAGGGCAAAGTCGCCGTCAAGATCATATTGAAGAAGAATGTTCGCGGAAACGAGCAGATGGTCTACGACGAGCTGGAGATGCTGCAACGCATGAAGCACCCGCACATCGTCAAGTTCCACGACTGGTTCGAGTCAAGGGTAGGTAAACCACGGGCACCATTTACGAAGCTGGTGCGCTGACAGCTACTAGGACAAATACTACATTGTGACCCAGTTGGCCACCGGAGGAGAGCTGTTTGACCGCATTTGCGAGAAGGGAAAGTTTACCGAGAAGGATGCTGCCGAGACGATTCGACAAGTGCTCGAAGCTGTCAACTACCTACACGAAAACAATGTTGTCCACAGAGGTAAGCTCTGCTTCACCCCATGCATAGGGCTGCGCTTACGATGCAAAGATTTGAAGCCAGAGAACCTCCTTTACCTCACACGGGATGCGAACTCCTCCCTCGTACTTGCCGATTTCGGCATTGCCAAGATGCTCGACTCCAAGAGCGAGGTTTTGACCACAATGGCTGGCTCGTTTGGCTACGCTGCTCCCGAGGTCATGCTCAAGAAAGGTCATGGGAAACCCGTTGACATGTGGTCCATGGGCGTCATCACCTATACGCTTCTTTGCGGATACTCGCCATTCCGCTCCGAGAATCTCGCAGACCTGATCGAGGAGTGCAAGAACGGACGGGTCATCTTCCACGAGCGCTACTGGAAGGAAGTGAGCCCAGAAGCCAAAGAGTTCATCAAGCAACTGCTGGAGCCAGATCCCAGCAAACGACCAACGAGCGAGGTAAGAAACCTCCAAGGTAATCTTAAAGCACACAGCTAACGATCTCAGGACGCTTTAAAGCACGTGTGGCTCAGCGGAAAGACTGCCTCGGACCACAACTTGTTGCCCGAGATCCGCGCATATGTTGCAAAAGCTCGGCTCAAGCGTGGCATCGAGCTGGTCAAGCTTGCGAACCGCATCGAAGCGCTCAAAATGCAAGAGGACGACGAAGAAGGGGTTCCTGGAGAAGCCGATGTGCCAGCCAATGCTCGCGAGGCTGCAGGGGAGGCAATTGCAGCCCACAGTACCGATAAAGCTCTAGCGACAAAGGAGAACGTAACCGCTGGTACTGGCAAAGGTCCTGGACGTCTGAGCAGGATTGCCAAGGGAGCCATCTTCCGGGAAGTTGTCCTGGCCAAGGTTCGTGAGATGAAGGAGCAAGAGGCGCAGAAGGAGTTTGAGAAGAAGGCATCAGAGTCGGCGAAGAAGTGATGATGATGCCCAGCGTCTTTACTCTTTCTTTCTTGAAAATGGTCCTGCAAACATAGTTGGGTCTGCTGCGGCATTAGCGGAGGGTTTCGTTATTATTTGGATACCCTGGAAGGCAACAGCCAGGGACTATGTACCTAGACTCCTACATTGATATTGCGAGCAGCTTTCTATTCATGTTATAACCTGACAAAGATTTGTATTCTCTCGATGTTGACTTATCGGTTTTGGTGGTGACTGCGACCAAACTGGTGATCTGGCCCGTGCACGCTTGGCGGATCTGGAGATGCAAGCCTAGAATGACTGAGGCGCGTCCACGGGTTGCAGACGGCAACGCGCAATTCACTGCACCCACAACACGACGGTGCCCTGCATCGACGACGCTTGATATCCACTTGGAGAGACTACGCGACCACAGAGACGGTGGAAATGGAGAGCGCGTCCAAGCGCAAAGCTGCCAGCGCTGCTGTGGGTGACCACGACAGTCGCCCTGCAAAGCGACAGAAAGGGCCGGTACGTGCAGCCTGCAAAGTTGTTAATTGCATCGTCGGCGGCGGTTTGGAGAGACGGGAGGAGTGTCGGTTGCGATGCGGCATGGCTCCTGGGACGAGAGCGCGCGACGCCTTTGGGGGGTTGGACGAGTAGCCCTCCAGCTCCCCCGGCACCTCCATGTCGACCGCAACACCACACGCGCTCCGCCGGCGATAGACACGCATACAGCCGAGGAAACTTGTACATGCAACATGGAACAGATGGCTGACAATGGATTGCTTGCGTGCAGGCCGAGACCAATGCCAACTCCGAGACGGCCGAATCGACGACGACTCAGGGCTTGAAGTTCTTAGAGAGCTTGAGGCAAGCAAAGGATAAGACGTACGTGCCCTGTCTTTGTCGCTAGCTTCGCCCAGGGCAGCTTCCATATTTTGCCTCGAGAGCATGTACAAGACGGCCAAAACTGACGACTCGTAGCGGACGCCCTATCGCAGGTCACTTCCTGACGCTCCCCAACAAGGTACACTCCCTTTGCGCTCCCGCTCCCCTCCCGCCTCGACCGACCCCACTAACGGACCGCGTGTAGAGCGAACTTCCAGACTACTACGTCCATATCAAGCTTCCTATTGCCATAGACACTATCGAGGTACGCCCATATAAATCCATTGTCATACACTGAACCTATCACATCCCACAGTGCGCTACATTGCGCTTTCGAGCTTCTTCAAGCCACACCATACCCACACCCAACCTCCTTCAAACACTGCAGCAGCTGCCTCATTGTTCATCGTTCATTGTTGTTCGTTGCTCGAGGACTTCATACTGATATGTGCGTTTCAGGATAAGCTCAACAACGGAGGGTACACGAGCCTCGCCCAAGTCGAAAGCGACTGCAAACGCCTTGTCAATAACGCGAAGGCCTACAACGACAAAAAGTCGCTCATATACGAGGATGCCGAGCGGCTACGGAAGACGGCGTCAAACTGGATGGTCAAACACAACCCAGCCTATCGAGACAACAACTATGTTGCCGTAGCTACACCGGTGCCTGGTGAGGACAACTCTCTCCCAGGAAAGCCCATCCCCCGCATTGCGTCGACGCCGAGGGCTGTCCATACGCCTGTAGCTACCCCAGACACTACCGAGCGCCCTCGACGAGCGGCTGCTGCCGCGCAGTCGGCCACTCCTGCACCATCGAAGCTTCGACAGTCGGCATCTGCTGCCCTAGAGGAGGATGATGACAACCCAGATTTCACTGGGAAGACGTTTCAACAGGCGCAAGAGCAGATTCTCCGAGAGATAATCGACTACGAGGAGTGAGTAATTACGCTCTACCAAGGAAGTGCTTTACTGACATGTACTTCAGCGGCGGCTTGCAGATCTTTGTACCGTTCCAAAACTTGCCCAGTCGGAGCCTGAAGGACTACTACCAGCTGATTAAGGATCCCATGTCGCTGACTGCCGTGCACAAGAAAATCCGTGGTGTGGTTGGGCGTGAAGCACCCACAGGAAATACATTACTCAAGAGCTGGAATGCCTTTGAGGATGCAATGAGTCTGATTTGGAAAAACGCTCGTATCTATAACGAAGATGGAAGCGATATCTTCAATCTCTCACTAGAGCTCGAGGTATGTGCGAATCCTTGATTGTCCTTGTGTGTACGTACTGACAATAGAAGGAAATATTCCACAAGAAGCTCAGGGAGGCCAAAGCCAAGGTCGACGAGCCGCCGCAACCAAAACTCAAACTCAATATGACAAGCGGTGCAGCAGCTCCCAAGCAGCAGCTGAAGCTGAAGCTTAGGCAGAGTCCAGGATCCGACCCCAATACCCCAGCTGCACGTAGCTCTGCTACACCTGGCATCATTGTGGACAGCGAGGCTCTCCAACGGCAGCAACGACACGTCCTCGACAGCATGAAAAGCAATCGATCATCACGGCCGGTATCAGCAGGAAAGGCTGGGACACCGTCAGCGGCAACGAACCCATTCAATGGACCCAGAGGCGGCTCTGCTACTGTTGCACCACTTCCTGCCGTGCAGACTAGGATGGCAGGTTCACCGCCAGCAGTCAATGGCGTCAAGCAAGATGTACAGTCTCCTGCACTAAGTGCAATCAGGCCAGCAAGTACCAGGTCGGACAGCCATGATCAGCATCCCAGTGTTCCAGCACAAACACCACTTCCAGTCATGGCTCCACCCCACACAATGACTCGGCCGGCAAGCGGCAGTCCACATCCGAATGGTATCAGTCAACAGACTGGCGCTTATAATACTCCCTATCAACCACCGAGTTACTATGTCCCTCCAGCAGCACCTCGCGTCGATAGCTTTAGGAAGGTCCCATTAGAGAGTGAGTGGTTCTTGAAACTTCGGCTGTGATGTTGTGCTAACTGTCAGCTAGACTTCGATGGGGCTTTGATCCCGAAGATCACACTGAACACGCATCCCGCGCTCAACCTGTCCAAACCATGGTCGGTCGATATCATGGCACACAAGCAGAAGACGGCTCATAGCGTTACCATCGTCACCTCGCCAACAAACTCATATCTTCAAATCACACCCAAAGTTCCCATCGCTCTTACAAGCCGCCTGTACCGCCTCTTCGTCACTGTAAACGGCAACCGAACACTCGAAGTCAACCGCGTCCCCGTTACCGCAGGGATTAACGGCAGTAGTCCTGGTCCCGGCTACGATGGTGGCAAGAAGAAAGGCGAACCAGTGTTTGAGGCAAAGCTTCTTGGTGGTGTCAATCGCATCGAAGTCGAGCTTGTTGCGGAGAAAGATCGTAAGGGTCAGCCAGAGACGGGTAATGCGAAAGACCAGATTGAGATTGAGAAGTGTACGATTTTCCTACATTTGATGCGACTATCGTCGTACTAGTTTCACAACAGCAGCGAGGTGTCTAGGGAGATGAGAAATCTATCAGAGAAGTGGAGAGTTGAGGACCGCCGGTACCCTAAGATTCTTTTCATAGGCATAAGATATCCGGATACATGGGCGTTTGGGCAAGGTACTGCAAGCATTAGCGACGGGTCATCGTCACATCATGGGATCTTTTTTTGCGTTTACCAAACGGGTTAGGACCGGTGCAAGCCTCGAGACACCGGCTATGCAATGCTACTACCTACACATGGGGTGGCTTTACCGGCTATTGTGCCGTGCTTAGTAGTAATCGTTAGAGCTATGAATAGCAAATCTTTGAATACTGTAGCTCATTGGCGTCGAATGAGAGGTGAGTAGACGTGGCAGGCTAATAATAGTACGTTGTTATTTACTTTTGGTTGCTTTTGCTCACTCTGGCGAATCTACCGGCCAGTCCATAAACTCAGTCAGTAATGAAGTCCCAAGGCTTCTGAACCAAGTCCGAACCAGTACTCTCCGAATCTTACGCTTTTTTATCGACTATTATTCCCCAATGACGGTTTATATAAGATGGCAGGTGTGGTGGTGCAGATGCGGCAGTGGCATAAGGCGTTCCTGCAGGCCGGGACTCCACATCTTGGTCCGGATAGGCATGCATTTCACAGCATATCTCCAAGGCTTACCTGCAGGTGGTCGTTATAAGATGACGAAAGCCGACTACTATCACTATTTCAACCTCTTGCCCCTTCTTACATTAGGGATCGCTCTCTACAGTGAAAGTTCTTGCCTACACAGCCTCATAGGGAAAAGGGCAACACCAACCCTATCTACAGTCAAAACCGCCGTGACAAACACCGCCTTAGTAGCACTTTGCGATAATGACCAACACAAGCACCCCTCGCAGACCAGGCATCATGCTCGTCGACCCACGTCTACGCGATCCCACACCCAAAAGCGCAGCAACCTTTTTCCGCTGGACGAAACTGCATTTCCGGGACATGCTCAATATCGCCGCAGATCCCAAATTAGGCAAAATGACAAAGACTCTGAGATTTGCGGCGCCTTACAACGATGATGGTGATGAGAAGTCCTCGGAAGCTCAAGGTGAAGGATACACAAAGTACCTCTACACATGCATTGTGGATGATGTCGGGATTTTACAGAGTCAGCCGTATTACGATATCAGTAGATTACTGAATTTAGAACAAACGCGAGACCTAGGGAAAGAAGAAGAAACCGTGAGCTATGAGAAGGAAGACGCCATGGTCTTTGATGTGGTGGATGCGAGATTTGCCATTTATGAGGAAGTTGAAATCGAGAGCGGTAAGAGCACGTTTCCTTGAAACATTTTTCTAATGAGGGAAGAAATTAAAATCAGACACTGTCTTTGATATTTGAAAGTATAATCAATAATAAAGACTTAAGTTAATGACGTGAGCAGATACGCGAGGAGGAATCAAGGACACCGGATCCTACCAGCACCTCCCCCTTTCCTACACCTCAGCTGCAGGGTCGACCCCTTCAGCACCGCCATCCCTTCTACTCAACCTGAACATCAATATGCCCTCCCTTACAACCTCTCCAACCGTCCTACAAGCGTTGCAAACCTCGCTAATCGAACGTTTTGCTGCCGCAACGGCAGGTGTGACAATGTTTACATCTGTATATCGCTGGGGGGGTATTGAAGCGCAGCCAGAAGGCCACCCGTTGATTGAATGCGATGAGCGCGGGGAGTGGTTGGTCATGCTCCTGATTGTCGATGAAGAGGGAGGGGGGCTGAAGAGGGCGCATGTGGATGATTTGGTGGCGAAGTGGGCTGATGGCGTGAATGAAAAGAGGGGTTTCACTGTGGGGTATGGGATTTGGAGCGGGGAGGTATTCATGAGCTGAAGGGTCAAGGTAAGCTCGCTTTTGACTGCGTGGGATCACAAGCGTTCTCGTCCAAAAGACTTGTAAGATAGGTTGCGCAGAGAGCAATCGAGGTTGTATTGGACTACATGCATTTGCTGTTGAGTGATGATAAAGCAAAAGAAAGGGTTCAAGCATAGATTAATTTGCTCCAGCATTTGCAGGGTTGGCAATCATGACCTCTGCGATGTCAGATGTCAGGATCTAGTGTCAGGATCTAGTATCATGACAGCGAGGCCTGACACATGGCGAGACTGAGGCATAAGCGATATGCGAGAGAGTATCGACCAAACGTAACCTTATCATGAAGACTGCCCAAGCTGTACGCTCGTGGAGGCAATAGGAAATAAGTGGGGGAGCGCTGTCAGCATCAGCTTGAGCGTTCCATGGTTGACTGTCGACTCAGACGCACCAATCACGATACCTCCGCTCTCAAAGTTCGTCTATAGACTAGCGATAGCTTGACAGGTAGTCCTAAGGCGTAAGCGCTTCTTGAAACCTTTCTCTGAATAGCATCAGCTAGAGCAATCAGTGTGACTATTCTCGATCGCGGAAGTGTTGAGAACCATACTATCTGCTCGTAAACAACCGCTAGACTGCGGTTGGACTGCAGCGATGGTAGCTATGAAGTCGGGCAAAACGAGCGCTAAAATCGAAGTACATGTGTTGTACCACACTTTCAAGATGCGACCAACAGTTTCTGACTGATCCTTCACCAGTCTATCCGGCCTAGTTAGCGCAGTATGGCCACCCAGAACGATCGGTTTTTCTTAGCAGATGCTTCGCTAGCCTTGTCGTGGATTGTGCGAGGCTTGCCGGCGTTAATGTGGCGGTATCGGACAGCCATGATTATCATCTCTTGTGACCGCATTCGTTAATCAACTCTAGAATAAGGAAGCCGGGCGTTTATAAGCTTTGCTCTTTGTGCGTTTGGTATCGGCGATGTCGAAGGGTACCAAATCCAGGCTTCAACAATCTGGCCAGAGGGCTCTTTTGGTCGTAAAATGGTCTCCTCTCGCATAAGTCGCGGCAAGAGGAAGAACCCTCCTCCCTCACTTCCATATTCCAGAACAAAGGTACATTCAATGATCACGAGGAATTTGGAGCGTGGTGGGATACACAGAGAAAGACCTAGCCCCAGCTCTTTGATTTCCAATATCGATACTGTGGGGTAGACCAATGGAAGGCTGAGAGATTGTCTAAACTAAATTATTACTTCCATTGCTGCTAGCCGGACTATTCCTCGGGGTTGAAGTGACAGTGAGGCACCGCAACGGAAGGTTTGGCAGAATTCTACGCGGCTGATACGTGATAGAATAGTCGTGATGATAGAACATGTCGTTATCCGCGATTATGCCCTTCCATGTGGCCCCCTGCTGAGGGCGAGTCGTGAAACGGTTGCCTTGGCTGGAAAAAGCCGAAAGGTCTCGTCACGTGTCCAGGTGCAAGGGGCGACCGGAAGCTTAGCGACCGACCAACTAGACCAAGTCTAGACCTCCGTTCCAACGCTTTCAACACCGCTAATGTCAAGACAATTGCCACTCCAGGCATAGAATACTACTGCATATAGGTAGCAGCCGTAGCCATTTTGCTTCTAGGTGCAGCGTACCTATTTTTACATCAAGTACAGCTCCGATGAAGCCCTAGATGATTTAATGATTGTCAGCCTGCCACGACGGCGCGCTATCTCCCTGCTATGTACCTAGGTAGCCGGCTCAACGCTGATAACGTTGTCAGACTAGGGGAATTAGGGAGTTCATGGATGTGGAGGTAAGCGGCTTTGGGACTGCTTGCTGCCTGTATCGTCAAGTTACGTCAAAACTCGGCAATGCCTAGACGGCGATATACAATACTCACGAATTAGCCTCGAATCTTCCTCTTTCGTCCACACTCGCTACACCTTACTATATCTGGTCTTCTGTTTAGAGCAGACTCCTTCCCCACCCAACTCTTCTTGGTATGCGATAAGTTTCTTGTTTGCCCCGCGTTGGTTGTACACTCCTGAACAAAGAGCAACGCTGTGAACTGTCCGCATGTCTTACGATAAAGATGTTTAACAACACCCAATGTGGTTCAAAACACCAAAATCTACACGAACCAGTAGCTACCTAGTCCCTGATTTCCAGTTGTCACCGAACACAGGGTCCACTGTCTATCATTGACTTGACATTGTCATCTTTCGTCATGCTAGGACTTCCGCATAGCCTAGCTACCTAGTCCTTACTCATCCTCAAGCCTCTCAAGCCATGGCTGAATATGGCTTCCGTTTTCTAAGCCACATGGGAAGTAGTTCGTACTCCGCTACCCGTGGCTATACACCGCGCTTTCAAGCGACAGTGGCTATCATGCTGACGGTTAGACTATTGAATTTGGTGCCCCAGTCGCCGATCCAAAGGTAAAGTGGATATTGAATTAGCACCAACGTGGATGGTGAAATGTTCCGACTGCTCGATCGAGAACCTCGAAACGGGGCCCTCTCCAAAGCTCTGGAGTGTCATCGAAGGTGATTCTTTGGATATAAATTCCACACTGGCGCCCGTCTGCATGAGTCTATCAGCTAAAGTCTCTCATACTTGCTCAGCAACATTGGGATTAGCTCATTCTAGACCTTTAGGTCTTCCTCTTATCTTCTTACACTATGAGGAACTATCTTTCTGTTGGAGTAGCTGCCCTCTTGGCATCAAAAGCGCTCGCCAAAGATGACAAATGGCTTAGTCCAGAGTACAAGCAGATCTTCCAGAACCCATTACCTATACCTACCGACAAGGTAAAGGCATAGTAAGACCCCGCCCCCCTAGACTTGCTCTAGCGTTACTAACCGTTGAAGCACTTACAAAAATGATACCACGGGTAACGAGATCGACTTTTACGAGGTCGATGTCAAACCATTTGAACAACAGGTGTACCCTGGATTGAAGCCAGCTAAGCTCGTGGGATATGATGGTATTTCGCCCGGTCCTACGTTCAGGTTGACCAAAGGTCGAGAGGCGATTGTAAGGTTCAAAAACTATGGAGAGCAAGATCTCTCCGTCCACCTCCACGGATCATACAGTCGAGCACCCTTCGATGGATGGGCTGAAGACACTACTAAACCTGGTCAATACAAGGATTACTGTCAGTGTACACCGCCTCCGCTATACCTAACCACATGACACCAACATTCCTAGACTATCCTAATCATCAGAGCGCGCGGACCCTGTGGTACCATGATCATGCGATCCATCATACGGCAGAGAATGCTTACTTTGGCCAAGCTGGTTTCTATATCCTGCACGACCCTGCTGAGGACGCTTTGGGTTTGCCTTCTGGTAAATACGATCTTCCACTTGCATTGGCGGCAAAGCAGTATAACAAAGACGGGACGCTCTTTAACCCCAAGGACGAGACCATATCACTCTGGGGTGACGTTATCCACGTGAATGGTCAACCATGGCCGTTCCACAAAGTGGAACCTCGAAAGTATCGCCTCCGATTTCTCGACACTTCCATTAGCCGTGCATTCAAGCTCACTTTCGAAGATGATAAGGGCAAAAACATCAATTTCCAGGTCATTGCCGCGGATACAGGCCTCATGTCTAGGCCTGTGCAAAGCGATAACCTTGAGATTTCAATGGCTGAACGCTGGGAGGTCGTTATCGACTTCAGCACGTATGCAGGCAAGAATGTTACCCTCAAGAATGGCCGCGATGTACAGCACGACGAGGATTACAACAGCACCGACAAGGTCATGCGATTTGTTGTTGGCAAAGAAGTCACCAGCACAGATGGCAACGGCGATCTCCCAGGTACGCTGCGCACCGTGCCTTTCCCGCCGAAGAAGAGCGGCATCGACAGATCCTTCAAGTTTGGCAGAACCGGGGGCCAGTGGACAGTCAACGGTGTCACTTTCGCAGACGTTAACAACCGCATCCTCGCCAAACCTAAGCGTGGCACCGTCGAAGTCTGGGAGCTTGAGAATTCCAGCGGTGGATGGAGCCATCCAGTTCATATCCATTTAGTAGACTTTCAAATCTTGTCCCGGACCAAAGGCAAGCGTGGCGTGCTACCTTACGAGAAAGAAGCATTGAAAGACGTTGTCCTCCTCGGCGAGAACGAGGTTGTCACAGTCATCGCCAGATACGCTCCTTATGATGGAGTGTACATGTTCCATTGCCACAACCTTATTCATGAAGATCATGATATGATGGCGGCTTTCAATGTTTCTAGCCTCGGAGATTGGGGCTATCCGGAGACGACCAGGTTCATCGACCCTATGGAGCAGAAGTACCGATCCAAAGACATCAATGACCACGATGACGAGCTGGAGCATATCTATGAAAAGTGTGCTGAGTTCGAAGCTATGGAAGCTTACACTGATCCGGAGAAAATGGAAGACGCTCTTGTCTCCTATTGGGTGAATGGAGGGTTAAAGCCAACAACGCTCGCCACAAGCACTCGGCCTACTCCTCCGTCAGGAGCTTCTTCTACCGGAGCAATATCGCCGTCGATTACAAGAGCTCCCTCTCCCAGCGTCACCCTGGCGTCCAAGGCGACTAGCACGAAGAAGAAGAACGATGATGACGATACAAAGACAAAAAGCAAGAAGAAGAAATAATTCTTGGAATTAAAAGCTCACTATATTGGGGTTCTCAGATTCTCAGATTCTACCTGTAATATTCGAATTTCTTAATAAGAGAGGGGTCTAAATGAGCACATGTTTTGTACATACGACATCCTCTTAATTAGTTTTAATCTATGATTGAACGCATTACATGCCCAAGACTCTTACAATTTGATGGCTACCTTCGTTTTGCAAGATCCGCGGCCTGTTATATTGCCGTTGAGTGAGCTTATAGAGGAACCCCAGCTATAAGTAGCCTCCATGCTGCGAAACCATGTCTTGTACCCTTCCCGCAGTGGGTTCTAAACGTAGAGAAATTTATACGAGCGCACTCGGCTAGTGCCCAGAGCGTTGCTTACATCTACTTGCAGAGATAGAGAGATAGAGAGATAGAGAGAGCTTGAACCGTGTGAAGCATCGCTACAGCTACAGCGCCATAAGATTGAATGGCCTTTTGTCGAAAAGGTTGATCAGCCCATTTTGACCACACTTCTACGAATAAGGAAACATGGTCAAGGAGCCATTCACCAATGAGATTCTTCTCTACCGCCGCTAAAACACATTCTACCACACCAGCGCCTCAACTTCTCATTGAGCCCGCCCATACTAGGACACGGAATAACACCAGACCTCAAATAGGAATACCATCTTTTCCACATGGGCACGGTCGGCTATGATCTCCCATACTCGATACCTTGCTGAAAGTATGCTAGTACGCACAGAGTAGCGAAAAGCCTCCACTATCGTGTGAAATAACTCAATTACGCCAAGCACTGTACCTGGCTAATGAATGTACTAGCCTAGATGCAATAGGCCGGGCGAGACTGAGTGTGGCTCAAGTGCAAATCTAGAACCTGAGCTTGGTTGTGCACTGAGGTGTGTAATAAGCTTTGTGGAATGACAAATTGCTTTATTTAAGAGTTATCATAAGCTTTATGGTATATTCATTGCCTTTTTGGGACAATGTGGTTGATACGCCATGAGGGGAAAACAAAGAACGAGGGTGTTGGTGATGATTTTAGCGATACTTGGGTATGTCTTGACATGTGATCCACTGTATTACTTTTCGCTGCGAGAGATGTTTTCCGGTAAAGGGAATTCCGAGAGTTTATGCTGCTGTCTGGAAGCGTGATTGGAAGACTTTCGGGAATAGGTTGTCATGGGACTAAGATATTCAACGGCAGTGTTCTGGAAGATCATACTCTGTGCTCTCCTTTGTCGAGGATGTGTAGAAGAGAAAATTAAAACGAGGTACATTTTTATTCGTCCTTACGATATGTTGAGGCTCTACAACCAATGATATTCTCTACTATGATATGATAAAATCCTCAAAGCACTTGTCAAACTTATGAACGATGGTGATGAGAGGTTGGACCTCTTCGTATAAAGATCTGCCTTGAAGGCTACCTTGCCTTAGTAACCTTAATTAGGAGATACCTTTGTTATTGTAATGCTCTCTGTCCGAGGTTGAGCAAGCAATGGTAAGGTAGAGACAAGGAAGAGCTAGATCGTAGTGAGAGGTTCGAAAAAGCAGCGTCGAAGAATTTGTGGACTTTCGATAGGAAAATCAAAACATATCTAGCTAGGTAAAAGATTCTCGCTAAGGCTACTTCAACCCCCAATTACGAATATGAGCAGAAGACTCCTAGCCCTCCTGCTCCTTGTCCTTTTGCTCTTTTTCCTTCTGCTCCTGCTTCAATTCCTCCAATTCCTTCTCAACAGTAATCTCCCAACGCCTCTTCTCAAGACCTCCGCGGAACCTCGACAAAGCATTGAACATCTTGCTCTCTTCCCTGCTCGACCCAAAGTCCCAATTTGTGTATAACTTTGAGGCCGAGGCGGGCCCCTCACTTATCCCCTCCACCTGCACGTCTGTCACTCCATCTGCTCGGCCATTTTCCCGACCATCAAAGAAGTCGATAGGACTAGTGAATGTACCCGTCATCTTTTCCTTCTCAGTAGTAACTAGATTGGAGATACATGTGTCGCCTACCCAAGTTCTTTCGCCCGGTTTGTCTTTTACTACGCGGAGGAAGTGCTTTTGCATAATCTCGTGAACCTTGCGCATCTGCGCTAGCCGCACTCTCCGGATGTTAGGCCGCTGTGTGCATATTCGTTCCTCCTGAGCTGCGAGGGCAACCAGTGTCAAGCTGGCGGATAATGCATCAACTCGACCACGACCATCCATTGACTTGAACACGTCGAAGAACTTGGAATCCTCGCGCAATTCTTCATATATCTCGGCAAGGATTTTGTTACAGAGTTCAAGTAGATACAATATGTCAAAGTGGATGTCGAGTTGCTCTAGCTCCATCCATATTTGCAACCTCCCTAGCGTCGATAGTAGGTCCAGTGGAGATTTGGGTTGCAGCAGGTGTGTCAAGAACCCGTCTGGCTCTTCTTTATTTGTTCGAATCGTTTCAACAGGGAGATTCATGAGCCTCAACTGCTTGTTTGCTTCCTTACGGTCGGTTATTGCGTTTAATAAAAGACGAACGCTCTCGTCAGCCTCCTTTGTCGTACACGCCTTGTGATTGGGGGCGATTCGATCCAACCATAATTCATCAATGAAGCAAGGATTCTGAAAGATTCTACGTTTTCTATACAGTCGTACGTTCGGACTGAGTCGACTTGGACCCCTGGCAGCAGTGGCAAGCCCGGACCCTGAGAATGCAAGTGTAAGTTCTTGAGCGGCTTCCCCAAAGTTTCGGGGCACACGTCCATGAAAAAGGTAGTTGGGATCTTGTCGATCTATGCAAAACTCCATGTCAGGCCAATGAGGAGCATTGGGGAACGAAGTCCGGCATATGTTGTATAAATGAGCGACAGAGAGTATCTGGCAGCGAGATCGCTCTACCTCAAACGAACGGTGCCGCGTCATAAGATTTAGATGATATTTGATCATCCCGCATCTTAGCGGATTATTCCTCCAGAAATAATGTTTCTCCTTGACCAGAGGGCCTATGTGCTTGTCGATCACGGTGAGGGGTCTGATCTTTGCTGCCTCCCGACGAACTTCTGTGACTAAACGATCCTCCAATAGAAAGGACTTCAGCAATTGTATGTGCTCAAGAGTATCGGTTAGTATAATCCCTTTGTCTATAGCAGCCAGTGGATTTTCTTGTCCCCGGAGCCTTTCGATACGAACTGACGTCTCAACCAGATTGCGTTGCACCTCTCTGAATGCATCGCCTACAGAGTCGCCGAGAATGTTTTTTAGATCAACCAATATTTGAATACCGAAAGTTGTCCATAGAGGTACCTCCCGCGCCACGCACATGTGCCGGATCCCGCGCGTCGCCTCATCTTCCGGAAGCATGTTCTCGAAGAGACCATTTGTAATAAGGAGACATTGAGCCCATTCCACAGCACGAAATAAGTCGGAATGGATAGCTTCACCCCTCAAATCGCCCGGATTTATGGCCAATATAGCTGGCCGAAACCCTGATTTTTCCCGCCCCAAATCGACTGCCCCGAGGAACCACTTTAGTGCATTGTATACAGGATAACAGCATAGCGCAGCATGCTTTTGACCTTCCCCACTCAACGCATTGGAGTTAAGTATCAAGGCCGATGGCAAGGCGAACTCCTCGATGGTGATCCCCTTCAGCTGTGGCTCCAGATCCGCATCCATATAGAAAAGCAGAGCAGGCAAACTCCATATGGGAAACCTCGCCACGGGAAATCTGATGGGGCGAACGAGAGATTGTTCGAACTCATATTCCTTGCGACGAAGAAGATCGATGGCTGTATTTGTAACCACCGCTTTTGTTATTAAATCTGTCTCCTTTAGACGCCACAGTTCTCCGACATGATATCTAACCGCATGTAGTTCCTTTAAGAAGGATTGGATTTCGATGAAGAAGTTCTCTTCTATTTGTGATTCATCTGCTCCAATTCTAAGCGTCGGAACGGAGGGCAGGTTTGCCAGCTCAAACTTGGATGTGATAACTTCTTGGTCCTCATCAATAGGCTGCTGCAACTGTAACTTGCTGAATTGATTATCAAGGGATGACGCCGTCGAAGTCTTAGCGTCGTCTTTTGTTCGCTTAGTTTTGGGCATGTACGGTCGGAGGATATTTAGTGTGGCCTCGAGACGGTTTGCGAATGCGTCATGCTGCGCATCTTCTCTCGTGTGCTTGCTTTGAATCCGATACCAAGCTGTGACTTCGCGTCGAAATCGAATAGCTCGGGCGAATATGATGCGCAGATACACAGGGAGAGTAACGGTAGAGGCATTGTCGGCTATAGCTTGGGCCATTGGCTCGAATTCATTCTCATGGATGTCGTATCCTTTGATATTCTCAGTAACGGCACGCCGTCTATATCCACATTTCTGAGAAGTCTTTAGGAGATATCCGGCAATGTACTTTGTGTCCTTCTTGTATTCGCTTCGGTTATACTGAACTTCAATTGGCAACATTTTGGCGATGAGTACGACAAAGTCAAAGGTAGGTTTACGTCGAGGTAGTCGAGCCAGATCAAATTCAATGTATACGGCAATTGTCGTTCAGAAAATCCAAAGAGGGTCAGAGATATATAAAGTTTTGAGAGCAACATGTTTGATGAAAACTACATAGTTGAGAGTTAGGAGCGAGACGCAAACGGAGCAAGACGCAAACGGAGTGATAAGAGAGCTAGACAGGAATGCGGCAGGTGCCAAGCCATCGCAAAGCTGCAGGAAGACACCAACCTCGGAACGATCACAATCCACTAAACAACAACCCACAAGATGACAAACTTGGATCTACTGCTGCTCAAAGGAGCGACCTCAAGCAACCCCGAGGAGGGCCTGCAAGAACTGCGTTACACCATTCTCACGAAAGGAATTCCCGCCAATAGTGAGGGCATGGTACGTTCTCTACGACATGTTCATTAAACCCCATGTATAGGACACTGCAATATACTACATCTTGGAATCTTCTGGACGTATCACTGACATGGTGCCGTTTTAGTCTGAATTACGCATCTACATTTGGCTCATTCTACTCAATGCGCCCCCGCTCCGCACCGATGTGTACCTCGATCTCGTCCGACAAGGCGCATCCCCAGCGCATGCCAAGATACAGAACGATACTTTCCGTACATTTCAAGGCGATCCCCTTTTTCGCCGGCGCGTCACACAGAACAGCATCACGCGGGTCTTGAACGCTGTCGCGTGGAGGCTCAATGACGCGCACGAGGCACGCGTCAATGGTTGGCAGTCTCCGCCTACACTATCCGAGTTCGGCGGCAGCCCTGATACTTCTATGATGTCCCGCTATTCAGTCACTGGTGGCGCTCGGACAGAGGCGTCTACTACGAATGACGCAGAGCAGATTGGCTACGTGCAGGGTATGAACGTGCTATGTGGCCCGTTCCTGTATGCGTCTCGAAGCGAGGTCGAGGCGTTTACCGCTTTCGAGAAGCTCATCACTCAAGAGTGTCCGGGATATGTAAGGGGATCAATGGATGGTGTACACAAGGGTCTGGCGCTGGTCGACAGGGTCTTGGAGGTGGTTGATCCGAAGCTATTCGGACATCTCATGGCCCACCACATGGAAGCTAAGATTTACGCTTTCGCATCAGTACTCACTATGTGCGCTTGCACGCCACCTCTGCCCGAGGTTTTACAGCTCTGGGACTTCCTCTTCGCTTATGGGCCTCATTTGAACATTTTGTGCATTGTAGCACAGTTGGTCCTCATTCGGACAGAGATACTGAACAGCTCGAGGTGAGCTCACACATCCACTACCTCTAACTGTACACTGCTGATGCTTGCGTAGCCCTAACTCGATACTCCGCAACCTCCCTGGTTTGAACGCTCAGAAAATTGTTGCCGTGGCTATGAGCTTCGCTGGCAAGATACCTGAGGACATGTACGCAGAGATCATCAATCACGCAAAGTGAGGACCTGTGATCACTAAGAAGGTGGAAAGCGAAGTGATACGACAACAACGATTTACGATGTTATGACTGTACGATACCCAAGAAAAGTGCATACATGGAAGCCTGAACGCATTTTATTATGAGTCAATTCGTAGTAGTTTCAGCTGCTAACGATAGCTCATCTGATTCCCTCATCTCTTAGCCTTCGTGACGAACTCCCCCGCTTGAGGGCGGCAAGTGCTGCCTTTACCTTTGCGCTATTCACAAACCCTCTACTGGACCATCCTCAGTTCCATCACCTAGAGTATATCTCTTCGCTCGAATCAAGCATTGCTTCGTTTTCTCCCTACAAATCTGACACTCGGATTCTCAGTCATGGTCAAGTATCGGGACCATGCACTGCTAGCCCTTGGCTGCAAGCTACTATCATCTCTTACCGTTTTTACAGCTGCACTCGTTCGCAATCCAACTACTCGTACTTTACGACCTCCAGTGAAGATTCGTCTAAGGCAGGGCTTTTGCTATGCAGACGAGCTCTGGTAATAGTTTTCTCTCTCGCAAGGTGAAAGCGTAGCAAGTAGTCGCCAAGCTAGGGAAACTACGCTAGCCGCGCCCCGATACGAAAGCCGTCAGTCAATGACAGTGTTCAGCCTCAATAGCATCAACATCATTTCGATTCGGATTAAGAACGCGTTCCGTCGTGCGTAAGCATACTTAAAGACACGATTTTACATGCACCACTCCTGGGCCTCAATGGAAAAGTCGACACAAACAAGCCTACGCTCTAGTTGAACTCCGACTCAAGCAATTCCACGGAGCTCCTGGGGGTGGGAGTTCCTCAGACCCAGGGCCTCCTATATCGCGTCGAGCAGTTCTTCCGCATCATCTGTCTTTACCTCGACATACCTTCACCAGAGACATACCTTGTGCAGCAGGGGTGGGTGGGTGTGGTCTTGTTGTTTTTCGACAAGGAGGCGGGCCTACGCCATTTCGCAACGGCATTCCCGAGCCCGCATCGATTAGCGGTGGAGTTGCAGATAGTGGACAGGAGGATCTAGGAACTCTGCTCTCTTTATAGGTTGGAGACATTATTAACTACTGTCAGTCAATGGAATATACTCACGAGTGAGCGAGTTGCTAAGATGAACACTATTTCGCCAACACTCCTTGCACACTCGCCCAGCTAGGATTGCCTTGGTGAAGGTGACGAGGCCGACGGCAGGGCCTGCTGATAAGAAGTTGCGTTAGGATTTGGTGTTGAACCAAGGCAATTTATATATTTGATGTAAGAAGGTCATGTCAAGTATATACTATTAAGCAATTCGTATAGTATGGTCGTAAAGTATGTCTAAGGGATATCAGCATCATCGTCGTCCCCACCAAAGCCAAAGCTGAACCCTCCAGCTTCTTCCTTGTCCTCTCCACTCTTAGTTAATTCTTCCCACCGTCCCTTACTCTTCTTCCCTCTCTTCTCTAGTTCCACGAGTCCCTCTTCCAGAACATCAGGATGTTGTTCCCTCAATCGCTCAACGAACAGCTCGTACGCGCGGTCACATACATCTTCCTTGAATCCACTGACCTCGCCCCTCTGATCGCGCAGAAAACTCAGGACGTCAGGTAACTGCTTTCGCGGCACAAAATTCTGTGTCAATGCCAGACTATCTTCTAGATTGAGGACGAGGTGGAACCACCCTGACGGCACGTGCAGGACTTCGCCAGCGTAGCAAATGCCCTCTTTACACCCTGGCGTCTGGCGCGCCAACTCGTGGAAGGTGAGCATGTACTCTGCAATACTGAGTGGGCTCGTAATTTCGCTCTGGTCATCTGAGACGATAACGCCTGGTGGTGGTTCGATGCCCGGCCCGGCAGGAAACATGAGCCAGTACTTGCTCCCTGTGAGGACTGCATTCCACGCACTCGTCGCGTTGGGATCTTTATGAAACGTTGAACCGCTTCGCTTCGGGCCCATGATCATCCAGCGACAGTCTGGGCGGTGCTCGCCTAGCACGCTGAACAGGTCTTCTCCGAAGCATGTTGGACTCCAATACGATGCTTCTTTCGAGTACGGAGGGGCGGTGATGTCAATCCCGGTCTTTTCAGCAAAGGCGCGGTCAAAGAGGTAGAGTGGTGACTCGTCGGCGTTGTCGTGTATGTATGACATGTACTTTGTCATGGGCCAGTCTACTGCTTCGGCTCTGAACTTGGTATCTGGGAAGTTTTTGAGGAGGTATTCAGATGTCCAGGTCCCGTAGACGGGCCATTCTTTGACCGGCGAGGTGAGGATGAATGGCTTGTTGGTCCATGTCTCTGCGTACTCTTCGTAGGTCAAGTCTGGCAAGCGTGCAACCTCGTTCTGCTTGGGGATGTTGCGTGCAAAGGGCCCTAGAGGGGTATGCGCGCATTGGAATGGCCGGTATAGAGTGTCAGAGAAGAGATTGGGACATGGTATTGAGGTAATGTTCTCTTTGGCTGTGCTAAGGTAGGTGGCTCGCCAAGTTCCCCGCCACCCAAAGTCCTCTGGTGGTGCTCTGTTTGCTGGTCAGCGGCCATGTTGACATGGGTAAATGATGTTTGCCTGAAGATCGAAGCAAACAAAGCCCAGAGTTTGACTGACGACTGGACATTGGGGAAACCAAGATGCAAAGAAACACATATCCACTGTCTAGCATCTGGAGGCAATAATCTTAGAACATGCTACGCCCTCATTTGAGCTAGGCTCGGGTATATACACAGGTATCGAACAAGGAGAAACAAGGATATAGAGAAACGACTAAGACGAAACTGATCCTGGCAAAATTTGTCAACGGCTTGGGTCCTTCGCATGTTATGCATGACTGTAACTATGACTGGATGGGACGAAAGAGGGAAGGCGAGGTCATCAGTTTATCGACCATGGTACTTACTCAACGAATAGTGCTCGCCAGAGCTCATCCAGGCGCGTAAAAGCATACAAGGCGCGACATGTGCTACCCAAGCGGATCAGGACGTCAGCATCGAATGACTCAAGGATGTGGCTCAGAAGCTCGTCGGGCAGCCTGGCGAACAGTCCAGATCGAGTCTTGATGTTCTCGGACGATGTATACGCATTTCCGGCCGGCTTGACACCCAGAGGATGCGAAGGGACCGCTGCCGCCACGTCTTCGTCGTCGTCGTCGTCGAAGTTGGCCACCGCTGAGACTTTGATCTTTTTGGAGGGTCGTGATTCGACACACGCGATGCTGGGGTTCTCCAGTAGGCCGGGCGCCATGTCCAAGGCGGATTGACAACTATGCTCCGTGATTGCTCAGCGCGGGCACTTGAAAGCTGCAACAAGAAGACTAGAGGCAAACGCAGGAAACAGCGAAGAGTCACAGGCCGGCGCAACACTCCGGCGGCACAGGGTGAAGGCGAAACCGTGGGGGATGCTTTGCCTCTTGACCACACGCACCGAGTTTTTTAGCGAGGCGGTTTGGCGCTAGCACCGCGAACCTAAGAGATTTTTTTGGCTTATAACGTCGGCCACCCACCCACCTTCTGCTCCTCTCCCACCAACAACACACTCAAACAAAACCAACTGCAAAACATACCCCTAGATACCCCTTCGATTCTCGCGCAGAGGATCTGGTATCTAGTTTTTCCCACACAAGTTTCGACACCAGCGGCGGTATCCAGAGGATCCTCCGTTTCACCCCGCCACGACCTTTTTTCCGACTACGGTGCAGCGCCAGTAGTCGCCCGCGTATAACTCGCAATCATGGCTGATAAGGGTCTTGAGGATGTGCCTGAGGGTAAGTTGTACCCTGCCGCTGCTTGAGGTTGCGCGCCCCGCACTGCGACAGCGATAGCGACAGTGACCTCAGCCGCCGAGATTTCTGCGACTCCAGGCTAACCCGCACCCAGGCCAGATCGAGTCCAACTACGATGAGACCACGGACTCTTTCGATTCCATGAACCTGAAGGCTGAACTCCTCCGTGGCGTCTACGCCTACGGTTTCGAGCGCCCCTCTGCTATCCAGCAGCGCGCCATCATGCCCGTTATCAAGGGTGAGTTTGCCTGCCTACACCACCACCAACACCACCACAATTCAGTGTGCAGGTGACTGACGTAGACACTAGGCCACGATGTCATTGCGCAGGCCCAGTCTGGTACCGGTAAAACGGCTACCTTCTCCATCTCGACCCTCCAGAAGATCGACTCCAACATCAAGGCCTGCCAGGCGCTGATCCTCGCCCCCACCCGCGAGCTTGCACAGCAGATCCAGAAGGTCGTTGTTGCCATCGGTGACTTCATGGACATCCAGTGCCACGCCTGCATTGGCGGCACCAGCGTCCGTGACGACATGAAGGCCCTCCAGGACGGTCCCCAGGTCGTTGTAGGCACCCCCGGCCGTGTCCAGGACATGATCCAGCGTCGTGTCTTGAAGACCGACCACATGAAGATGTTCGTCCTCGACGAGGCTGACGAGATGTTGTCTCGCGGTTTCACCGAGCAGATCTACGACATCTTCCAGCTTCTGCCCCAGTCCACCCAGGTCGTCCTCCTGTCCGCCACCATGCCCCAGGACGTCCTCGAGGTCACCACCAAGTTCATGCGTGACCCCGTCCGTATCCTTGTCAAGAAGGATGAGCTCACTCTCGAAGGTATCAAGCAGTTCTACATCGCTGTCGAGAAGGAGGACTGGAAGCTCGACACTCTGTCCGACTTGTACGAGACCGTCACCATCACCCAGGCTGTCATCTTCTGCAACACCCGCAGGAAGGTCGACTGGCTCACCGACAAGCTCACTGCTCGCGACTTCACCGTCTCCGCCATGCACGGTGACATGGACCAGGCCCAGCGTGATGTCATCATGAAGGAGTTCCGATCCGGTTCTTCCCGTGTTCTCATTGCCACCGATCTCCTTGCCCGTGGTATCGACGTCCAGCAGGTCTCGCTTGTCATCAACTACGATCTGCCCGCCAACCGTGAGAACTACATCCATCGCATCGGCCGTGGTGGACGTTTCGGACGTAAGGGTGTTGCCATCAACTTCGTCACCGCTGATGATGTCCGCATGATGCGCGAAATTGAGCAGTTCTACAGCACACAGATCGAGGAGATGCCCATGAACGTGGCTGGTAAGCACCCCTTGATTCCCGCCGTTAACGATGTACCAACTAACATGAATGATAGACCTTATCTAAGAAGCTGTTTCTCGCTGCCTTCCAACTACCGTCTCTCCTTGCCCACTATCGTTTTGGTGGTGTAATTGGGATAGAGGCGGTGGTAAGCTAATCTGAGCACGCCTGCACGGCCAGGCGGCGCTCTTTGTTTGATTCGGTTCAAAAGTGGTTCGAAGTAGGACGGGTAGTCGTCCTTACATCGCGGCATCTTGGCGTTGGTCTTTCATGTGCAAAATGATTTCCTCAAAAGATGTTCATGGCATATGGATAGAGATGAACGGCGGGTGCTTAGTTGACGGATTGTTTCTCCTCTACAATCTACTGTTTCTTTCCTACTACTCTACGGATGTCTTGCTGCGACTTGTCGAGGCATGTTCACGCGTCGGGATTTCTTTTCCTTGGCCACGCATGTCGATGATAACGATCATGAGTTTCCTGTCATATAGAGATGCGATTCAATTGCATGTTAGTTACTTAAGATGCTCCCGACTTGCGAGGTTTATGTGTATCGACTAATCTAACAGAGCCTCACGCATCTAGTTCACCCACACAGACCTCGAGACTATATCGAACGTCGAGACACTTCGCCACCAAACTGAAACGCAAGAGGAAACAACTTTGATGCCAAGTACCCCGGAATACGACGGGAATACGATGGTGATTTCTGGGGTGCTCAGTTCGCTTATCGATAGCCTCGGTCCATGACATCAACCCCTCCTACTTCCCAAGTACCCATCTACGCGCAACTCATGCGACCAACAGCATGGCTTGCCCAAAGCAAAGCTATTGCGACCATGGCGCTTTCCCAGTCTTCTGTTGTAGGTTCGCGGCCTTCTTCCCTGCGGCTTCATAAGCCACTTGTGCCTTGCACGACACTTCTTAGCAACGCTGACTTTACTCATAGCAAGCGTTAAATCGCCTTCGGACCTACACACCTCCGCCAACGCAATGGCATAATTGTCCTCTTACCCGGCGCGCTGCCGTCCTCATTCTGCTATTCCCGGATAGACATGGCGAACTCAAAGTCGTTCTTACCATGCGGAGCACCAAATTAAGATCATATGCAGGGCAAGCTGCCCTTCCTGGAGGTACGATGGCAAATGTCATTCAGCAAAGGCGAGAGGAAGAAAGGGGTAGAAGAATAAGAGCTGACTCCAAACAGGCAAGGCAGATACCCTCGAGGAATCGCCATGGCATACAGCGCGGAGAGAAGCATATGAAGAGATTGGACTACCCATGGACGAAGAGAAGCTACGAGGATTCAAAGTAGAGCATCTCTGCGAACTACCTGCGAACCTAGCGAAGACAGAACTCGGTGTCCGACCCTGCGTCGCTTTTCTCTCTCCCTCTTCTTCAACCTCTTCTTCATCCACGAGCCCACAAGCCGAAGAACGTTCTGTCGAAGAAAAGCTCATCCCGCGCCTGGACCCAAAAGAAGTAGCCGCCGTCTTCACAGCCCCCTTCCGTTCTTTCCTCCAGAAAGAATGGACAGGCGACGGCCCCGCACCGGTGCAAAAGAACGGCAAACCAGAGAAATGGTACAGAGGAAGTTGGACAGATTGGCACGAAAGCCGCTGGCGAATGCACAATTTCTACATCCCCCGACCTCCACCGTCTCCTGTCGCGCTTTTGCACAATCCTTCCAACACCTCTACAACATCTGGCCCCTCGCTTTCGCCCCATAAATCTCCCCCCGGGGGCGATGATCTACACCCAGAATCCAGCGCGCTAGATGATCTTACAACGTTTAGGGTGTTTGGTATGACGGCACGGATACTGGTGGATGCAGCAAGGGTCGCGTACGGCGAGGAACCGGAGTTTGAACACAATAGTCATTTTGGAGATGAGGAGATGATTGGGCGGTTGTTGAAGATGGGGAGGCTAAGTGAGGAGAAGAAAAAGGGTGAAGTGCTCACGAAGGAAGTGTTGAGGGAGGCTAGTAAGATGTAGTTGATACTTGTGGTTTGTTAAATATGTTATAGAGCGTTACGAGCTAGCGTCTGCGCTGAGTCTCGACCGCTGAGATCACTCAGATCCAAAGCTAAACCGTTGATACCAGAAAAGAGAATCCTCAACTCCAGTTGACCCCTTCATCCTATAGGTGAACTGTGTAGTCAAACCGTTACCTCTGCTCCGCGCTGCCAAAAGTGGACGTGTGTGAGCTCTGTGTCCAAACCCGGAGTTAGTCAAGCCTCAAGTAGTGTGATGTATAGCTGATTTCGTACGTACCACCGAAGAAGGCTACACTCACTTGAGCTGGCGGGTGAATTTGCAGCAAGAGGCTGGCATTGTTCCATGTAACGTAATCGAGTAGCCACGCATTCCCAATCCGACTAGTTGCGTCCAGAAGGTTACGAGAAGGTATAGTACATTCGCCAGTTGAATCGATTCGTGGAAGTTGGAAAATAAACCATGGGTCTCGACCCATGGCTGATATGTTGCTTAGCAAGCGGACGGTATCCATGACCATGTAGCCCTGAACCTGTTAGCTTGTTGCAATATAAGAGCGATGTGATACGGTACTTACTCCTTAAGCAGATTCGTCCTCCTCACTCTCATCTTCTTCCTCGGTAGATTCTTCTTCGGTAGATTCTTCCTCTTCTGCTTCTGCCATCTCCTGCTCGTACTCTTCCAAATCCTCGTAGTACGCAGCTGTCATAATCTTATCCAAAGCCTCAGCATCAGCCTCCAACTCAGCCTTAGCCTTGGTCTCCACGATAAAGTCCAAACATTTCATCTTTGCGAACTTCTGAGCTGTGCTGTCGCGAATTCTGGACGGGTCGCGCAGGAAAACGTGAATGGCAGTCTTTAGACCGGCGCATTGCTCGAGCATTGGTGGGATCTGGTCTTGATAGGGTAAGTCGAGGAAAGGATTCCTTAATCCGAATATCACGGTCGTGATAGCGTTCTTCTGGTCGTCATTCAAAAGGAGCAGCCAGTCATTGAACTCCACAGTTTGAATCTGAAATGTGTTCAGGCTAAACGCGAGGAGGCGAGTCTCGCGGTGGAGTAGACGACAGACATATGTCAACGATAGTAGCCTGTCCCAGGCCTGGTATGACCTCGCCTCGCTGCCGTAAGGCCTGCATTCAAGACGCCATTTCGTTCGAACCCCGCCGACGGTCCGTGGATTAACTTCCTGCCCACCGAGGGCATAGCCGTAGATACGATTGCGGATCTCGCTAGGAAGACGGAGGAGCGGCGACTCTGTTGCGTTCCTCAGAGCACTTTTCCTCATCAGCAACTAGTCAAGATTATACGTAGAGCTGGGACATACATTTCATCCATCTTCGCCGTCAGGCTCCTAGTGAAGCGCTTGCTGTCTTGCCTATTGACTCGATAGTCCCCCTTCGAGGTAGACGCGGACTGGCGCTCCACCTTCTTAATCTCTGGGCGACCCATGCTGAGTGAGAGTTCTTGCGTTGAAATGCGGATAGGGTGTGGTTTGCTGAAGGTAGTGGACTCGGTGAAGAAGGGTGTTAGGGATTTATATACACGTACTGGCCGGTGAGTGGGGTGAGATTAGAAGGTGAAGGCGGATCGTAGTGTATAAGCGAGATTGCGTTGCGGGCGTGAAGTGAACATGAATGGAGTGTTGTCTCTGCAGACTATTAGCATAAATCCCCGATGTTTTCACTAATAAGGTGCAGGTGAGACGGCTACACTCGCCTAGGTAAGAAGAGCGCACTCACCTCAAACGGCAGCAAGATGAACTAAGTCTCATGTTAGATGACCCCAATACACGTACTCGTCATTCTTTACCTACAACATGAACCTAGATGAATATGGGCTACTTGGTATTTTTAACTACTCGCTATAAATATGTGGCAATCAGATCACGCTTCCAAACACACAGCTATGTGCCTTCGGCATCCCTTCAATCAATGGATCGGGCGTACAAACAAACGCAAGATGGTTCAGCGTGACCGGCTAAAGCACTACTTCTCTCCACTCTCTTACTTCTTGTTCACAATGCTAGTGTTAAAACCCACTAAGCACGCTCTGCACCCCAATCGTATTGACATCGTCTCTCCGCCCGATATATCCTTTCAGCTCCTGCGCATCCATGCCCCCAGCAGCCCTCAGTCGATCCCTCAATGCCTCCGGCCCAATGATGAACAACGTGCTGACATCCGTCAACACATCCATGGCCCCGGTTTCCAGCTCTTCACCCGTAGGCCACCCTCTGACGAGTTCAACATAGCGATTCATGTCCTTGGACACGCTGAGGCCGCCGACTTGCGAGATGGTGAATTTTAGGAGGTGAGCGAGGACGAGGGAGCGTAGCCCGCGCGCGAGTTCGGCGAGGAACAGGGAAAGGTTGCGCCCGGAGAGGGCGGCTGTAGCTTGTGTGGCTACACGGGTCAGGAATGTGGAGACTTCGCGGCAGGCTTGGGTTTCGCTCATGACCATATGGTCTTCCTCTCTAGGTCGGAAATCGGTCTTCTTCTGTTGGGCTAGGCACTTGTTCACCCAATTTAGAGAGGCTGTTAGTGTGAGGTTGATAATGTTGGAGAGCTTCGATTCGAGGGTTGCCATTGTGGTGTTTGTGGATTTCTCAATATCGCGGCGGATGGTAAGATTAGGCGTGCAAAGTGGGAGGAGGATTGTCGTGGATGTTTGTTGGAGAAGATGTAGGATGGTGGTTATGTCGTGTAGAGATGGAAGATGAGTAAGGTCGGGTGGGGTCTTCGAGTTCTCCTGTGCAGCAGCATGGTCTTGGGCACTAGGTCGAGATTAGCACAGTGTTGGGGATATTAGAATAGGACCACCACTTACGCCTCCAGTGCAGTCTCGAGATAAATCTCACCCATTTGCCGTAGTAGGAGGCTCAGTAAGACTTGCACATCCTTCGGCGTCTCATTCCCTGGTGACACCTCTAACCCACGCCCAACGCCCTCTGCCAACCACTTCAACATACGCTTAGCAGCAGACAGTGATATTCTGCCATCTTCATCTGTTACCTCGATGTCTTTTTTCTCCTGTTGATCTTCCTTCAAGCCAGCAAGGCGTAGAAGTGTCGCCTTCTGACTGGCTGGCAGGTCTGTGCTCTCAAGACGGTCCATGTATTTGTCACGAGCCGATGCAGCCAGCTCTTTACCTCGTTGAGCAAGTGACCCGAAGTATGAGGTCGGCATTTTGCTCCGCCGCGAGTGGTAAATGGTAAACTTTAAGAGCAATGATGAGTATTGTTCCTCGAGATTCTTCTTCTCTCGCTCGATGTACCTCTCACCAATGAAATATGATGCGAAGAGCTCTTCGAGCTGCTGATCTAATGTGGCGGCCACTTGTGAGGTGACGGGTTCTGGGTGCTCTGTTAGGCCGTGTGTTTTGAGGTCTTCGACAAGTTGGGTGACGTAGATTTTCGAGGCCTGTAGAGAGCGTAGGAAAGCGAGGGACGAGAGATCGCTTGCTTTGTCCAATACCATCTCTAGTCGCTGTTGTATTGATTGCTGGAATATTCGTTCCATGAATCTTATCAGCACCTCTTCGTAGTATGGGAAAGCTCGCCTGATTATGGCGGATTCCTCTTGCAAGACAATCTTGACTTCATCGATCAGAGATTGCAGTGTTGGCTCAACGACTGGTGGTTGGGCATCCGGATCCTGAAGGTGCTCCCACGTTTGCAAGTCCGACGAAACCTCATCGGTGATAAGCTGAGTACGGTCGATGAAGAACGAGTGCTGGTTGACATAGGTGGTAATAACACTGGAGCCATCGTTGAAGCCTCTCAAAGCTATTGCACAATCGCGCATGCCGTTGTAGTTTGGCCGTCGATAGCATTCGTCGAATTTGCTGAGTAGATCTTGTTCGAGCCTCTCCAAGAACTTCTCGATGACTTCCTTGGTGTTGTGCTTCGATTGCTGCGCTAGCCTCCTCTTCGCGCCGTTCTGTCCTTCGCCATTGATGCGCGGATTGATCTCAGGATCCAAACGAATGCTGATTCTCAGCAGCTGGCGTGCAAACTCAGCACACCGGACAATGTCGCCGCTTCTTCGCTGATCTTCGAGGATATTCAGTTCGCCACGTTCGCTGACTTCCTGCCAGCATTCGATCAGGAACTTGGCATCAAGGGCTCTTTTCCTTTGACGGTCCAGCTCTTCTAGGCGCTCGCCTATGCGCATGGCGATATTACCGCCAGCATCTGGGCCTCCATCATCATTGCCATTGAGCGAGCTATCCAGCTTCTGGAAGCGGTCAATGGCTTGCTCGAGTCTTCGGCCTAATGACTCGACATTCTGATTGTGTTGCGCCTCCGCCCGCCTCACAGCTCCCGATAGTTCGTTCTCCTTCTCTTCTAGGTCCTCGGATAGATTATTGAGTCGCGTCAGGGCATGTTCGAAGGTGCGGATGAGAGGTTTGGGGTCGAAGGTTTGTTGGCCAGAGGGTCCTGACTTTCGTGATGCGGGTACGGCAGCGTCGGAAAGGTCCTCGATAAAGTCTTTGACTATGAAGTCTTTGCTCTGATCAGATTAATGGGGGTACATGTTTATGAAGCTCGCGGGTAGCTTACAGAGAACTTGTCTAGAGTGAACTGCGGACCCCTAATAGATGTCCTCGAGGTATGATGCGTGAGGATTGACGCCGAGTCGTTGCCCGGTGCTTGCATTGTGAGCACTAGAAGGATAGTAGAGACGAGAATCGAGCGTAGGCTAAGGGGGACCAGGAAAGTGATTGGCGCTCTATCGTTGCTGTGCGGCCAGGTAATGTGCCCTGGAGCTGGTGTCTTGGAGCCTGTCGCAAAGCATGAGGCGTTGCGCTTTCGCTACTGGTCGCTACTCTTGGAGATGTACTTTTGGTAGCTCCTCTAGTCTGGAATATAGTGATCCGACTATCAACATTAGTTACTTGGCTGCTACCTCTCCCCAAAGTCGTGAATGTGGCTGATGGCGCCGCCCCGCGTCTCCGATCCCTTGTCTGCAACTGCAGCTGCTCCAGCCGAACGAACACCAAGTGACCTCATGCACCGCGAACCCTCATACCACCCCCTCTAAGGATACTGGGAATGCCGGTACAAAGCCCTTGTTTTCGGCATCATCACGGCCATCTGTTCTTGTCACGACGTGGCCTCATACGCAATCGCGCCTCCCTCCAAGGCTGAGCAACTAACATGTTACGCACTGGGCTTACTCTCCTCGGCAGCGACGGCCGCCACACGTATGCACCAGCCTCACCCTAGGAAATTTATAGGATCTCACACCCCCCGACCATGGCCTGCTAACACGAGCTTTCTTCTTCTTTTTCTCTGATGACTGCTGTTCTTCTGCAATTCTGTGTTTTGGATATTTAATGAACAGTTGTTTTGTCCCCCAAACACTCGACACTTCTCTCGCAATGGCAGCCAGAGGCACCACACCTCAACAAGAGATTGCCTTCCGCCGAGGTACGCTCCACGGCAAGCAATTAGATGCAAAACAACGCGAAGAACTTCTAAAACCCTTCCTCCCTGCCGAACCCACATCCTCCGACGAAGCAAAAGCCGCCCGACGGCGCCGCGCATCCCTAAAATCCAAACCCAAATCCAAACGACACGGCCCCGTGAAGACCTTCCTCTACTTCGCAATCTATCACTTCATCGCCCTCCTGTTTAGCATCTTCTTTCGCTTTCGGCGCGCCTATCGTCTTGTCCGGGGCAAACTCATCTCGCTCCTCAAATACCATCACCGCACACCCGAGTTCATCGCACACGATGTCAAGAACCTCGTGAAGCTGCCGAAGCACCTAAGCGTGATTGTGGAGTATCAGGAAGATGATGGGAGCCAGGGAACTGCAGGCCTGGAGGGGCTGGTGAATGATGTGTGCGAAATTGCAGCTTGGGCGGCGAGCGCGGGGATCCCGTTATTGAGTGTTTACGAACGAACGGGTGAGCCGACATGGAGGACAAGTATAATCAGAGAGAGATCCGAGGGCTAACATGGCGAAGGTGTTCTCAAAAATTACCTCCCCCAAACGCATGCCAGTATCTGGAACACACTCGAAGCCTACTTTGGCGCGCGACGTAAACCAACCCTCTCCCTCCGTGCACCCCATCTCAGCTCCTATTCTCCGCCAAATACACCCCCGCAAACCGCAGAGCTCAATGGGGACGACCTCAAGGAGGACCGTCAGCACCTAACGGTTCTCTTGCTCTCGGAACATGACGGACGAGACACCATCGTCGACTTGACACGTACGCTGGCTGAGATGGCACAAAAGGGCGATGTCCACCAGGAGCAGATCAACATGGAGTTAATCGATGCTCAATTAAATGACCATGTCTCGAGCGAGCCAGACCTATTGATCTTGTTCAGCCCGACGGTACAATTAAAAGGGTATCCACCGTGGCAGTTGCGCTTGACTGAGATCTTGTAACCTTCCCTACTCCAAACGTCGGTAATCACTCGCTAACTATGCTCGTAGCCACCTGCCAGACAATAAGGGTGTGAACTATCAAGTCTTTCTCCGTGCTCTTTACAATTTTGCAAAGGTCGAAATGCGCCTGGGAAGGTAGACCATTCCTGCCCTATTTTGCCTTGTCTTTCCATACCAATACCCAGTCTCATCACAATCAATCGAGTCGTCAAGTGAATGCCACACTCGTCATCAGCCTTCCTGTGATTATCAAGCCATAAGCTGTGATGTGTCATGTCACTATCGAAAACACAATGTCAACTGTATGTACATTTAACATCACTGTCGATTCATTCAATGCCGTCTAGGTAAGCACTCGCTGGAGGACTGGAGGTGTGGAGGTATCTCAGATGTGATAGATGGTGCTATCTACATCCTATCTTCATGTCCGCCGCGATCGCTTTTGTGCGTCACAGCCATCGAGAGTAATGCACCTAACACCTGTATTCGTTGTAGGTCATCAAGTACATTGTCCGTCCCACGAAATAACCCATGCAACCAAGACCCAGACCATTTACTTGAGAGGAATGAAACGGGAAGAGTGAGTGGCACCAATACCCGGCCTTCCGTGCTTGACGGGCTTGCTGTGAGTGCGTTAGCCATCTGTCCCTTGTATAGATGTAGATCCGGGGTACGCACTATGAGATGGAGAACTCTCCAAGGTAGTGGCCGACCATCTCGGGCTTGATTTCGACCTGGTTGAACTCCTTGCCGGAGTAGACGCCGATGACGCTGCCGATCATCTCGGGAACAACGATCATGTCACGGAGGTGGGTCTTGACGAGGTCGGGCTTCTCGTTGGGCTTGGCCTCCTGCTTGGACTTGCGGAGCTTCTTGATCAGGCCCATGGGCTTGCGCTTGAGACCGCGGTTGAACCTTCTGCGGGCACGGGCGTGGACGAGGTCACGGAGCTCCTCTGAGCCAAGGTCAAGGAGCCTGTACACGAATCAGCGTTCCGTCGCCAGCAATGTAAAATATCCAACAGCGCACTCAAAGTGCCGCTGGTCCCTGAAAGACGTACTGGTCGAGGTCGACACCACGGTAAGAGAACTTGCGGAACGCTCTCTTCCTCTTAAGCTCTGCAAAATATATCGTCAGTCCACGTCTCTTATCATAATTCGTGAGTGTATCTCCGCGAGCGCAGAGTCTTGGTGTCGTTTCGAAGGCGTCGACTACTCATTCGTGCTCGATTGCAGTGATGTGCTGTGTGGGAAGGGATCGTGGAAGTAAGAGCGTACCGGCAGCCTCCTCGGCGTTCTGTATTGTGGTCAGCGGGCTGCAGCAATTGCGTAGCTACAAATACATACGTAGTCTGCGTCAGCCATATTTGCGTTTGTCGAAGTAGCTAGACAGTGAACTTCGAGGGTCGCGATGTGGTTGTCGGTCGTCGAAAGCTGGACGTCGCAAAGGCCAAATCGTCGTGGGCTCCGCTGGCTAAGCGAGTCTTGGCACGCTATTGGCCGAGGGAGCAGCAATGCATGAACTCGGAACGGAAAGCGCAATGGAACACCAAGATATTACAGGCAGAGTCTGACGTTTTATTTCACTTTATTCCAGAGCAATTAATTAGGAATGCTTTGATGAATTCTATCGAAAGTTCGTTACATCCTGGTTGGAGAGTACGTGATGGCCTCAAACACATACATTCACACTGCATATTAGCGAAGTAGTGAACGGTATGGTCCACGGGCACTGGAATTTGATTTGGGCGTCCGATGAGGTCGACGGAGTCAGACGTGAATTGCATGTCACATGACGATATGATATAGTGTCACGGAAGAAAATTTGAGGGTGCATGGCTTCATTGAGGTATCCTAGCAAGCAATATCGAAGCATTGCCGCAGTGTCTTTTCCTTATCCCATCCATCGCGCGCTGAACACCGCCCAAATGCTCGTGCTCATGTCGCATGATTCTCGTTTTGACAGAAAGGTTGACCAGATCATACTTCGTCGATAAGCTGAGATTGACGATGCGCTTAATCGAAGAGTCCGAAACCCATGTCGTCGTCTGACTCCTCCTTCTCCTCCTCCTTCTCCTCCGCAGCAGGAGCAGCGTCGGCAGCACCGGACGCGGCAGCAGCGCCACCGGAAGCAGCAGCACCGCCGGCGCCACCTGAGGGAACGGATGCGAGCTTGGAAGAGCCCTCAGCGATCAACTACAGCATGTAAGTATGAATTCAAGGTTGTTCGTGAGCGATATTCCATACCTCGTTGATGTCCTTGCCCTTGAGCTCGGAGATGAGCTTCTCAAGGCGCTCGGAATCGGCCTCGACACCGACGGACTCTAGAACAGTCTGTTTTACATGTGAGCAGTCGCATTCAAACGGGATTTCCCAAGTGTCTGACCTTGACGTCGGAGGCAGAGGGCGAGGTGTTTCCACCGAGGCCGAGAAGAAGGTATGCCGCGAGGTGCTTCATTGTGAATGTGGTTTGTAGGGTTTCGTTAGGAACGCGAGTTCAATCGATTTAACCTGCGTCTATCAGTATGTGCGTTGCAGCGCAAGGGAAAAGATAATGCGCACCGTATGACCGGAGACTGAAGCTACAAGTTCTCGTCGGGGGGTTGTCGATCGTAAAAGTTCGGTAGCCTGGTGGAATATTGAAGTGGTGGGATTTCGCGACCGCGCTATACCCCTTTCACCTAGCGCTAGTCGACGCCGTAGGGCACGTGATGTCAAAGCCCAAGTATTAAAGAACTCGTCTGCGCCGCCACAGTCCACCTATTGTGCCCGCGCATTCAATATCTTACAGGTCCCGTGCGCCGCCTGTCTCCGCGCTCGCCATCGCCTCCTCGTCGACTATTTATCGGCGATTTGTTACCCGGGAAGCATGTACAACTTGGACTCCAATCGATTCGGCCGGTAACACTGAGTCAAACGCGTATTAGTCGCCCACCATGAGTGTGAGTCCAGCGCCTCTAGCAGCACCATCCTTTTTGTACTGACTCCGACTCTCAGACCTTCAAAGACATCATGTCCATAGTCGACCCTACAGCGCCGAAGACAACATCAGCACCCAAGCAAGTCGCACCTGCCGGCGCCCCGAAGCCTGTGCCACGACCGGCTGGAGGAGCAAATGGCGCATCACAGGCTCCACAGCTGAAGCGTAAAGCATCCGGTCCAGTTGAGAGCAGCCAGGTCAAGATACAAAGGAAAGAGGGCATTAGTCACCCAGCGCAGACGAATGGTGCGGTTCGTTCTTCGTCGACGCCTGCCGCAGCGAGACCAATAGCACCCACGCCTGTTTCGACCGTCCCGTACCGCGGAACTGCAGCGCCGGCATCTGCAAAGACTACAAATTTGACCGTGAGGAGGCCTCCTCCTTCGTCATCCGCATCATCTGTACCACCCAAGGCTGCAGCGCCTGCCCCTAAACCGGCACTGGCAGCTACCGGCTCGACTGCAGCGTCGGCGACTGCGCCTAAGAAAGGATATCTAGCTCTACTTCAGAAAGCGAAAGAGAAGGATGCAACGAAGCCCATTGCCTCGCCAGCGAAGCATGAACCAACAAAGATCCTGTCAAGAAAGGAACGTTTGGCACTCAAGGCAGAAGCAAGTGCAGGCGCCAAGGGCAAGAAGCCAGGCATAGGGCTGCCTTCGAGGCATCTAAATGCGAAGGTCGATCCGTCGAAAGAGAAACGGAAACCAATCGAAGTGGGTTATCAAGGCACTGCACGGCCGACCAAGAAGCCTGTCGAGGTTGGATACAGGGGAACCGCTCGACCAGCAAGTGCTCCCGCACCTTCAAGTAGGGACGGGATAGCTGCAGCCAAGGCGAAATCGAAGCAGGCCAAAGGACGTTTTGATGGATATGCAGATTGGGATGATCTCGATGACATGGACGAGGAGGACGAGGACGACTACGCATCCGATGCCTCCTCTGACATGGAAGGCGGTGTATGGGATGTTGAACAGGAAGAGCAGATGGCACTCAAGGTCGCAAAGAAGGAGGACGCTGAAGCACTAGCGGAGGAAATGAGACTCAAGCGTGAGAAAGACGAACGAAAGCGGAAGTTGATGGCCATGTCGAAAGCAGCTGCCGCCAAAAAGAGGTACTGAGCACCATGGTCAGGAGTTACGGTTTACGATTTCATGGCATACCACACGGGCGTTTTATCAGCATTACTGCGACTGCATAGCCTGGAGCTGGTTACACTTTGGAACTTTTTTTTCTGTCGCCAGGGCGCATTCATGATTGTGTGCATATTGGAGCAACGATCGAACCTTCACAGTAAGTGGTCACTAGATGAGACTACGTATATTGTATATTGAACAACGCTGTTGGTGTTAAACCTTCAGTCCTAAGAATCATAATGGTATTTTACATATAGCTGTATACCGCTCTTCCTATCGTCATGTCCACATATGGTTCTCACGTCACATTCATCCAAGATAGTGGCATCAACCTGGACTTCACAAGACTCGACTTCCAAGCTAAACACTTCAAGCACCGTCATCAAGCCATGATTGACAATAGCGCAGCAACAAACGCCAGCTCATGACAGCCGAACACATGGACATGGCAAACACCACATCGTCCACCGGTACGCAAACACAGGTGCTACACACGCATCCGCTGTTAAGTCTCCCTATCTAGTTTCTCTTCTCCTTGCAATATCACTCCCCGACGCCGAGAATATGCCACCATATTTACAACGCCTCAGACACTCATTACGACGTCGTTCCCTTCCTCGGAACACAAACATCAACACTCCATCTAGTAGAGATGACAAAGGTAAGCTAGGAGCTGATGAAGTTGACTATGACGCGGACATCGCTAGGGGCAGAAGGAGGAGCTCTCCACCACCCCTCCCCGAGATCATTGACTTGGGTCCACCAACTGCAAATCGATATGTAAACGACGATATTTTCTGGAACAGCAGCATGATAGAGGCGGACGTTGATCCTATGAGAGCGAGGCCCAGAAGGAATGGAAACGAAAGGAACCAGGACTCCCTAAAGACGGCGGAAGGGGAGCCACGAAAATCTGTCCGTGGTCCCGGTCAAGGACATGAGGCAGCCAAGGAGGAAGTCCACAGTCGTACTCTTGAAGGCAGTAGTGCTCGTAAGTCTCAGCGAAGCCAAAGCGACAAACAAGGGTTGGCGCGAAATGCAGAACCTGGAAGTGATCGAGTAGAAAACGACCTCAGGGTTATGCTTACTATCCCATCAAGATACTCGCCGGAGCCTTCGACACGACCACCACCGGACAGAGCACCGATCACGCCAGGAACCGAAGAATGGGACCAGTTTATGGACTTTCCATCAGAAGGCTCTACGCACATCTACCGCACCAGTAACGGAAATACAGCGAGAGCAACAGAGACAACGACGGCGAAGCTGACAGTAATCCATGAAGACCTCCCGGATCACGGACTAGCTCTTCTCTCAGCATCATCACCAACGCCCTCAGACCACCTCCGAAATGGCGAGGTGCTTACATGGAATTTAGTGCTGAATCGCATCCTAAAAAATGAGTATGTGGATCCAGAGATGAAAGAAGCAGTCCTAGAGCGCGTTCAGAACAGTTTTACTACGAACGGCTTAGGGCATGGGGAGGACATGTTTGTATCAGCACAGGAGGCAGGATTGGTGCCAAACTTCAGTTATCCGATTGCTGGGAGTGCGTTTTATGACAGGGTTGCTGCTGAGCGGTTACATCAAGAATCTTTGTTGGACGGAGTTACAGTGGAAGACGGGAAGGAGGAAAATGAGGAGAAACTTACGAATGGCGTAACTCCTGGCCCATCTGATAGCGGGTACTCGACTGAGTCGGATCACGACGAGCTGTACCGCGCGCCCACACCTCTCGACGAGCCCCCAGACCGCTTACACTTCCTCCTCTGCAGCGTTCTCACGCCCTCAGAACTCTCCCTTCACTACCACACCGTCAAACGAGCCTCAAACACTACCAAGTCCAAACCTCCGCCCTTCCCAGCGACCGCGCCTATGTCCAATGCTGAGAGTACAACGCCTTGTCGCGATAGACTGGTCTGCAAACTTCACACCGTAATCTTGGGATTACAGGACAGGATAAGTGGGCTCGAGGATACTCTTGTCCCGCAGCTTAGTACTTGGCTTGAAAAGAAGAGTAACACAATTGATGATCTGATCGTCGAGGTTTTGAGATCGAAAGCAGAGATCACCGACCTCAAACACGCAGTCGACTTTGGAAACAAAATCGTAAGCGGGTGTTGGGAGCGGGAGGGGGAAGTCTGGCATACGCTGGCTAAGATACAGACGAAGAGGCGAGCAAGGAACAGCGGACTGTTCAGAAGACTCACAGGGCGGTGTCGGGATCAAAAGCCCCAAGATGCCGATCGGTGTAGTGGTGATGTCCCGGAGGGTTGTGAAAAGCAGGCCTCACAGCACCAAGCTTCAGACGTCTCGTTCCCTAGGACAAAGGAGAACAGCGCGACGCTGTCGAATAAGGAGCTGGACGCCCTCCTCGCGATCACGGCGCAGAATGTGAGGATTCTGAGAGAGGATGTCGAGGATATGGTCACGATGGTGCAAGAATGTAAGCGGAGAGCTTCGGGGATAGAGGAGATCGAGAGGGTAGAAGAAGGGTCATGGAGAGATGTTTAAAAAGGATCTGATTACCTGTTTTCGAAAGGCTTGCATTATGAGCAAATGTTTTGCTTCATTTCGGTTATAAATGTGATGTTAATGAGTCCTTGTAAAGTGTTGGACCGTCGAGAGGAATTAGGACACAATCGTAGCATGGCGTCAAGTTTCCAACAAGCTTCCTATTCTTACTAGAGGCTTACTTCCTTCTATGGCTGTAAAGTGAGCTCTCTACTTACGTTCGTTAGCTGGTTCATCAATTATTGGTGACTTGACAGGGGTAGTCACGCACAGTCCACTTGCATTAGTCGCGACTTCCACGTCAAGCGCGTTCCCTGCCCAACTCTTCCGCTAGCCAAATATACTCTCCACACGACCACATATTAGTCCTCTCACTCTCGTCATACCATGTCTGAAGCATCCAGGCCAAAGTACGACAACCTTCCTGGCATCGATACTGCACCGGATATCTATGAAACCCCCGATCTCGCCGAAGATGTCTCTACAATTCAAGCGTCAACTGTTGTTTCCGAGTCGGAAGGCGAAGACGACAACGATGCCGAACAGTCAGCAGTACACCACCAGCGTCTTCAGACTGACCAGGCTCGCAATCGCTTCCAGCCCTCACGCATAGACGCAAACGGCGTCGACTTCTCAGACAATATCACCGCACAGCGCCGATCATATCGCATAGTTACCCAACGTCGGCGGCGGCGTGGCGAGATACTAGGGGACGACAGCGACGAAGAGGAAGAGAGCTTTGCGAGGAAACTTTTAAGGATAAAGCGAGAATTGGCCGGGTTGGAGAGCGAGTATGAGCGGAGACTGGAATCAGGAGACAAGTCGAAGATCGAGGAGCAGGACCCCAAGGAAATGTTGGAGATTATAGCGAGTAAAGTGGACACGATATATGCGGCTCACAAGGGTGGTGCTCGAGGCGCCGAGGCGATTCTTGACAGGACGGTGCAGAAGTTCGACAACTACAAGCCTTTCGAGCCAAGTCCCAGGCTTAGCAAAGCGATCGCCAATCAGCCACCACTACCCGGGACACAAGTTCAGCGGAATCAGCTAGAATTCGTACTGAACCAAGCGGCGGAGTTTGACAAGCGAATTACCCAATTGGAGAACAACCTTGGATTGAATGGGAACACGATGCCGGAACTAAGCGACAATGCGCCATTTCCAGTCTTCACTACGCTGACAAAGTTGGAGCAAACCCTGGGTCTCATTGGAGATGCTTCAACAAACAACCTCGACGCAGTATCACAGCAGATTAAGAAGCTCACAGCCGACGCCGAGCACCTCAAAGAAGTCCGGACAGAAGCTTCACGTGCCAGCTCGAGTCACGGTGAGAACAAGGCTATCACATATCCAGATCAAGACGCCAAGATCAGCGCGCTCTATGGCACGTTGCCTTCGATTGACAAGCTCTCGCCTATCCTGCCTTTGGTTCTCGAACGTCTCCGCACACTGCGACTGGTACATACAAGTGCCTGGCAAGCGGACGAAGTCTTGTCTGAGCTTGAGAGACGGCAATCGAAGCAGGAATCCGAAATCAAGAGGTGGGAGCGACAACTTGAAATCGTGGAGAAGGATATGAAAAAGAGTGAGACAGCTATGCTAAACAACATGAAGATCGTCGGCGACGACGTCAAGATGTTGGAGCAGAAGATGGCAAAGTTGATGGCAGGAAGTCAGGGAGAGTGAGCATGGAAAGAGACGACTTGCATATAACCACAAACGAAGCGCAGATCTATTCCCAGGGCGCATATGGTGTAGTTCGGGTTTGAAGACGATGCTCAAGCCCGTCCCTGATGTATACAAATGAGCGACACGCCAGGATTATCGTCTCAATCGATCACTAAAGATACCCAGCAGCTAGCCACGAATCAAGGTTGTTCATATTTATGTACTTCGGTGGTAATGCGCCCTCTCTGCACGTGCTCTGCAATGTTTCTTTGCCTTACAAGGCGTTACTTTTTAGAGTTTGCGATGGCTACCTGAACAGTCAGAGCTATTCTGCCCTCTATTCGTCAAAGTCACAGTGAAGCCACCAGCCCTAGTCGTGAATTGTACTTGCAGCCAACCGGAGGACTTCTCCCTCCGCATAAGCGAACCGACCTAGTAAGCCGTGACATGGTGGTCTCATCGTTTCGCAATCATGCAACTGCTGACAGGCGAGGTACATGGAGCCACTGTGATCGGTGTATGTGTGGGAAAATGGGGCCGCGGAGCAAAGAAGGTTTGCAAGGTGCTGCACAGGGTAAAGTGGAGCGACAGTGGTGTGAGCCTGTGAGGGGACGTGATCGGCGATGTTGATAGCCTCTGCCGACGGAAATTTATCTCGATCGAGTTTCTTAACCACCTCCGAGTCGCGACTGTATTCAGTTTCAACCCTACCACTTTTTCGTCATTCGAAACAATGCCCAAGCGCAAAAACGACGCGCCTGGCAATGGCAAGGCAAAGAAGAAGAGAGCCATTTCAGACGACGAGGCTCACAAGAATTTCCGCAAAGGACTCTTTGACACCAAGGTGCTCGACGGATATACGAACTATTACGCAGAGTCACAACCGTATGCGCCAGTTCCTTCTACCAAGTGCGATGATCTGATTAAACATCTAGATACAAGCACGCCGTAATACAGAACCTCGTCGACGACAAGCTCCTCCGCAATGTCCGTAACGAAATTCGCGAGCACATCTCCTTCACGCCGAAAGAGACGGACATCTACAAGATCCACCAGTCTGGCGACTTGGCTAATCTGGATGGCCTCGACGACTCGGCGCTCAAGCGCTTACCTTCGCTTCTTACTCTTCGCGACTCGCTGTACTCGTCCGCTTTCCGCAAGTACTTGTCTTCGATAACACAGTCTGGGCCGCTAAGTGGTGTGAAGACGGACATGGCTGTGGTAGGTTGCGCAAAGTTCCAATTGCTAGGAATAATGCTGATTGCAGGATAGAATGTGTACACACCGGGCTGCCACTTGCTATGCCACGACGATGTTATTGGGAGCCGGCGCGTGAGCTGGATCTTGTATTTGCTAGATCCCGATATCCCGTGGAAGCCAGAATGGGGCGGTGCGCTGCGATTATATCCTACCGAGCATTTGAAGACACCAGAAGGCGACAAGGTCAAGGTACCGCAGCCCGACTTTTCGCTCTCGATTCCACCCGCTTGGAACCAGGTGTCGTTTTTCACAGTACAACCTGGAGAGAGTTTCCATGACGTAGAGGAGGTGTATAGGAGAGGCCTCGAAGAGGAGGCAGAAGAAGACGGAGGGCGCGTCCGCATGGCTATCAGTGGTTGGTTCCACATCCCGCAAGAAGGTGAAGAGGGCTTCGAGGAGGGTCTCGAAGAGAAGCTGGCAGAAAAGAGTTCCCTTGCTCAGCTACAAGGAGGCAAGGCCGACATTTTCGACGAGCCGCAAGCAAAGTGGATCGACAACCTGGACTGGGAAGAGCAGGCAAAGCAGGAGGACGATGAGCTGACCGAGAATGACATCGACTTCCTTATCAAGTACATGAATCCGAACTACCTCACGCCGGATACGGTCGAAGAGCTGTCGAAGATGTTCTCTGACGAATCTTCTTTGAGGCTCGCTGAGTTCTTGTCTAACAAGTTTTCCACAAGGTTACGGACTTACCTCGAATCCAAGGATAGTGAAAAGAACCCCAGCTTACCAGCAAACCCCCACCACAAGGAGTCAAAAGTCGGTGTTGCGCGACCACCACATAAGCATCGCTACCTTTACCGTCAGGCTGTTCAACCTATTCCTACCACTCCTTACCCCGAAAACGACGGGATGACACCCTACGATGACCTCGTCGACATCCTTTTTCCCCACCCCGCTTTCATGAAGTGGATCTCGCTTGTCACTGGAATCACCCTGACCAAGAGCAACATCTTTGCGCGCCGCTTCCGACGAGGTCTAGATTACACTCTCGCAACCGCATACGAGGAAGAAGACCCACAGCTCGAAGTCTGTCTCGGTATTACACCCTCCAAGGGTTGGGGTGATGAAGACGAAGAGCCGGAAGAGGAAGACGCACCGCAGCAGAACGGTAGCAGTAGTAGCTCAAGCAAGTCTAAGAAGAAAGGCAAAGCACCCGTCCCCGAACCCAAACCCGAAGAAGAAGTCGGCGGTTACGAAATGTACATGGCAGGCGAAGATCCCGACGACGTCCCCAATGTTTCTGCCGAGTCATCAACTGCTACAGGCGCAGGCCAGCGTCGCAAAGCTAAAGCCGATCCTGCCATTTACAAGTCTGCAGGCGACGATGAGGACGACGGCATTCTATTTAGCCAGCCTGCAGCCTGGAATAACATGGCGATTGTACTGAGAGACAGAGGAGTATTGCGGTTTACGAAGTATGTCAGCCAGAGTGCGAAGGGGGATCGCTGGGATGTTTGTGCAGAGTATGGTGTTGAATTTGGGGAGGATGAGGATGATGAAGATGAAGATGAAGATGAAGACGAGGACGAAGAAGAGGAGTAAGTGTTTAGGATGAATGTTGATAAGGATGGGGGTGAGACAGACGATATGGACCGATGTCGTGGTGTCGATGCGTATTTTCTTAGGAGCGATGTAAATGGGCGAGTCTAACAAAGTGACGATCTAGGTTTGGTATAGATCACGATATGATGTTATGAATACATTTTCGTTCCTTGCAATAAGATGGACTTTGTGCACTAATTACCCCGCTAGCGACTAAACATCTAACGAGAAGACATCACTATCAATGGAAACTGTTTCTGCGCAATATTGCACATTGAGGCCGGATCATATATCATGTGAACCCCTAGCCCTTTAGATATATGTTGAAGTCACCCCTTTGGTTTTACACATTCAATCGACTCGTCTAACCCTTGATAATCTCTTTTGATTGTATAGTTTGCAATACTAAGGTCTTGGTTGTTGCTGTAATGGGTTATGGGTTATGGTGGTGTGGGCGCTGAATTTGAAGAGGAGAGGAGTCATGTTGAGGCGAGTATGAGCTAGAAATAATATTGTACGGCCTGCGTTGACCATATAGGCTTACCGCTGTACTTTAAAGCTTTTTTTAACGCTCTGACACTGTCTTTTTTCATTGTTTTTCTTTCTGCCTTCGGTTTCCAGCCGAATGGGGCTTCACGTTCGGACAAACGAACACACCATATGTTGAGATTAAACAGATGTGTCCTAAGGTTTGTAGGACAGTGGCTTAGCGACAGGTTGCAAAGGCTGCAGGTCACAACACGACCGATCCGACTGGAATTGTTGGAGTGAAATCGCCCGCCCTTTACTGGCTATGCTGTCAGACCAAGAGAAATGACTATCTATGACGGCCGATTTCTGAATTTTCTTACGAGGCTGAGCATACTCCGCCGATGAACTCTCATCCGATGATATTCTTGCCCTCGACTTCTGCCACAGTTTCCAAAGCGACCTATAAGTTGGTATGCAGGAGACTATTACAGTTAGGTTGGCGTTGATTACTGCGTAAAGCACGTTATTCGTCGTATCATCGCCTGTGAGGTTTCGAACAAAGCGAAAGAGCTCCAGCGCTATTGTCAGGAGACAGACAGAAAATACGAGCACGAGTCCTAATTTCTGCGTCTTTCGGATACGGAGTTTCCGCAATACGCTGAGAGGAAGAACCATTACTACAAGGTCAGTCATACATATGACAGTGAGTTGTCAAACAATGGCTCACCGGCAAAGTCGGTGCTGACATTGGCGACACAGATGTAAATGCGGGCCTTTTGTTGATATGAGTTATGCGTCGCACAGACAGCTAACTCCATAAGCTTAGCCGTTGAGAGAATCTTAAAAGGAACTCACCTGGATCATCCATCCTATTGATCGGACCACGCTGGGTTATGATACCTGCAATAGCAACACTCAACCCCAGAAGAACGAAAATTGCAACACACCACCAAGCCCGAATGAATGATCGTGAAACCCAGAATAAGTCTCGATAGAAGAGTAGGAAAGCGAGCTTAACCGTCCAGTGAAGGAAATAGAATGTAGCCCCTTGCGCTGTTTGTAGCCTACAGAACTGCGATATTGTTGCTGGTGGAGGCGGCGTTTGAAGCTCAAGGCTTCGAAGCATGATATGAGTTGGTCCAAACATGACCTGGGTGATGGTACAAAAGATAATGAGCCATCCGAGAGCACAGAGATGAGCTATGTCGTCCTTGTAGAACCGAAGCGAAACTCTATAGCGGATAGCATAGCGGCCGAGGGTAAGGAGAATACAGAATCCAGTTAAGATCCACATTACAATCTAGAATTGTTACGGCTAGCATAATTCGAAGGTTACGCAATACTAACCGTGATGTCTAAAGGTGCAGGGATGAAGTCAGCATATTTTGCACATGCAGTTTATACTCGAAATTACGCACCTTTGAAGGTAACCATGCTACCAGAAGGTTGAAAATTCATTTTGTCTCCTACAAAGACACGAGTCGACAGTTCGCTTGATTGTGATAACTGCGTGTTTTTGAAGAAGCAGGTTCCCGAGCTGCATGCACGCCACATGAGATAATCACCAACCTGGGTAACTGGGACCTTGCATCTAGACAGTGTAATACCCGGCACGTGGGGTCGGTATGACCGGCAATCAACGATACAGATTGGACGGTCAGACTTCCAAGTCCGGACCGCAGTAAATTATGTGGCTGCGGCTCAACGATGCACCGCCGGTACATCTTGGAGTCAAGTCGGCTCCGAAGTAAATATCTAGTATCAAATGTTGATTCGAGTATTTTGACCGGATCTCGGGGATCGCATCATCGGGAATAGAAATAGAAATGCCGTCTTTATTTGAACATGATGATGCCTTTCGAGTGCGAGGCGCAGTTCGCGTAGTGTTCTGTCTCATTCCGTTACACGTGCATATGCTACGTATATCAAGATAGTAGATCTGGGTGCACAAGATCATACATGGTTACGTACAAGTAGGTGTCGCACTTTCCTAAGTCGTCAATTCATGTGTTCAACGAGCCGGTTTTTCTAAGAATGAAGCTCCATACTCCTTAATTAGCATGGTGCAATAACAATGCTACGAGGTCCGCGTAGTTGATGATGATGGTAGACATAGGCAGTGCGGAGCTGATGAAGATGCCCTGAAGACGAGCCCCACAAGCACACGTACTAGCGTGCCTGCCCCATCTGCTGTCTGTAGCGATTATTCTTCTCACACGGTTTCGCGACATCTATGTCCTCTTCTCGAGTTCCTAACATTCCTAACAATAGCGAGATGCACCTTATTGAGACAAGTAGAGATTTGAGTTGCTCAAGTGGAGGCGATAGCGGCCCCACTCGCCCCCCGCATTTCACATTCGGTGATCTCGGGAGGCAGTACCACAGGTAGCGCATCTCAAGGTGATGATGAGATTACCGAGTTACTTTCTCTTGTGTACTTTCACAATCCTTGGTATACAATACATTGAGTTTTGCGCTCCTCGCGATCAGACAATTCGCTTTCAAGATGCCATTATGTAGCGATGTCCTCGTTCATCCTTCATTAAAGTGCGCGCTACGCGGGAAACCCTCGGCATCAGCAGTCCAATTCCGGAACCTCAAATACGCGTCGATACCGGCCCGCTATAAGGACTCGATACCATTTGAATCGTTAGAAGTAGATTCTAGTGGAGTTTTCGATGCGACTTATTTCGGTCCATCGTGTCCGCAGCTACGAGGAGCCCAGGCATGGGATCTGACACTGGTTGGCGTGATCACACTACCTTGCGAGCAGGGGCAAGGGAAGACAGAAAATATGGATGAGTTTGAGTGTCTGAATCTCACTGTCACGGTACCAACGTCTCCCACGGCTAGCAAAAGAAAAGGAAGAAATGAGCTACCAGTCTTTGTATGGGTCCATGGCGGAGGACTCAGCATGGGTTCCAATAGCTGGCCGCAATACGATGTGCGCAGATTTGTGGATAGAAGTAGTAAGATTGGCAAACCCATCATTGGAGTCGCGATCAACTACCGCCATGGTATCTTTGGATTTTTGGCAAGCGATGAAATTGGCGCAACGGGCAATATGGGCTATAAAGATCAAGTACTAGCTTTCCGATGGATAAAAAAGCATATTGCAGGATTTGGAGGCGACCCGGCCAATGTTACAGCCGTTGGCGAATCTGCAGGAGCAATATCATTGTCGACACTGCTCTGTGCGAACATTGGAACCGAAGGCTTGTTTGAAAGGGTAGTCCTTATGAGTGGCGAGGTGACACTGCGTAAACCAACCAATCGACGATGGCAACAACAAATGTTTGAAGATCAAGCCAAACATTTGGGTCTGGACGTGAAAGATAAACAAGGCTTAAATATAGTACTCTTGGATACAGAAGCTGAAGCGTTGGCGCAAAAGTTGCCATTAGCACAGCACTTCTCTGGGACGGTAGATGGAAAATGGATCAAAGAAGATATAACAATCAAAACTGTAACGAACGGGGGAAGAGTGGAACATAAACCAATCTGGTGTAAAGAGTTCGTCACGGGAGATGCAGCGCATGATGGCATGGTCCTAAAAGCAAGAATACTCGACCACCCAGATGCCCTCGCACGGCTCAAGGTAGCCTGCAAAATGCACCTCTCGCCGTCCGAGACCCAAAGGCTTTTAGCCGCCTATAACCTCCAAAACACACCATCCAAGGAGGAAGAGATGGACCGCTTACGCGAGATTGCCTCTGAGCTCCGATTCTACCTGCCCAGTCTCGCTGCTTATAGAGGCTGGAAAGCTACTTCGCCACCAAAACGCGCTTCACGGTACCACTTCCATGTTCCCAACCCGGTAGATGGGCTTTGCAAGGGTCTGGCATCCCACGAGCTAGATGTTGCATACCTCTTGCAAAACTTCAATGACCATTTCGATGAGCGAAATCGGAAGATTGCACAAGAGATGGCTGATCATTTTATTAACTTTACTAATGGCGAAGGATGGGTCGAAAATGGCAAGGTTATTGTCTTCACCCGAGATGGTATCGCAAAGGTAGATGAGGAGAGATATGACCAGGAATACAGAGGTGGGAGAGGAACGGTCATGGAAGAAATTGGAGCGGAGAAATTGCGACATGTTGCTGAGACGTGGCAAGGTGTGAGGAAAGAGGAACACGCAAGCACTAGGAGCATTTCCAAAGAAGCAAAGTTGTGAGTGAGTGAGTACCATCATGATCAAAGCTATAAAACTATATTCTGCAACTCTTTTCTCGACGGCAGGTTATGGTCATCTCATCTAATTGACTTGGACAATGTTTGCTCCGCTCATTACATGTCCCTTCTAGAGACTCACTTACATAGTCATACCTTCAGTCTGCTCTTCATGTTTACTGGTCCTGAGCACATGCTCCGTCCTTTCAATACGCGAATCTCGCTTCTGTCGGGCCTGCTGTATGGCTCAACAGTGCGATCTTAGAATCGTAGATTTCGACATTCGGTGAATCCTGAAACACCGCTACATGGGTGACGACATTATGTCTGACTAAAGTGATGCGTGGATGTCAAGACTTCAAGTTACCTTCAAAGATTGAGAAGAGGCGAGGGGTGAAAGTACTGTCTAGAACAGGATGGACGACACAGATACATCCTGCACCAGAAGTTGCTTCCTCTCACTATCATCTTTTGGCAGTGTCTCCCTTTTTCGCAATCCGTTTTCACCTCGTTTTACAGCAAACGCACGCACGCGCCTCAATATAAATATTCTGGAGCCCGCCCTCAATTGCGCTCCAGGTTTTCTTTTCCTCCACAGATATTACGTCTCATTATATATAAACTCGACATTACACATCAACTCGACATTATAATAAAATACAATGGGATCGCAACACTCGGATGGAGTGGAAAACAGGACATCCCAGCGTAGTTTTGGATTGCCAAAGCTAGAGCGCGGCGAGCGCGCAGATACATCTGTCTCTTACACAGAAATGTAAGCATTTTTGAGCCAATCGCAAGCATATAACCGTACTGACATATCGTAGCTCCCTCCGTAACACGTGTCGTCAATCCCACGCCGCTTCGAGACCAAGATAAACAAACCACACAAGCGAACACATTGACCCCGCATGAATGGTATCCGACTTGCCTTTCGTACTCAACGAGTTCTGCACCGAAGATGTATTTGCTTTACCCAAATTCTTCAGAACATTCACGCTAGAGCAGCGAGGTGCTATTACTACTGCCAGTGTCCGTCTACCAATCCACAGTCTTGATGATATGTCTTACCTTGCGCGTTGCTTGTCTTCCGCCTGCGACAACAACGACCATGAAAGGATGCGGCTACTTGGCAAAGTGCCTAGTATGGACGCTCTCACGCGACTGCTTCGACAGAGGTTCAGTAGAGTCAAGCGGCTGATCATCGAAGATAGTACGGAGGACAGCGTCGTAATCCAATTTCAGTGGATGGTGACAGCGATTGGGGCTGTTTCCAGCGTTGAGATCAAGGTGTTGGATTATTCTGACACTTGGTAGAAGGACTCGCAAGTGCATTGGCCATCTACATTGCGGTCTGATGGCTGGGATTTTGGGTTGGCCGAGCAGACCTGGGGCAGCGCCTATGAGGCTTTAATGTCTACGGCTGATGGACTAGGAATATGGTTCTCCTGGCAGAGTTTGGATGGAGCCTGTGAGACTTCAATGTTTACGGCTGGGAATGATGTTCACGGAAGGGAATAAATAGCCGACTGGAGGTTACAAACATAGGGCTTTTATAAGCGATGTATCTGCATCGAGAGTTACTAGTTACTACCTTCCCAAACGGCATATCTACCTCCTCTCTATCCCCTCTGTCTCCGTTTCTTCTCCCGTTCATAGACATTCTTCTCCCTACCCTCCTCGCCCTGAATCTCTGCGACCAACCTCTTATACTTGGTCTCATAAGCCGCATCCTTCTCCTTCTTCTCCCTAAGCGACTCTCTCGCAATGAAGTTCGCATCCTTGCGAAGCTCTCTAAGCGCTCCCTTCTTCTCCCTCCTGTACTCCTTCTGCAGCTTAATCGAGTCCGCACGCTCCTTATCGGGATCGTAGTGCTTGTTGGGGTCGAAGGACTCCTCAAACTTGGGAATGGAGGATTTGATGGGGAGAGGGCGATGGTTATGGAGAATCTGAGGGCGTCGACGCGAGCGGGCGAGGGACATGCGGGCTCGGAGGTTTTGAAGGGTTGAGGTCTGCTGGGCGGATTTTAAAGGTGCGAGGAGGGGTTCAAAGATTTCGATAAAGGACAGGGAAGCACTCCAGAGCTCGGCTGCTGTAATGATGTTCTTGGCGTGTGCAGTAAGGAGGGCGGGTGTGGCGTGTGGCGATTTGAGGCAAAGCGCAGTGTAGCGGATGAGCTCTGGTACGTATCGCTTTGAAAGCTGCTGGTATTGAAGACACAACACACCAAGATAAGCACCAGTAGCAATATCCTGCTTAGAAGAGGGCGTGGTGAGACCTAGCCATCGTGCCATCAAAGTGATAGCAGGAGTGACCACCTGATGGAAGTGGTCAGACGTAGGGTAGATCGACCCAATGGCTGTTAGTATCGCGAGATCACCCGGCGTTGGCTCATTCGAAACTTGAAGCTGTTTGAGATGCTCCCGGAACTTCGTGGAGATCTGGACGGGATATGAGCGCGACATGGAGTGGATGTGCCGAATGATAGCCTCGATGACCGTTAAAGATACCGCTGGTGTTTGGTTCGAGAGGTACGATACGTGGTCGATGAGTGCATATGCAAAATCAGCAAGCTTGTGCTTATTGTCAGCATGAAGACCAGCATGGTAGAGTGCTCGTATCCTCTGGACGACGGTGGAGATGTCATTAGGAGCAATCTTCTTGAACACCGTCAGGAGCTCTTCGTGCGACCGAGGGCATGCATATGTGAATGCTAGCTTTGAGGATGTAGTGCTAGGTTCGAGTGTCAGCACGCCATTGAGAGCCTTTGGTTGCTCCTTGCGCTCTGGCAGAACGTTCTTCAAAAAGTCCGCATCGTCCGCATCCATGGCCATGGTGTCATCGGGCACAGAGTCTGCATCGGACTCGTCTTCTGACATGTCCGCTTCCGAGTCTGTAGCGATGAGGTCGTCGTCCATTTCAAAGTCATCCTCATCCTCGACACCCTCTGGTCTGCTGAACTGGCTGGGCGCCGCTGCGAGTCCAAACTCAGCAGCGTCGTCGCGCTCGCTCTCGAAGTCCTCATCTTCCTCATCATCTTTGACATCCTTCTTGCGAGGCTCTTCATCATCGCTCATTGGCTCTCCCTTCATCCTCCTCAGGCGCTTCTCCTCGAGCTCTTTCAATTGCTTGGCATCCTCCCGTGCCTTCTCCTCTTCAGTCTTTGTTCGCTCGGTCGGCTTCGCGCGCTCATCTTGGAGCATTTGGCGCACTCTCAGATCGTATTCTTTATCTTTTGCTTGTTGTGAGCTCCCAGCGAGGAGTGCTGCACGGTCAGCGTTGATACCGAAGTTGTTATTTTGCGCTGCTTTAGGTGCCTCGGGCTCAGGCTTCTTATTGATGTGCCCTCGCAAAGCCGCGAGAACGTCATTGAGGTCCTTGTCGAGCTCTTCCCGAAGGTCATCGTCGTCTTCTTTCTGTGCCTGACGTTCGTACTTGTGCAGTTTCGACTTGGCCATGACCTCTTTCATGACCTCGGCTTTGCTCTTCTTCCTCTCCGGCTGGTCTTCTGCGGGCACATCGTCGTTCTCTTCGCCATCAACATCATCTCTTCTCCTCTTCTTTTTCAAGAAACCGTCCTCGCCATCCTCGTCAGCACTTGACCCACCGACGCTCGCAGCATCGTAGTCTTCCTCCCCAATCTCATCGTCAAAGCGCAAGCTCTGGCCGTCATGCGTAAGCATAACCTGGTCATCCCCTTCCTCGAGATCAAACACGTTTCCACTCCTCTTGCGCTCCTGCTCTCTCTCAAACCGCGCCATCATGCGGTCCTCCGGAGTCATGGTCGGATCATTCTCGCCGATTCGCCTATCCAAAATCCCGCCAACTTTATTCTTGCGATTCATCTCCGGTAGCAGCGTCTTCCTTCTTGTTTCCTCGCCCTGGCTCTTCGTAACGCCTGGGCGACCGAGGATCTTCTTTGTGGCATTTTCAGGCTGGTTGGAGACGTATTCGAACTTCTTAGGGCGTGAGAGGTGCTTGAACTCGAACGGATTGAAGGACTCGCGGATCGCAGCCAGAGCAGAGGCTTTTTGGGCGCGGTGGTCGGCGTTCTTGTTCAACGATTTCTTCTGCTTTTTGGATTGCTGGGGGCCGGTTATGCCATGTTCGCGCAAAGAAGCCTTCAGGCGCTTCAGTTGCGAGGGCGGCATCTTGAAATAGGTGTGTAGCCGCGTAGGCTTGGGGGTTCGTTGATGTGCGTGGAGAGGCGCTTGTTGTATGGAGGTTTGAAATTATTTCCAGAGCCAAGATTTCGACCAGGGTCTGCCCTGACTAGCGCATGCAGCCCTCCAGCAGCTAAGGTCCCCACTTGCGACCATCGATATCATCGCTCGCGACAGCTGCGAACATGCACCAGGCTATATCTTCAAACTTCCTAGCTACATAACCCACACGATGACAAAGTCTGCACAGTCATGGCGCCCAACATACCCGACCACTGGCTCTGGCTCGGCCTAGGTACTTCACCTCCCTCGTGCAATCTACGACCACCAACTAATTATGTAGGCGTCTTTACCTTCATTGCGATCAAGCAAGTCTCCCACGGCCTCCAAAACATACGCATCATCACCGAAGTTCACACGCCTATCCGTCAACCCCACATAATCCCCCCAACATCGCCAACCCACCAAGAAGACGCCATAAAAACGTCCTCCCTCCTCACCCTCGCCACATCCCACAACACTGAGATCCGCTCCAGCGCTACCAAAATCCTCTGCACGCGCTTCTACGCCTCTGCCTCGGCAAAGAAAGCGCTCGTGCGAGATTTGAATAGTAAGGATGACGACGTGAAGCACCGAGCGCAATTAGCATTCAACCTATTATGCGACATGGGCGTGTGGACGGAGTATAGCTTACCGCCGCCGACGCCTAGGGGAGCATGGCGGTTGTTGGGGCGGAGGGAGTGGGATTTCCAGAGGGATGCTGCGGAGAGGGATTTGCGGAGAAGGAGGAGAGAGGCGGTGGTGATTCATGAAGGAGATGGAGCTGTGGGAAGAGAGGATGTTTACATGCGGGACCAGGAGGGGAGGATGAGCATTGAGGATGCGACGCCCGGTCAGGAGAGGACCCCAAGTGTAGAGGTGATGTTGGCTCTGTTGAGGACCGTGCATGAAACTCTGGTAGATCACGAGGGAAATCTACTAGTGAGAGAGGGGGATGTAGATGGAGGACTCACAGGGCTAGATGCGCAGTGAGCAGGATGGGCAGGACATATCTTGCCCCTGTCTCGTGGCCGGATGAGTGACACGAGATTTTGACACTATTTTATGATACCCCTAGCACGCAATGATGAAATGACGTCTTTATTTTCCTGTGTCTGTTTGGTGATACCCCGCCTCGTTCATACAAGTACTTTAACTAATTGAAATAAGGTCTTATATTAATGGCTTTGGGCACATTGTTTCTTAATTTTCTTACATATATATACAATTCTATTCATCTCATCCAAAGATGGCTTTCGGGTATTTTCTATACAGCCCACTTCTAGACGTGGGGAAGGGAGTTCGTTTCTAGTTACACAAGTAGAGAATAGTATTCATGACTCCGCTTACTCTTTTCGGGCTGCCTCAGCAGACTTTTCTTCCTTGCTCTGCGGCTCTTCGCCTTTCCTGGCCCGATCATCTTGCTCAGTTCGCTCGGCGCTTCCGCCCGTCGAGTCACCGGTGCTGGCCTCCGCCTCCTTACTCTCCTCAGCTTCTTTGGCTTCCTTCGCCTCTTTCCGTTTTGGCTTGTCATCCTCATCAATGTCTTCGTGATCTTTCGGTGATGCAGTGGCCTTGTTCTCGACCGCTTGCGTTTGCTCGTTTTCTTCGTTGATAAGCTCTTGCTGTTCCTTAAGAACCTCGAGACGCTGCTTGTTGGTTGCGGCGCCTTCGGTGTTGTGCACTTCAAGCTCGATCTCGTGGTACAATTCCTCGGGGATACTGGACAGAACAGCCTCCAAAGCATCGATCTGCGACGTCATTTCCGATTCCTTGCCCTGAGCATACACGAAGGCGTTGGAAAGCACGAGCAGCGTGGAAGGTACTCCGTGCTTCAGACGCAGGTCAAGCCAAGCCTGTAGGTCGTCGCGCAACCTGCCAGGAGAGACACCGTAGGTTCGGAGACCGCGGCTGGCGCAAGCAGTCTGGAGCTCTGGCACGGAGAGCGTTTCGACACCTTCATAAGCAATAGCCCTATCGTCACGCTTGATCTGGCGCATGCGAACGCGGACCTGGTAGCGCAGGAAGTTGTCTGTGCCAAAAGAAGTAATGTTCATGTATCGGCAGATAGAGACCAGCTGAGGTCGGGACAAGTTGTCGAGAGTCAAGTCGTCCTTGAAAATCTTGCACACCTTGATGATCTCTGCTGGGGTAGGCTTCTCGCCAGTTGTTCGAACCTGTCGTCAGTTAGCATTTATTGTTGCAACAGTCTCCCCAAATTTCAGTACATACCTTTCGGAAAAACTCGCCGAACTCGGCGGTTTGCGCATTCTCGGCAGACACAGGTAAACCAGTCTCCTTCAAAGTTTGGCGGAGGAAGTCGCTGACTTCCTTCCGGGTCGACCGGAGTTGTTTAGCTTTGTCATCCTTGGCTGACTGCCCCTCGTATGTGCTGGGAAGCATGTTGGGGAAGAGCTTCAGGGCTACGGGGAGTAGCAGTTCTGCGAAAGGAACGATTACGAACGGAAGGAAGGGGATCAACCGTCCAAGATCTTGAACTGTTCGTTGCAACTGTGGTCTAGTCAGTACTCAGTGTCGGACTATGCCGCTCAATATGCATACCTGTCGACGCTCTCGGCGGGTGAGCTCGTAGCCAGCAGTCATCTTCAAGGCCAGCTTCGTACTGATCCTGATCTCAAATCCGAGCAGCTTTGTACCGTCCCAGTAGTGGACTAGCTCATGTTTCACCTTCTGCCATAGAGTCACCTTCTTCTTCTCTTCCTCCTTCTTGGTTATGACTTTCTTTTCCTCCTTGGTCTCCGCCGCCGCCTTCTCAGTTGCTAACTCGCTCATGGTGTGTACATCCTGGGCTGGTGTCTTGGGATGAGCAGTTGGGCCGGTCTTGGGGACGACGGTGTTTTCCTTGTCCTGCACCGGGCTGATCTTGGGTTGGGCTTGCTGTTGCTCCTGCTTAGGGGCGGGTTTGCTTGCCTGCTTGGGGTCGAAGCCTGGAGGCGGATAGTTTTGTGTAGAGGCGGATGAAGTCGTCTGGGTCTGCAAGGATCGAAGCGGGATCAATATGCGGATAGCAGACGAAGTCGTGAGCAGCGGCCGATGGGTTCGAGTACTGGTTCTGATGCCCGCTCTGAACACAGCAGGCGCTGCGCGCGAGGCAGCTCGACTGGCATACATTGCGCCAAAAGCGATTGCGGACGAGTAAGGAGTGGCGTGTGCAATCTTCCAGGATTGAAGTACTGTGTGTAGAGAGAAAAAAGAGAGGCACAATAGGGCGATGGCAGCGCGCGGTGTTGTTGTGGGACGCAAGGAGAATGATGAAAAGCGCTGACGAAAGAAGCCGTTCACGGAACCGAACTGGGGCCAGGCACGCACGCCGGGGGGCGATCCAAAGCTTGGCGCAGTGGCCACGAACGGGCACGGCATTGGACCGACGGGGCCTGTCCGTACAGGTAGCTAGAGGAGAAACCCGGCACAAGAGTATAAGCTGCAGGCGCAGGTGCCGGAGGAGCTACAGGCAGTAGGCTCATCATTCATCAACTTGATTAGTCGTGAGGGTGCGTGGAGGAGGGCAAGCCAGTGAGCGCCGAGGCAAGTCCGAAAGTTGGGGAACCCGTGGGAAATCGTGTGTGAAAGCAGCAATCCGCCCCCCTCTCTCTCCCCCCTACGTCAGTTGCTCTCTGGCTTCTTACCATCCGAGGTTCGAGTCGACGTTGGACTCCCTTTCTCCTGTACTTTGCGGACTTGTAATATTACTTCTTTTCCTCACGCCTATCGTTCAACATGGACCTTTTCTAGGGATATCGACTTCCGTAGAAGCCTTTGAGCTTCCATTCCACCGATTTGTCGAGCTGTATACTTGGCCTGCAACCTACCTAGCCATACCGAAATAACCGAAGAAGATATCGCATTAAATGACGCCCTCATGTTTGTCAAGAGCGGCGAGGATAATCCTGGTCGGCGCACCAGGCGTCGGCAAGGGCACGCAGACCGAGCGCTTGATGAAGAAGTTCCCAGAGCTCTCGTCCATCAGTTCAGGTGACTTGCTGAGGATGAATGTTAGAGAACGGACGCCTCTAGGTAGGCCAGTCGTGCTCTCGCACCCGTGAAAAGGCTGACCATCGCTAGGTATTCAAGCCGAGTCCAAGATGAAGTCTGGCGCATTGGTACCGGATGGCATGATATTGCGACTCATCGTCAACGAGCTCACGACACGCGGGTGGATACGCGACAGTGGACTGCGACCATACGCTGTCTACTGCTCCAGCAGCTCAGTGGACATGGCAGAGGACGCTGTCGACTCGGTCATCATCCCTTCCGCACTGCGAACACCCAGATACACATACTCGGACCAGCCCTCTGCGTCCTTTATCCTAGACGGCTTCCCACGAACTGCGACGCAAGCAATCCAACTCGACGACATTGTTCCCATCAACATGGTGGTCAATCTCAACACGCCCAGTGATATCATCATCGATCGCATATGCAACCGCTGGGTGCATGGGCCCTCAGGACGAGTCTACAACACGACGTTCAATGCGCCCAAAGTCGACGGCAAGGATGATGTCACGGGCGAGCCGCTTACACGACGGCCTGATGACGACCCAGAAGTGTGGAAGGCGCGACTGAAAAGCTTCAAGGAGAACAACGAGCCTTTACTTGAGCACTACGACAGGCTGGGCGTCCTATGGACGGTGAATGGAAACAGCAGCGACGAGATTTCTCCCCAGCTTTTCAAGGAGTTCGGTAAGCGATTCGGCAACGTCGAGAACTGATGCTCCGAGCTTGGTTTCATATGACCATCTGCAAGCGTCTTGTACTAGGTCTTGTCTTGTGCCCTTGTATTTCTAGCTAGACATGATGTTTCTAGCAACCATAAGGGCGGTCTGGGCTTTGGTACTTATTGGGGGAAGACACACCGTGCGTTGCCCAGCGTGTTTGTTTTCCTAGCTGGCGGTAGTTGCCATCCTCATTCACTGTAGATATTTGACCGACTTTGGTATATAGTGCTCAGGGTTATCCTTAGCCACTACTAATATATCTATCCAAGCTGAATCCACACTCGCCTTGACCATGCCCACTCTATTTGGCACTCATCCCTTCCGACGAAGCGTTGAAGACTACGAAGCCATGTTCGAGAGGATCCGCTGCAACGCGCCGGCTGAGCGCCCCGCGGAAAGCCCGAGCTCCAGCCCTGGCGACCTCGACGTCACTCCTCTATCCACAACATCGGCAACATCAAGCCCTGAGCCACCATTTGAAGACTTACTCGAGGACTCCGAATTCGACAGAATCAGTGACAGGGAGGAACTTGAAGAAGACTACCTGTGTTTCAACGGCGATCCCTTGGCTATTCGGAGACGCGCAATGGCTGCAGACTTCAGTGAAGGCCGCCTGGAGACGTTCGTAGGCAGCCCACAGAAGGAGCTGGCAGGCACACAGAACCAATATGTGTCTTACCAAGTCACTACAAAGGTTGGTACACCTGTCTACAGCCCCCCTGCTTGGTTGTGAACCCTGAATGTTCACCTGCTTCGTCTAGTCCGACTTCCAGTCGTTCCAAAAGCCCGAATTCTCCGTCCGCCGCCGCTTCACAGACTTCGTCTTCCTCTGGAAACAGCTATCAAAAGAGTACCCGCAATGCGCCGTCCCGCCGCTGCCCGACAAGCACAAGATGGAGTATGTGCGTGGGGACCGGTTTGGGCCGGACTTTACCCAACGGCGCGCACACTCGTTGCATCGTTTCCTGAAGCGAATGGCCCTACATCCTGTATTGCGGAGGGCCATGCTCGTCATCAACTTCTTAGAGAGCCCAGATTGGAATCAGCACATGAAGGGCAGATCATCAAGAGCAGCAAGCGGGTCCGAGCAGGGCAGTAGTGGCTTTGTCGATGCTATCGCAGACACCTTTGTCAATACCTTTACCAAGATACACAAGCCAGATAAGCGCTTCATCGAAGTCAGCGACAAGGCTAGCAAGCTTAGCGAGGATTTGAACAACGTTGAGAAGGTCACTGTCAAAGTCGCCAGGCGGCAAGGCGATCTGGAGACGGACTATGCCGAGCTAGCAACCCAGTGCCAGAAGCTAACAACTATGGAATATGCTGTCGAAGGTACTCTTACCTCCTTCGCCGCTTCGGTCACCACCACATCACAAGGCTTCAAGTCCATTCGCGACCATACGGATCAGAACTACCTAACCAGTTTGCGGGACATGGACGCCTATATCCAAGCCCTCAAGAACCTCCTCCGCACAAGAGAAGCCAAGCAACTCGACTTTGAGGGGCTAAGCGAATACCTAGCCAAATCTGCCGCAGACCGTGATTCCCTGGCTAGCCAGCACGGCTCCGGCATCGGCGCATCGAACTTCCTACGCTCCAAAGTCGAAGATTTCAGGGGCATAGACCACGAGCAAGCGCGCCGCCAGCGAGTCCGGAAACTTGAAGTCGAAATTGAACGTCTAACGAGTGAAGTGGAGCAGTCAAAGAAAGCAAGTGAGGCCTTCGATGAGCACACAGTGAAGGAAGTTGTCGACTTTGAGCGCATCAAGGCTATCGAGTTTAAAGATACGTTGGGTGATCTAGCGGACGCGCACGTCGACTTCTTCCAAGGCACAATCGAGACGTGGGAGAAGTTCTTAGAGGATATGCGGAAAGAGGAGGATGCGAGGAAAGCCGCTGCGACATCGTAGACTGATGTCCAGCAGGTTCTTACTCCAGCGGGGTTTCGGGCTGCAGCGACACAGCATAATGTGCAGCCTGCTGCGGAGAAGGGGTTTGCTGGGTTTGGATTATACCTGATCAACCGATTCAGACATTGAGTACCCTGCATTATTGAACTGGTGGGGATGAAGAGCATTTCGGTCATTCACGGCTAGCGGGCAAATCCCATGGCGTTAGTAATTCCAATGCAAGAACTAGGATTGCAACTTTCTTTTGATAAAAACTATAAGTCAACATTGACACCCGACTGAACTGTATTACAGGATACATTGAGCCATAACGACATGTAGGTCTCTGAGTAGAGAGACTCGCCAGAATTGTGCGGCTACTTAGCTCCCGCTCACGAATTTTCAATCCTGTTCAACGGTCTAGTTTCGTTGACGTCATAGCACATCGTGCCTACTCCACACTATTATCATTCTCTTCTGCTTCCTCAAGCTTTCGCCAAGTATACAACAAACTTGGCAACCTCATCCCAACAAACTTCACTCACCATAATCCTACGATAAAATGCCAGACCCAGCGCAAATCAACCGCTCGCTTGGAACCCTCCGAACTGAACTCGAGTACCTCGCCGCAGCAGGTGTCCTCTCTCCTCCACAACTGCAGTCGATTGCGGCGCAACTCCCGGTATGTGAGCTCTTTTTTAATCTAGAAATGAAAATGCTGATACAATACTAGCAACCAAACGGCCAGCCATCGCCCTACGTTGACCCAAGATACGTGTCAGGGGCCAATCAGTTCAATCCTAGTCTAGTTGCACAGCAGGCGCAGGATCCTAATAATCCTGCACATCCTGATCATCCCAAGGTACGTCAAGTCAAAGCTCCCCCTCAACCCCAGTCTTTGGTTTACTTGATATGTGGATGCTGATTTGCTGATTTTGTTATGTGCAGCACCATGACTGGGCGAAGAAGCTAGGTTCCAAGTTTGGAAATGCTGCAGTGTATGGAGCTGGAGCGACGTTTGGGGCGGATCTGGTTAATGATGTTATGAGGAAATTTTGAGGGGTTGGAGTATGTATAGTCTAGTGGTGGTTTGGTGATGAATTGAGTAGTGGCATGTACACCTATGAATGAGATGATGCAACGAATTTGGGTATACTACTAGGCATATACAGTGAGAGCATTGATTGAATCTTATGATGATTGAAGTTGGGTATTCAAGACGATTTGAATCAGTTTTGTCGCTTCCCCATGCCGCCAATGACTCGGCTATGCTACAGGCAACAGTCTTGGATTCCCGCTTATCATCATAGCAAGGACGCTCATTGACCTGCGGCTTTCAAGTTTGCGAATGTTTGAAAAGCTTTCGGCTTCGTACACACAAGAGTACACACCAGCTCAACTAGCAGCATGTCTTCCATCAGCCAGTGCGTGGAAGCCAGATCAAGAGAGCCAGAACCTTGTGGAGAAGAGTCCGCCACCATAACAAAACCACCAGTAGCTGCGACGCTTCCAGAAGCAGTGGCTGAAAACAAGACAACGGCGCCGCGGAAGACCAATGCCGAACTCGAGGCCATCACCGAGCAAAACCAACTCGATTCTCCCTTCCTCCGCCTCCCCGGCGAAGTGCGCAATATTATCTACCATTGCGCCCTCGGCAATCACGAGATCTACGCCATGCCCACCCGCCCCGAAGGATTTGTCTGCATGGGCCGCCCGAACCACCAATTCCCCTGGAAGCTGGAGCCCATCGAGCAAATTATGGCCCTATATCTTCCGCTCGTCTGTCGGCAGATCTGCTTTGAAATGGGAAAATACTTTGTATTCAAGTTCAACTCGTTCGGCTCAACAAGGCCGGGCGATTTCCACTTGCTGATGGAGAGCTTGACGGTGGAGCAGCGGAGCATGTTGGAGGTAGTTAAGCTAAATTATATCGACAACAGGCGCCGATATGCGTTGTGCTCAAGGCACATGACCTTCACAGAGATGCGTACGTTGACGAATTTGAGGCTGGTGGTACTCAGGGATTTGGATTATATGGGAGAGAAGGCTAGGGTGGAAGTGGTCAAGGACATAAGAAGTATAGTTGAGAAGGAGGGGTTGGAGGTGGAGATTGAGACTGTTGTTTCCCATTCTTTTCATGATCGAGTAGTTTATCGACAAGCTTGTTCTAGTCACTATAGAACCACTCCGTACTACATTGCTAGGAAAAGTAGCCTCTGTAGATTAGATTAGTTGTCTTTGATACAGCGCCGAATACCCGTGAAACGGTGTTAAGCTGAATTGTTGGAAGCCGGAACCTACGCTTAAACCTCTAGATAGATCTGACATAGTTCTTAACTTACTCATCTCGGAACGTAATCATTATATTGATGTACGGTAGACTTCCGACTGAATCTGGATAGAGAGGAATACAAGTAAAAAAATGCCCTGCCATGTGTTAAAAGCATCCTAGTAAAAATTACTGCTAGTGAGTTAGTTAGGGCGGGGCTGTAAACTATAAGGCACCTCTAGGATCTAGGAAAGGGTTAGTGTTTCGACTTATAAAATCCGAAACAAGGATGCTATTGTAGGTAGACGATAATTCGACCTGGATCAAAGGTCCAACGGGTAGCGGAACGTTATTTGTTTAGGGGTTATATCTTAGAATAGCATGTTTCGAGGTACATGATAACCAAAATCTTGCAATTTCCATCAACTAACTTGTTGCAAGGCGTAAAATAACAAACAGTAGGAAGTGCCTACCCCCTGAGCACTTTTTGGGGCCATTGTCCGTCTGTGGATATAATTTTGAGCATAGCATTTGTGATTACTCTGCGGTCTTCCATGATAGGTGTGTCTGAGCCGACGGCTTTGCTTACTACGCATCTGTGACTACCACATAGAAAGCCGACATGTCCCGGCGGAGATCTTCCGTGATCATCAATTTGAACGCATTGCGTTTTCCTAGGCTTTCAGTCAGACGGGTTTGCACATTGCAGGGCTAGCTACGAGCAGTCGAAATTGCTAATAAGACTACCTGCCTTGGAATAAATTCAACGCTTTCGAGTAGCGGGTTGCAACAAGGCATTGTAGCGACTGTGGGTCGCGGAGTCCACATCCGAAATAATCGCATCAATCACCTCGGCTGTAAGAATAGTATCCATTTTCCAAGTGCCTCATATGTATTCCCTTCACCGGTCAACATCAAACCACTGAGTTGGACACATGTATGGAGACCTCATAGTAAGGATCGAATCCAATGTGGGAATAGTGATAAGGCTGAGGTCATACCAAGAAGGGAGCGGTGTGGATTGAAAAGTTGGCCAATCTGACAGTGCCAACATGAACAAAATGAGGCTCAACGATGAACAATGAGGAGTGTTGACTTGCACTATCATTGGAAGCGTTGATCGAGTGTATGTCTTCGCTGTCTAGCCAAGGCCCGAACAAATCCTTTCCCTAGCTGTAGGAGTTGACCCGCAATCAAAATGGCTGTGTAGATGTAGGGTTTGAGCTGGGCGCAGCAATCTCACCCCTGTTACTTACGACATGATGAGCGACCGAGGCGTTTGCCTTAGGTTCTTACAGCATATCAACTGATGGCTCGTCCACATCTCATCGTATCAACTCTGTCGCACAGCATGCGCTTGTGCGCGGTAGAGTCATCTGATAGCGCGAAAGGGCGCCAGCGCGCCGGTGGCACATCGACCCGCGAGCGAACAGACGTGTCGTCCATGAATTGAGTGATTTCATCTTGTTAATGCCAGAAGATCTGCGAATGCTCCCTGGGGGTGGCTCATCAAGCTCCTGGGTCCTAATCCCGTCGCCGTACTGCCGGTGGTCGTTGAAACGAGTTTCGTTGTGGAAACGTAAATTGCGGTAATGATGTGATGCAGCGGGGTCGAAGAAATTGGCGGCTTCCCCGTCGACTCGCTTCTTGATCAGCACGAACCTCGGGGTTGAGCGCTGCCTCTCCTCATACTCGACTTCTTTTCATCCATCTCCGGATCATCCGGAAAACCATTGTACCAACTGTTAGGCTTCAAAGTGACGGGAATTGGCCGAACCATCGCTATGCCTGAGGGATGAGGACCTTCTTCTCGTGAAGACCATAGCGCATCATCATGCAGGCCGGCACACCACCTTACGGACCCTGGACTTTCGGGCTACTGCAGCACGGCCTTGTTCATAGTACGAACAAGCCAACGTGGCGTCTATTTTCGCTGCATGGACAGTCTTAGATGCAGCCATCTTTCCAGTGTGAGCTTGTAGTCGACCTAATCTTAGCGTGCTGGAGAGAGAAGGGGCGTATCCGGTGAGGAGTCATGGAGGCCCTCATGTGTGTCCACAGATACTCTATGGACGGTCTTAAAGACGGCCGCAAGCGGTGAAAGGAGTAAATGAAGGTGGACACTGTCATTGGCCTACCGAACTTCAGAGTATGGCGATCCATACACCCTCTTCTGCCTTTTTGACAACGTAAAGTAGTTGAGGCTCTTGGACCGAGAGTCGGTGCAACAGTTCGAGCTTATTCGCATCGTCCCTCATGCCCTGCTGCGCCATATGTTCGACAACGAGCCTGTGGATATAAGGATGGTGAACGTCCCGGACTTCAATTGCCTACTCTTCACCACATAACTTTCAACTCTTTTTACGCTTGTTCCCATACCGCACCTGGAATACTCGACATGACAACCAATCGTAACCTCACTCACGACTTCAGCGGGCCCACCGTGCAGGAACGCATCACGTGCTTGTTCGAGCACAGCCAACTCTTTGATATAATCGCTGACAAACCACAAGCCGGCATATGTCAAAGGTACGGAAGAGGATGGTCCACCATTATAGCGTATATCGAAAGTGAGGTTAATCAAAGCCAACGTGCTGCTGAGTTATTCATCCGGGAAAATGCGCAAGTGGGAAGAGGAATATTAGATGAGAGAAGAAAAGAGAAAGCATATAAGAAGGTGATGAACAAATGGATGGGGGATATTTTCCGCCATGGTACATACCTGTTACTAAACCTATAAATTCAAACTATGGCTGACAAAGTTGGAAGAACGCGCTTTCAGAGCTGCCCGTCAAATGGCCCTATCCGATTCGCCCTCGAAGGAATACATGCGAAAGTATCGCTCCAATAGTGGAAGTGGTAAGGGCGGTACAAGGGCTGCGAACGGAGAGCTGATGTCGATCTATGGCCAAGAGAACGAGCTTGTGCCCTCCGACCTGACTACGTTGGACGACGAAGAACTTGAACCCATAGCAAACTTCATAGTCGACTGGCTAATGAATCCCTTTGTCGATTATATCGGCACACGCTTCCAAAGATTCTGGCACAAGTTGCTGTATGGAAAAATGCGTCCGGCTGAGGGCGATGACATCGAGGCCGTCAACGCCAGAACGATTTCAGCCATCGCAAGGGCCTTTGTAAGCGTCATGGCAATTCTGTTTCTGGTCGCTCCGATTGCTACTCTGGACAGCATTCAGCAACCAAAGTTACGAATCTTGGTTATGGCTCTGTTTGGTCAGCTGTTTGCCACATCAGCCCAATTCATGGGCTCACGCTCAGTCCCGCTATACATGCTCATTACAGCGTAAGACTACCGAGATGGCCTTATATCTTGACGAAAAGGTTACTGACCGCGAGACAGGTACTTCCAGGCAATGGTGGTGTTCTTAGGCACGACGAGCGTGCAAAATGTGCGTCAGTAAGTTGTGATGGTAGTGTAGAGGTTGAACAGACCTTATCTTCACCGCCTCTGGCCTGTGGTTGATTAAGCGAGCGTTGAAACCTTAATCTAAGGCGTCGCGTGGTTTCCCATACTAAACCATCATAGCATACAATAGACTGTTTTAGAAACACCGATAATCCTTGTTTTAGGCCCTCACTCCAGAAATCGTTACGTGTGCACCGACACTTTGCATACGCACTTCCTTTGGGTAGTGCTCGCTGGAACTGGCCTTCTCACAACCCCTGGGATGCAAATTGGACGGATTAAGCACAGAACTCTGACTCTCAATGCTTATAGGATGTTCTGCGGTACTGAATCAAGACTGCACATCGACCTTGTCTTCGAGGCACTGGCCAGTGGCCGCCCAAGCTTCAAACACAGCTTTCAACACAGCTCCTTACACAGCTCCGTACATCTCAAGCGCCACAAAAAGATATATCAGGACGAATTTAAGCATGAGTAGCTTTTTCGAATTGAAATCTGAGGCGGCTCAAGCCAACAAACCAAGCCGCCATCAGGTCCACTGTATTAGGGTAGACGCGTGAGGCTGGGGTATGTTATTGTTTCGAGTCGCCGCTACTCCCCAAGTACGCCACAATCGCTTAGGAAGTCCCACCGCACTTCAATCACGCATTTGCTGTGCTGGACTCTCTCCTCTCACGGATACATATCATCTTCTTGGTGCTTCGTGCCTATTTCGGCCAAAGATACCTTTAAAACGAATCTCTGCATGCCCCTAGACTCCCCACACGCGATGCCTCCTCGGGAGCCCACTATCCCCACACGAAGAGGATGGAAGAATGACGGTAAGACTCCTCCTGACGAAGTTATTGCAAGATGTTAACGATATATGGTCACTTAGTGGAACGACGAGCATCTTCAATGCCGACGGGCCCTGCTCAGAACACGAATACTGCGCAGGATACGCATGGCGGGTGTCAAGACAGGAGCGAAGGAAGCGATGGAGAAAGCAACCAGACCGAGAAAAGAGCCGGTCACAATGAGCAGAAGAGTGCTGCAACGCAGACCCCGAACATAGCGGATCAATCCTATTACCAACATCGCCTTCACAAAAGCCCAACAACACTCCTCAAGGCCGGCCTTACCCGCGTAACCGCACTGTTCTCACAATCACGGTAGCAATCCACGATCGATACTGGAGCAGCAAAAAACCCTACACCGTATATAGAATGTATTCTCTTGCCACCCTCTTTTCCCCTGGCTTTTGCAAGTACACACTTCATCGTCTACAGCCTTGAGCACATAGCAACTGCAAGCGCGATACACCAGCTTGATCAAACAGCTCGTTACTACACAACACAAGTGAAACATTGGATTGGTGTTCCATAACTGTGGGCTTGATCTGTATTATCGAACAAACTGTCGTACAAGGATAATGGCTGCGAGAGCACCCATATATTCTTTACCTTCCAAGATAGCATGTTGAAATATCCAGAAGTCCTTTACTGCAACGAAAGTGCTCGACTCTTTCCAACAAAGCTACCCATCTCATCCATTATACCCCGATCGTGCTTCTGTCCACTTATGCCTGGTGAGGCAACCATCCTTTCTAACTAGATACTACTGTGGCGGTGTAGTGATCAAAGTAGGACAAGCCGCTCTAACGAACCGTTGCTCTTCATGGATATGTCCCTGGACACGGCGTGACACGTTCCAAATTCAGTCGTTGCCGAACACGCTCTAAAGCTAACCGTAGCGCACCGCTAGGATAATATCGGGTGTCGTTTGATTTTAGTTTACGAATCGCGTTCACGAAGAGAGCTAGTGGGTCGTACCGTATCGCGTAGGTGGGCTTCGAGTAGGAGGTAGCTTAATGTAGAGCGATGGAAGAAGGTATGCCTTGTAGAGACTTGATGAATCTCATCGATAGCCTCGTACAAAACTCCTAATAATTGTTAGTGTGACGTACTTGATGCAGCTAAAGATGATTACCGCGGTGTTCCATACAGTCATAGAAGTTACCGTTAGTACATCGCAAGATCGCTCCACGTCTGGAAGAAGGAATCAACCTGCCCATTTGATTATCATTTCGCTAGCTTCCTGAGGTTTTAATAAGTAAATGGAAGTGTATTGAGGATATTTCAACCAGTACAGGCTGCATGATGATCATATCAACGCGTGTAATGGACAAGAAGAGGGTGTGAAAGCAATAACCTCAAAGGTCGATCTGACCGCAGAAAAGAATGTAAGAAGGTGCCAGAAGCTTCGACTGCCACCCAACAATACCTAATTGCTGATGCGTAAATGAGGCTAGTCTTGAGATCCGTGCTGCAGTCGCCAGGACCAACTTAATCGCGATGGGTATAGCGGAGAACACGCGGGTCCCGGTAAGCCAATGACTATTGAATAACATGCAGCGTTTCAAACCTTATTAAAATGAGTGGTTGATTGGCCGATACATGGCAGGCGGTGATCGTTGGAGGTTGGGTGCTGGAACGCTTCGAGAACCCAGTATCACTCGCAGAACAACGGGAGGTTCGTCTTGCGTACAGACTCACACGTATTTGATTCGCGATGAGCAGGTTGATTCATTGCCCTAGCGACATGCTTTAGCTCCACTAGCGTGCTATTTTGCAATGGTGCATGGAGGTTGGCCGGAAACCATCACGGCTCAGCAGCTATATAGCCTCTGTCTTCGTGTTGTGCATGCACTTCAAATTGCGGGCAACTGAGTACGTGCTCATTGCTTCAGATTGATGTACTACTCTGCTGTTGTGGGCGCGCGCAATATGTGTGCTACCTTGGGCATAAGCTCTCCTCGTTGGAGATGAATTGCTCCGGCGAAGAAGCTTCTACGCAGACTTCAAATCAGAGCTGTCGCTTCAGCTAGGTATACGTACACTCCCCAGTTATATCCAGGGCTTCATTTGTGCGCATGAGCCCTGAAGTGTATGTGGAAGATCCAGCAAGTAGGCTTGTACAATCGCACGTGCAGAGTTGAAAGGATCCCAACTGGCGGTCTCAACTAGAGAATCATTCGATTGCTTATCCTGAACGAAAAGCGCCGGGTGCATTGGAGCCGAACGCCTGTTCGATTCGGGGTATGAAAGAATGAGCAACCTCATTTGCACCGCTTTTCGAGAGTAGAGCTTTTGCGCACTAGTTTGCTCAACCTGAAGCGACTGCGAGCGCAATGGTAGCTTTTCGAGATTATCTAATGCGCCAGCACCACAATTACACCTGTATAACAGGCGAGTGGTTGATTTAACCTCTCCAGGAGCGTGGTATATCCCGGGAGATGTTTATAAGCGATCGATCAAACAGCTAGGGCTGCAGCGCGGTGCGTTGGTGCGAATCTGGAAGCTCGAGGGAGGGGGGCGCGCACATATCATTGGCATACGGCCTCGGTAGTGTAGACAGTGGTACGCGGTGAATCGAACTGCAGTAGAGGGAAGGGGTCGGAGCGCTTTCGTTGGCTGGCGGAGCCTAAATCTCCGCGATCTCTTTAGCGGAGGAGAAAACAGTCGCTAATAGTCTAATAGCTCGAAGACCAGCGGGTCAATCTAGCAATAAGTATTAGCTTCCTAAGATGCATCTTCGGAGATTTTTGGATTGTGGGTGACGTGCTAAATTGCGAGTGTACCAGGTGTACGATTCTCAAGGTAAAGTACAAAGATTGCTGCGAGGAAGTCGTGCTACGGTGATTTCGGATGGAGGGCAATGTTCGGTCTGAGTTTTCTCAGGACTTCGAGGCCTTCATCGCGTCAAAACGCGCTCTCTTCGAAGAACCCAGCACTCTGGTAGATTGGATATGGTTGTCTGGCTACCATCCTGGGGACCGAGCGTGGCGTCGCGATATGCCGCGTCAAGGTCTTGAGATGGCGTTTCCGGTGGGCCTGGATGTAACCTGTTTGCCGCTGGCATCAAACCGAACGATGGGAATTGACAAGTCTATATGGATAGTGTGGAGGAGGCAGTGGCAGAATGTCCATCCGTCATGGCACACACCTGTATTAGCCAGCAGGAGCTAGGACGCGGCTCTTTAGAAACGGTAACGGCCCTTGCCGATCTGTGCATGGACTATGCACCGAGTTGTGAAGCCATACCAGAATCCTTCCTCTCTTGTCTCATCTCGGAAGACCAAAATGAGCTGGTTTGGACAGACGCGACAGCGCCCATAGCGCTTGCAGGACGAGCAACACACGGGAGGCCTACAACAACAAGGCCTATCAGGCGAACGAGGAGATACAGACGCGCAATAAGCCGACTTTAATGGGAAACATTATGAAACGACTGAATTATGATAAGAGTATTGCTAGGATGAACACAAATCGATGACTTCGTGGATGATTGGATCCGACAACAGCAAGGCCTTGAGCCCCTGCAGGTGGTTGCCAACCGTGGTGCAGCTACTGCATCATTACCCCAGGGCACGTCCACCCCAACATGTTTCTTCCCTTCCGCTCACACGGCCCTTTCTCTTTACCGGTCAAGCCTGACTCGAGGGTAGGGTAGCACAAAGACGTGGCGGGGTCTAGAATGCGCGTTGGGCTGCAGCAAGAGAGTGAGGCGCTCAAGGAGGGGTGATTGGAGTCAACTGATGCCCTTGTCGATGATGGCTTGTTTAAGCAGAAGCGGATGGCGCTCCTGTTTGTTGTGTGTCGGTTGGCGAGCGACGATTATATATGGAGGCAGCTCTGCGGGCTTCCTGTATCATCGCCGCTTGGCGTGTAACCCTGGCGATGTGTACCGGATCTTTACATAAAGCTGAAGGAGGTTAATAAATTACATCTTATTGAGATAAACTCCAAGTCGTAAGATCGTACCTTTCATCTCCCGAGTATCGTACGCCACCAGACAATCATGTGGCTGTATCTTGTTGCTCATGTCGAACAATTTGTGTCGAGGAATCTTCAATTCCCTGGGCCCGTTGTTGTGAAGAGTGTGAGGTGAAAAGTGCAGGAGGTCGGATGCACCAGGCGCTGATGACCGCTTTTATACTCCATGTAGCGACGACTTGCTGTGATGTTCAAATCGAGCTGTCACTTCACCGACTGCACACCTTTCTAGTACAGTCATAGCGCCATCTGACCCATGGTCGTAGGAGGTGGCTTGTTGCGCAGGCTGAAACATTGAGACGGGGGCTCTCAGTGAATAGAGCTACTATTGAGAAAGCCCTCCATGCTGTATCGCAGGCTGTAGACGTTGTAAGGGGCTTAAGAGCCATCGTTACTGTAGTCGTCGCGCTTTACTTGAGAAGGTCGCTTGAAGATCGTGTGATACTCAGACCAAGTCTAGCTTTGCTAGGTTGCAGACCCTTGTCCAACTTATGATGCCCTCCAACCAGTATCGTGTGCTAGAAAGACCACACCGACATCCGGTGACTATACGGAGACATGTCCAGGCGTGGTCACAGGATGGTGGTGCTGATAAAAGTCAATTGACTATCAATGGCTCGCATTGCAAGGGATGAACCATCTCTTCATCTTGAACTTTTCTCGTTCTTTCGTGCGCAGAAGTAAAATTCCAACTGTGGTTACGGTTGTGATTATGCGAGGCCACACGCTGCCGAGCTGCTTTAGTGCATTCTTAGTTGGCCCATGCTTCTTTTCCAGTTGCCTTGTTGTTATTTTGCCTTAATGTAAAGTAAGATTAGTATGAGTGTTATGATGATAGGTTCTACGGGACGTCACTTACCCCAATCTTCTTCTCAACCGCGCATGGCAACCTCCATGATACTTCTAAACTGAATCCTGAATTCGCATGTTGTAGCATCGTCTTCCGACAATTGCGCGGACGAGAGCGCAAGCTAGTCTGTGTGAACGGGGCACTTAGCTACGAGGAGGTGGCTGCAAGCATTGATTGCCATCGTTCAGAAGGAGCGCGACCAATACCGCACATACCCTTACTCGTTAGTGAATATTTCTCCAGTACTTTCTTATGAAACTTACGTTGCCAGCATTGAGATGAATTGCTGGTTGCGGAATACTAGGCTGCAGGCAGTGATAACAACAGCGATGACCACGACCCCCACGACACTCACCACTTTCCCAGCATTGGCGAAGTATAGCGATGTCACCGCGGCATAAACGAGGAGGGAAGTTGCGATATTTCCTAGTGCCAATGATGCAACTTCGAATGCACGACCACTGAACCTGTACTGGTGAAACGCGTCCGGGCGCTTCTTAGACCAGAAGAAGAGTATCCAAAGCCATTCCGGAAGCCGCGGTGCCCACAGCAGGATCTTGTCTCTGAAGAAGCGTCCTATTGCACTAGGGTTTGACTGTTCCACAACCTGGATGATGTCGAAGGCGTGGCTTTCTGGATCGCACAAAGACCCCCAAACTGAAGCATCAAGTCCAAAAAGGGGCATATTTCTTTTATCTTGGAACGCTTGAACGGTACGGAGCCCTGCTACGTCGTACCCTTTACTGCCGAGACGATTAAATCGAATGATGGCTTCTTCTAACTATCTTCAGTCCAGGTATGACAACAGATTGCTTCGTTTCCTACTCACCATACTCCTTCATCTCGAGTTTGAGCGTTTCATACAGTTGCCGTTGTTCGAGGCCAGATGGTGTTGAAGGCTCCGCTTTGAGATGAGCAAAGTTCACCGAGGAGAGACGTCGGCGGTCATCGCCACTGTTGAAATCTCGTGCTTCTAGCTCAATGAGATTCTCTTCTAGCGCAATTAGCTCGTGCTGACGGTAAAGCAGGAGGCGAACTGCGATCGCGGAAAATCTTCGAAGATGCAGGTATCTGGCACATTGTGAGAAAAAGAAAGCAAGTTTCGGGTATCCCTCGACGTGCAGCTCTGCATGGTTGCCCACGTTGGTCGGGGCCTGATGTACCGAGGATGTCGGGTAATTGGTCGCCATTGGGCCGGGGATGTGCAAGCCGATGGGCGCGTTGTGGGTAGAGACAACAAGACTTGAAGAGCTATGCTTGTAAATATGGGAGCAGAAGACGATGGTTTCAATGGGCAACCTCGGTAACTTCGCTAGATAAATAGGAGAGGAAAGAGTTGCAGGAAATTGATCGCGCTGCTGTGGATAAGCGTGGTTTCTGAGGATGCGACAGCTTTGTGGCGGCGTACTTTGGGGGCAATGGTCTGAACTGATTGAGACAAGCAATCTTTCGATGGTTTTGGTCGTGCAGTGCGTGTCCCGGCAGGCTATATACACTATCGAACGAACTGTGGGTAGGTGACCATCTCCACCTTGGATGTCGATGGATTTATTGATCCATGAGCTGACTTGAGAGCAGAGAGCGAATGTGTATGACTTGAAACAGACGGGAATAGTAAAATCCTGGTTCGTCACACGAGTGGTGACTGTGTGGCTCGCGCTTACTGCGAGGCTATCTTTTGTGGATTTTCGATGCCTAGGTGTTTGCTAATTCGGTCATCTCTCCTCAAGTGCGGGGGCAGACGCCGATGTAGCTGCAGTCGGAGCTCCAAGGGCGATTGGGTGCAAGTTCAGTGGTTGAAATCCACGTTGGCATTAGAGAAGCCGACCACAGAACCATCCCAATAACCCAACCACAACAGCCCCATGTAGCACGTTATGCACGTCAACGTATGCTGGGAGCTGTAGCGCCCGGGAGGAGTTATATGCGGAACATATCCAGTTGGAAGGTCTCGAGGGTGTTGCCAGCTACTAGCTGATGGATGGCTGCGATAGGTGGTCAAAGATCCTTGCGACCCCCAAGATAAAGTCGATCCCTTTGGCTGTGTTAAGGCGCAGAGGAACCTCAGTCTCCAACAGGGCATGACGTTCACAGAAACGAGTAGAGAAATGATTGCCGCTACCGCGAGTTTGCACGAGTTTTGGACAGCGCTTAGAGGTCCCTGAACAAGTCAAAGCTAGATGAAATATGCAAATACTGATCACTCGCCAGCTACCCGTCCTCCACAAGCCCCGAATGCCACTACTCGCCATCAAAGCACATCAACTCAGTAGACCTGAGAGTGCAAGCGCTTGCAGGGCGGAGGTTGGAGGTCGAATACGCGAATGTTAGCAAGCGGAATAGGAATGTAGAACAGTGTATGTGAAGAGGAGCAAGTGAGGTTGGAATTGAGTTTGGTAGGTGCCCCTGAGTTTTTCGTTTCTTCCGTCGCACCAGCGCTACACAAGAACAATTAGGGTACTATGATTCGCTAGCTATTGGCGTATAACAAGATGAAAATTCCTCTTGCCCGAGGTTGGTATATCGGTTTTTGTCAGTAGCTTAACACACATGAGAGCAAGATTCGCGATTTCTGCGATCTCTGATTCGCATATCTTACAGCGAGATAACTGATGTTGAACACCCTTATAAGATGGCCTCCGCCTCTCCGCCTCTGACATTGGGAAGAAGCTATGCGAGGCCGCCAAGTATCGGAATAACAGAATGGCCATTCCTGCTTTTTATTCCATTCTTAGATCTCGTTGTGGTAGTCAGTCGATAAACTCCTCGGTGTCTATTTCGAGTTCTCACACTTAGCGTGCACTGCCATATCTTATACTTCTGCTCGCGTAGCCTTTAATACAAAATCACGTATAGAAGTGTGATACTGTCCAATGCTCAATCATCTATAAAAGCCTCCGCCACAGCATCACCATTCCGGGTAGAGTTTTAATGTTAAGTAAAATCATTTCTCAAAGTTCTCAAAGTCTCCTCAATATACGCGTTCAATTTCTTCCGCCTAGGGTAGTCTACAGCTCTTAACTATAGTTTCCTAACTAGCCTATTTTAATAAAAATAATACTTTAATTACTTAATTTTTACTTTTATATTTAACTAAATACTATTTTTAAACTTTTAGCTTATAATTTATTTAAAATTTTTGTCTATTAAATACTGCAATTTAATTTTTTACTTAATTAGACTTTTACTATTGCTTTAGCGCTTATAGCCTATATAGCCTATATAATTATACTTTTAATATTTTTTTAAAATTTTTAAAAAAATTTATATAATTATAGTTTTTTATAGTTTTAATTTTAGTAACTAGTTTTTAAAATAGCTAGTAAAAAATAGTTATTTTAGCTACTTTAGTAAACTTAATACTTAGCATAGCTTTTATTATTAGTAAATAAGTATAAAAAAATAAAAGTTTTTTACTTATTATATAATTTTAATAAAAAAAAGCAAGCTATACTAAAGCTATATTTTTTTTTATTTTTTTAAACTATTAGGCTTTTTTTATAATAAAGTTATTAAAAAAAAGTTTTTAAAATTTTAGCTAAAGTAAGTTTAAAAAATTAATACTAAAATAAGCAAAAAAAAAAAAAAAATTATTTTTGCTATTATATATTAAAAGTGCAGTAAATAAAAGCTAAAAATTATAAAGCAGCTTTATATAGGCTTAAAAAGCAAATAATTCTTTATATAATTAAATTTTATATTAAACTTATTAGTAATTATAAAAAATTAAAAATTAATATTTAGTACTATAAAAAAATAATAATAAAGTTTAAAACTATAATTAGTAACTATTTTAACTTATTTTAAAAAAATTAATATAATTATAAATATTTCTGCATTTAAAGTACTTTTATAAAACTAGCAATAGCTTAATTAGGGCGTAGGCGCTTTAAAAATCCTCTTAAGTAAAATTATTGTTTCACCTATTTATCGCAAGGAATACTGGAGGATAAGACAGTGTCGGGTATCTTTAGTTCTGATTTGTGAAGCAGTTATAATTATTCGGATATGAACACAATTATAGAATCTTCCACGTCAAGAAAGCTAACACTGTCTAAGAAATTCACGTAGGATCACTATATGAAGAGGTCGCTGCTTGGTGGAAGCATCCGGTAAGCACATGAAGGTTTGTGGAGACAAACTACGGTAGAGCCACTGCTATCATCTCTGTCCAATGAAATAGAAAATAGTTTTAAGAAGCGCTTACGTCCCAAGGACGACCTGCTGAGCTATCGCCAGTCTGTTATCTCTGTATAATGGAGAAACAACAGAGAGGAAAGACTGGCTGATGCAAGGTTTGGACCTTGCGATAAATTAAGCAGCGCTAGCAAACGCTGGTGTGGTAAGACAATGTGTGCGGAATTGGATATTAGCAAAGCGCTTCAGGCAAGACATGTACGTAAGACCAAGAGCCAGCTGTATCCGTGCTACAGGATATTACCAATTCATGCAGCTTAGATCCAGCGGTACCATACGGATCATAAGCACAAGGCTTTCCTAAGTCGATGATACAGTCTTGGTGGTCTTTTGAGACAACCTGATCGCTTGAAGAGGGTGTGTTGCGCTAGATTCATCCAACGGCGTTTTGTTGTAGCCTTTAGCCTTAGCCAGTCCGCGATACGTCTTAACATCCTGCAAAGAATGTCTATGCATGTCAGATTGGGCATACGTGGAAACGCGCGCTTGGTGGTAGTTCGCAGGATGGTGGACTACGGAGGCTTATACTTAGTTGTTTCAGGGGCGTGGCCCCATAGTTCAGTGCATGGCTGCAGCTAATCGTACTGCTGTGCTTCACACCATTAGCAGCACCACATTTGAGTGCAGTAAGGCTGGTGCATATCCCGAAGTGATCGGCTATCACCAGCAACGGACCGTACGGCACCTGGCGCGGACCGAGATTAAGTTGCGGGGTTGAGAGGGTGGCTATTGGACCCCAGCATCCCATATTCCCATTAAATCCAGTCGACCACGTATGCGCTGCTGAACAAAAGGAGATCTGAGGAGGCAATATTGCTGTGCCGCAACAAGCCCGCATGTTGTTCGGTGTGTTGGGGCAGCTACCATATCTAGTCATCCAGATAGCGAGACTACTTCGCAGTACCTAGAGTTCGTGGCAGAATGGATCGGAAAATTGCCACTCTCAGTTTTACAGCATCTTTCCTTGTCGCCTACCCTAGTATAGAGGAAGCAATTGTTGCTCTCCGTTTTAGGAGAGGAGAGCAGGTTGATGTCTTGATAATGGCCTGGAATAACGCCAACGCTGTTGACGCTTCGCATCATAGCCTCCTGTCCAATAGCCCCATTCTTGAACCCAAAGATAGTATGTTGGTCGGCCACTCGATGAGCTATCCTTGAGCGCTGACGCTGGTGGGGGAAAGGTCAAGCCATGCCAGCGCCAGCGGCTGTGGTAGGACCTGGAGGGTGTACCGCAAATACAGAATAAATGCCAGAGCCTTTCTTCTTCTTTGTAAACACTTTTTGACTCCTCTACCACTGTATTCTTCTGAACTTGCGCTAGTATTCGTTTCTTCTTTCACGTTCTTCGGGATACCTAAATAGGATTAGCATATTCGTAATCACCTGGGCAGCAGCCTACGTCACACTCTAAATGGAGACCAACCGTGAACCCCAGGGATACAGTGCATTGTACAAGAGCATTGCCGTGTATCCCGAATTGGGCCTGTTCCGACGTTTTGGTCAGTTTTGGGCTAAGAAGTTACACGATGACACCAGCGAGTTCCTAGAATGCTTGACAAGCCTGAACGATCAGCTTGGACGTTTCCCAGATCTGGGTGGTAAAACCGTGTTGGACTGCCCGTTAAGAATCGTGAAAGAGAAATGTCCCAAGGGTGATGAGACATATGACAAGCTGTGGGATGCATGGAGGGAGTACAATAAGAGCTTGCTGAATTATGGTATGTCCGTTTGCAGGGCGACAAATGTTCTGAAGGTGACAACATGCCAGGTCAGACGCTGTGCCAGGTCAGACGCTGTGCCAGAGTGAGCAGATCATGAATCTTCCGCACCAAGACGCGTACAATACAAGTTCCCTGACCGAGTTCAAGCCGCCTGGATCCAGGCCCATATTTGAGAACGATACCTTCGTGCCTACTGGAGAGCGCGCAGCGACGTATCAAGGTGCGACGGAGCGGAATGACACCTGCGCTTGGAGAGCAATACCACGAAAAGACTTTCTTACGATGCGATTCATATACTCAAGTAAATGGATCGAGGCACATGTTCTTGCTCGCCTTCGGAGATGTACCGGTCGTACAAAGAGTTCTGATCCTCGTCTCCAGACCGACATGCGACTTGACCGCATCATAAGCGTCATGGATACCGTCAGCTGTCTTCTCGCCTCGACCTTGCTGTTAATTACCGTCTTCGTTCTGGCAGTTGTCCATCCTCTTAAGATTCGTATTGCGATCGTTGGCGTAACGGGCACCGTTTTTGCGCTGTGCGTGAAGTTGATGGCTGGTGATCCTTCTCGCGGAGAAGTATTTGGGGCGACAGCAGCTTTCTATGCCGTGGCAGTTGTTTTCCTCAGTTCGACCAACGACAACTGTGTCTGCCTCTAAGGGTGCTATGGAGTGGAGGAAGGCTGACGAGGGCTAGGCAGACAGGTCGAAGCTGCCTCCTAGGTGCGTGCGCGTCTTAACCGTATGCGGTGAGGGGTTGTGGATGTCAATCCCGCCCCCTTATTTCACACCGTTTATCTTTCCTTAATAACACACCACTGCACACTCTTTTCGTATTTTAGCAAGTTAATTGAGAGGTTTGGCTCCCAGATGCCGAGCTGGGGTAGATCCTTGTTCTTCTACGGCTGTCACCTCGAAATTGTATGCCCAACCAGTTGCCTCAAGAGCTTGACCATCTCGATACACGAGCGTTAGGTAACTCAGTGTGACAGGGTTCCATGTACTCTGAGTGGGAGATCCGCCACAACAGATCAGTCTTGGACGCGCCACCCGACTGTCCTTATACTTGTCCTTAGTCCACATGAATACTATGCTCATCAACAGCGGCTTGACCCTGAGTTTGATTCTGGGCAGAGAACTTCGCCTACAATATGATATAATACGCTTACCAAAAGAGCTCGACGCTGCAGTAGGCGACCCACTTCTCGGCGCCCTGGCCAAGCTGTACCATATGCTGCGCTCTCCAGGGATGAACGTGAGCTACGTTCTCAACATGCTAGCTGTCTCGCACCAAGCTACAGGCCCTGGTTCTGTTCGCTACCGGCACCGCTGTCAATTCCCCGTCGACGCGTCGAGATGCCACCAACCGCATTGGTGGGAAAGCCCCGAAGACAGCCTCCCACAACAAGCGAGTGCCGACATGTTAATATTCACTGCCCATTGATACAAATTTGAGGGTGGTATTTCAAGACCCCGTCTTTCTGTACCTCTGTGGACATTCTTCCAGCAGTAGACTCAGCATGCCCGGTTATATAACCCTTATCATGACCTCCGGGCCGTCTTCTATACGTATGTTCATTTTCTGACCTATATATGATTTAATCAGCTTACCCACAATCTACAGCTATCCTACCAGATGAAGGTGTTAGGACTCCAAATGCGGCAGTCATTCAAACTACTATGACTGCCCCCGTCGCTCCAACTACTGCTAGTGCCCCCATCACTGCGACTACTACGAGTGCCCACGGCATTCAAGTGGTCACGGGCTGATATGGTGAGCATAACATGCGCATTACTCTTGCTTCGCTAATGGAAGAGCAGTTCAACCAAGCTTCCGGCCTAGAACAAGATATGCTCGTTAGCTTACGTGGGCACTGCGCGTCGAGCATGACTGCGCTGGCACAGTTTGGGTGTTCCAGAACAATATGGTGCTCACATGAACCCGGGTCGTACAAGGTGGAAAATTGGATTTGCATATTGGAGGGCTCAGAACGGGTGAAAGGTCTCTCATCAGTCCGGTACTAGGTCATAGGCCCTAATGGCACCCAAAAATTATTTTATAATCATTTATTACCAGGACTTCGGACTTTGAGAGTAACAGTTGTGTGTGAAGTGCTTGAAGCGTAGCGTTGCCCTTACAATACAGATTCTTTCAAAGTAGACCCAAAGTCCCCTAGTACCTAGCTGTAAGCGCATTGTAGTTTATACGTACATTCGCCTTGACTCCTTGGTTTCAAAGCATGACTACCATGCACATGCGACTCAGTGTCCGAAATTTACACCAATGTTTTAGCGAGGCAGCGCTCATGATGAACTTCTCAAGTGCAAACATTACCCTTGGTATAATGCGACTACAAGGACCTCATCATTTGTCTATCAGTGCAGCATTGCGACGTGTCCCCAAGGTGCCGTTATATCAAGCTTTCCAGCCATTCCAAACCCCATCCAGTTATATCGGAACCGCCATTTCAAGAACGTAGCTTTACGGCACAGTGCGTGGGTATCGTTGGTGCAATTGGCGAGCGACTTGGTTGGGTGTATACGGCATACAAGTGGTTCCTTGTTGAGCAGGGAAAATTGTAGCGGCAGCGCGGTAGGTCCGATGAAAGCGGATAGGCCTCGTTCATTTCGTCGACGAGCGATTGGGCCCACAAATCTGCTTGCGTTCGGTATAGTTCATCCATCTGCGGCTGTTGTAAGCTGTTTAAGTAGCGGATGGTAGCTGGCGAAGTTGAAGGGTTTGAAGCTGGCTGTAATTGAAGTATTGAGGCATACAACCTTCACTCTCTGCTTATTTGCAGTAACAATTATCTCAGAACAAGGTAGCCACTGAATGTATGTAAAGATGGAAATGATTTTGCCAGCCGAAGGACAAACACAAATGGAAATCTCTAAACAGACGAGGGGAAAACTACAGCCTTGTTAATGATTGGGGAGACGCCCTTGTTTAGACATACCCAGGCACGTTCCGGTCATCAAATAATAGCTTGGGTGCCTGCTGAATTGCCTGGATGCGGGCGGCCGCCCTGCGAACTAAGCACACACCGCTCTCGGACCAGGGACAGTGCACCAAATTGTTCCTACGAGAATGTCCGCTGCCAAACTGTAGCCTCGTGAAGTATTATTCCTCTAATTTGAATAGCTGCCATTAGTACAAATCTAGAGTGGTAGGGTGGCAGACGCACGGTTGGTAACGACAAGCCTTGGGAAATGGATTCATCAAGCGAGTGTGGGTTTTCCACCCACCGTCATGACGGCTTCTGCAGTTGGTTCTCTTTCCGGTTTCGTATTCCAGCCTATCCATGATGATCAGTACCTTTGGTCATATGCGTTTGTTCTGAAACGAGGAGACCCTCGCTACTGGCGGTGATCCTCGCGGGATAATCCAGCGCCACATCATTTCCTTGTACCATTGTAAATGACGCTGGCCCTTTTCAGGCTCACCGGAAGGCAACAGTTCTCCAGGGGTCATCAAAAGCTATTGGTGGTCATTACGCAATGGCCATCATCGCAGCCGACTTTGCTGATGTGAACATCATCACCGTAATGGTTGAGTCGTACTGGTTTTGAATGTCTGTATTCTTCACACTTTACGATATTCATGCACACATTTGGTGCGTTGGGAATCCAATTGTCCGGTGCCAGCATAGCCTACTTGACTGGAGGCAGCTGGTAGCTTCGTTAGCATGGCATGATATCCGATCGACGCTCGTACTTGCAGCTTCTAGCCTTCCTGAGAAGTATGCAACCAAACCCGGTGGCATGCTACCCCGGGTCACGGTCGTGTGGTAGAATGACGGTGAGCGGCTAGCGCAGCCAGCGGTCAATGCACCGCGAATGGTCGAGAAGGAATTCCGGCATGCTCTTGTTTGCCTGCTTTTTTTTTTACGCCGCGTAAGGTTAGAAGGTAATCCAAACCTTTTCGGCAGTGTTGTTGGGGACTACCGTGTCCCCCCC